CTCTCTCTCTCTCTCTCTCTCTCTCTCTCTCTCTCTCTCTCTCTCTCTCTCTCTCTCTCTGTCACTCTCTTGGCTTTTGCTTTCTGCTTTTCTGCCAAGGTATGAATCCGTCCTCAGAATCCGTGATTTTGTAACGTTCTCTCTTACATATTATCCAGAAAATATCTCCAGAAATGAAGAGTCGTCGTTCTCAGCGAAATATATTCAAAGGCCGATGAGAGGGACTCTACGTTTTTACACGGCAAGAATCACCTCTTTCAGATCAATCACAGTGAAATTTAAGTATGAGCACGCACGCGTCGCTCAGCAACGTAATGACGTTCCGAAGCAGGCAAAGTCGAAAAGACATCCGGTCACCCTGAGTGTACGCTCATCAATCGGAGACGCTGCTGTTGTTACCTTGTTCCACAACTCCGTCGCCACAACTCGATCGCATATATAACTTCTTCCTCTCTTCTTTTTACGCTCATACGCATCGCCAAAGGATTCCAATTGAGAGCTGCACGAGCATAATTGAATGGCGCGGCACGGCGCGGCGATGAACCAACAAACGGCGGGCACAGAGAATCGTAATTGCCGAAAGTACTCCGACGTGTATATTTACAGAGGGCCGCCGATCGCGGCGACAGAGACTCCGGAGAAACGTGTGTTCAGGCCCTTTCTTCGAAACAACTCGACCGATTGCATCGCACTCGCGGCGACGTACGACATGAGTGAGTTGTGTCCCGCGAGATTCTCAGATTCTTAGTTTGGCGGACGAGCGAGCTTTCGTGTGCACTTTCCGGAACCACGTCGCGGAAGTAAATCGTACGTGTTACCCTCGACTCCCTCGAGGCTGACACTTGAGACGGTCAAGCGGCTATTCGCGAAGCGATGCGATGCAAAACGGTGCTCATCGTCCGCGTACTACTACCACCGATTTCTCCGTCCTCCGTTTCGCGCTTTCGGTGTTTCGTGTCGATCGGCCATTTCCCGCACGCACATCCTTCTAATGTCCGAGGATACCCGCCGGATATCCCCGCAATGGGCTCCGCTTCCTCGATATCGATATCAAGCTCGGCGATTGCGTACTAACGAATCGTCAACACAAATCAGAATGAATAGGCCCGTTCCGTAATTCACGCGCGGAGACGAAGAATTGCTCGAATGAACGCGACTGTGAGCGAACCAAGCGCGTTTACGTCGGAAGAAGTGGAATTTCCCAGAGCAGAATCCGCGCTCACCAGAAGCGGAAGAAGTTCCCTCTTCTTCGAGCAAAACGCATTCACTTTGTTCATCGAGTCACGTTGATTCGATTGATCCTTCGTCTCCGTGCGACTGAGTTCATTCAAAACGATAACAGTATCTGCAGATATAACTCGTAGATGGACAATGTGTATTCATGCGTGAATCGCGTCGTGAATGCCTACGGAGCTCTGCGAACGCACTAGGAATGGGCGGTTTTCATCGATTGAAAGAACCGACAGTTTGTTTTCAATTAATCGATGTTTCCAGATGATTTTATTTTTACTCAGTTAATCGATGTTCGATGATCTTTTCTCAATATCGGCAACAGATTTTTATTTTTTTTTTTTTTAGTAGAGAATTTTTGTAATATCGTCTTTCAGATACGGTAAACGAAATTCATGAACGTCAAACCCGGATCTACAATAGGTACGGTAAGCTTTAAGTCTTAAGAAATTGGCCAACCACAGTCAATTATTGTAAAAGTAGGCTGGGGTTGGTTAATTTCTTAAGATTTAAAGTTTACTATATCTATTGTACAGTCATGGACAATAGGATTGTCCGGTTGTTATTGATAAATTCCGGAATGTTGCTGAATGGCCCAATGAGCATACTTATATTCCCAAAATTAGTTCTCTCATCACTCATGGAAAATACATCAAATGAGATGTCGAGTTAAAGGCCTCGCATGCTGATACGATTAGCGACGAACAGTAAGCGATATCCAATGAGAGTTTTTCCGTTTTAAAGAAGAAATGAAAATTCTTTCTTCTTAAAACAGAACTCTCATTTCAGATGTCGCTGATAACACGACGTCGCTAGTCGCGTCCAGTGTGCAAGATCCTTTAGGAGGATTTCTAGTAATATTGAGAATACTGCGGGCGTGTTCCTTATTCCATCCTTGTTTACCATTCAGTGAAAAATAAAAATTGAATAACACCGGATATATCTGTTGCGAATTTAAAAACGCATCCAACATATAAGCAAGGAGAGCATCCGAGTGATGTTTCCGAATGCACCCCTGCAAGCAGTGTTTAATCTGGTGCTAACCAATTTAAATATTTATTTCGCAAATTTAATCGGTTAATCGGTAAATCGATTTCTTTTTTTAAGATTAGATTTTTAGGAAAGCATTCGAGTGATGTTAACAGTGCTTAATCTGGTGTTAGCCAATTTAAGTGTTTACTTTGCAAATTTAATCGATTGATCGGTAAATCGATTCTTTTTTAGAAAATCTTTAGAAAATAATTGACGTCGTTTCAATACTTTTTGTATTAATCGATATTTTAAACATCGTCCTTCTTAGTAGTATCTTCGAACATCGCCCATCCCTAGAACGCACACGCATCCTCCGTGCGCCGCGCGCGTACGCGGCGGACGGGCCGGGACGGCGGAGTAGAAAAAGTCAGCACCGTGCGGCCGCGCGGCGTCGCGCGCGACGTACGGATTACTTCTTCGTCGGGAATCGGACCGCGCGCGGTCAGCCGCAAGCACGGCTCACCGATCGAAGCGCGCGTCGCGCGTTTGTCTACGCGTGAAGAAGTATACCGAGGCAAGATCCAGTGGAACGTTGCAGTCGACGGATGTTCACGAGAGAAGCGAGGACTTTTCCACAAGACGAGCCCGAGCCTGCGTGCAGCCTTAGCCTCGACGACTCTTCGCGTCCGCGACGAAACGTGATGCTTGAAAAATCAACGGATGACGACGACGAGAAAGATATTACACGCGCTTCGATATGCTTCATATCTGATTAAATAACTCTGCGCATTCTAAGTAACGCTGCTCCCGTGGCTCAAAATTGCTCAACATCTACTTCAGATATCGCACCGGCACGTTAAAAGCACGTGACGTGCGTTAAAAGCACTTCCACCGTGTTCTACTTTCCGCAGGAACTTGCGAAAAAATATTTTCGCGGGCAAACGCGAATCTCCAAGAGGCGCGTATCTGGTGCATGCCACTCGACTCGGGTCGAGTGATAGAAATCAGCTCGCGTGGTCACGTTTGACACGTCGTGCAACGTTTCACTGGAACGTAGCGCGATTTCCCATTACAGCCATGGCGCGCGTAGTCTAAGCGAGCTTAACTATATTGTACACGGAGGATAGCGCGGAGTTCAAGCGTCGCCCCTTTGCGCGAAAATACAGGCGCATGATCGATACGGAAACGTCCACGTCCCTGAGCGGCGCTTGTGCACGTCCGGAGCCACGCTTTGACCTTTCGAGTGCAATGAGAGGGTTCAGTGCACGAGGCGATCTCGATTCTTCGAGGTAACTTAAAGCGAAGCGATGGGTGAGAATGCGCGCGATGTATAGACGATGACCAGCACCGGTGTTGACTGAAGGGCCTGGTGACGGAGGACAGAAAGGGAGAAGAAACACCGCGAGTGACAGCAATGCGGGCTGGAAGTGCGCAACAGGCAGCTTGAGTCGTGCGCTCGAAATTAGCTTTTATCGAGGGGACAGTCGTGCGAACTCCTGTCCTACCGGAGAAACGACGGATGATTCGACGAATGATCCGAGTTTCCGCACGCGGCACCTCGCAGCCCGCTCATTGATCAGCGTTGAACAGCGCTTTCATACCGAAGCTCCTCGATTCGCAAATCGCCTTCTGGAATCTATCCGTCGCGAGAGTTCGACGGCACACATTGTCAATCTCTGTCATTCAAGGCGCGCACAAACACAGCTGCTGACGCGCGCTATCGCTGTCACACGCGGCGTTTCCTCCCTTTTCCCGCTGAAATTATGCCGCTACTTTTCTTTTTTTCTTTTTCTCTTTCCTCAAGCGACGCGGCCGAAATTGTTACGCGGGATGTTCCCTGATAAAGTGTCGTCTGTTCACTTTTAGAATATCTTTGACTTCGGGCAAGCTTGATCGGGGAACATCTCGCCTAAAACGATGCACTTAGAAAATTTGTCATTTAGTCTGCGCTAACACTACATGTCAAACTAAGATGGAAGCGTATCTGCGATTTTAATACGATGTAGATATTTTTCTCTCGGATATTTCTCGGATGTGGATATTTTTCCTTCGCAAAATTCCAACGTTCTCGTCTGCTCGATATCTTGACAGAGACACGTTGCTTGAAATCATTATCAACATGTTACATCTACAGAGAGAAGTATATTAGATATATGTATGTATATACAAGACACTACACTCCACATGAGAACATATTATTTTAATGTTAAATCCTTCATGGTTGGTATTTATCGTTTAGTTTAATCATATATTATTAATATCTATGAATTATATATTTGTTTCTCTCTTTATCTCTCTCTCTCCCTCTCTCTCTCTCTCTCTCTCTCTCTCTCTCTCTCGCTTTTTCGTTCGTTCTCTCTCGCCCTTCCCCCCCTTTTTCTATATCCCTCTCTCTCTCTCTCTCTCTCTCTCTCTCTCTCTCTCTCTCTCTCTCTCTCTCTCTCTCTATCTTCTCCATCCCCTTTTCTTCCGATTACCCTGAAAAGAGAGAACCGCTTTCAGGATAACTCTCATCATCGCAAACTTTTCCGTAACTTTTCCGTCGACTAAACGAGCGAGCCAAAACGAGAACTGCCTAACGCCGGTTGTGCAGAATGTCCCAGAATTGCAGATCTTAGATTTAACGATCTCCCAAGCCTCGTCTCAATTTTGCGACCTATCGGCGCTTCGACAGTTCAATTGAGCAAATGTCCGACTTCCGATTGGTCCAGGAATTTATCATTAAGAGTAAGATCGGATGTTCCGAGACACCCTACATTCTTGGTTGCACACGCGAATCCCTTCGATACTAAACGTACCTTAACTGGAACGTCAACGTTCTTAATCTTTCTTATCTCCGTCTTCGGGGTCCTTCAGCGTGTGCCACTGGGCGATCGGGCGCCTAGGAGACGCCAGCATGTCGCTCCAATGTCTCAATTCCGTTCCACTTGCGTTCTGTCCCAACACGACCTTCCCGATGGGTTCCGATGTGCCGATACGATCGTAATCCACTACGGTGACGACGAGTTGCACTTTCTGAAAATAGAAGTCACGCGGGATCACGAATGCTTAAAATATCGCTCTACGCTTTTATTACTGATCACACATGTACCATATGTAAAATATTCGAATTTATGCATCGCTTGCATGGAGTCGGAGTTGAAGCGCCGAACTCATGATCGTAATGAGCAAACTCGATCGTAATTTGGATTCTTCCTACCAGCTTTTTCAGCTTGTCCGAAAGTTTACTTTGGCATTTTTACTAGTTTAAATATAGAACTTTTTAATTTTGTCCAGTTAATCCCAAGATTTTGCAGCGTACGTTTTTCCGACAACTTATCCCTTCGCGATATTTTATCGCGATCGTCAAATCCGCAGATCAATCTTCAGGATCAAACGTCCTTTACGCACCTGTATCTGCTCGAAGGGTACCTCGAAGGTGAATGATTCGTTGTAATACGGATTGAGGGTGCACTTCTTGATCGACGTCTTCTTCTTTTTCAGCCTCTTGCCGTTCTGCATCAAGGCGATCTTTACGTAAGGATCGGAAAGACCACCGACGTCCATTTTCTTCAAGTTCTTAGCTTCGAGAATGACCACCGTAAGCTTGCCAGCCGTCGGCACGTATCTCAACGAGAAGCATATGTCTCCTAGCTTGTTGTCCTGAAATCGACAAGGATATTTCGTTCACGACAATTCTTAAATAATACACGATCAACGTTAATTAACGCTCTAATCAGGCAACTTTAGTTTCGACAGAATGAAGATTAAAGATTCATACGATCCGGCATATTATCTTACTATTATTACTCCAATTGTATCATGTGTATATCAAATAAACTTGTTTATTCATCAAATCGACTCACCTGTCCACCTTCACCTTCGACGCTCTGCAGTTCCCGCCACTCCTCGATCGTCTGCGCCAAATCGACCTGGCAGAGCGGCACTTTGACCTCACCGATTTGATCGTGTTTCGAGAATCTATCAAAGTCGAAGATGGCGAAGACGAGGGTCTTGTTCATGGCATCGGCATAAGGAACGCCCTGTGTTCATTACGTTTGACAGTCAGATTTGTCAGTTAGACGTTGTGATACAGAAGAAGCAAGCAATTATGATTACTACCAGACGCTACGAGGATGCTCGCGACTGACCTTAAACGTGAACGTTTCGTTGAAGATCGGACTCAGTGTCTTCCTGTGAACCTTCGTCTCGAACTTTTTCTTCTTATCCGGTAGCAGATACACTTTTACGTATGGATCTGACGTGCCGCCCATATCTAGCGCCGGCAATTCCTCCGCCTGTATCACCGTTACGGCGAGACTGTTCGAGTTGAAGTCGTATTCGAGCTACAATCAAACGTGTTCTTGTCACAATATATAATATATATATATATATATATTCTCACGTGCCTAACATGTTATAATTTCTCCGACGTGCTTTTTTCCAACGTAATCCACACTTGATCTCATCGTCTATCGTTGAGCGAATAACGAGGACTAAAAAGCACGTACGTAGCGTGTACAAAGTATGTACCTTGTACTGCAGCTTGCCGAGCTTAACTTCGCTCTGCTTGCTCTCGGCCTCGTCCGGTTCCTCGGCGTTGTCCGTCAGCTCCTCCATATCCGGCTGGACCTTCGCATATCGAAGTGGATTCCACGAGTGTAGAATGTGTCTCTAGCGTCTACATGAAGTCACGGCACACCGAATACATACCTTGTCCTTGTACGTGCTGCCGAGAAGCTGCACGGACTTGAGATCCACCGCGCCCTTCAGGCCCTTCTTGCCGTCTTTGGTGCGTCTTTTGCGGCAACATCTTCGTATACAGCAGAAGCAGATGCCGAGGACAATGATACCAACCCCTGTGGCGGCAGAGAAAAACGCGAATGCGCGTTACAGTGATGGGTCCCAGCGATGGGTCCTCTTCGTGTCTGTGTCGACGGTCGACTCGCGCATCGCCAAGTGGCGGAAATATATATTCAACAATAATAAATGTAACAAGTACGGCTTATAGGTAAGTGTTTAATATCAGCAAACGCGACGGAACGCGTCTTACTCTCGCTGTACGTTAAAGTCGTATCAGCTAGAATAGTCATCCAGCTGCTAGATAATAAGGACCGATTATTCTCGATGGATTGGGATCAGACCGATGTGGCGAAGGCCGCTTCGTTACCTATTAAAATAGCAACAAGGCCCCAGGGCGGTATTCCTACTTCATCCGCGATCTCCTTGCCGATCTTCTCGATTTTATCCAAGGACCCAGCCGCGGCCTCGGTGACGGCTTCATCCGTTGCTGAAATCAACGGGAGGCTCGGATCAACGCTTTCCGCTGGCGAAGAGGACGATCGCGCTCACAGTTACTCCCGAAAGTCATGCTTAGCCGGGCTGTTTCGCGGCTAATTAGCGAACAAGTCATCGATCGTCACTCTTGATAAGGATTCGGCGAGCCGACATCACGACGGTACTCACTGATTCTCTCCTCCTCCGTGCTCAACAGCGTGTTCGGCGAGGTAGCACCACCGCTGCCAGCTTCATCGGGCGCTGCGGGCGCCTCTCTCTTGACGATCGGTGCCATTTTCTATGTCAGAAGAGCATCGTCGTGAGCGCACACTTCGCACGCAGGTTGCGATTATTACTACACACAGCGAGGAGCTTCCACGAGCTCGATTCTACTCGAGCCGACTAGTAGTGATTCTTCGAGCGCGCCTCGACAGACCTCGAATTTTCATTTCCACATAATCGCGTGCCCCGGCTCGAATTAATCAGCAACGCCCGGGAATTGGACACGCCACGGGCGTGCGATAATGGAGACGGTGGCGCGTGTGCGTAGCCGCCGCTCGAGATTTCGTAATCTACGCGAGCGTTTCCGCGCCGCGCACGACGCTCTCGAAGCCGCATGCGTATCGCAAAAAGGTCAGCTTCGAGTAGCAGCGAGTGATTATTAACGGGCACGCGGCACGACATGCTTCTATGCAGCCGTCGCGCGTGTCACGCGTGGACATGTAAACGCGAGACTCGATTATCCGGCTCTCGATCGCGAATGGAAAACTCAAAGCAGCATGATGATATGAGCGCGAAAAGCGGAAGCACTCATGAGTGGCGCGCTAGCGCGCCTTGGCGCTCTCGAAGAGGAAAGAAACACCAAGGGAGAAAAACGAGAGAGAGAGAGAGAGAGAGAGAGAGAGAGAGAGAAAGAGAGAGAGAGAGAGAAGAACGTCCCCCTGGAGGAATGCGAGGATGAGTCGCGACCTTTTCTCCACGTGTCGGATTACCTATCAACCCGGCGGCCTGGCGGCAACTTCCTAGGAAAATGTGCAAACAGTCGCGTGATATTAAATAATGTAGTTTTGAAAGCGAGTAATTCATTGCAAGGGTATTTGGTTTATATGAATTTTTAGACATTGAGGAACATATTTATGACAAAAAACTTAAAATTTTTATATCTTATATTTTTCTAACGTGTGGTAATGTGTGAAACGGTCACCGATATGCATTGCAGCTTCATTTTGCCATTGTTCTCCAAACTGAATAAATGGGTCAGAAATTTTTAACTGTAAATTACGAAATCATATAAAATAAAATTTATTAAAAGAATATTACTTTTTCGATTCTATTTGTCTAACTTCTACAAAGAACAACTGTGAAGAACCTCTGTGTGTCTCCGATTTCGACGAAACTTGGCATATTTGTAGAGTAGCCAAAAATAAGAGGCTCATATTTTTTTTATCGACAACGGCTCAGGTTTAAGAGGTGAAACTGTCTCCCGAAGTTTCATCTGCTTTATGCTATCTCGATAATTATTGCAGATAAGAAAAAACTTTTTAAACAAAAATTGTACGGTTTTTTATGCTGTATAATTTTTGTTCAGAAAGTTTTTTCCTATCTGCAATAATTATCGAGATAGCATAAAGGGGATGAAATTTTGAGGGGCAGTTTCTCTCCCTTAAACCTGAGCCATTGCTGATAAAAAAAATATGGGTTTCTTATTTTTGGCTACAATATGTCTACAAATATGTCAAGTTTCGTCGAAGTCGGAGACACACACTTCGCGGATGTTCTTTGTTAGTGCAGATAACGATCTGTGCTTCTCGACACTTCAATACGATCTGCTTTCAGCTATGAAAGTCTCTTTCTCTTAGGCTACAATCTAAGGCTTGCTTGTTTATCTTCTCAAATGGTACCATATCATCTGGTGTATCACCAAGAAAACATGTATTTTTGAAAAATTTGCGCTCGCACTAGTTTATCCTGGATAATCACTAATAAACTACTCTCCGAATAGTTTGCTGGACTTACGATGTCCCCTCAGAGGAGACATCCGAGTGAGAAGGATTTATTTGTATTGTGTGACGCCTGCCTGCCTATATACGAGCCCGAAATACTGCGCGTAATTTTGTCACTGCGAAGACGTCGGCCGTCTGTTGTTTCGAGCGTCGCCATAGCTTGATCCTCGAAGGAGAGGATACCTACGTACGCGGCGGCAGAGAAAACAATGTCCGTAGACAAGTTACGGAGACAGGGCTGAAAAGGTATAACATACATAAAGATACGTTGTGTGCCGCGCGGCGGCGGCGGCGGTAGTGATGGCGGTGGCGGCGGTGGCGTCGGCGATGTATTATCGAGCCGCGCGTGGGAGCTCGTGCGCGGCAATCCATAACTGAACGAGAAGCGAAAGAAATAAACGGAGGAAGGATGAGATGAGAGCAGAGCCAACTTTCCATATGAGGAACCATGAGGAGAAGAGCGGCTAACCAAGAGACAAATTGCCGCGGCAGTGGAAACATAACGAGTGCGGTACGGCGGCGGCGGCGGCGAGTCGCGAGCGATCGCGAGTTAAAGGGAACGGTAAGTTCTTTTAAATGCATCTCAAGGCTCCTCTCGATTATATAAAACCAAGCGATATCGAATAATGAATAATGAGAGCCAATTTGTTGGGCACTCGTAACACTTATTTACAAGAGTTTACGCGCAAATTGCCCCTCGCTCATTATTACTCGGTGTTATTTGTTTGTTAAATTATTTTCTTATCATTGTCAACTATAAGTAGCTATTAACGACGAACGGTATATTAAGATTTAACTCTTTCTTCATAAAAAATGCCTGGCATTTCTCTCTCCCTCTCTCTCTCTCTCTCTCGAACCGTGAATCGAAAATAATTCAAGTCTCAGTGGACAAATGAATGCAAATTTTCTCCAACGCGAGCTTTAATTAGCAAATACAGCGCGATACAACGATAACGTGAGTGAAACAATTAACCGATCGATCGCGCTCTGAGATGATTAAATTGCCTTCTTAATAGTCATCTTGCGACGAATCAAGCGTTATACAAGCGTCGTCGTCCAAAAAGCAATATCGGCGATCAACGGAGCGAAGCCGAAGAATCGTCAGACTGAAAGGTCGGATTATTTGAGAAAATGACGTTCGCGCCCTTATGTAATTTCCCATCCCACCGTAATCCTGCCCACAGGGACATTGCGATAACTCCGTTCTTCCGTTGCCCACTTCTCCATTCTGTCGATAGCTCTATCGTGTCTTTCTCCCTGATCGAGCATTTCTTGTTCTCGCAACCTTGCAGCCGGAGCCCGTCGTCATAGTGTTACGTCGCAGTATCGGATTTATTTTCATACTTTCCCTCGACTGTGTGTATGCGCCAAGTATCGCGCAGGGGACGTCACTGTGCGCCGACCGTAGCGTGTTATCCTGCTTATCAGGATTGAGAATGTCGGGGGATGACGTATCCGTCGACGGTCTCTGTCGTCAGCGGCTGGTTCAACGGCTTTTTACCGATCGTCTTCGTGATCTTCGGGGTTATACGCGGGAAGATACGACGAGATTTTGCGAGACTTTACGCACGGGGATTTTCGTAGATTAACGTTCGTGTCTTTTATACGCGCGCGCGCGATTGAGTACGTGTGTATAAACGCGCACCGCAAATATGTGTGTGCGTCTGTGCGTATGCGAGGGATCGATACGGATAACTTCCAATAGTATTACTTATCTTAAATACAGCGTACGAGGCTTTCTCGCAAGATGTTGCCAGCGACGTCTTTATCGCGATAAAATTGAAATTGTAGCTTCCGAAACTCTGAGAGAGAACCTTCGTGTAATTATCTGAATGTTAGCCAAGAGAGATATCGTTAAAAATTCAGAGGAAAAAGGGAGATGTAAAGAATAATATTAAAATACGTTTAGGTATGTTAAACATGCCTTAACATTAGATAACAGTGTGATGAAACATTTAAATATCTTATCACGCGAATTTTTTACGCACAACTATGGATGGATTGATTAATTCGCAAACTGACGTCGCAGCTTTGTTCACTGTCAGAGGCTAGAATTTTCGCGAAGAATTTCAATTATCGCATAAAGAGACTCACACTCTCTCTCTCTCTCTCTCTCTCTCTCTCTCTCTCTCCCTCCTTTTATTTTAGCCGCATTCGCGGATATGAGAGAGTGGCCGGTAATCGTATTAAAAATTACCTCGAGTTCAAAGGATTAATTTGCCGCGTATCGCGAATGCTCATCGTTTGAAGCTGGCACTTTGCAAAGAGGTAAAAATATATCTCCATTCCTTGTTCCACAGTTGAGGTCCTCTCGAACCTTAATATTTTATTTATCTTTCTCGAATGCATCAACGTTGCGAAAGTTTATCGTTATCAACAACGCGTCCTTCACTTTGTATACTCACAGAAAAAAAAATATATATAGATAGATATATATTTATTTTTAATACACAAAGAGTCTCTGTTTGCGAAAGTGCGCTTGAACAGCGTTTCCTCCGATGAAATTCGCCCTTTGATCAAAATAATCGAAGATCTTCTCGCTCCTCCCATTTACAAACTAGTGGGCCTCTCTCGTTGGACGCGGTTAAAGCGCCCCTTCAATTCCTATGATCGGGCTAGCGAGCCTCGCTACTCGCGTTAATTGGGATATCTAGATGCGTCTGAGCGCCTAATCATAGAGGCGCGTACGCGTGTAAATGAGAGCACATTTAAAACGCAAATCAATATATGGCCGATATGTTGACAAGTAAATTGTTCGGACAACACTGTCTAACGTTTCCAATCAAATTAATTGGGCTGTGCCGGTGAAGTGGAGTACCTCCCACTGCCACCATCCCAGCCGATGTTAATGTTGTGTAGAGTCCTACCATCTGTTGTAAATATTGCGTTAGATATTTTAGTGATACATGCGCGTATGTAACATTGTGTAACATATACAACGTAGAAAGCCAACAAAAATATATATAAATAATAAATTTAAAAAATAATAAATTTCTATTAAGTAATAAATTTTTAAAGTAATAAATTTCTATTAAATAATAAGTTTAAAAAGTAATAAATTTCTATTAAATAATAAATTTAAAAAGTAATAAATTTCTATTAAATAATAAATTTAAAAAGTAATAAATTTCTATTAAATAATAAATTTAAAAAGTAATACATTTCTATTGAATAATAAATTAAAAAAATAATACATTTCTATGCAAAAGAGAAGAATATGTAGGTTTTTGGTCGTCTCCCCTGGCGATAGATATCACCGACACATACGGTGTGACAGAAAGTTCACATTATTTTATTCAACGTCGTGCGACATCAGCTCTCGGAAATAACCGATTCAATTGATACGAAACTTTCCGCACACGGCGGACGCGGAAGTTGTTCTTTCTCTCTCTCTCTCTCTCTCTCTCTTCCCCATCTTATATCAACGTCAATGAGCGATTTATCAACAACACAGCAGTTGTGTAGTTCTGACACCTGTCACACGCGTCCCGCTCGGAGCACTCGGAGCGTTTGAAAAAATTTATTGCGCGTGTTTATCGCATTAAGTGGCGTATAAGAGCGCGTACATTCACGAAATTGCCGCGAGTATATGTTGCAAGTGCATTTTCTCCACTTCCTCCCCTCGCTCCCTCCTCGGTCCTGTGGCGAGTGTCGATGAGTTGACGCGAGTGGGCTTTAAGTGTACACACGATACGCGTTTCTTTTTTCTCTTTTTATTTATTCAAGCAAGCCGGTTCGCGTTCCGTACCGATTCGAACGCCTCTTTTTAGAGAGAAACACAAACGTGACAAAGTGGTGCTTACTGAAGCACGTTTCTAATGGAGAAGGACCGCACAAAGAAGCCCGAAAGGATTCGCGCGGCCGTCCTCGCGAACAACTGAGTAGCGAGTACTATGCGGTAAATCAATCGGCCGAGTGCAACAAGAGCGGGTTGCGACTTCCCTTCTCGAAATAACGGTCATTCGACTATCGACTGGCCTACATCCTTCTCAAGGACGACGACTTCGTCGGGGTCGTTCTTAAAGCATCCAACATGCCTCTTTCATGAATGAACATCCCCGTGACACCGCTGCGTGGCGTGAGCAAAAATGGTGCTTGCTTGGGGGGGAAGGGGGGGGGAGGAACGTCCTTTCATGACGTCTTGACTACTGTAACGCGGCTTCCATTCGTCCTCGTCCGTAAGGACTCTCAGTCAGGACCGTATCGAAATAGGGCCTCGAGCCGTTTATCGATCATGAGACTTAACGTGGGTTCCGTCGAAACGTATCTCTCGTTGGATTATGACCGTGTCTTGAAAGAAAGGCGAGACACCCGGTATATGCGAGAAACAAAAACGGCACTCGAGCACATTCCGACGATGCTCGGCATCTCGCGACGAACATTGAAAAGGAAATTATTACGGATCAAGAGGAGAGAGAGAGAGAGAGAGAGAGAGAGAGAGAGAGAGAGAGAGAGAGAGAGAGAGAGAGAGAGAGAGAGAGAGAGAGCAAAGGTAATTTCGTAGAAATAATCGTTACGAGATGAGATAATCGTCTCATTTCACGTCTTCGAGGGTCGTATCTTGTAAGAATGCGTCTGTAAAAATATTGCTTAGTCGGCGACATCTCGAAGAGGATTAACAAGCGTCACCTCGCGATTTTCGCCCACCACCATCGCTCGCTCGTTCTTATTTTTATCGGCGCCGATCGATCGACCGTTAAGAATCTCTGCTACATCCGAGATCCGAGATAAAGTCTTCCACAACTCTACTCGTCGCCGTGCACTATGGCACTCTTTCCGCCCCATACGCCAAAAGATCGCACGTTTGCAGCTAATAATAATCACCCTTCCCTAATCCACACCCCTTGTTCCTCCCGCTGCTCCTTTCGACAATGGCGATTCGACCACATGAGAGAGAGAGAGAGAGAGAGAGAGAGAGAGAGAAAGAGAGAAAGAAAGCTCGCGCATGAAACCGCTCGCGTGCGAAATCGCGTCTCACAGAGAGGAGTGCGACGGGAAAGAGGATCTTGGTCATTTACGGGCAAGGAAGCGACCGCTGCTTAGGCGAAAATGTTTACAGGCCACCCCTCGAAATCTGTGCCACCGTCGGCATACTCGCTCCGGAGAGAATAAAACGCGCGCGCGTGCACACACACACACACACATCCGCACACACGTATACACAAGACCGATAATCCTCGAAGATGACGGTCACATACACCGTCGTTCCCCGAGGCTAGTCGACCTGGCCTGCGTTTCCGAACCGTGTGTCCTCGCTCGGAGCGGTGATTGATTTTTTCCTACATCGGTCGCGACGGTTGCGATCTCTGCTCGCACGAGCGGAGATCGTTTCATCAAGACACGAACGGACCGTCCTCGGTCATTCGGCCGCGCAGTGCTACTCACGACGTGCTGTCGACGGTCCCGCAGCCGCTCTCTTCGAGCTGTTTGCACTTCCTCCCCTGGGCGTTACTCGACGGCGGTGGCGGCGGCGACGACCGTAGCGGCGGATCACGACTTGGCTGTAACTACTTGCGGATCTGCGACACGGCGGCGGCGGCGGCAGCGGCGGCGGCGGCGGCGGCGGCAGCGACGGTGGCGGTAGCGGCGATGGCGATACGGTCGATCCTGCGTATCGTGCGAATAATAACCGCAAGAACGACGGACGATTGCGGCGATTTGCGCGATTTCTCACAGCTGCATCGCACCCCGACGCCCTGTGGCGTTCGACGAGCGTGCGGACGGCGAACGGAAAGTCTCGATCCCGGCCTCTCCGTACGCGGCGGCGGCAGCGACGACGACGACGGCGGAGGCGGCGGAGGCGGCGGTGGCGGCGGCGGCGGCAGCGGCGGCGGCGGCGGCGACGGCGGCGGCGGCGGCGGCGGCGGCGGCGGCGGCGGTGGTGGCGATGATAGAACGAGCAGCCGAGTGCGCCTGACCGATGCTGGCGGACGCGAACATGGCCGCCGTAACGAAATCGATAAAACACGTTTTACGTTTTCCAGCGTTTCGACGCGCGAAGCCGACGTTTCGTGTCGCTCTCGCGCCGCCGCCCCCGCGAGCCTTGCCGCCCCCGGACCCCCGGCTACGTATTACGACGACGAAACGAAGCGCCGTACGACGTCATCGGTGCGCGCGGACCTTCGATATGAAACGATATTTTTCCGGAGTGTCATCGTTGTCACGATGACGATGATGACGCCTGGTCGCGGTGACGTCGCAGGGCAGGGAATTGTAATGAGCGATCGTTTATTGACGGTTAATGCAGCAGGAAAGAGCGGAAGCGCAAGGGAGACGTTGTTAAGGGAAAAGACGTTGTTAAGACCGCCACCGATCGGAGATGGCTTCTTCGCGACGGTCCTTCGCGGCATTGTGTGCGCGTGCACACGCAGTATGTATGCGGATACACACACACACACACACACACACACACATACGCACGCATACATACATACATTGCTCCTTTGCATGGGTATTCTTACGTAACAAGTCTTAATAAGACGATACCGCCCGCGAGATAGCTGCGATCTTTAATGAGACCTACATTTTCGCAGCTGAGTCTTACAGAGATGAGGGATATTAAGAGCGTGACTTCGAGATTGATTGAAAATTCGAAGATGCGCGACAATGTCCTGTGCGATTCGTCATGAATAAACAAGAAATCGAGCTGCAAGTGCGACGCGCGTCGGAGACGCAGCGTCTTATCTCGCCGGCGGAATCGCGATCTACCCTCTACGGGGAAGCCGTCGAGGGCTCATTGCCAAAACAGAAGGAAGTGGTCTCGCGTCTTATAAAGCTCGCGGGACGCGCCCCGACGCGACGCATGCCCGAATCGATCTATCGCGAGAGAAATCTTCCGGCATTTCACCGTGGTGGAGTCGCGCTTCAGGCCAAGTGGATACTTTTATATATTTTAGCCGACGAAATATAATAACAATGAGTCGCGTGGGGTGAGAATTCTGTGAGAGCGCGAGAGAAAAGGAATTACGCAGACGAGGAACAATTATAGAAGCGTAATTCTGATTAAATAAGTAGTCCGAGGGCCGGTATGTGAACTGAAGACCAATGTGTAAACAATGACATGTTTCGGTGTTTGGATCATTATCCAAGCCCCTCAGTAATGACTGCAAATTGAAACCTTGCAATATTTAAGATAAACGTCCCAATGGCCGAACACGTCCCAGTATTCGACCACTTTGAGAAAAAATATTTACTATTTATTATTTATTACTTTAACAATAATGAACGAAGGTAATAATTATTGTAAAAAGAAACTCCAATATTTGACGATTAGCTGGAAAAAAATATACCCAATTTGATACGTTTGTGTTAAAATAAAAATTAATAAAATAAGTATGCACCTATGGTTTGGCAAAATAATGGTCAATCGTTAATAAATTCATTAAGAGATAGCATCTGTATTTATATTATTTCCCGTTAGCACATACTAATTTTCTAATTGCGGACACTGGGACAAGTATATCCGAACATTGTAAATATTTCATTAATAATAGATACATTGATTTAAATAATTTTTCTCTACTTAAGGGAATCTCAAGTTTTCGAATAATTAAATAAAAAAAAAATTAATTAATTAATTAATTAATTATTTAATTAAATGATTCAACAGTCAAACTTGTGAACCTGCTCGCCTACGCAAAATAATTACTAAAATATACTTCATTTTATCTCGGCGTCGAATATTATTAATACTATTACAAATAATACAAATTTTTACAAATTTTATTTATTATAAAAATTTGTACTATTTGTAATATTATTGTACAATTGTAAATAAAATTAAAAGTAATAATATTATAAATATTACAAATAATAATATTATTAATAATAAAATGTTATTCATAATAATTTCGGCGCGCCGAATAGGAAAAACTTTTCAGTATCGTCATAGTCGCAAATTCTCGTGCAAGTCCGTCACCAAATTCGCATCACTGACTTGCACCCAAAACTGCTCGGAGTATTTTTGTTACACAAAAGGAGGGGGGGGGGGAGGGGTGTGCACGAACACAGGTGTAACTAGCCGCTAGCTAAATATACACTGTGCACCGACGACGGTCTGACCAAAGCCGGCAGTTTCCACTGGCTCGTGCGACGAGCACGGCGAATTGTGTGTCCGAAAAAGAGAGAGAACACCGCGCGTGTATTTTAGCTTCGTTGTTAAAAGTACGCCCTAATTGACCGGGGACCATCTCGGAATAACGATTTCAACGACGAAATGTTGCAGAGGGATATCGACCGGGAGCGGTCGCTGTTAATATAATCCAGAGCTCGCACGCGAACAGGCGACGATTCTCTCCGAGATGGAACATTGTGATTGGAGGGGAATCGATTTGTAATTTTATTCCATTCATAGCCTGCGTAGAAGATCGCTATATAAAGCCCTTGTGTAAATCCCTTCTGTCCGAAATAGTAACAAGCCATCGAGTACCGTATATATACCGTATACCTTTCTTGCTTATGTCGGCCTATATCGCTTAAACTGAACTTTCGTAAACACGAGTCGCAAAGATTCTCTCGCGGGACAGGCGTTCGATATGCGCGTCGAGCATTGTTCCATTAATCATATCCCGGATTTAGACTTGACGAATCGCGATTATCCGAAACTGTATTCTACAGTAACAACAATTTCTCGCTCTTTTTCACGAGAAAAGGTAGAAAATGATCTCTAAAAATGAACGTTGGGAAATGGTGTCACGATATGCTTCAACAGATCGTGTAATTCGTATGAAACGAACGTGTCGGCATTGCTGGTGTTTTTAAATATTGCAGGCATTAATTAATTTTAATTACACCATATCTTTCGTGTGTCGAATTACTTAACTGTGTTATGATACAATCGTATATTTATTTCCAGCCGGTAGAAATATCTGTTGATAATCAATAACGTGCCTAAATAAATCTTATTTTCGTACTCTCTTCTTCTACTATTGTTACCATTTCATTGCAATTATTGTTTTCATACTCGTCACATTCGTCATATTCATCGTATTTTTCCGTAAAAGAATAAATCGAAAAATTCGGCGCAAAAATAGAAGTTATAACCACGTGTAGAGGTTGGAACACTTTCGCAGGTATTCGTCTCCGCGTTGAAAGAGCGTCGCCACAAATTGGAAATATTCGCTCCAAATTTGACGATTACCAAGTGGCATACCAAGCAGAATGATAATTTATATTATAACATTACCTTACATAATTACAGCCACGTCACGACGTGCGATATTTTGCCTTCGGTCCCAAACTCCGACGCACGAATGACCGCGAACAATTCCGGCGGTTTCGAACAGTTTTCGATCGATAACGAGGTGGTTGCAACTCTTCCGATCGATAATACAGAGTCGTGCGTAATCGGCAAATTATCATGCGAGTTCGTTGATCGGTTTCCGAAAATTAACGGCTAACGGCGTTTGAATCGCGAGCGAAACTGTCGCGCCCCGAGTTCTCCCTTCCGCGAGGAGTCCACCTCTTCCCTCTCTGTCGCTCTTTTAAAACTTCGTCAAATATTTATAATCGAAACGTGCCTACATACATATGTCGCTTTGATGACGCATCTGGTGCGTTCCTCGTCGGCCCCGTTGCGCGCTTCTCCGCGCAATCACGCTTGAATCGCTCGGGATGCTGTGGTAAAGTGGCGTCAGCCGCGTCGACGTGTGCACGGACGCGTGGAAATATGCGATAGGCGAACAATACGCTCATCGGACGGCTCCTCTCGTCTGTTGGCTATGTCGTACTTGGTGCGTATACTCGATTGTTGTTGTCGCGCCGCTCGTAGAATACGCAGGCACGCGAGACAACATCTCTTATACGTCTCCTTTCGCTGCTGCGCGTCACATTTATTATCGTATTGATACTGCGCGCAATTTTATCTCCCGTTTAGTTTACTTCAATATTATTGAATGCGTAAGCGATAAACGAAGATCGTAGTAGCTCACTTTCCGTGAGCGTCAGCGATTTTGTTTGTTTTGTATAACAAACTTGTCGTAAAACACTGCACGAGTCTCGGTAATGATTTCAATGCGTTTGTAGATAAGCAAAGAATGGGTTGCATCAATAGCAGGGCAGATATTAACGATCTGCATCCAAACGTCTTTCAAGTTATAAATGTAGACGAACTGGGTAACTCGATTACTCCAGGCCGATTGGAAGTCACCGAAGTAGAACTTATACTGTACCAACGAGGTAAACAGCCGATCAAGTGGTCCCTACGTTGCTTACGTCGGTATGGATATGATGCGAGTATCTTCAGTTTTGAATCAGGCAGACGTTGCTTCACTGGCCCTGCCATATATGCCTTCAAGTGTCAGAGAGCCCAGCAGTTGTTTAATCTTGTACAAAGGAATATTCAGGTTTGTATCGGTGTATATGTCTCCTCAAGTTGATCTTATCCCTAATATACAAAATAAATATACAAAATAAAAAAAGAGATACCACTTTCACCAGCAGATGTTCAACAACAGTGGAGATGACTCGTTGTCGGACCTTCCGCTCGGCTATCATCCTGCTGCGCCGTTAACCAATACTAATAGATCATGCAGAGTAACAATACCAGAAGAGCCTAATTACTTGGACCCAACACCAACTAGAAGTAACCGTGTGGGTTCTAGATTTACTCACAGCCCACAGAATGGTGTCGGTAGATTGAACAGCGTTGGTAGCAGCAACAGTCCTATGTCACCTCAAGGAACCATGGGATCACCTTCACCGCCTCCTATATCGATACCCCCATCGATTTCGCAGACCCATCCGTCCTCCCTTTACATCAACGAAGAAGTCTGGTCGTCAATACCCGTGGAAGTAGAGCACAACAATAACAAGAGCCTTGGCAACGCGATGCAAAGGTAGTGTAGTTTAGTGAATATTCGCACGATCGATCGCAGATGAAACGTACCGTTCTAACACCCAACTTTTTGCAATTGTTACAGGTCGCTACAACTCAGCACCACGATCGACAACAGCACGACAGCCGACAGCGGTCTCATGGAAACAGAATTGATATCCATTCAGAATAACGCGGAAGCCAACGGCCAACAGGATGTGGCGTCACAATCGTTACCGGTGGCACCCTACGTGAACATAGACATCTGCGGCGATAAGAATCCGATCACGTCGACGCCAAATATCAGCGAGCCGACTCCAGCCAAAGAGGAAAATAACGACGCGGCTGAATCCGAATCTTCCTCCGAGCACGAGTATATGAACATTGGTCCCGGACGGGAGTGCATCGAGAACGTCGTCGTTAGAGTCCCGCCACCTCCGTTGCCCGTCTTACCTTTCTTGCAGACGGAGGCAGACGTGGAGGATGGCTCCAAGCACTACTATTCCAATCTAGACCCGAGTGAGATCGAAAGTCTGCGGAACAGATACTCCGGCGCCTCAGTGGCTGAGAAGTCACCCTTGCTCCCGTCCACGCCTACCGGATGCCCGATCAGGGAGGTAAATTATGCGGTCTTGGACCTGGACACGAAGGACGTGCCCACGACCACCGACACGTCCGAAAGCACCGTAAATTCCATGCCGCCACCGCCGCAATCTCCGAGCAAGTTGCAGAAAGGCTACGCCACGATAGATTTCAACAAAACGGCCGCCCTTTTGAACTCTACGAATCTCGTGAACGACAACGAGGGCTCCAGGAAGACACGCCACAACTCCACGATAAGCGATCTGACAGTACAGTACAGGCACAATTCGTCAGTGAGTGAGTAACGTATTTTACACTTGCGATTTCACAATTGCGTTCGTAGAACGATCCTTTCTTACATCGTGTTCTACGCAGCACAATTCTTATGAGGAAGATCTATTTCAGTTGCACTGTGTGTGTGTGTGTGTGTGTGTGTGTGTGTGTGTGTGTGTGTGTGTGTGTGTGTGTGTGTGTGTGTGTGTGTGTGTGTGTGTGTGTGTGTGTGTGTGTGTGTGGTGTGTGTGTGGTGTGTGTGTGTGTGTGTGTGTGTATGTGAGCTTCTGGAACTCGTTAAATCTTTCAGTTAGGTCCTGAAACCGGTTTTTAAAGCGCATGCAGGAGACTACGTAGTAGTTGAATACACCACGAGATATTCTAGCGTATTACGGATTTATATACATTCTAGTGCATCTCTCATCACACACGCGCAACACAGTATTCATAAATAGTAAGTCTATTTTCCAAGTTGAAATAAAACAGCATAAAGAATTTTTATACGACAATTGTATAGATAAGTTTGGGTAATTATTTGGTTTAGGGGAGTCCGTTCCGATCACCTCGACCTTGACATATGTTGTTGAGGTCATCTTATTGACCTCAATTTAACCCATTGTAGGTTTTAGCCATCGCTTGCTTATTCAAAAGTTATTAACAAAAGAAGTTTCATAAATAGAGCTTATTTTACCGACACAATGTATATTAAAAAGAATGTTAAACAGTACATATAAGCGGAGAAGGAGCTTAGCTTCTCCCTCTGCATCCTCTCTCCCCCAAAAAAATTAATCTGAGCTAAATAATTACCCAAATTTGTAGTACTTTAGGCAGAGAGCGATTTTTTACATTTAGCACTTTACGACGTGTTACGCGAAAGAATTGGAAGCTAAAGTTCCCCTGATCTTTTTTTGCAATTAGCGTAGAAATTAATACGGCTCAAGTAATTGTGACGATATATATGAGGTATGATGTAAAGAAGAATATGAATAAATTATCAGTCCGATAAAGTTATATACCATAGTGCTTAATTTTAAGTGGTTGACACGCCAATTAGTTGTCACATTGGAAAGATGATTGATGTATCGCAACAAATCATAACTTTAACATGAATACTTGTCTAATTGAATAATCACTTAAAGTGAAATCGTAGATAGCATTCGTTTAAGATTGGTGCGAACAATTCGTAATATTAATGAAGAATGTTAGAGCAGCTCTAATGCAGGAATATAAATTATTGAACTCCAAAGATTATATATGTTCTCGTTTACATCGTGAATATTTATTATCGTTTATCTGACAATTTTTTATTCCTGCATATTTTTACGCAATGTTATTGATGATTCAATCTAAATTAGGCAGCTTCTTCTTCCAATAGCTCTTAATCAACGGATAATGAGATTGCAATATATCCAAGATATAAATAAGTATAAATATTCTTTCTTGTGAATAAGCCTGAAAGTATATTGTTATCTATTAATCTCACACGATCATGATCATGAATCGTTATGAAAAATAGATTTTGATTCTTGCTTTTCACACACGCATTGAGATGCGTGGTAGTGACCGAAGATAAACCAAAAAAATGCAACATATTTATACGCATTTTATGTGATTAATAATGTGTATTTAGAAAACATAGAGACAGATAGCCGAACTGAGTCTATTTACTGAATGACAAGATTTTATGATACACACGCACATATAAGCATGATTATGTCCGTGTGCGTTGGAGGAAATGTAGAAAATGTTATTAACATGTATGCCAGTATCTTATTCTTTTTTATGTAGTTTGCATTTCAGTTTGCATTTCATTAGCGAAAACTCGATCTGAGACCTAATATTAAATTTAACGTGAGCTGTTAAGTTGTAAAGACAGATCAGATCAGTGAGAAAATTCCCATTAGGGAAAGAGACCTGACCTTCTTAAAAAATGGACTTGTACCGTTGGTACATATTTTCATGCGGACGTTATATTAGGTACTGTGTATTGTTTTTGTAAAATCAGAAGTAAGAATGAAGCCTACGTACGCCCTTAAGACTGTAGTTGAATCTGCTGTTTACAAATTTGTTTATACAGAATCTTTATGTATTTCTTGCTTTTTGTCAAAAATTTTTTTAAGTCATAGCGACAATAAGCAATTATTTAATGTAAGAGCGATATATCTATGAGAAGTGACTGAAAATGCCAAATTTTGATATGTTATATATAATTATGTAGACATGTTATATAATTACTTTTATATGGATATACGCCTGTCTTCTTTTTGCATTTCATTGTAACCACATTTTTGACAGTATAATTCTTCTTCTTCCTCTTTTAGTAGGACTTATGTCTTGTTCGTATCTAGTTCTGAGGCCGGTTACTAGAACATATTTACTGTGAACATATTTTAAGTTCCCTAAGTCGGTTGCTAGCCGGGCTTAGACAGTATAATTCTAATTATCAAAATTTTCTCATTATCCGCATATTAATTAAAAGACGCTTTTCTCAAAAAGGGGGCAAAAAATAATCGCGACACCCGAAAAAGCGTGATTTAGTTTTCTTGAAGAGATGGGTAAAATATATTAATGATACACGCATATATACAGGGTGTTCGATTTAATCTGTCCAGGCCGATATTTCGTGAACTAGCAAAGCAAGAAGAAAAATCAAAAAAGGTTCTTCAAAGGCCTTACTTCGAGATGATTTTCCGCGCGGTGGAACCGTACCTTTCCGTACCGGACTTCGAGGGAGGAGGGGCGCTCAAATTTTTTAAGTGGAAACCCTCTACGAAAATAACATTAATCAATAGGATTCGAGACGACAAATCCTAATACCTCTTCGTGACTCTTCCGAGCATCATTACACTTTAAACAATTTTAATAATCTTCTGCCATTACTGCGCTATGTGATCGTTTTATTTTGTGAGCCATGGATATCAACCATTTAAAAAATTTGAGCGTCCCTCCCCCCTTCGAAGTCCGGTATGGAAAGGTACGGTTCCACCGCGTGAAAAATCATCTCGAAGTAAGGCCTGAATAATAAAGGCATTGAATAATCTGTTTTTATTTTTCTAGCTTTGCTAGTTCACGAAATATCGGTCTGGATAGATTGTTCGAACAGCACCCTTCGTAAGTTATTTAAAAAAATCATAACGGCCGTCATTTTCACAATAAGCATATAAAAATATAGGTCGTTGGATTCGTCTTTTCGAGCCCTATCAACTGGTGTTATTTTCGTAGAGGGTTTCTGTTTAAAAAATTTGAGCGTCTCTCCCACCGTCGAAGTCCGGTACGGAAAGGTACAGTTCCACCGCGCGGAAAATCATCTCGAAGTAAGGCCATTGGAGAACCTTTTTTGATTTTTCTTCTAGCTTTGCTAGTTCACGAAATATCGGCCTGGACAGATTAAATCGAACACCCTGTATGTCAGCTAAATTCTAATATTGAATATACGGCACAAGCTCACGTGTATCCGCCTGCCAAATTAATATGTTGTTGTAAGATTGTTTTTTCCATCGTTTTTTTTTTTCTTTTTTTTTTTTAGTAGCCATGTGTGTGAGAAGAACGCAGGCTTGTATATTTCGTAGTAAATATTGCAATACTAAGCGTGCATATATATATGCACACAAAAGATTCTTTGTTATATATCTATGCCTTGAAGCTGAAAAATACTTCAAAAGCACAGCGAATAATAATGTGCAATGTTTGGCATAGATAAGTTTTTGTTCTCTATATATTGTTACAAATATGGAAAAAAGACAAATCTGATACAATCGGCCTGTCGGTAAAGGAAATCTTTTCTAAACTATTAAATATATATTGATCTTATTCGCATATATATTCTTTATATTTCATATATGTATGCCGCGCGATATATATAATTCCTTTGGCCTACTTGACTTTTGAAATAAAACTGTCGTCAGTGCTCAATATGTTAAATATAAATGCATATTGTAAAAACCGTACAATTATATATCCAAAGAATACGTTTGTTTTGTAAGAACATGTATAATTTTTAAGGTATTTTAGTTAAATTAGATAAAATGTAATCGACTTTTCTATGATAATGATATTCTTAGAGTCATTCGTCGAGGTATACATGCGGTTTTGATAATACCAGTCCATATGTTTTTCCTTGTGCCAGGATTATCTTTTGTAATTGACGATTCAGTGACATGTAAAGTTTTATAATTGATGATTCGGTGATGATAAAGTTAAGGATTTTTGAAAATTTAGGACACTAACTAAAGACTGTTGTATCTGAACGAAGTGTGCTCGAAAGGGACGAGCGTGTATGATCGAACATTTGTATGAGACACATTGTAAACAAAATTTGAAAAAGAAAGTGAAAAAAAACGAAAAAAAAAAAAGTGCTAAATTTACAAATATGGAAAAAAGACAAATCTGATACAATCGGCCTGTCGGTAAAGAAATCTTTTCTAAACTATTAAATTATATTGATCTTATTCGCATATATATTCTTATATTTCATATATGTATGCGCGCGATATATATAATTCCTTTGGCCTACTTGACTTTTGAAATAAAACTGTCGTCAGTGCTCAATATGTTAAATATAAATGCATATTGTAAAAACCGTACAATTATATATCCAAAGAATACGTTTGTTTTGTAAGAACATGTATAATTTTTAAGGTATTTTAGTTAAATTAGATAAAATGTAATCGACTTTTCTATGATAATGATATTCTTAGAGTCATTCGTCGAGGTATACATGCGGTTTTGATAATACCAGTCCATATGTTTTTCCTTGTGCCAGGATTATCTTTTGTAATTGACGATTCAGTGACATGTAAAGTTTTATAATTGATGATTCGGTGATGATAAAGTTAAGGATTTTTGAAAATTTAGGGACACTAACTAAAGACTGTTGTAATCTGAAACGAAAGTGTTGCTCGAAAGGGACGAGCGTGTATGATCGAACATTTGTATGAGACACATTGTAAACATATGGAGCATTTTTCGCAAATATGAGTAGAATGTGCCAAAAGAAAACGAAAAACTAGAAAAGGAAAGTAGCGTAAACCTGTTTTATAAATTGTTCACAGTTCAGATTTATAGTTCAGGCCTTTAGACCTTGGTAATTGTGGAACGTGCAAGATGTGAATATGGCCGAATAGACAATGAGATGTCATCTCGCATCAACCGCGAATACGCAATGCAGCAACAGTCTGTACTGTTATATCGTATACATCGAAATGTGTGTATAATGTGTGTATATCGTACACATACGTACATATATATATATATGTACGTATTTATATATATATATATATTATATATATATTATATATATATATATATATAATACCGTATCGTACGCACATACTCTAATTATGTGTAATACCGTAAGAGCTTCTTATTAAGTAGACCACAAGAAGTGGATACGTATCTCAGCGTTCGTTCGTAAACAGTATTACGTATGCGCTCGACATATATGCATATTTCTCGAATCTCCCATTTTTAATTTCATATACCCGTCGATAGGAATTTCCATAATTCGTTAGAAATATTCGTTTGACGTTGAACGTTAACGCTATTAAGTATCACGTGAGTCGGCATTTTTATACGCATTCTCGTTAGCGGAGATTTCTGAGAGTTTTGTACATATGACAGCAATGCAATAAGTTCTAAATCGGCTATGCGGATTGCAGCGTCAACTTGGAAACATTCAATAGCTGTTGCAATAAATGTTGTGTTGCAATTGATGTAACGTTTGTAATAGATAAGCATCGATGTTATCGCAAAAAGCATGCCTAAGATTTTATCTTTTTTTTATGTTAATCTATATTCTCCATCCCACGCATAGTAACGGAAAGAGTAGGAAGCCTGTATGTGAAAGATAGGGAGACGTATTTATTTTTATACGGTGTCTTCTTGATGTTGAAAACAAAAGGAGAGTGTAGTAGATTACATCATGTACATTGTACGGTATCGTTGTATGATATTTATTTCATATCTCTAAAAAGGAAACACAGCCTTCCAGATATCATGTGATAGTTTGAGAGGAATAGTTTAAAATCCGTTTATGGCGTAGTTGTACATATATAGACGCCTCATAAGAGTATGCTCTCCATTTATTCCGTTTTCGCTTCATTTCAAGTCATGGATTTATAAAATATACAATAATATTATGAGAATTCGCACCGTCTCGTTTTATTGCATCCTCGTCCAGATAAGTTGTATCCATAACAAGTAAACGTGTAACCATAAAACGTCAATAGCGATAATAATTACAACGGGATTATAGGTGACAACAATAATGAAAAGGAAACGACGATAGCAATAACGACATTGAAATTTATTCGCAACAATATACTTTCACACACACTCATATATATATATATATATATATACATATATGTATATATATTTTTTATTTTTTAAATCGCGAACGTGCGGACGTCGCCAGTCTTCTACATCAAGTGCACTTAGATCCACAGCCAAAATTCATGGCATCAACGATTTCCATATAATTATTATTTATACGCACGCGATACACAAATTTCGAACAGTCGACCACGCGTATCGCGCGATATTGAGCAACGAATATGACAATTACGTAGTATCGTACGTAGTAAATCCTTAACAATAATATCGGCAATTAATGTCTTCACCGTTTAGAATCTTCATCAACGTCGATGAAACCAACCTCAACTTGAGTTTAAACCCGAACAAGGACTCGAGTTCAGATTAAAGCTTAATTGACATTGGTGAAAAGGGAGCAGATTGATTCGTAGCCCACGGCGAATCAAGCGGCGAGCTGTCGACGTCTGGTCAATTCGTGGTTCACGAGGAGCGAAATGTCAGGATGTTGGCGCAGGACGGTCGCGCAATAGTGCATGATCTGGCTGGGATCGGCGCCGGCCTTTAACAGTATCCTCACGGCGTTGATGAATCTGCTCTCAGTGGCGACCTGCAGCGCGGTCAGCCCGTCGATATTGACATTCTCCAGTTGCGCTAACGGCGAGGTGACCAACAGCGACACAGTCTGATGGAATCCGCGAGCGGCTGCCAAGTGCAACGGGGTATTGCCGCCGGCGTCCTGCGCGCCCGGGTCTTCCCCGTGGGCCAGCAGCTGCGTCACCATGTTGACGTAGTTCTTGCGCGACGCGATGTGTAGCGGCGTTTCGCCGTATCGCGACGTGATGCCGGTCGGAGTGTGCGGTATCAGTAGCTCCGCTGTGTTCAACGCGCCGCACTCAAGGCTCTCGTGCAGCGGCGTCTCTCCGCGGTCATTCTTCAAGGCGGTGTCTGCGCCGGCGTCCAACAGCGTCACGATTAACGACTCGATGTGGCTCTTGTTGTTGTTATCTGCGAGATTGCGTAAAATCAGAATCGCATCGCGATTAGGCCGAATGCCGCCGACATTTGCGACACGAGCGGCAAGTGCCCTCCTGTTGTTCGAAGAAGTCACGCGTGCGCGCGGTGCTTCAACAGGGAAATATCACACGACTGTCCGAAAAACTGTTCAGTCGAAAGACACGCAACGCACTTGCGACTCGCACGCGGTCAACAAATTGCGATTGCATGATATTAATAATTCACGAAAAAAAATTGGAAATATAAAACAATTGCGAGACGTTCTTCTAATTACGCGACATAGCGTAATCGAACTACAAATTAAAACTACAAATTAATTATCTTGTAGCATTATCTTAAATTAAGATGTTAAATAAGTATAAATTGGAATGTTAAGACATATCTTGATCGCATCAAACAACAATTATATGTTCATTAAATAACGATAAATTAGGATCTACAAATTAGGACTACAAATTAGGATCTAAGATGTGTCATAATCACATCTTAATTTGTAACATGACAAGATATGCACGAAATATGCAAGATAGAAGTATGACCGGAATGTCTTCCACTCTACTCGTACTTTCTCAGTCGGAGCAATAAACTCATTATGCAACAATGATTGCATAATTGGTAATCAAAGTGCCATACCAAATATCGCCGACGAGGCCAGGATGTGCAGAGGGCTTCGGCCCTGATGATCCTTGATGTTGACTAGGCCTGCCTTGGCCAGCAGCTCGAGCGTTGTTAGGGCCACGTCGAAGTTATGGTGAAGGGATTTCAGTGGCGTGTGAGCAAGCTGACGGGAGAGCACATGCAATGCAGTCGAGCCGCTGCCGGCTTCTTTAACGCTCGGGGGGCAGCCGTGCTTCAAAAGATCCTCCACGAATTTCAACACGTTGCTCGGCCCACCGTTCTGGATCACTCGGTGCAGCGCCGTCTCGCCGCGCGGCGAACGCGCAGCTGGATCGCATCCGTTCGCCAGTAACGCGCTATAAAGGAAATTCAGCATTAGAAGTATATTATAGAGAAGCGTAACGATATCGCCCTTATCGCAATAGCCTTTAACGATTGTCGATCGTTAAAGGCTATTATGATAACGTAATCATGTATAAACTATGATAATAGTGCTGCTTATATTATCGTTAACAGAACGTGCGTCATTAAAACGTGAAACAACATTACAGCGCAGATATACTTTTAGCTTTCACGGCGTACTCGCCAAAAGATATTTTTACCGTATAGTGTATCGCACAGCGGCTGAAAAAGAAAGGTTTCAGACGCCGGAAGCACCGCGTATCGAAGAAAAGTTTTCCTTACGGCGATGATGCAACACACGAATACCGAGGGAAGCAGATCCGAAGATAAAGCATTTTGCGATGAAAATAAATCAGGATGTGTCATCTTTGAGCAAAACAGTTTTTTGAGTTCCCCAATTCTTAAGCAATGATAGTGATATACCCTGAATAAAGGAACAATGGGTAATCGGGGTTTCTGGATACCGTAGTTCACCGTAGAGAGCAGTCGGCGATTTTTTAAGTTCCACGTTGATATAAACATTGATAGAAATATTGACTGATAGAAATAATTTATTTATATAAATCCGTGCAAAAGACCCGTGGCTTCGTTCAAAGCCCACGACGCCAGATAGTCGCTTTCACAGCTGTAAAAAATCTTACCTGAGCACAGGTAGGCACTGGTTCGTGGCCGCTACCAATAGGGGTGGGTCTCCCGACACATTCCAATCCGGTTCGTCCAGGTTTTGCACGCAGCCGCTGGCGATCAACGCCGAGACGCGTTTGACGTTTCCCGATCGCACGGCGTCGTAGAAGTTGTAGCAGTCGTTCTGGCAACCTTGAGCGATCTCCCTGTCCGCTACCTCATCCTGCGCCTCGTCCGGACGAGGCTCCTCCGCGTTCTCGCAATGAGCTCGCAATGTGTGAGGCTCGTCTTGTGAGGCCGTCTGCGAGTTGCGAGAATTTTCCTCGGCGCGGTCATCGTCACACGTGTGTCGCTCCTGCGCTCGCGCCTCCAGCACGCTCTGATTCCTGTGGTCCTTGATCTGGTCCTTGACCTGCCCCTTTCTCGAGGTGCACGTGGCTGCATTCTCCACCGCCGGCAACACCGAGATTGATTCCTCCCTTTCGCCGTGTTGCTCATGTTCCTCGAGAAACGAGGACTCCTTGTTCCTAGTTCTATCCATCCGCACCAAAGTGTCATTCGTCTCGTTCGACGAGCTCGTGGAGCAATTCAGGTTTGCCTCATGAGTATCATCCTTACCGTCGACTTCCTCGTGTTCACCTGTCGTTTTCGGCGTATCCTCGCCGTGCACGCTCGTGGAGTTCTCATCGAACGACGATTCACCGGGTGGAAGACTGATTTCCGCCGAGGAGGAGGCCGCCGGAGCCTCCACGCCGGCGGAATCACCTGTTGCGAGGCTTGTGCGCGAAAACGATCTCTCTTCCATGCCGGCGAGAGTCTCCGGATTGTCCAGCTCTTGACCAGTGACGGGACCGAGCTTCACGGCGCCGCGTGGAGTAGTCGCCGCCTCGTCGTACGCGGAAGTCATCGCACGCACGCTGCCCTCAATTGGCCGCGATTACCCACTCGTGCAATAACTGGCTCGGCGCTTTCCACGCGAAACGATCTCGGCACGACGCTCGGCGTAATTAGCCCACCGAGGAATTTCGCTTTCGCCGACGCGACTGGACTGCGGCGCGCGCGATTGTTGTTATTGCGGTCTCTCCCGAGGAGTTTATAGCGCCGCTACTCGCTGCGCGATGGAGAGGCACGCGAGACCAACCGGACACGCGGAGAGCGGTGATTCGAATCGGACGAGCAGCCGACTATGCACCGGCGTTTTACGATGCCTCACTGCCGTGGCTGCATCGTGGTAGCGATAGCCTCGACTTCTCTCTTCCTTTTCCACCTCTTTCTCAACTTCTTTTTCTTCGGCTCCCTCCTCCTCCACCACTGCACGCCACTCCGGCCATGACTCGCTCCGTCTTTCGCGTAGTAGCGCGTTTCATTCGTTTCGTTTCTACCCCACTTCCCTCGCTAGCTTGCTCCTTAATCCCCTTCGGGCCTCGAGCCATAGGTGTCGAGCCGTTGGAATTTAGGACGGTCGCACCGAATGGCGAATGGTCAATGAACAATCTGCGTTTCTGTTAGCGTGACTCCCTGCAAAACGACGGAACTGTATTGTTCCGCTAACGATGCTTAGCCGTTAATCGGCCAATTCAACTCGCGCCAATTACATCATGCCAATTAAACGCATGGCAGACGAACGATCGAGGCGTTCTGAGACAATAGAGATTTAAGTCGTGTGTTTGTTAATATTTCTGGTATATTCTTGAATTTTGATCTTCAATCGCCTCGACGTCTGTCCCGCGTAGAAAGCGTTGTAACTTTTGCAAAGCAATTAGCCATGTTCTTCTTGGAAGCATTAGACGATCCTCTTTTGTGTATTCTCTCCTCTATTGATGAGTTCGTTCCAACTCTTTTGAAAGATGATTGGATCTTTTTATCCGGTAGAATTTGTCTAAACTTATCACAAACTGTCTCGTGAAAAACTGTATTGTATTTCATCATATGATGACTAATGTTCTACTTGTTCAATTGAGACAATGCAATTGGCACAAAGTGACACGATTGACTAATAACTAGAAATTAAAGTTTGATAATTCTACAAGTACAAGTCCACCGTTGCATGATTAAGAGCTCCAGATCACTGTATATCATTTTAATATTTTATATATTTTTCAATATTAATATTTTATCAATTTTGATTTTTAATTTGATTAATATTTCAATATTATATATTCGATATGATATATTTTAGTTGTCCATTGGATTGGATTAAAATATATGAATCATGTAGACAACAAAGAAAAGAAAGAGTACAACTCACCATTTACGAACTCAACATTTACCAATCATTCCAACTTGATGTTGAAATTGATCACCATTCGATAACTTTTATCACCCAACTTTTCATCTCGATGAATCATTTTCTACGATCTTGGAATATCTGACATAAACCGGATCGCGCCACCGGTCTCTACGCCTATTAACTCGTCTGCCGTCGAGTACCAATGACGCAAAAAAGCTTCAGGAGAGAAGAAAAGCCGGCGACGCTGCGTTGATCGCGATCAGACACGCAGATGTATTCCGAACAGGAGGAGGAGACGCAGAGAACTCTTACGCTGTTCAAACGTTATACTTGCGCACTTGTTCCATGGGAGCCTGGGGACTTCAGCGAGAGAAATGACGGGCACGGTGACGAGCGTACGATACAATCTCGAACACATGTTCGAAAAGCTATATTTTATTGAACATCGAATTACATTAGCTTCTTGAAAAAAGCAATGACAGATCTCGCGGCGGAACGCTTTAGAGAATGAAAAAAAACGACATAGTCGAAAATAAATATTACGTGATGTGCATGCTCCCTTATTGCGGCATGAAATCACAATCCATTATTATATTGTAAGGCGTATTATATGCGTCCGCGCATAACAAAAAAAAAAAAAAAGAAAACAGGTGGCTTTTATATGCGCCAACTGATCTGTCTTCAATCGATCGGACTGTTAGTCGCAGCTTTCTAATTGTCGATGAGATCCACTGACCATCAATCGACCATATTCACCTGAAACAGAAGCTAGCGATGTAATATTTGACGCAGTTATATACAAATGTTTGCTCGTAAAATCGTAAAATACATGTGGTAAGATGCGATAAGATAATCAGACGGATGAATGCTCACCGTTTATCTGCTGCGTGATCTGGAGCCCGACCGAGATTTCGACTTGCTTCGACTGCGATCTATGGAACCGGACTTCCGTTTGTTGCGATACTTATCCCTCGCGTGGCCGCTCCTGCTGCGTGAACGGCTGCGCGACGATGAGCGTGAGCGCGAGCGATTACTGCGGGATCTCGAACGGGAACGTGAACGAGATCGCGATTTCGATCTTGATCGCGAGCGGGACCTAAAGTAAAGATCGTAGTAAATAAGAGCGTTAAAATAATGATCGCGTGCGTAACTTTGCCTGCCCACTACTACGGAACACTATCATAAAGAACACATCTCTCAATCGTGTACTTTAGAAGGCAAAAGATTTAGGTAATACAGACTTTTCTTTAAGCCACGGAAATATAGTATTCCCCAAAATTACGCATAGCTCTTCCTAGCTCTTCATAGTTTTTACTAATATTGATAAAACGTACATTAGCCTCGTCCTTTTGCGGACCTCTAACTGCACATACCTAGCAAGCCTGTAAGAAATGCTTAAAGAAACATTGGAAATATACTTGTATTGCGTTTCGATATTAAGGCTCCTGATTAATTACTGTGGTTAAGTTGGATTGTGATGTTACGTAGAAATGAGAAATAACGCAAGATTCCTCGTTTCTGATATCACAGTCCAACATGCTAGTTAGGGTGACTGATCACAAGTCTCAAGTTGATTCTTGTAATCACAAGTTGTTAGTGCAATAAATATATAATTGTTACTTAATTTTTTAACATATAAATGACCAAGATGTTCCTATAAACCAAATACTATAGCGCTAATTGAGTTAATTGTTAAAACACACGTGTATTTTGAGTTACATTGTCTAACGTAATTTCTGTGCAAACCTCTTTCGAACATGTCCGTCCAACTGTCCGCGAATATACAAGAATGTTAAAAAAAAAGACATCGGGGCTAAAGCTCAGAGATCCTTGAAGTTTAGCCCCGACATTTTTTTAACACTCTATATACACGTGACCACACGCATGTTGCTCTTACGCGTGATAATGTGACACGCGTGTGATTTGTTCCTTATGTTTTATAAAATAGGCTCAACCGCTGCCACTATAATCGAATTACGTTAATCCATGTAGAATATGTATTTGATTATTTTATTTATGTACCATCTTCCCCGGCCGCTTATAGCACGCAATCGTGGAGCACGCGATGTGGCTATACGCCGAGAAGGGAGGAGCGGATGAGCACTTTATGCAGATGAAATCACGAGAGGGTCGGATGAACGGACGAAGAGTAGCTAGACGGGACCGCTGAAAGTTTGTTTCTCAGCCAGTTAGGTACTACGACGACAACGACGACGACGACGACTACGATGACTACGATGATGACGACGACGACGACAACGACGACGACGACGGCGTCGACGACGATGAAGACCATGACGACGACGATTATCGCAGAAATCACGGATAGCTGAACGAAGTACGTCAGAAGTGTGTCGACGTGCATAAACTCTCGGTATAGGATGATGGTCAGCGGATCGGTATCGTAGTGCGCAGAACTAGCCACCCTGTGTCCGGCCCGCGCGTATTTTTGCCGTTTCTCGCTCTCGCAGAGTGTGCAGAGGAAAACCCCGAAGTAGGTGGGTGCTCTACGCTGTAACTACGCGGTGTGTGTCACAAAGTGAACCCAAGGCGAATCTCGCGACAATGTCGGTAGCAACACACATTTCTCAATGCGTATGCCTGCGATCAGCCGCAACTCCTATAAATAACGGGCAGTATTATGTCGGCGTTACTCTCTGCCGCCTCATATAACCAGCTTTTTTTTTATGTTTGTAGGAATGCTATTTTTCTAATTATGAAATATTCCTAATTAACTTATGTCGTTATTTGAAGAACGCAACCTATACATATATCTTATCTTTCTCTTTTTTCTTTTTCAATATCGTACAGTTACAACTTGGTACAATAACTGTAATACTGTCATATTTCATTAAATATATCTCCTGTCTGACTTAATATATGTATATCACTATCTTATCTTAAGTACAGCTGTATTTGCCTCCTAAATATTAAGTATCAGATAATTAATAAAGTACTTACTAAATACCTAAGTTTAAGAATGACTAGTGATTTAAACAAAATAAAATCATTGTGCTGTAATTATCTCACAGAGGTCATATTTTAGTTTTCATGACAAGACAAAAAACTATAATTTTTTGTAATTATGCCACAACCTTTTTTCTCATTCTAAAGGATAATTCCTTATAGAACATAGAAAGGAAGATATTTGCGTGTAATATAGATCAATGTGCAATTTTTATATGTATACATTATGCAAATATGTATACATTTGATACATATCTAAATTTCAGACATATACTTTTATACATAATGGCTTCCAAACACAAATAAGGCATATTATAGTCTATTAATTCCATCTAAGGAAACATTTGTAAGACTTACCTCTTTCTACGAGAATTCCTATGACGCGGACAGTCTCTAGCATAGTGGCCTCTTTCACCACATTCGTAACATCTGTCTTCTGGATGGTAAGATCTCACAGCACCTCTTCTCATGGAACCCCTGTCTCTTAATCTCTTTCCATTTGATAGTTCCACTCGAGCACGTCTTCCACATATAGTACGACCATCCAGCCCTCTTACTGCATCCTCAGCATCTCTAGGATCTTCAAATTCCACAAAAGCAAATCCAGGAGGATGTCTGGCAACCCAGACATTTCGCAAAGATCCATAATAGGAAAATGCATCTTCCAACTCTTGCTTACTAGCATTACTTCCTAAATCTCCCACATAGACTTTACCATCGGAATGATAACGTGACATCTGATAAACATACACATATAATAAAGTTAAAGAAAAAGCAAAACTGATATATTAAATAGGCAAAAAGGGAGTAAATCGATCCTGCCATCTTTGTACGTCTAATTCCGAAATAAGTGTGTCTCGCATTTCTTCAAACTAATCCTTTTTTCTTCTTTTATATACAATACTACCTCTAATAATAGTCAATCGTTTATATTGAAACGTCAATAAAACTTCGCGAGAACATTTTATTATATTAAAAATATATTAAGCCTCGTCAATATAAGGATTTACGTACCTTGTTTATACTTTATAAAACCTGTTAATCGTTTCTGAACGCAGCGTCTACAGAAAATGTTGAAGCTGTATCATATTTTCTGGAAAATATCATACAATTGATCGCGACAACTCTCTAGACATATTGATTCAAGAAACAAATTACAAATTGATTAGAAACCGCTCGTAAAGCCAATTTTTCAATACGGCTTTTGCTGTGATATTTACGATAAATGTCCACCAATGTCCACTTGGTGCTGTTCAGTGTTTAACCAATCCCTAGCAGTGTCGTCAACAGAATAGAAATGGCGCAACCAGGTGCAACACTGAGATGGAATATTCGTCCAAATAATCGATTATAAAAAATATCGATTTCTATGTAATCAATTGTATTTTAAAAACATTGAAAATACTAAATAATTTTTTGTTATCTCTATAACTGATTAATATCCAATAAATCTAATTGTTAATAATAATTTTGTTAATAATAAAATTGTTAGTAATAAATCTAATTGTTAATAATAACTTTTTTATCGGCGCTCACATACTCGCCGTTGAATTTAATATGGTGTGTGTATATGTGTGCAATATATAAATAGAATTTTTTCCGAATATAATAGTGTAGAATAGTGTACGGTCGCGGACATAATAATGAGTGCCCGTTTTTTTGCAACTTTCGGAACGCATCCCGACTCGAGAAGAATGAGAATCACTGCTCCGTCTACGGAGCACGCCTGCGCAGTGACTCACAACGAAAGGCGAGAAATGAAATATACGCGGTGGGACATATTATAATAATACAGACTCAGATAAAATGAATACTCCAGCATTAAATGGAAATAAGGGAACACAGAACAGACAAGAATCATCCGATGTAAGTCTTATACTCCAGGGGATATCCGAAAAAGGTAAAGATAAATAAACATGTTTATATTTTTAAAACAATACGAACTTAATTAAGAGAATTAAGCTGCACTACGATAGTTACGATTCTGTTATACATTTATATGTGATTTATTGTTTCAGCAACAGCCATCTTCTATAGCAGAAGCAATGATATTAGATACAGAAATAGCTGTTATAGCGAATTTTGAAGTTTTGGGACATACAGACATGGACATGGAAGAGGAAGAAGGAGATGAAGAGGATGAAATTTATGATGCAAATACGGATACCAAACCAAATAAAGTAACATTTACTATTATCTTGCGTTCTAATAATATTGTTCACGCTATTTGTTAACATAATTTCTCATTTTTCAGACATAAATAAATCACATATAAATGTATAACAGAATCGTAGCTATCGTAATGCAGCTTAATTCTCTTAATTAAGTTCGTATTGTTTTAAAAACATAAACATGTTTATTTATCTCTATCTTTTTCGGATGACCCCCGGAATATAAGACTTACATCGGATGATTTTTGCCTGTTCTGTGTTCCCTCATTCCCATTTAATGTTGGAGTATTCATTTCATCTGAGTCTGTATTATTATAATATGACCCACCGCGTATATTTCATTTCTCGCCTTTCGTTGTGAGTCACTGCGCAGGCGTGCTCCGTAGCGGAGCAGTGAATGGCCGCGTTCAGTAGAACAAAGTGATCAGAGAGCGCTTAGTGATTATTGTCTGTGATTGGAGCATTCTTTTAGATTCTTCATAGACCCAGAAATATTTACCAATCAGGAGCGAGATTCAATGGAAAATCTAGTAATGTTGTCCAACTGTTGAGTCTGCTGAATGCGGTCATTCTCATTCTTCTCGAGTCGGGTTGCGTTCCGAAAGTTGCAAAAAAACGGGCATTCATTTTATGTTCGCGACCGTACACTATTCTACACTATTATATTCGTCAACGTTATTGGTCTGAATGTAATGATCTAATACTAAGGATCAATGGCCGCGTTCAGTAGAACAAAGGCTGCATTCAGCAGATTCAACAGTTGGACAACATTACTAGATTTTCCATTGAATCTCGCTCCTGATTGGTCAATACTTCTGGGTCTATGAAGAATCTAAAAGAATGTTCCAATCATAGACAATAATCACTAAGCGCTCTCTGATCACTTTGGCCGCGTTCAGTAGAACAATACTATAGTAACAATAGTTACTAAGCGCTCAGTGAGCGCTTTGTTTTCTGAACGCAACCAATAATCACTAAGCGCTCACTGATCATTTTGTTCTGCTGAACGCAGCTATTGGTTGCGTTCAGCGGAAAAAATTACTCCGCTTCCGTTCCGTAGCAAACGTCTCTGATTGGTACGTCTGTTCGGACTTGCCAAAGATTTAAAAGACCATGAACATTCGCTATTGAGTGGTAGCGTAGCAGTTTTCTCTGCTGAACCTGACTATTGATTGGCTACTGTGATCTTCCCTAACCAACTTCCGCCGCGCGGCAAACGTTGTCGAGTTCTATATGCAACCGACTTATCGCAGTGTATATGGGTGCGTTCCGTTTTACTCATATGCGCGCATTTTTTATAGTTACGTGACATAAACTATAGATAAATGCGTGAAACGGAATGCACCCTATGTATATACCAAACTTAAATAACAAAAAGAAAACCATTAGAGATTAAAATAAAGTTGAGAGAAAAGGAAAATTAAATTTAGGAATTAGATTATAAGAATTTTATATTCTTTATATTACAAATTATGACATAATTTATAATGCAATATTACAAATATTACATCATAGGATTACATCAAGGATGCTCAATCGACATCCCAGTAGTGGGGATAGCTGCTTATAAAAAACGTGGCTAGCCATGGTCACGCCGAAATCGAGAAAGAAGCTTCGAAGTGATCGTGTAGGAGTCAGAGCGAATCTTTAGAACGGTCGTGTCGGACTCAAACTATATCTTTCGAACAATTTAATTTAATTGAATAAAAATCTTTCAAGCCGTTAAATTGGAATCGGAAATCTTTACAAACAGAGTAAATCAGAAAGCACTCAAAACCTTTTAAATAGCCTAGTCACTACGAAATTCCAGGTCGAAATTGAATTTGGAAAAGAAAGGTAAGCAAATTATTATTATCAGTTCAGTTCAGTTCGGTATATGGCTTTAGGTAGAAAGGTGTACCCATACGCCATTCTCCAGCTACGTTAAGGGGAGGGAGGAGAAATTATTATTCTCGAGCCTTTCGATGTTTCCATCCATCTTCGGAAATGCATCAATCAAGGTACCTATTATGGAACTTATCGGAATCGATTCCGATCGAATTTATTCCGTTATTTCCTAGATTTCTATTGTCTTTTCTAGGAGAAACAGAATTATTCCGATCGGAATCGATTCCGACGAGTTCCATAAAGCCCGTATCAGACTACGGATTGGGATTGAGTATTTGATTGAAATTTAACCAATCAGGAGTAAGTTTACTATACTTGAGATTATTTTCTCTTTTTCAATTGGTCAAATTTCAATCTAATCTCAATCCCAATTCATAGTCTGATACGGGCTTAATAGGTACCCTGAACGCAGTATTTTCATGCAGCAAGTAATCCAGCACGAAAACAAGTACCGTTGGTCTGTTCTTTGTAGCTGCACTGTTGAACTGGTGCAATAAGTTAAAGTGAGACAAATATAGGTTTTCTCACTCTAGCTTATTGCACCAGTTCAGCAGTGCAGCTACAAAGAACAGACCACGTGTATCACTGGCTTTATAATTGTCTGATTATTCCAACAGAATTGACCAATCGCATTTGTCGTCATTAATTAGTATTGACAAATACGATTGGTTAATTTCAATGGAGTAACTAGCCGGTTATATATATAAATTTATAAATTAACCACAGTTAGAAGTTAAGAGAAACGGGCAGTAGCTCCATGAATTCATGGAGAAAGGTTAATGGCATATGACAATAGCATCAAATCATAAAGAAAAGAATACGTATACCGTTGTTTAAATAATCAAACATAAAACATTATCAGCATTGCACTATTATCACTATTATATTATATATATTACAAGCATATTTTTTGCGACAAATTACACAATTAATTTGTTTAGCTGTTAACTCAAAAAATGTCTGCGAAAATATCACGTACACGTGTGTCGTTGCACACGTTAAACAAGACAAAGATGTTGAAAAGCAATAATCAGCAACAACAATGTACGAAAGGAAAAAATAAAAAGACTCTCATTATTGCACAAGAAATTAAATTTGCACGGCTATTGGCTGATAATGACAAGAGGATACGGGACAAAGTATTAAAAAGTTTGAAAAAATGGTTGACAGTGCGCTCTCAAAGTTCGTTTGGTAAATTGGTTTATTTTGTCTAATCATATATATTTACATATAAGCTCTTTATAGTCAACAAGTATATACTTATTAGTACACATTTTACAGCATTTACCGAGATGGATTTTATGAGTTTATGGAAAGGCCTGTTCTACTGCATGTGGATGTCTGACAAAATGTTGATTCAAGAAGAACTGGCAGAATCTCTTAGTAAAATAGTGCATTGTCTTAATTCCAAAGATAATATTATACTTTATACAACTTGTGCTCTAAAAACTCTTGCCACAGAATGGTTTGGCATAGATCAGTACAGATTGGACAAATTTTCTATGGTACTTTTTTTTCTTACTGCTTCCTATAATATATTGTGATACTTCAAATTATGTACAAATAACCCTCGTACCTATTTGTTTCTCCAGTTGGTTAGAAGAATACTGCGCCAAACATTTGTAGTATGCAAGGATAAAGCATGGGATATGCAATGGATAAAAGAAATATCCCAAATATTTGAAAAACTCTTTTTATGCCCAAAGACTAACTTGGGTTTTAGTCTACATGTAACAGAGATATATCTAGAAGAGCTTGCTAAGGTATATTTAAAAAGTTAAAATAATAAGTCTTAATCATTTTAATGAAAAGTTATTTAAATCATTGTACAGATCAGCAATGAAAATTTGTCAGAAGAAGATGTGACTGAATTTATTAGGCCGTTTGTTATATATTTAATAACAACTAAAGATGAACATCAAATGAAGCATATTATGAAGCATATTTTTAGGTACCTCATATTTCAATCAAATATAGGTATTGAATACATGGAAAAATTTGCAGCCTGGAGACAAGTAAGTTTTTTACTTTCTAAACATATATTGCAAAATGTAATATAAATCTGCAATCATATTTCATTTCAATAAATAGGCTGGTTTTCCTTGCACACATTTGGATGATATGAAAAAGTTAGAATTATCAGACATGGAAGATAATTCTGAAAATAAGGATGAATTTTCTGAAACTGAGATACTAATGGATAAAGTTGAAAAACCTTTAGATCCACGAGCAGGTAGAGTCGATGTGGAATTGCCACAAATTTCATTTAATCCTGCACAGATTGTTCACTTACTCTCAAGTTATAAATTTCATCCATCCTCAACGGCAAAGTCACGGAGACAACTTACAAGAATTTTGCAAGAGTATGTCCTATGTTTTTAATTAATTTATCAAATTACAATTTATGTTTCTGTTATGTTCATTTATAAAAAGAAACTTTTATTATTAGGTTTAAAGATTTGTCAGAAGGAAAGATGCCTCTTGGGACAAAAAAAGTTAGAAACCCCATTTGGCAAAAAAAAGATACAGATTCAAAAAAGGCTGCTCTTCGCCTTATTCAATTTGAGAAGGACTTATACAGTGATAATATTAACAATAAAAGAAAAAGATATAAATAAATAATGGGTCTTATTTTGTAACATGGTAAGATACGCACAACATATGCAAGATGGAAGTATAACTGGAATATTTTCCACTCTACTAATACTTTCCCAATCAGAGTAATAAATTCATTGCATAATTGGTAATCAGAGTGCTGTACCAAATATTGCCGACGAAGCCAGGACATGCAGAAGGCTTCGACCCTGATGATCTTTGATGTTGAGACTAGGCCTGCCTTGGCCAGCAGCTCCAGCGTTTTCAAGGCCGCGTCGAAGTTGTGATGAAGGGATTACAGTGGCGTGTGAATGAGCTGATGGAAGAGGATATGCAAGGCAGTCGTGCCGCTGCCGGCTTCTTTAACGCTCGAGGGGCAGCCATGCTTCAAGAGATCTTCCACGAATTTCAACACGTTGCTCGGCCATCATTCTGGATCACTCGGTGCAGCGCCGTCTTGCCGCGCGGCGAACGCACATCAAACAAAAGTTTTCTGTACGACGATGATGCAACACAAATACCAAGAAAAGCAGATCCGAAGATAAACCATTTTGCAATAAATAAATCAGGATATATTATCTTTAAACAAAAGTTTTTTTGTTTTAGGATTTTCGACTCCTTTTCTCTCTCTCTCCAGGACGTTGTACTTGAATCATGACAATCTTCCTTTGTCTCTTTTTCCCTTTTTTTAACATAATGGGCGACGAATTCAGTTGAAGCGCCTAATAAAAAGTTGTTATAATCTGTTATAATATGTTAGGCACATTCAATTCAGCCATATTCCAGGATAAATATAGCCAAACAGCAACCTCGACAGTAATATCTGAAATCAAAAGAAATCCGTCTAAAGTCTCATACAGTAATAATAATAATAACGGAAATGTCATCAAATCTTTTCAAGAGATGGGAGAAACAAAATTTTATGTATACTATCTTCAATCATGATCAGGACTTGGAATTACTCTTGAATAATGAATATATAATTAAAATCTTTTATTATAAAAATATATTATTTAGGAAAATAATCATAAAGCGAAATAAAATATTTTATTTTGTCAATCCTTTTTGTGAAATAATGGCTGCGTTCAGAAAACACAACGGTTACACAACGGTTGAGTAATTCGTCAACGGCCGCGTTCAGCAGACTCAACAGTTGGACAACATTACTAGATTTTCCACTGAATCTCGCTCCTGATTGATAAATATTTCTGGGTCTATGAAGAATCTAACAGAATGCTCCAATCACAGACAATAATCACTAAGCGCTCACTGATCATTTTGTTCTACTGAACGCAGCCAATGGCTGCGTTCAGCAGAACTAGAGACCCTAGAATACAGAGTCTGGACAACTCATAGGCATCTTTCCATTGGTTCACGTTCTCAGACCTCTCAAAATGGCGGTGCAAATCACATTGCAGCGGGAACACGCATATATTCAAAGTATGATAAAGGTTAAGGGTCTATCCAAACAAACTTGCATAAGCGCGTAACGCATATGCATAAGGAAATTGACTAATCGTATGTTTAATACAAAAAATATTTTTTTACTACACGGATCATAATTAGTCAATTTCCTTATGCATATGCGTTACGCGCTTATGCAAGTTTGTCTGGATAGGCTTTAAGGGGCAGAGCACAGACTTCTACATAACGCATAATACACAACGCATAAGAGAATCAACCAATCAGAGTTCTTCATTTCTGTCCTGAGGAGGGAAATGAAGAAAACCAATTGGTTTATTCTTTTATGTGTTATGTATTATGTGTTATGCAGAAGTCTGTGCTCTGGCCCTTAGGAGAAACTAGCGATAGCTCCATGTGGCTCCATGTATTTTTGGAGAAAGGTTAACGGCATGTGAAAATAGCATCAAATCATAAAGAAAAGAATATGTATACTGCTGTTTAAATAATCAAACATAAAACATTATCGGCATTGCATTATAACCACTATTATATTATATATATTACAAATATATTTTTTGCGACAAATTACACAATTTATTTAGCTGTTAACTCAAGAAATGGCTGTGAAGATACCATATACACGTGTGTCGTTGCAGAGCAAGACAAAGATGTTAAAAAGCAATAATCAGCAACAATGTACGAAAGGAAAAAATAAAAAGACTCTCGTTATTGCACAAGAAATTAAGTTTGCACGGCTATTGGCTGATAATGACAAGAGGATACGGGACAAAGTATTAAAAAGTTTGAAAAAATGGTTGACAGTGCGCTCTCAAAGCTCGTTTGGTAAATTGGCTTATTTTGTCTGATTAACATGTATATTCACATATAAGTTCTATATATTTAACAAGTATATACTTAGTATATATTTTACAACATTACATATATATTTACATATAAGCTCTTTATAGTGAACAAGTATATACTTATTGGTACACATTTTACAGCATTTACAGAGATGGATTTTATGAGTTTATGGAAAGGCCTGTTCTACTGCATGTGGATGTCTGACAAAATGTTGATTCAAGAAGAACTGGCAGAATCTCTTAGTAAAATAGTGCATTGTCTTAATTCCAAAGATAATATTATACTTTATACAACTTGTGCTCTAAAAACTCTTGCCACAGAATGGTTTGGCATAGATCAGTACAGATTGGACAAATTTTCTATGGTACTTTTTTTTCTTACTGCTTCCTATAATACATTGTGATACTTCAAATTATGTACAAATAACCCTCGTACCTATTTGTTTCTCCAGTTGGTTAGAAGAATACTGCGCCAAACATTTGTAGTATGCAAGGATAAAGCATGGGATATGCAATGGATAAAAGAAATATCCCAAATATTTGAAAAACTCTTTTTATGCCCAAAGACCAACTTGGGTTTTAGTCTACATGTAACAGAGATATATTTAGAAGAGCTTGCTAAGGTATGTTCAAAAAGTTAAAATAATAAGTCTTAAACATTTTAATGAAAAGTTAAAATAATAAGTTAAAATAATAAGTCTTAACCATTTTAATGAGAAGTTATGTAAATTATTGTATAGAACAGCAATGAAAATTTGTCTGAAGAGGCTGTGAGTGAATTTATTAGACCGTTTGTTGTTTATTTAATAACAACTAAAGATGAACGTCAAATGAAACATATCATGAAGCATATTTTTAGATACCTTATATTTCAATCAGATATAGGTATCGAATACATGGAAAAATTTGCAGCCTGGAGACAAGTAGGTTTCTTACTCTCTAAACATGTATTGCAATATGAAATATAAATCATATTTCATTTCAATAAATAGGCTGGTTTTCCTTGCACACATTTGGATGATATGAAAAAGTTAGAATTATCAGACATGGAAGATAATTCTGAAAATAAGGATGAAGAATTTTCTAAAACTGAGCTACTAATGGATAAAGTTGAAAATCCTTTAGATCCACGAGCAGGTAGAGTTGATGTGGAATTGCCACAAATTTCATTTAATCCTGCACAGATTGTTCAGTTACTCTCAAGTTATAAATTTCATCCATCTTCAACGACAAAGTCACGGAGACAACTTTCAAGAATTCTGCAAGAGTATATATTCTATGTTTTTAATTAATCTATCAAATTTCAATTTATATTTCTGTTATATTCATTCTTGTAAAAAGAAACTCTTAATACTAGGTTCAAAGAATTGTCAGAAGGAAAGATGCCTCTTGGGACAAAAAAAGTTAGAAACCCCATTTGGCAGAAAAAGGATACAGATTCAAAGAAGGCTGCTCTTCGCCTTATTCAGTTTGAGAAGGACCTATACAGTGACAACATAAACAATAAAAGAAAAAGAAATAAGCGAATAATCGAACTTGATACAGATACAGTTTTAGATATAGGTCCTCCTAAGAAACAGAAAAAAAATAATTTAACACATGATGAAGTTGACTGTAAATCTGAATTTAGTGAAAACAAAACAAAATTAGAAGCAAAGAGCTTATCAAAAAAAAATAAAACAACTAAAAAAGTAAAATTAAATTGTGTAAACGATATGCAATCATCAGATACAAATGTCGATTATAAAATGAAATCGAGCGTAGGTGGATCAAAGAAAAGTAAAACAGCTAAAAAAATAAAATTAAATTGTGTAAACGATATGCAATCATCAGATACAAATGTCGATTATAAAATGAAAACGACCGTACGTGGAGAGTGGCCGATATCAGAACATGTAAATCAATGTATTTTGCCTGCGTCAGTTTCTCAAAGCAACATTTCGACCAAGAAAACTGCCAAAAAACGCGTAATTGAGAAGACTGTATCGGAAAAAAATATTGCACGGAATAATCAAGTGGTGGCTCTGAGAAATGTTAGTACTAGTAATTTTGAAAATGTTTATAAGTGATGTAGCTCTTTATAAGTCATGTGAAAGTATTCTTTTATTATTTTATGGCAGAAATCACACACATCGAATCAAATGAAAGGGCAAACTGACTTAAATAATTCTACGGAATCGAGAAAGAAGGTGAAAATCGTGCTGCATCGAAATACTGCGCAACTTACATCAGAATATATTCAACAGGTTCGTAGAAGTCCGACTATTCCTTTTGACGCAAATAAGAAACCGTTAGTTAGTGTGTTAAAAGCGAGTCCTATACCAAGTCCAGTTAACCCCTTTTACAAAAAGGGTTAATGCTAATTATATTAAAATTAGCTTTTGAAAATGTGTACATAAGACATTGCTTTTTGTTGTAATAATAATAATAATAAAACTATCAATGAAATATCTTTATGTATTTTGAACCTATCACTATCGAAGTGACTGGTGAAATATCAAATATATACGTTCCAAAAACAATTATTGTACAATAGTATGAATTTAATCATAGCTAGCATGTTGTTACATATTCTTGATTTGATATCTTATTGCTTTCATTGCACAATAATTATAATGGAATATATTGATAGATTTATATTATTTAAATATACACATGTACATATATAATTATATAGGGAATACATTATTTCATATATTCTACAACACATTTTTTTAGCTTGAAGACTTAATGCGTCATATGTAATATATTCGTTATTTTACAGAAATAAATATTGTATACGAACGCAATGTGTGCTCTTACATAAAATACTTTGTATTACAGTGCTGACAATACATGCAACAATGTTAAAGATTATTCACATGTTACATTATTATATCATTACACAACAGTTGAATTAACATTTATTTGCATAAGAAAGTTTTTAACACGTTTTGACTAGTTCATAGGACGTACGCACAGATAAGATAGATTATTCATCAATTTATGGTTTTGACTACTTCTTTGTTGGAGCTATACAAAGGAAATTATTGATTTGATTGAATATGTGGCTCCCAGGTACTAATTATGTAAAGAAAATATTTAACATATATATTAGGAGATATATGCGTATCATATATTGCTATATTTCTATTACCATATTTACTAAATGATTTTTTATAAAACTAATCTAATTGTTTATATCTCTCTTTGGCACATGAATTCACTTTTGCTCGTACTCGTAACCGTTCAATAGTTGAAGGACCTAAATTTTTTTATTAAAAAAATTCGAAAAAATAAATATATTCTAACATATACTTTCTATAATCTATATAAATTTTATATAATTATACAGCATATTTATATATTTTCTATCTTATAAAATGTCCGCAATTTACATTCAGCCTGTATAATTCAAGAAACATAACCATTTTTTTACATCAATTAAAAAGACACATGTTTCGTATGTTGCTATATGAAATTCTTTTCATAAATAATTAGAAACAAGATGGAGTAGAAAAGTGTAATGATTATATTTCTCTCTTCATTGTTATGTAATATATGAAAATTACTTTGTTAATAATATCTCAAAACACCATATTTTTAACAATATTCCATTTGTATCAACGTTTATCAGAAATTTGTTGCAGTAAAAACTAGTGGTTCTTTTAAAATGTTATTCTTTTAATAAGAAAATTTCTAAGAAATTTGTACAATTTATGTTTTACAAATATAGACGTTTCCACGAGATATATATTTATTAGAAATACTATTTTATGTATATATATATTTCTTTTGACATAAAACATCAAAATGCTTGCATCATCCATCTTTACATCTCTCTCTTTTTTTTAAAGATAGCATAATATATGATTGGAGGACAAACTTCAATTATCTATTATTAGGCAATTGTATACACTCTCACTTTGTTATATACCACTGTTTTTAAGACTAAGACGTTGAGATATATAAACATAAAAGAATTGAAACAGTGCAGTAAACAATTACACACAGACATACGTTTACAATTACATGATATTGCACAAGATTCTTGAAATTACATTTCTCTTCTAATTTCGATTTTATATGTACACAACATTATCACAGAGATAAAGAGAGCTATATAATCCTCTAAAGAACATCAAGTCAAAATATATTCTCGATTAACTACGCTTGGTTTGGAAAGGATAGTTCTTCCAACGCGAATACCATTCAATCTCGATCTGATTAAAGCTCGTACTGAAAATCGACAACGTGACGAAAAACGCTGTATGTATCAAAGTCCATAGTTGAAAGATTGGTGAAATAATGAGTAAAAGTACCATCATTCCTGCGAATATGAAATTTTATTTCTGGTATTGTTTTTATCGATACCAAATCTCCGAGATTATATTCTTTTAAGTTAGAAGAAAGATAAGAGAAACGTACCTGTCAATATACTCCAGAATCCAAACGCAGCTCGCAGTGGTAGCATTTTCGCCATCGGCCAGATTTCGGCGGAGGAGAAAGTTTTCTCTTCGTAAAATTGTTTCAATATTCTCTCCTTGTCAGACCATTTATTCTCCAGCCACTTTCTCAACGTCGACTCGTGCGTTGGTATCTCCGCGGAGGGTATTCGCTTTATATGGAAGTGCACCTCGCCCGGCAATTTGCCTTTGATCAAATCAATTTCAGACTGCGGTATGTAATCGGGATATGCTATCGTCAAATCATACACGGCATCGAGATAATTCGCTTGTTGAAGATGTTGCACCAGATAGGCGAAGCCAGTTGTCTTTGGATGTAGAGTGTAGTTGTATTGTGGTAAATGATGCTGTAACGCATATTTATCTGATTTTTCCTTGCTGCTTCTCGTTAAATCGGTACCCTCAGGAAATATCAACAATTGTGTACGACTATCTAATGCGATAAAATAATCGAGAATACGTGACAACCGGCCTTGATCTTCTTCCCAGCGTCGTGTTATGTAAAGGAAACTGTTCATTTGCATGATCCATCCTGTCGCAGGTGCGTGTGCAATGATAAAAATGTAAGATATATATGACTTTGCATATAGAAGCTTCGTGTACATTGTGCAAGAGAAGAAACAAAATGTTACCTGGACCGGGAATGTGTCGTATAGGATCCTTCAAAACGAATTTCAATCTATGACAAGCTACATTAGGCATACACGCTTGGTACATCGCCGCCCATAGAAAGTTCCAATCCACCCTTGTTCTGTGATTCATTACAAGCACAGCTGATTCATTAGGAAATATATGATCACCAGACACATAAATCTTTACACCAAACATGTTTAACAAGGCCTAGAATGTTTAAAATATTTCCGATAAGCATAATTAATAGCATAATCGAAAACAAAAGACTACATATATGTGAACGTATATGATGAAAATAATTAGTAATTTACTCACGGTAGGGTAAAGCTCCCAGCACGAAAATAAGAGATCTCCATATTTTCGGAATTTCGGTGGGCTGAACAAGAACAACGGTAGGGACGGACAGGCAATAAATAAAAAGCCTGCTACTATACTACCATACCACAGAGCACAATACAGTATACCACGTATAAATCCGCGCATTATAATCTGAAAATGGCCAAAGAAAACAATGTCTCTTATTTGGTTTCAAAAGTGAAAATAAGTTAGAAATAAATATACCTGACCTTCGTTATATACATCATAAATATTTTGGTCAAATACTAAGCTTCTTTCTGAGTATTATAATATCTTATAAATTAAAGTAGACAATTAGTAAACTTAAAGTAGAAAATTAGCAAAAGTAATATAGTATTATTCTATCTATATTACTTTCAAAAATTTCCGGTTTAATTTTAACAAAATATATAACGAAGGCCAATTATTAATAAATAATTATTATATTATGTTTAAAATCGTGCACGACTCTTACAGGCCAAGTACCTACTTCAATCTAAAAATGGATATTTTGCAGACCTGTCCTTCCTTTAACGTTTTCACGATCATAGTGATATGTTATTAGCATTATTATATATTAATGCAGGCGTCACTATGTGTCGCTACGTAAACGCATATTAATGAATGTTATTAAACATTTAACGCTGTTATCATTAAAAGTTCCAGAACACGCACATTGAATACAAAATGCAAAATATTTTCAATCTGAATTGTTTTAAGAATTTTAGATAGTGATGACACAAGTGACATCACGACAGGATCCTCACATTTATATTGAGATAATGTTTCCTCTGTTCTTTCAATAATGATTTCACGAGAACAAAGCAGATTTGTTCTTGCTCAGCTTGAAAACATTAAAAAGTTGATATTTGAGACTTTCATATTCTTGACACATAAGGAGGGAGGAAAACTCAAGTTAATCCCATGCTTCTAGAAGAGAATAGAAAAGAAAAATTAAATATTAGAGCAAAGTGTTCAAAACTCACTTTCACATGTGCACTGTGTAATTGAAGCACTTTTTACGGACATTGGACCTTGACTGTTTCCTTGTGAAACACTGTGTCTTTACTGGCTTCCTCTTGGCTTTACCAGAGGGGCTTCTCTCTACCACCCCTTTTACCCTCACTCTCTCATCCGCTCTCTACTACTAAGCTGGAGGATGCTGTGTTGGACCATTATTGATCTGTTGAGCACAAGAGGGTTGCACGATCCCAATAAAAAGATTAAAGTTTTTTTGCAACTAGCGATCAACTGAATATTTTTTATATATAATATAGTATCAATAAAATGTTTTTATTATATTAGCTTCCAGTATATTATTTATACAAAACAATATCTAATTATTTAATACAATGATATTTATTTCTGCCATATTCTGCCGAACTACATTAAATATTTGTACTACAAATATTTACAGTCTATGTATATAAAATTGGGAAATAAAAATTGATTAATACTTTACAGTCTAAACGTTCAGATAGAAGTTAGAGTTCTTTTTCTCTATTTATACATGAAAAATTAATTATTATAATTATATAGCATTCAAGATTTATTTTGGCGAAAACTTTTAAATTAAATCTAAAAAATGATCGTTTGTGTTTAAACGCATTTATTGTATTATTGTATCACATTATTTTACTAGGATATGGATAAAAAATCAAACCATAATATGTTATATATACAGTAGTAAATATTTAATTATTTGTATAAGGAATATATATATATATAAAGCATAATAGGCCTAACGTTTATACACAGCATAATGACAATTTTTAATTTTTTAAATATTTAAATTTTATATTTGTTATATATCATCGATATGGGCGCCTGTACCTTCATGTCATTTTATATTTTATTGGAAAGACTTGTAGATAAGAGATCATCTAGATTATTAAAATATAAAAGTTTTATATATGATAAAAATATTATACAAGTCCCGTAAGTCGCAGTACAACCGAAAAATCAATAATAAAAAATAAATTAAACATCTGGAAGAAATATTAGTCCTAACAAGGATCTACAATGTCTTGTTTTTAATAAAAAAATGTTAAATATAAAATTAATAAATTTTTTTTAAAAGACCAATGTTGCTAGTCTTATTTCGACAAAGGCTAATAAATATAAATAAATATGTACTTTATCAATGAAAACAAAGAAATGTTAATATCCCATTCATAAATTTACATATATACATATCTATAACATTTTTAACTTCCTTTGATGATTTAAAACAAAAATATCGTTTTGTTCATATTCATATGTAATATTGTTTGATTGTAATTACACTCAAAAGGAGTTTAACTACTTTAATATTCATTTAATAATCAGTAATTCAATTCATGTATAATTCAGAAGTTATTGTATGCTTAGAGTTTAAGGATTCTTAAAATAGTGTAAAAATAGTGTTAATTTTTCAATTTTTAAGATTAATTTAATAAAAAAAAGAGATATTTTGTGTTTGTTACCTTGTGTGAATTTACCTTGTTGAATATATTTTTATTTTATACTTGGTCAATTTATTTTTTCATACTTATTCCTTTTTGATTGTAACACTATTTACGGGACATCTATTACTTTCTTTTACGTTCAATAATTAAAACTGTTTGTATGCTTTCCTCTTCCTTTTCCATGCCGTACTTTATAAATTGCGTCTATATGTGTAACATGTTGATTCTTATAACATACTTATACTATAATGTATGGAATGAACAGATTTATTAACACCCTCTTTTAACTATCTTTTTCATAACTAGAGTATTTGTTGAGAAGATCATGAGCCTCGTCCACTACTTTTTTTTCGTCTTCATCTTCAACAATTTGCGAGGAGTCACAAATCTTCTTTAACCAATGGATGGCCTGCTCATAGTCGCTCAGTGCTATATAACATTTGCTAATATATAGTTGATTTTCCAGATTCACTTCGTCTAAAAGTTTTTCTGCTTTTTTAAAGGTATCTATCACATCTTCAAATGGGACGATTGGAGGCTCTGCACACAATGTCGCTACAATCTATACAATGATAGTCAATTACATTACCATATATAAGTATCATGATTTTATTTGAATCACTTAGCTACCATTGGAACTTATTATGCGTACCTTTTTTTCCACCCAACTTAACTTAGCAAACTCATATAAACATCTACCGAGTAGATGATGTAGCATGCCATCGTTTGGGCGTATCTCTAAGGCTTTCAGTATATGTTCTTTGTACTCAAAACCACTATATATCTTCTCTTTTATTGATAAAAAATTACTGTGTACTCCTATTAATATAGCATACCATTTGTGCAGATCTGCATTTGATGATGTATAAAACTTTTTGCAGGCAATAATCCCTATAAAAATGAATATTACATTTACATTTCTGAAGAGATGAGTATTGTAATTAAATACTGTAACCATAAATATGTAATTAAAAAGATACACATAGATATAAATATAGTAATATATAAATCCAATACCCTCAAGAAGAACAGCTTTTTTCATAGCTTGATCAATCATATCATTTGAATGATTGAAACAACTTCTGGCAAATCTCCATGCTATATCTATATTATTTGGATAATTGTTTGCAAGGGTTTGTAGCTCAAAATAAATATCATGTTGATGTTCCTTCTGTTCAATGCGTGCATCCAAGATGGAAAAATTTAATCCAGGGCAAGTGGCTTCTGTTGACCTGCATCACTAAACATATAATCTCTTCCTTTTATGTTTCGAGCTTTAAAAGTTGGGTGACAAAAAAAATGAAAAATAAAACATATATTTGTAGCTACATTTACAAATAAGGTTCAAGCTTGCGCTCAATCAATTAAGCAGTATCAAGTTAATTTTAAGTTTAGATAAGATCAAACTATAGATAAGGACTTAAATGTCCTATATACAAATAAGACTCATAAAAAATATATAGATTCAATCTACAGAATAATGTTTAAACTGGCACAATTCTTTTGTTTAAACAGAGAATAAAGTTATATTAAGGATATGATGAAAAATAAACTAACCTAGTTTCTATGTCACTTATACCATTATCACTGTCCGAACAGTCAAAGAATTCATCATTTCCAATATCTGTACCTGCTGTTGAAAAAGCATCTACATCTGTATCATTATCTGTTGCAGTATATGTATTGTCATTAAGAACACGTTTACGACTAAGCTTCTTCTTTCTCTGTTGATTTTGCTGTAATCTGAATAGAAACGATTAACATACATATTAATCTGTGTCACCTGTATATTTGCAAATATATTTCAAAATAAAATTGATCAATTAAAAAGGAGTAATTGTATTATTGTCACCTTAGTGCATCCAATTCTTCTTGTAATTCTGTAAGACGACGATTGAGTTCCTCATAGTTTCCATTCTTCATATGTTCATATTCATGTTTCTTCTCCAAAATTTTATGATAAATAAAAATACTAGCTGCGCTTATCACTCCAATAGTTGCTCCAATAGCAGCAGCTAACAGATTAGTTTGTAGCTGACTCATGATGATTAAACGAACTTTTGACTAACAACCGCTTTCTGCAAGTAGGAATATGTAATAGTTTTACATCGTACTTAACATACAAAGTGCATATATACTTACGAATTTCGCTGTGAAATGTGATCTGGACGACATGAATTTGCCGCGTTTATTAAACGATGTCACTATCTGTCCAAGTAATATATCATATTTCAGTCCTTTAGATGTATCCAGCGCCGTCAAAGTCGTTAAAATAAACTGCTACTTTCTTCTACCGATGCTTCTTTTTCATGAGCTATTCATGAGCTATATATAACAAATGTCGCAAGGTTAACTAACCGCTGACTAATTTGCACTCTATACTGAGACTACTGCGATTCTTTTTACGCAAGAACTTTTTGATAATAGCAGCGTATGCGGTGTTACGTATCACGTTCTAAAGGGCAATCCGACACGTCGCGTGAGTGTAACGAACAGTATAAAACATTTTCACCGCCACCGGTATGATTAGTTCTTCATCTCTGTCACTCTCGATTTTCGATTAATTCGGTAAAGTTCCGACTCCTTCGTAGAAATGAGTTTATCATTTCTCTCATATATGTATTATATAAAATAACTGTGTGTGCGTGGACTAATTAGTTTTAATATCTAAGTCGGCTTTTGAGAAAAAGAAAAAAAGAAAAAAAAATCATCAGTATCGGTGAAGGTCGTCATGCTATTTCCTCAGAAAAAGAATTTCATCGATAAGTTACCGTTAAGATGTCGAAGCGAACAATGTTTATTTGACATTGATATTTTTCTTGCTTAATTTTTAGCCGGCATAATTTCATGATAACACACGTCGAAATTATATTCACTATTTCACATTGGCTGAGTGATAACTCGAAATAAATCGAATTTCGAGAAAACGAATTAACAGCAATATTTGCGACTACAATATTAGCGGGAAATTTAAACGAGCCTATAAATATTTTATCTGAGCGATAATTTTACAATGTAATATCTAGAGTATTTTATAGATTGGTAAAAAAAAAGGTAAATATATTTATATGAAAAAATTGATCTTATTATAAAAATAAGATAACAAATAATCAATGCATAGGTATTTTTTTAAATTGGAAACTAAATTTCCAAGCTATAGCAGGCTACAAAGTCACATAGTTTTCTAAATATAAAATAAAATATGAAAAGACTTTAATATGATTTCATATAAATATGGTTTCATATAAATATGATTTCATATAAATATGGTTTCATATAAAATTATTGAGTATTATTAAGTATTCATTAGACCACAAATTGGTTACTATTATCACATATTTTATTATACAATATAGTCTGCATATTACAAGCATTTTTTAGGCATTTACAGAGAACATTTCTTACGAAAGCAGTTATAAAATTCGAGTGCATATAAAGTATAAGATTGGATGTTTAAGAAAAATAATAGATGTAATATGTTTAAATATATATATATACCAAGTATAGAAGCATTCTTGAGAGCACTCGATTCGACAGGAATCAACTGCTTTAAAGCTTTTAACATAAAGCCAATCCTTTTTTACATTTTTTAATACACTTATATCCTAACTATAATACTTAAAATCTTAATTTATTCACGTCGCAAATTCTCAAGTCTGGCCTGTAGATCCGCATCGGCATCTGCAAGATTACCACCCTCTTCATTGCCAGCTGCAGCAGCAACTGGCTGTTTAGAACCAACTACATTCAGTGATCCAGATGCTTGCGGTAGGCCAGATAGTTGATCTGTTAATTGCAAACCTAGCTCATCTAATACCTGAGCGACTACAGCATCACTGAAAAATAAAATATTAATAGTTTATATCTTTAATAACTGATAAATTTTATAATTAATTTTTTATTTGTATTTCTAATTAAAAACTATTTATATATTAAAAACTATTTATATATGTATATAAAAATGCTTGATACCTCTCTTCTTCATCTCCTTCATCCTCCATCGCATCATCTATTGCATCATTCATAATTTCTTCTTTCATATCCATGATCTCTGATTGTTTTTCAAATTCTTGTAATATCTTTTGTATTTGTGGTAAATTCAATTGTCTAAAAAAATTAATTGAGGTAAAGACCAAATAAGTGAAAAAATAAATTATTTAGTATTGCAGTTATACTGAAAAGCTATTCACTATGCTTTAGTATTTCTAATAAGTACAAGTATAATGAAAATATGTCTGATATATTGATATGTGAATTATTATACTCACTTATTCATGTTTTGCATTGCTTTTGTCACTCCTTTCATTGCTTGCGCCATTGTGTTCTGAGAACGTAACGTTTGTATTTTTAAGGATACTGCTTGAATATTTGCTTTCATAAGCATGAACTTTTTCACATAACGCCTTGTCCTAACAAGATCTTTGGCCATAATTTTCACAGCATCCTATAGTAATCAAGAAATACCTTAATATGATATATATAACAAAACAAAATATAATATAATATATATATTTAGTTATACCATTTGTCCATCCTTTGCAAGTTTCTTGATGTCTGCTATAATTTTCTTCTCCTGCTGCTCCATTCTCACTCTTTCTCTGTCCAAATCTCGCATTGCCTTATTCAATGCTCTTTGGTTTTTCCTGAGCATTTCCTCAGGAGTAATACGCTTGCCGAATAACCACTCCATGATTCTACAGATAGAGATGTATTGAATAAAATCTTGAGATAAATTAACAATTTAAAAACAATATGCGTGTCAATCATCGATGGCATCAAAATCGATGGCAAACATGAATGAAAATAAACCATGTCTCGAAAAATACATCTTATTTCTTACATGTCAAAATTGCGATTAACACAATTTCCAGTTACAAATGTACCACTATGCACTTAATCGCGCTATACCATTATATTGATCATCTCACATATATTTCGTGTGTACGAATCTTCCTGGAATATCAAACTGACATTAAGAAACACGCATTTTATGAGTCACAGTTTTTAGAGGTTAAATCGATCGGTGGAAGATCGAGATTACGTTGTCACGACGAATCATACAGGCTAATTTTATCCGATATGTTATCAAATAAATAAATATTATATTTGTCATTAATATGTCATTAATATCCGGCGTACGTGCTATTTACAGGAGCAGATGTGCATGAACGTCAAAGTTACGAAGAGGAAGAGAGAAAGACGACGACTTTATTAGATCTTTGTCACATGTATCTAGTACTAATCTCGTGTGATTGTCACAGATCTCGCCAGGATAATACCGAGAATGATATCACAAACAGTTTTGTCTTCTCAACATTTCTCATATGACAGGTCGTGCTTACAGCAACGACAAATCCCTCAAATTCAAAACGGGTCTAAAGTTTCAAGTCGCAATTGTGTTCAGTATCAAGAGAGACAGACTGCACAATGTACTCGGATTTTGGAAAGAGAGAGAGAGAAGGTAACAAATTATTTCTATTTATCTATCTCTCTCTTTATTCCGCTCCGAATCACTGTTATACCGACATGTTACTTCCGATGACTCGATGACACCGATCGTTATGACGCGTTGTGTCACCAGAGGAGGTCTCCTAGAACCACTTGCAACTAGAGACCCTTGAATTAGAGTCTAGTCATAAGGATTCCACTTTTGATTGGTCCACCAGTTTTGGCAACTCCCGCTCATATTTGAATGACCTTAGCATTCGCTCGCTATTAGCGTAAGTATAATTTAACAATACACATAGTTATACGAAATAAGTGTACAAATTATGTATTAAAATACTTTTTATATTGTAATATATTGTTGTAATATCTTATCATTGTTGTAAATCATTAATTCTAAATTCGACATTTTTGCTATTACATTTTTATTAAAAAGAGAAATCGCAATAGTTTTAGACATTTTCTTACCAATAGATGTTTTTTTCTTGTTTCTGGCTTGATAAATATTTAAGAAATCCTGTAAGATATTTGTCTTGTAGCCTACCAATCATAGCGTTCAGATTTTTGCGAATTCGCTGGCGACTTAAGAAGCTTGCTCAAAGCGAGTAAAAGCAGCATCGTGTAAATCACCCTTATCTTTCCCTCTTTCCCGCTCTCGTTCTCGCTCAACGACGCGAGAGCGAGGCTAATTCTTTCTGGGCTATAATCTGACAAGGGCTACTGCCAAACTTGCGGTCACTGATTTTGACGAGCTTTGGCAGAAATGTAGTATAGGTCTAGCAAAAGTTACTGTTAACCGGAGACGATGCAACACTCAAGCATTTGGGAGAAATTACAAATTGAAATTTCGCGATTTTAAATATGCGCTGTTATTCCAACATTTGCAGAGCTACTTCCAAGTGACGATGTGACGCAGCAGACTGGACGCGGTGCTGATACACGCTAGGGTGTATCGCACCGCGGGATAAACGCTTGCGTGTTTGCGCCTACTTATGTCTTGTTATTTTTTTTAATTTGTTTTTTTTTATTCTTACGAATAAAAATATATATATATATATTCCCAGACTGCACACGGATGTCCATTGGACGTCCGTTATATATCCATTTTTTTTACAAAAGACGTCCATAGGACGTACGTTTGTCACAACTTCGGACATAGGATGTCCGACGGACGTACATCAGACGTCCTACAGGTCCGATGTCCAATAAGGACATCCTTGTTACGTCCAATTTATGTCCACGGACGCAAATCGGACATATGGACATAAATTGGACGTGAAACGTACATCCATTGGATGTCCGGTGCTGTATGGGTTACAGAAGAATAGGAAGATAAATTCATTATATCTGGGAATATATATATATATATTTATTCGTAAGAATAAAAAAAACAAATTAAAAAAAATAACAAGACATAAGTAGGCGCAAACATGCAACCTAGCGTGTATCAGCACCGCGTCCAGTCTGCTGCGTCACATCGTCACTTGGAAGTAGCTCTGCAAATGTTGGAATAACAGCGCATACTTAAAATCGCGAAATTTCAATTTGTAATTTCTCCCAAATGCTTGAGTGTTGCATCGTCTCCGGTTAACAGTAACTTTTGCTAGACCTATACTACATTTCTGCCAAAGCTCGTAAAAATCAGTGACCCCAAGTTTGGCAGTAGCCCAAGGGCTACAATCTGACAAGTCAGATTATAGCCCAGAAAGAATTAGCCTCGCTCTCGCGTCGTTGAGCGAGAACGAGAGCGAGAACGAGGGCTGGAAAGAGGGAAAGATAAGGGTGATTTACACGATGCTGCTTTTACTCGCTTTGAGCAAGCTTCTTAAGTCGCCAGCGAATTCGTAAAAATCTGAACGCTATGATTGGTAGGCTACAAGACAATAGATACAGAATTCCAACTCGTCGGAAATTTTGTCGCTGTTGCCTGTCCCGTGTTCCATTCTGCATTGGCATATGCATTCCCTAGTGCCGGAATTTTCTGTTTCTATTGATATGTTATCGCTATCGTTATTGCCTAACGCTATCGCTATCGCCTAGCATTGTTTTGGGCTTTAGCCTCACTCGCGCCGCTGAGCGAGAAAGAGGAAAAGATATTCTCGCTCGCGTCGCTGAGCGAACACGAGAGCGAAAAGGAGGGAATGATATCTCTCTGTCGCTCGGCGCGCCGACGATTACCGAGCACGTGGTCCACACGGATAGACTGAGCCGGCTATGTGTGCGTGCGTGGTGGGGGAAATTCAGAAAAGAGTCGTGATACTGGCATCGTAGTTATGTGCACGGTTCTACAGAGGGCGCCTCACATTGGGCTCGGCTAAAAGCGGCCCATGACACCTCTCCTTCTTCTCTCTGGTGCTACACGTGAGAGATTCGTAGCTGCTAGTAGCTGCCGTTCGCGGCGCTCATCAGTCACTGTGTGCTGTGTGGTGTATATCAGCGTTGAGGGCACGAGTTTCCGCGTGACTCTCTGTGAGACGTGTGCTCCGATTGTGCGTTGTGTCACACTGTTGTGTTATACACGATTATGCTGTATAGAAACGTGATTGTGCGCGCGTCAACAGTATGTACACGCTATTACATATACTGTTAATACTAGCACACCGCTTGTACGCCACGTTCTGTTACGCCTGCACCGCGTTACAACGAATGTACACAGAATTCTTCTGGTACGCCGCGACCGTGAGCACGGCGACGGAGCTCGACGCGCTGGTGCACACTCTCGCGCGTGCCAAAAAGATCCCGAAACACTTGGTGATCATACACGCGCTGTGCGACCAGTCGCTCCTGGACTATGTGCGTATCATTGGTTGGTGCATCACACTTGATATACGTCATATCAGCTTCTTCGACCGTAATGGTAAAACTACTTGGTATCATTATATATCTGTATTTATATGTGCGATTTTTCCGATATTGCGTGAAGAGATAAGATACCATCTTGTATATACGTATATATACGAGAATATATATATATATATATGCTGCACGCCGAAACTCGATATATCCACTTCTTTGAAAGATGTATGATTTATCAAATCAGATGCAATACTTTGCTGTAATTGCACTATTGCGAAATATCGCGATGTAGATTCTATAAGGCCGGTATTCACAGTCAGGTCTTATATTTAAAATCGTTTTAAGTTCACTTTCAGATACCCCGTAGCCAATGAAATAATTTGTACAGCATCTGTAGATGAACTTAAGATGGTCTTAAATATAAGATCCGACTATGAATCTGACCGGCCGTAGATTCTAAAGTCAGCGGCACACGGTGCTTGTTTTTGTGCCGGATTGCTTGCTGGATGAAAATATTGCATTCTGATTGGTACATTTCCATCCATCTTCGGAAATGTATCAGAACGCAAGTAATCCAGCACGAAAACAAGCACCGTGTGCCGCTGGCTTAAGTTCCGTCTCATATATATATATATACAGGGTGATCCGAAATTCCCGCATTCGGAGTACAGGACATGAAATTTTATGCTAAAATAAACTACTTTTTTCTTTAGCAAAATTGCGTCTGATAAATAGCTTTTGCAGAAGAGCATGTTAAAGTTAACGAATAAGTGCTCTTATCTATTCTGAGTGCTACATAGATAAATGCTCTTAGGCCGGTATTCATAGTCGGATTTTATATTTAAGATCGTCTTAAGTTCATCCTCAGATATTCCGTAGCCAATGAGATAATTTGTAGAGCATCTGAGCATGAACTTAAGACGGTTTTAAATATAACATCCAACTATGAATACCAGCCTTATCTATGTAGCATTCAGGGCCGGCTCGCGTGCCTCATTCGCGTATATCTAATCAGTGAGTAATCTAGTATTCATAAGTAATCTTTTAAGACGTTAATACGGCTCTGTTGTGATTAGTTTACATCATAAAACTGCACTTAAGACAACCTTAAATAATAAGAATCAACTATGAACAATAGCGGGATTTGACCTTTTCCATATTGTAGCTTAAGTAATGAAAAGTTAATAAAATAAGTACTGCCTTTATTTCTTACGTAATAAATGAATAAAAAATTGTCTGATTGCACAATATCATCTGAAAATAAAAACAAATGTAAATAGTAATATGCTTTGCGAATTATGAAATCCCGGTATTGTTTATAGTTGTAGTAGTTAGTTCTTATTATTTAAGACTGTCTTAAGTACAGTTTTAAGATGTCGTAAACTAATCACAACAGAGCCGTATGAGCGTCTTAAAAGACATTATTTACAAATACTAGAATACTCATTGACTAGATATACGCGAGTGAGGCATGCAAGCCGGCCTTGAGTTCTAGAAATATACATGGACAAGAGCAATTATTCGTTAACTTTGTTTCGGATAATTGTTCCTGATAAGGGCAAGAGTACAGGCTTTTGCATAAAGGTCATTCTACAATACGTGTCGTAAGTTATAAACCATAAGAACTGACCAATAAGTGTATGTCTACAACCTTGCTTTAAGAGGATGTAAGCTCTAAGCCGTAAGTGTTAAGTGACGTCATTTCCGTCTCTAAAGCGTGGTCTACAATGGCAGTAAGAAGTAAGCGTAAGCGGTAAGAAATAAACCAATCACAGTCAATTATGACAAAAATAATCAACTGTGGTTGGTCCATTTCTTACTGTTCACGCTTACTTCTTACTGCTTACTGCCATTGTAGACGACGCTTTAGACATTCCCGCGCAGTATTTAAGCTTTAGCCGTTAGATCTAAGCGAATTGCGCAAAACTCAATTCCTACGGCCTAGAGCATAGAGCTTAAAGCCGACATATAATTTTCAGCGAAGAGGACGTTTTGTCGTGTCAAAAAGAATACACCGTCGATCGTGGATATAACCTCGCTCGCCGATATAACCTCCGATTTTGTACCTCCATATATTTGTAAAAGATGCACATTCCACGAACACAACACCATTGTTAGCAGAAGAGCTTGACGTAAATTCATTTTGGTTATGTAGAAAGTAAAGAAACTGTGTGTTTACAAACGCATTATCACCAACTACCAAGTCCGAATAACCCTTCTCTCATTGGCTGATTTACGTCACGTTTTACGCCTTACGTTTTATATTGTGGATTACCGTCTTTAAGGTTTATTTAACAATTTTCAGCTTACAGCTTAGAGCTTACGGCTTAGAGATAAAATATTTTCTTAAAGCGAGGTTGTAGACATACACTAAAGGCTCGTCTACATTAGCTGTAAGAGTAAGGCTGTAAGGTTGCAAGACACGAAATGAAATATTTTCATTCGCTGACAGCTTACGTTACAGCCTTACTCTTACAGCTATTGTAGACGAGCCTTTATGGAACTCGTCGGAATCGATTCCGATCGAATTTATTTCATTATTTCCTAGATTTCTATTGGCTGCTCTCAGCAGAACAAAATGATCAGTGAGCGCTTAGTGATTATTGTCTGTGATTGGAGCATTCTTTTAGATTTTTCAAAGACCCAGAAATATTTATCAATCAGGAGCGAGAATCACTAAGCGCTCACTGATCACATTGGTTGCGTTCAAAAAACAAAGCGCTCACTGAGCGCTTAGTAACTATTGGTCCTTACTGTTAGATCCTTACATTCAGACCAATAACGTTGACGAATTACTCAACTGTTGTGTAACCGTTGTGTTTTCTGAACGCAGCCATTGGCCGCGTTCAGTAGAACAAAGTGATCAGAGAGCGCTTAGTGATTATTGTCTGTGATTGTAGCATTCTTTTAGATTCTTCATGGACCCAGAAGTATTTACCAATCAAGAGCGAGATTCAGTGGAAAATCTAGTAAAGTTGTCCAACTGTTGAGTCTGCTGAATGTAGCCAAAGGCTGCGTTCAGAAAACACAACGGTTGAATAATTCGTCAACGTTATTGGTCTGAATGTAAGGATCTAACAGTAAGGACCAATAGTTACTAAGCGCTCAGTGAGCGCTTTGTTTTCTGAACGCAACCAATGGCCGCGTTCAGTAGAACAAAGTGATCAGAGAGCGCTTAGTGATTATTGTCTGTGATTAGAGCATTCTTTTAGATTCTTCATAGACCCAGAAATATTTACCAATCAGGAGCGAGATTCAGTGGTAAATCTAGTAATGTTGTCCAACTGTTGAGTCTGCTGAATGCAGCCATTGGCCGCGTTCAGCAGACTCAACAGTTGGACAACATTACTAGATTTACCACTGAATCTCGCTCCTGATTGGTAAATATTTCTGGGTCTATGAAGAATCTAAAAGAATGCTCTAATCACAGACAATAATCACTAAGCGCTCTCTGATCACTTTGTTCTACTGAATGCGGTCTTTTCTAAGGGAAACGGAAATATTCCGATCGGAATCTAGAAAAGACAATAGAAATCTAGGAAATAACGGAATAAATTCGATCGGAATCGATTCCGACGAGTTCCGTAAAGCCCGTATCAGACTATGGATTGGGATTGAGATTAGATTGAAATTTGACCAATTGAAAAAGAGAAAATAATCTCAAGTATAGTAAACTTACTCCTGATTGGTTAAATTTCAATCCAATACTCAATCCCAATCTGTAGTCTGATACGGACTTAATAAGTACCCTGGTCCTAATCCTGTATACAGGGTGATCCGGAACAATTTCTTGTCCTACTTAGTATACTTTATATACCATATTCTTGAACTCAAATTCTACGACTATGTTTCTATTTGCAAACTGTTAGCCGATGCTTAATTACTTAGTTGTTAAAATAAGTTCGTCTGTTATACAGGCCGGATGCAAAAGGCAGTCAAGAACGGAACAATTAACCGCGTAGGCGCTGACGTTGGGCACTTGGTACGATGTGCTGATCGACGCATGTAATAACATTCATACACATTATTTTTAAAACTTAAAAATTTTAATAGTTGCGGGTGCAATAGCAAATGTAGTTTAATTAAATTAGTAGGATACAATATTATAACGTAATGTTTGAGAGTAAAATATTCGATATTAAGCGAGCTTTTTTTAACTACATAAACTATAAAAATACGAACGAGAAGAACGGAATGTTAATTACATTTAGAAAGCATAAGATATTCTTTTAAGTGAATCTACGAATTTTTATTCTTTTGTACAAATTATACTCATCTTGAGATTAACGAGTTTAATCTTTAATTTTACGCCTGATTTGATCGCAAGTTACGAATATTCTTTTCTCTTCGTGGCAGGTAAAATTAAGGAGAACAGAAGTTGAAGACATGACGTTTATTCGCATCTTATAAGTCGGGTGATTCTTAGCCTGTTTTACAATTTTCCAATCGGTCTCGTCTGCGTATTTCACCAATCGGTTTCATTCGTGAAATATCGAATATTTTACTTTCAAACCTTACGTTATGACATCGCATCCTATTAATTTATAATATTTTATTTACTTTATTACGATTATTAAAATTTTTAAGTTTTAAAAATAATTTGTATGAATGTTATAACATGCGTCGATTAGCATCCAATGTCAGCAGCTACGTGACACGCGCGTAAACGGTCAATTGTTTCGTCCTTGCCTGCTTTCTATACCCGGCCTGTATAGACGAACTTATCCTAATAACTCAGTAATTAAGCAGTAATTAAACTCAGTAATTAAGCATCGGCTAACAGTTTGCAAGATGAAAAATGGTCGTCAAATTTGTCCAAGAATATGATATGCTAAGGACAAAAAATTGTTCTGGATCATTCTGTGTATACATATATACACATATATATGTATACAAATCATATGTTTGTTTTGTTTTTCTTTCAATTTAGGCAAAGACAGACATATGATTTAATTGTTAGTTAACTTACTAAGAAGTTGGAACAATCGGCCCTAAGAATATCTTTATAATACCTGGTCAAAATGGAATAGCCGTATATGTATTTTTTCTCTTTCCTTCATGCATTCTTACTTTATAATATGATAAATTATGTATATCAGTAAGTTTATGTTCAATGATAGGAACATAATCTGTTGCATTAATTTCATATAAATGAACTTAATGATTATGATACAATATGAGAACTTCATGTAATATTGAAATATTTTAATAAAACAAAATACAGTCTTATTTACACAAATTGAATTCTATAAACATAAATAGAAAAAATCATCTTACATAAAGCTAACTTATTAGAAGTATAAATAATTTAATATAGTTTTAAATTTCTTCAATATTTAATGATGTATATAATTATTGAATTGTTCTGTATTTCAGATTTAAAATTTAATTTTTACAGGTTTTTTTAAGAGAAATGAAAGCAATCTTAAAGAACAGTTTGCGAAAAAGTGGCCTGATTTAGTAGAAAATATTACCTGGAATTCTTATACAAAGGCACCTAGTCAAAATGGAATAACAGGTATAGTATATTTTTCTCTTTCTTTTTTTCTTTAAATTTTTCTTACTTTTTGAACTTTTCTTGGTTACTTCCAAGAACGCTAAGGTTTCAATATCATGATTTGTAAGTTGAGTTGTACTTATATCTGTACATGGATAACAAGGTGATAAAAAAAATGTATGCAAGTGATGAAGGACACTTCAAGGAAAGATTACATAATTTGCATATGATTATTGTAATGCTTGAACAACAACTATTGCTAGTTGTTAGCTGTTTTCTCTTTTCTTGTGACTTGTTTTTAGCTAATGGTAAATGATAAAATAACATTCTTCGGAGAACAATATCAATATCTCATAATGTTTTGAAAAATTACAGACAGCAGGACAAAAATAAATGTATCATTCTTATCCGACGTAGATGGTAAAGGAAAGATAGTAACATTAACACAATCATTGGCAAAGGCCGTATCTTCAGGGAAACTTGATCCAGAAGAAATCACGGACCAACTAATTACTGAAAAGTTACAAATAAAAGGGATGCCCGATCCCGATCTTGCTTTAATATACGGTTACAGTTGTTCCACACATGGTCTTCTACCGTGGCACACAAGAACAACAGAATTTTTGTAAGTTTTAATCATAATCACTAGAGTATCAACCAATACGTCTGCAAACTTCCTAGCTTGATTCTTATTTCCCCAATTGTAACCATTTGTTTTCTTTCCAGAATGCTGCCACTGTACGTTAGTATTACAGTGAAAGATTTCGCGTATATATTAGAGAGATATAATAAATGTGTACAACGGTACGGGAAATGATATGTAATTATCCTTATTTATATAAACTATTGCATTTATGATAAGAAAACAAATAAATTATCATGAAGACTGAGCTTTTCAAATACAATTATTTAATATACTTTAATTTAACATGTAAAAATATTTTAGGCTTGTACAATATATAGAAATGCTCGATTTTCAAATTGGAGCCACGTCCTTCGTGGATTTGTTTTCGACAATTGAAATCTTGAAAATAAATCTGAAAACATCGTTGAAAGCAAAAGATGTGGCACCAAACCAGAAACTAAACAGAGCCAGTGTAAAAATAAAACAGATCATCAAGGTACATCATAATCTTATGATGAAAAAAAGAGTAATAAAACAGTATTACGTAAAATGCGATAAAATGAAGATCGCGTTATTCTTTTTTTCACCGACTACGAATTCTCTTATTGCGAAATTTTATTTTCTCTTAGATAAAAATTTCATTTAAATTTGTCATTGTAAAATTCATTATATACACAAAAAGAAATTGCTTTCTTATATTTTTATTTTGATACATATGCATAAAATTTATCTTGTATAATAGATAAATGCGCTTTTATTATCGTTTAGATCAAAATATATAACTCGTGTTACAAATATATGTTTGAAAAGATAAGACATAATAGCGCCATGTTGTAAATAATAGGCTGCGAACACTTATGAATATCTTACATAAATTCTATAAGAATTTGTAAATACGACGTTGATAGTTTTTTTGTTTTTACGAATTTCTGATACCCAGTGCCTGCTCCAACTCTGCCCGTTTCTGCTGCACCTTCGTGTAGAAATAACGGCAAACTGCTTCTTGCGCCCATGGCTGATAATAAAATTCGGCCCTTCGTTCCTCCTCCGGATTGCCAACAACATCCGTCATGGTCTTCAAGTCCCTGGTCTGAGAGATAATCCACTTGTTGATGAATTGTTGTGGATCCTTGGCGAAACTTAAGAAAAATTCACGGTTTGTTTTCAACTGATTGATCGTCTCGACTGTCTCGTGAATTTTATTATCGAGACTCTGAATTTCTTGCTGACTGGCGGTAGATAGCAAAAAATTATTCATCTGCGTCTTCAATGTATCGTCAACTTCCACATCGATATCGTAGCAGGCAGTTTGCTTTGTTTCCGTACCTGCATAAATAAATTTTCATAGCAACTATTCGAAATTTAATGTCATTTAATTTCTTTGTGATACGATCACTCAACTCGTAACTTATCTTTCAAACAGTAATATTTGTTGGATTTTAATTGATATTATCTTTGAAGTAATAGTTTTACTCACCTTCCACACTTATTACATGATTTATCACAATAGGATCGGGCGGATGTAATAGCGGATTTAATCGCTGCGGTATCTCAGCAAATTTCATTCGCGGACATGCAAATATCTGTTCCAAGTATTTATCACAGTTGATAAACTCTCGTTCGTGACTATCTTGGAGCTTGTGTGTTTTTATATATTGCCAAAGAGCGGATATAATGACGGGCCGCGTCTGTGTGTGTACGCCTAATAATCGTGCTAATCGTGGGTCTAATTTAAACTGCAATAAAATTCGGATATTAATAACGACATTAAATTAATTTACAATAATAGTCAGTTTTATATAAATAAAATAATACCTGCAAAGGCTGGTAATCAAGAAGGAGCAGTATAGTGCAGCGTACGTTTTTATCACCAGGTCTTTTAACTTGAAAACCATCAGTTTCTTGGGTGGTTAAGGTACGATGCCATTCAACTAAATGATTGTCAGGACCATACAAATCCTTGTCTAACTCTATCACTAAACTTTTGAAAAAGGACGAGAATTTACGTTTTACCTGCAGGAGTAATGCATTATTATTGTGATTGTTATGATATACTATGATTATTTTATTATTCCTTTATTAAGCAAATATGTTATTACCTTATTAGGGTCATTTTTTGTATCATCTAAAAGACGACCTTCGACTCTAAGTTCCCAGGATGCCACAGATCCTTCTTCTCCTTCACCAGCTTCCTTAGCTGGATAAAATGTGTTTGAAATAAAAATCCGCAATTTTCGTTTCTGCTTCATCGGACGCTTTAATGCCTCTTGAATATCGAGGCGTTTCCGCATTATAGTTGCATCCAATTTCCTTTCGAATGCAAGCAGGTCCATGTATGCTTGCGATTCTGGCACCAAATCTCGTACTTTCTGAGGCAATATTTTATCCGCCAGTTTCTTCTTTTTCTTCGATGTGGAATGTGAAAAATCACTGTTCCAAAAATACCTAGATAAGTTTATTTGAAACCATATTGATGTAAAAATTATAAATAATTTCAGAACACTGGATTGAACAATGAGTGTGCCTAAATAATTCAACTGTAAAAATGAAATTTCCATAGCAATATTATATGTGAAAGATAATAAGATATAAATTTACAAGAAAAAACTGTATAAATTATTTTATTGCGGAACATATAAACATTCAAAGATATTATATACAATGTAATAAAAAAAACACATAGATGCATAAACATACATATATATATATATATATATGTGTATGTATATTGAACACTATTTCTCAAATTTTCTTAAATGATGTTAAAACTCACGGCTTTTGCTGTGACATAGGGATGCGTTGGTCTGTACTTCTTTTTCCAACAGGAGGTGTAGGCATCGGTCCTTGACGCATGTTTGAATAAGGTTGGTTTGGTCTCATTATGCCTCCTGGACCAGGTCCAGCATTGCCCATTTGAGGTGGTGGAGTAAAGCCAGATCTTTGCTGCATCTACAACAGAATTACATGTATCATTACAGTTTGTATTATATTAACTCAATTATACTATAATTTAAAAATATATCTTTCTTTTGTATTGTCAACTGTGTCAGAGTTATGTTTACCGGAAAATTAGGTCCAGAATACTGGCGTAAATTTGGTGGTACAGATGATGGTGGATACCTCTGAGAAGGAGGTCCATTATTTCCTGTATTTGGTACGGGAAATCTTTGTGCCATTTTTCTTCAACCTTGAGAGACAAAAAAAATTACTCAGATATATTTTTGGTATAATTTATATTCTTTCAGAATTTAATATAAAAATATAACATAGGAATACAAAATGACAAAATCGGCGGTAATTTAGCTAAATTATACAGGAAACTATTTGTATCACTTATTTGTTATAAATTTAATTCACACAATGGAAAAATGCTCAATAATTACAATAGACGCCCAACACACAGAAGACACAATATAACCTCATCGAGTGAACAGAATATCTACTATTAATGGCACATATATTCATTAACATACGTATTACTTAATCAAAGATGTATAATACATATTAATATAAAGAAAATTGCAAATAATATATGGAATTTTACACAAAATCGCGAATGTACGTTCGAGCGACGCTGGGAACTCAGTGATTTTAAATCGACAGATTTGACGAAATACATAGAGAAACGTAACTTTAGGCACTACACACATATAAAGTTCGACAAATATTTATAGAAGATAAGTGTAAAAATATCCTGAATAACCTTATGACGCTTCGAATTAACGTCCAATTATTCTTTTTCCGTTTCACTTATATACTTTTGCGACATTAACGAATTACCTAGTGCAATCTAACGATCGTGCAAGAAACTCGTTGTACTTAATGAGTTTGAGTCTTAGCTAAGTAGGTTCAAGTCTGTACTAAACCTTTACCACGTGACCCTTCACAATAAGACCCGTTACTTTTTTAGTTCCAAAACTCTCTGCTACGAGTCGCTTGTGTTATAATGAAAAATCGAGATTACAGTATGACTCAATGAATGATTGAATGAACCTTTCATTTCCAAATAGTACGAATCAACGGCACGTAAGAAAACTTATTTTTTTAGTAATAGGATTGAATAATAATTAATAGTAATAAAATAATAATAAAATAATAAAGTCTATTTAAGAAATAATTGTTACAGAACTCAATAGATTTGATAACATCAAAAAGATAATTGATTGAAAAAAGTTGAACAGTAATCCTAGATCAAATTTTAGGTTTGTTTTCTATAATGTCAAACTGGCTCTAGTTTTCTTCCTTTTTTTTTTTCTAACAATTTTATACTATATATCTTTTTAATTTTTGAAAGCATATATTATTAAGTGTAGAGAAATTTTTTATTTATTTCTATTTGTTACTCAACAGGCATGGTTTATGATATACTTCAAAATATCCTAGCTAGGTTAGATTATATATAAGATATTTTATTATTCTAGTACAATATGGATTATATAGAGAATATATAGGGTATTTTTTATTATAGAACAATGGTAATGGGTCCTATTGAAGGGATGCAAGCAGATGTCATATTTGTCATTGAGGGAACAGCTGTTAATGGTGCATATCTTAATGATCTTAAAACAAGTTATGTTATACCAACATTAGAGTAAGTACTGCATTGTTTGTATATATGTGTATATAATGATTTTATGCACATGTTGTAGGAATACATATTATAGGAAATCTTATTCTTATATTTGCTGTATTATAGATACTTTAGTCAAGGTGCCATAGAAGACAGAGAATATGTCTCTGAGGTATAGTATATTAAGAATATTGATGATTGATGAAAATAATTAAGTTAGATAATATTACAAAGTAATTGGAATTTGTATAACAGAACAGCACAACATTATATGGAATAGTTGTTTATCACGCCGCTGATTGCTTGCCAGCACCTTGTACAGAGACTTTTGGACCTTATTCAAATCCTCATAAGCTATTGATGATGCTGGATAAGCTTGAGTAAGTTCAGAATATATAATTTATTTCATGTAAACAAATTCTATCTACAAATCAAAATCTATCTTATATTTATCTTTATTTTTTGCATATCTGTCTTATATATCATTCTTGAGATTAAATATATTTTTTATTAATTAATGCTTTGTTTTATATAGTATTAGTTATTACAATATCATATATTGTAATTATATTGTAATGTTATATTCATTAGGATGATTGGTGGAAAAGGAGAATCGTATGCAAATATAGGTGAAGGTCTTGCAACAGGGTTACAATGTTTTGAAGATTTGCAGCTAAAACGAGAGCCTAATACAGCATCTCAAAAACATTGTATTTTAATATGTAATTCACCTCCGTACCAAATTATGATTCAAGAAACTTACAAGTTTGCTGGCCACACCACAGAACAACTAGCTGCTATTTATCAAGAGGTAAATAATGCAACTGTGAACATTATAAGCTATAAGTACTTGAAGATAAGTTACAATACATGTTTATATTATTCTTCAGAGGAATATTAACATCTCTATATTATCACCAAGGAAAATTCCAGCATTATTTAAGTTATTTGAGAAAGCAGGTGGTGATCTGAAGGCGTCACAAAAGAAGAATTACGCCAAGGACCCGCGACATTTGGTGCTTCTACATAATTACAACTTGAAAGAACGTTCTGTTAGCCCTGCAATAGGTGGTAATGTTCATAATACAGCTGCTACCACTGCACAAATCCCTCTGAGTCCGTTACAGAGCAACGATAGCCCGAACACGAATCAGGTGCAGCAAAATATCGCTCCGCCAAACCAACCGCAAGGTCCTCCTTTCCGAAATCAAGCACCTCAGAATATCACTTCCGTACATCCCGTACAAACCGTAGCACAAACCATGGCGGCTCCGATGAACGCCGCACGAGCGCCATACAATTCACAAATAGCCGCACCACCGAATTATCATCCAACAGTGATAAACCCCAGGATGCATACCAAATGGATGAGACCTTTCCTAACACCTGGTGCAACTACGCCTGCAAATACGCAAAACAGCAGCGCATTAATAGCACAGTTGACACAACCACCTTCGTTAGGACTCAATGTGACCACATTCGGTCAAAGATTAGATGGTAAGAGTGCCAGCATTCATATTTCATATTATTTATTGTACAAAATGACTTAAGTAAAAGATTTATATCAATAGGTAGCAACAATGTCATGGCGCCTAATCCGCAACAACAGCAGCAACAACAACAGCAACAACTCACGCAACAGCAACAACAACAATTGCGATTAACGATGCAATTACAGCAGCAAAACGCTCAGCAAGCCGCAATGTCCATGGCCGCCCAATCGACTCACAATCAGCCAGGACCGCAGCTTACTGTATCCTCTATGAACCAGTCTGTGCCTACTCAAGTGCCGCAAACTGTTGCAGCTCCACAAGCACCAGTTTCAGTATCTTCTGTAACGCAACAAATTGCTCCACCTCAGGCACAAGTAATTGAATTAGATTATATTTGTGTATAACAAGCTTGCTATTTATAAAGGAGAAAAATAGATTTTATATAATTTTTTCATTATAATACTCCAGGGCAATGTATCCACTGGCGCTGTGCAAGGTCAGCAAATTGTGCAACGCGAACGTCAGAATATCTGGCAAGGGATTTTAGAGTGGATCGATAAGGCGAAAAATCCTACAGATACACAAAAGCAGACAAGACACGTCCCGTGTCAAGTGTCGGCTAATTATAAGAATGGGGAACCAGAATTGTAAGTCGTATTTATAATATTATATATGATTATATACTATTATTATATGTGTCATATTGTATTTTATATCAGTCATACTAATGTAATTTATATATATTTTGCATGCTTTTTTTGTTTCTCAGGAAAACAGATACATGGCCGCCAAAATTGATAATGCAACTGATGCCGAAACAGTTAATAGGAAATATTGGCGGCTCTTACATAAAAAATTCCAAGTCCGTTATTTTCCATCCCACGCCATGCGAAGCGTTGGAATCTTTAACAAAAATGATGAGCGCCGGATTTGTAAGCGTATTAAAAAATTCTAAATATATTGCATATTATAATAATATTTAAACTGTGAATACTTTTCAGGCTGGTTGCGTCCATTTCACCTCGATTGCGCCAAATCCAACCTGCGAGATAAAAGTGCTTATACTCTTATATACTGTGGAGAAAAAATCGTACTTAGGTTTTATACCGAATGATCAAACAGCTTTTGTAGATCGTCTACGTAAAGTAATACAACAACAGAAAATATCTCATGCCTCTATGAGACAAGTAAGTACAACGGCAAGAGGCAAGTTACTTTTGCACACGAATCGGGAAGAGAACTGAAAAATTGGAGATTAATCACGTCGTTTTATTAGGGCAATCCTGGACCAGGGAATACAATTCCAACACCCATGCCTACTACAGCTACGCAGGGCGGTATTCTTATGTCTCAAACGAATACTACGGCAATGGGTGGTGCGCAGATTACGCAGAGCGTTGTATCTAGCAGCGCTCCTCAAATGAATATGCAGGTAATGCCAGCGTACTAGCATGAATTTCTAGATAGGGAAATAATTTATCTGAAAATAAATTAAATGCGTTATGTTGCGTCTATAGAACACTGGTATTAGTGGACCACAAGCAAACGTTGGTGCCGGAGGTATGATCACCCAGCAAAGGCCTCAATTTGATGATCTAGAAATCGCCAGACATCAAAATCTGTTGAAGATTCAACATCTGAGACAAACGTTAGAGGCCGCTCAACAACAGGAGGCACAGTATAAATCGCAGTTGGAAGTAAACGTAAATATATATATTTTTAAATTATGAATAGAACTAACTCTCGAAGACATGTTTATAATTGCAATTATTAGATTCAACAAAACCTGGAAGTGGCGCAGCAACAAGAAATGCAATATAAACAGCAGCTTGAGGTAATTCTCAATTTTTAATTAATCACAGATAGCTTTGGCATAATTACGTGATGTGTAAATGTCCTGCTCAAAATGGGTTAAAAGAGTTATCTCTCTGTGTTCTAAACAATATGGTTTTCTTTTTTTTTTTTTTACAGGCGCAACAGGCACAGAGGGGTCTCAATCCAGCCGCCATACCTAACCAACAGGCGAACACTCAACAAAGATTGATGCGTCCCGTCTCTACCAATAATATTGGTCTCAGACATTTATTGCAACAAGTGAGAAATGAAATTTTTACTTATATTAATCTACTATGTACAAGTCAAATGCATGTGGCAATTAATACTTCGTTGCAGCCGCAACCTCAATATAGACAACAGGTGTTTGGAGTGCAACAGCAAATGGTCGGTCCAAGAGGACAGATAGCGACGAGACCGATGGCACCAGCTAATACGCAAAATCAACAATTTGAGGATGTACCGAATTATGACTTCCTGAATTGTCAATAAACATTTTACTCACTTTTAACTTTTGAATATCAGGTAGTGTAAAAATCACGCGCACGGCAGATGCCAGATCAATCTTGACGCGTGAAAAAATTTAGATTTTACCTAAGAATCAGTATGTTGGATCTAATTCAAATGCTAAAAATAAACGCTAAATCAAATTTGATGTTGTTTAGCAATCAAGATTTTCAAACTGATTTCATTCAGAAAGGAACGGTACAAATATGCGTTTATATAGTTATTGCTGTTTTAATATATTTTGAGACGAGAGATCCTAAGTCTAGCTGAGAGAAAGAGAGAGAGAGAGAGAGAGAGAGAGAGAGAGAGAGAGAGAGAGAGAGAGAGAGAGAGAGAGAGAGAGAGAGAAAGACGTGACGTATATGTATAGTATTTTGGTATGCTGTTTTTAGTAGCGTTCTGCGTTTATTTACACGCAGTTTCGCAACATCATTGTATATCAATACTTAATATGAATTAAATAAATGAATTAAATAAATATGTATTGAAGTATATGTATATAAAAAATATCTGTACTGAAGTTACATAGATATTGAGAGTTATACACCAATAGCATGTACAAACACTGTATACCAAACTTGTGTAACGACTGCAATTTTCATTTATTAATTTTACTTTGTACATTAACATATCAGAGGCGAGAATTATGATATTAATTTTATACACTATTTTATACTTTAAGGAAGACAAGATCATATAAAGCAATCAAAATGAAATTTCTGTGGTATACCTTTTTTCCATACAAATAATTCCGTAATAACTATATATATTACATAGTAATCTGAAGAAATAAATTTTGCAAGAATAGTTATAATTTCAGATATCGATTTATCCGAGATAATGAGATATAAATATATTTCGTACATATTTGTGTAAAGCAAAGATTAATATAGACATAATGTTGACGGGCTCATATTTGAATATAACGAGTAAGAAATATAGATAAAATACAACATTTGGCATGAAAAATTTTTTTTTGCATATTTACAGAGTCTGATTTACAGAAACTGTATCATCAGAACTGTACCTGTTTCATATTCTTACTAAAGAAAAAAAGTTTCATTCTTGCTTCATAACGTTTCATTATTTTTCTATTGTAAGATTTATACGATTCTTACTAACATATGCCTATCGCTATTTTAGGATATTCTATATATGTTTAAATATTTATAGACCTTGAAAACAGGGTCTTTTTTCTTTAATCTTTTTTATTTTCTCTTTCTGTTATTAATTTGACATTAGTGATTAAATTTCGTCAAAATATACAAAATCCTGTCACTATTGTAGCCAAAGATTACGAGGAGAATATTTGTTAATAGAAGCTCTAATATTTTTTACATAGCAATAAAAAGACTGTACAAAAGATATCCACAGAGAGAAGAATCAATACAATTGGATAAAATGCGTTGTATGGCCATCCCGATAAATCGGATCGTCTGTGATAGACGCGCGGCACAGCGGACATGATCGCTCTCTATCCAACCATGTCAAGATACACACTTCACAAAATATATGTTTACAATGGAGCTTAACCGGTGTGGTATATTTTTCGTGACAAATAGCACATATACTACCGGATGCAATCACCTGTTCCTTTGATGGTAGCATTCCTAAGTTCTACAAAAAGAATTATGTAGATGCGTTGCGATAACGTCATAATTTTTAAAATACGATTATACTAAAAAATATACATACCACATTTTTGAAGAGTTTCCATATAGCAGTGCGGAAGAGTTTTAGACGTGGCAGTAAATCATTCCCTTTACTAAAAGTATAAGTCAGGGAAAAGAGAATTCCCACGATTTTCTCTGGACCTTGATACGTCTCAAATAAATAGTATAACCAAGGCTGAATGGGAGCAATGCACCGATAAAGCTGCGACATTGCTTCCATCAGAAGATAATACTTCCCCTGAAAATTTTTAGACATCTCGTACTGTATGTGCAATATGTAACAACAATTTATTATTATTGTGAAAATCTACAAATAAAATCATATAGCTATGAACTATATACTATGAACAAATTATAAAGTTTGATGCTCACAAATTTTCTACATAATAATAAAAATAAATATTTATAGTGTAATAATAAATTGAGTAAATATAATATATTAAACAATAGTAATAATACATTAATAAATTAAGAGTTAAATACTTACTCGATTCTGGAAAGCTAGTAATCGAACGGGGAGACAAGTCAGAAGCACTTTGCAAACAATGGTTATAAGTTTGAGGAAGAAATCCATTACTATGACATAACATAGCAAATCCCATATTGTGAGTGGCTGAGCATAAGGAACGAGTGTATACAGTTCGAGTGTGTAAGCAACAAACACAATACAGGCAATAACGTAACATAGGACCAGTAAAAGTAACCAACGACTTCGATTATTTTGTTTGGCGATTTCACGTTTAAGACTGTTGTTGGCATTCATAAACGTGATAAGCAATACGATGAACATCAATATCCCGGTTTTGTGATCGTAGAAAGTTTTGGTGAGGAGTATGAAGAGAAATGGAACATATTGCTGTAATATTTTCAGCATTGCACGAGTTTCCGGACTTATCTGGTCATTGTTTATAATGGTATTTTCCATAGTGTTATTATTATTTTGTATTTCTGCAACCATGTTTGTAGCCTCATGATGTTCATGGGTAGATTCATTGTGAGATGTTGTATTACTCGATGGGTGCTCTTCTAGGTTGATAACATAGCTATGACTTGGCAATGGAACTGGTCGAGTTTGATAGTGTAATCCGTACATCAAGAATGATGTCAACAATATACTAGGCTGTTATAAGAAAAGATTATTAGAATATTTTGGAATATTTTCTTTGTATTGACAGAATAATATAATAGTACATACTGCTGAGTGTTGTATAAAAGGACGAATTGTAGAGGATATGTTATCTGCAAGTATTCGAGAATGTTCTGCTGTTCTTGCACCAAAATTAAATGCTGTTCTAGGCAATGTGGAGTGATGACTGATATTTGGTGTTGCTGGATCTTGTCTCGTCTCGTTTATATTTGACACATGTGGCATAACTGGCTCACAATTAACCCTTGCTGTTTCTTCTGTTGGCCTGTTATCAGTCATATTTTATCTACAAAATAATTTCTTTTAATATGTAACCTTAGTGATAATTTTGTACAAATATTCCATATTTATTATTTATTATTTATTTTTATTACCATAAGAATATATTATGAAGTTTATATAAAATATTCTTAAATAAGAATATCACAGATAAACTATAACCTTACATATCATAAGATGCAATAATATAATCTTATTATTATTAGCTTCTTGGATCAAATTTTATACAACTTAAACATTACCTTACGTTATAATATTGTATCATCTATTATATAGTTTCCAAAATAACGAATAACACGTGTCATATGTCAACAATTTTAGAGATGAGAAAAAATTAAATGGCTGATGAGATACACATACGGATTAATTACGATTTTAAAGATATTCTAGAATTTTACCACGTAATATAATCACACTGCAATATCCCACTACGATTGCTGAGAATTGTTCATCTCTTCGTTTTATATCATACCATAAGAATTCAACAATTGCGCAATTTTATCATAATACGTGTTTATCGTAACAAATACTTATCGCTGACTCTATCGAATATGTATTTATCTTAATTTTGACATGAGAGATGTATGATGTCACGCCATTTTCTTTGCGATAATCTAGGTGATGTCGATTGGAGTTTGGTCGAGCACGCGTATTAAAATTGTTTCATATTTAAAAGTGCAACTTGTTATGTTGCATATATGCCATTTTGAATTAATTTTCTGTCCTTACTTAGTCGAAAGTATCATTCGCATGAATACGAAAAATATTCATTTGCGCAAGGTGCTCATTGAACATAAACTGTAGTAAGTTTAGGTAACTTTGTAACATGTCTATTTGACTGATGCCCGTTTCTACCAACTGTGATTAATTTAACCGGTTGATTACTCTATCGGAATTGACCAATCGCATTTGCTAATATTGGTTAACGACAGATGCGATTGGTTAATTCCGTTGGAATGAACAGCTGGTTAAGTCAACCACGGTCGGTAGAAACGGGCATTAGATGTACTTGTTGCATTAAAAATAAATATTTAGCGTCGTCTATAATGGCAGTAAGCAGTAAGAAGTAAGCGGTAAGAAATAAACCAATCACAGTCGATTATGACAAAAATAATCAACTGTGATTGGTCCATTTCTTACTGTTCACGCTTACTTCTTACTGCTTACTGCCATTGTAGACGACGCTTTACACGAACAGATTTACCCACACTACACAACAAATCTGCCTTACCTAAAAAATAACAAGACTGTCCCAACATAGATGCCGACACATATCATAAAAATTGTCCTGTGCGACGATCGCGCATGCGTTCCGTCGAACGTATTCGTTATTCGGAGTGCGGCTCACTTGCGTTTAAGTTCTGTGATTTTGCTACAATTACAATATAATTTTTATATCGTTTAAAAGCGCAGTTGTGTTGCATTAACAATTGAATATTACAGATGCGAAATAGCGGGATAACACTCGAGCGTAAAACAACATTAAAATCGCCGAAACAAGCAACGGAGGATCGGTAAGTTGAAGGGTTACTTTCGCGAGTGCGTTCTGCCTTTACGTTTCCTCTTTCCGTCATCTTGGATCTTTTCTATGTAGCTATGAGTGCATTTGGATACCGGATATTCGACGGGCGTGTTTACAGCTTTTGACCAGATGATCGAGGCAATTGCTCCCAAAGTCCGCGCCATGTAAAGTATCGTCTGATTGAACCTCATGTCTTTCAATCCTAAGGACTGAAGGTGAGTCGTCATGATGTATTTCGAGCAATCTATTAGAATAAAGATTCATCCGAGAAAACACACGCGTCTGATCTACGATCGACCTCTCGCGGCGAACGAAAAATCTTGCGCTTCGGTGACTTAATTTCCGCCGAGTTCGCTGAGAAAATATTGAATATGTTGAAACGTTAAACGTACGTGGAAAATAGGCGCGGCTATGGCACTTTGTTCCGGGCAAATGTCTTTTCCGTTTGATCTTTTCATCGTCGATCTCAGTATTTGCGTGATATCCTGCGAAAACTACCAAGGTTTCGATTTTATTACTTCGAGTCTAGGAGAGGTCGATGTTTTCCCGATCGTGTGCGCAAATGTACCTTTATCTCGGAATTATTCGGCAAATATTGCTTGGCATAATTTGACAGAGCCGTGTAACGCGGATCGCAACGTTTCGCTTCTTTGTGTCCTATCAATTTGTCCTTGTCATATACATGCAGCACGCGGTCTATCAAAGAATGCTCCGTCCACGCTTGGCCGAGAGTGCTTCGAATCTTCGTTTGCAATTCCTCCCACTGTAATTTGCAATGGAGACAATATTGGAAAAGTATTCTCTATTTATACTCTCTATTTATTTTTCTATTTACTCTATTATTCTTTCTTTATTTCTAAAGATTTTTAATGTCGACCTGTAGCATCGTGCCGGTCGCAGGCTCATCAGTGTATGCCAAAGCGCTGCTCGCTAACACCTCGTTTATATTGAGATCGGTTGATCCCAAAATGTGCGTAATATGCGCAGCGGGAGTTCCGCCATCATCATCGCTGACAAAATTTTTCGATTTTTATTCTTTGCTTTATCTTTTATTTGAACGATATCGCGATTACTACTTGAAAGATTAACACCTTTAATTGATCATTGTTCCGTATAATTTCTCTTTTAAATATATTTCACGTAAATAATTAACTTTATATTTTTAAATGTATATCAGAAATTTATAACATCCAAACGATCGCCAATTCGGAGCTGAACTTACGCGTTTAAAGTGACGTACAGTCGTAGAAAATCAGCGACTGACGATTTCCGACTGTCCAAGTTTTCTATCACGTTGGACAAACATTCCAATAGGAATTGCATCCAATCACTGTCGCTGCTTACGTTTGTTGATACCTGCCCTTTCGCAATCAGACCTATAATCGCCGGTAACATCGCTAGGAACTCCATACTGTCTTCATATGTATACTCGAAACCAAATAATAGATGATGCGTTAATTGACACTATCAGATAATCATATTCTTCCATAAAAATAAGAGTTTTATACAAATAACATGTTTTGATTTGTTCTGGCAATTTAATTTTAGAGTAGCATATTAAGAGAAATGCAATATTTCTCGAACCAAAGATTTTAATATCTCTATATAAATTTTGTTACTTGAATTACACACACACACACACACATACACACACACACACACACACACATACACACACACACACACAATTTTATATACAGTATGCCTGATTTAAGTGGATACGCTTAATTATTTTTTAGAAAATTAAAGATACAAAAAAATTGTTTCAACAAAAGTTGTTTGTTTGGTTTAGAGGGAGGCATAAAACAGTGATAGCATTTTGTTTACAGATGGCGCCACTTTCGAGATATTCACCGATCATTAATTTTCTTAAATAGAAATCCCAACTTTCTATTATATCATCTTTTTCTACCAATTAATTTAAACAACTTTTGTCTGAAACATTTTTTTATTTGCCTAATATTTTTTAAGATATTTAAAGAAAACTTTATAATTTTTTTCAATATTTAACTTACGATATCTTGTTAACTATTTGTCGGAAGAAAAAGTGATACTGGACTCTATTTGGTCTCAAGAATATATTGTTACAATAGCGCCCTGATATCGCTTCTACTACCTCATTACTTGCTTTTAATCGTCGTAGTTGGGTCTTCTATTTTTTAAATCAACAGTTTCCTCACATTGCGTCTTGACCCGAACGTCTTATAAATCTCGAGAAACAATGCCATACGAGTTTTCGCGCGATTATTCGGGTCTATGTGCCATCCAAGCATATTTTAGTTACCTCCCAATAAGTGTACGGCATAACGCCGTGTCTCTTGGCCTCCTTCGCACATTTGCTGACGTTGAAGATCGTGAGTGCGACCGACAACTTGCCTAAGGGTGTAATTGTCTCGGGCAGAGAACGCAATACGGAAAGTACCGTTTCACCTCGTAGTCCTGACCACCACTCGGCATGTTTTTCACGTCGCGACGTCCAATCGGCGATCAGCGAAGCCGTCTGCCGATGCGTCGGAACATCACCGGTCAGGAGCAGCCAGAAGACAGCTTCCGCACTCGGCGAGCCTCCTCGACGAGGCAACAGCGTCATCACTTCCGATATAGTCAAACCACGATATACGATCTGTCGGATTCACAGGATTTGACGATGGAACATTTCGCGGTATTTCTTCGAGAGTCGTATTTGAAGGAATTTTGCAATTTGGAACGAGTCTTTGCTGAGACTCAGTGTTGCGAACGCCTATCACGCGGCTTGAAACTTGAAGAAACTAAGAAAATGCGAAGGTACGTCATTGAAAAGTAAATGCAAAACGCAGCTGAATTCCGCGAAATCATCGTTGCCACGGGACATAGTCGCGACGATAATTTCAAAGCGCAATCCGCGATTATTACACCGCGCTCGGGGTCCATCTCCGAGGTTTCCCTGACGATAGTTTCAACGCCGTTTAATCCGCCATACAGGTCGTTGACCGTGATGTGACTGATAATATTGGGACCGTGGTGACGTCGAAAATTTCTCAGAAGATCGTGATACAAAGGAATCTTCTCGCTGAGAGCTTCCTTCAGGTTATCGCTCGTGCTGGGCTCTCCTCTCGTTCTGCTTATCTTGGGGCCACGAACTTGACGCTCATCGTACTGCGTTAGAGACGCATTTATCTTGAGTACTACAACAGTCTTTCACGCGAACGAAGCGGAGCCGTGCCGCGGAGAGACGGCGGTTACGCTCGCGGGCGCCGCGAACCGCTGAGTTTTCCCGCGCGCGAATTCGCGGCCTCGTATTTCGATAAATCAATTCCAACCGTCAGTACGCGCCGTTCTCCCGCTCCGAAGTTAGCCTTTCCATCGCCGCGCGTGATGCAATTTATCTTCCCGTCACGCAGAGTGGTTAGCTGAACTCTTTGACACCGGACTCCTCTCGACAGGTGAAACATCTTTCGCAATAACGGCTATTTTCACGATATAACGTGCCTCGTAACATGGGAAGCGTGAAAAGTGTCACGAGGCAGCGAGGTAGTAACAGATTCTCCTTTGAGATCCAGCGGGTGAAATTGAACGGGAAATTTTCACGTTTCTTCGGGCCGCATCTTGACGTTTGCAATATCGAGGGAAAACGAGCGTTTTCGACTTTGATATTTCTTTTTCTTTTTTCTTTCTTTTTTTTTTTTGGTTTCGTACTTCAAGCGACGTTTTCCTATTCGACTTATAAACGACGAAGGTCTGCGAGAATATTAACGATCTTAGAAGCGATCTTCCTTACAAAAATCGGAGATTTGATTTCTTTCGACCAAAATTTGATTTGTTTAGTGTTAAGTTAATCATTTTTCCACGTGTAAAAATATTCGATTCTAGATGAAAATTGCACGTTTAGATTGCACGTAGAGAAGAGGACTTAAACAGGCTCGATGTATCGTCAGTTTTTATTGCGGTCGTGCATGTGCATACAAAATAAGAGATCACATATCGTTTTTGGAGGTTGTACGTATGATGTCGCACTTCATACAACTTTTCTACTATTTTGTATTGTTTGTATTACATGTCACACACCGACGCCGCTCGATTCGGAGAGTTCCAACTCGAGGAAGAATCGTCATCTTCCAGCTGCTCGATGGTGCTTCGTTGTTCTTAAACGCAGTTGTTCTTAAATGCAGTTCCTTTCTTTTTTCCCCTTTTTCCCTTTTCAATGGTAACTCCCGTGCCGAGTCATCGATATTCCGTCGTCTACAATACTCGTTCCAACAAGAAACACCTGACGAACACATATTTGCGTATTACAAAACGTTCTTCCTGTTTCAATTTTTATTCGCGTATACGCGCGACTTGAGGTTGAGCGTTTACGTACTTATGACTGACGTCACACACATTGACTGAGTCGTATAATTCTTCAGCTTATTTGAGGACATGAACGCGCGTAACAAATAATAATATTTCTGTATATGTGTGTGTATGTATGTGGTAACAATAACATTCTATCGCTAACGTGTGTGATAACTTTACGCACGCGATAATGGCACGTTGCAATGGAACTAATTGTGCGCCATAAGGACACCTCGTAACGAATTCTAAGTCGTGTTTTTCCTCTGTCGCGGAATCTAAGATAGAAATATTACGTATGCATATATTGTATTCGTCTTAGAATACATACAAACGGTAACAACGCTAGTACACACACGGTATATGCCCGGTATAATCTATGGTGTATACGTACGTGATAACATCTCGCAATGCATTAACGTTCATGTCGCATGTTGATTAACTATTTAACGTTTAATTTTCGGGTTAACTCTTAACAATATAATAAAATATATTTATATATATATATATATATATGTATGTACTATTGCTTCGTCCTCTTTCTTCTCGCTCGCTCGCTTTCTCTCTCTCTCTCTCTCTCTCTTTCTCTCTCTCCCTTCCTCTCTCTCTCCCTTTTACAGTGTCAATTTTATTAGGCCGAATGCAGTGCGAGAAGATTGAGCTGGAAAGAATTCTGAGCTATACTTTCGCCTTTCCGACTCTTCCCGTTTTGCTTGGTATCGTAATTTTGTTATTTTTTATATCGATAATCCGCCTCCTGAACTGTGTTTCGACCATGTCGACCGTTAATCTTAATTTTGGCACAAGGTCTTGCGATGCTGAAATTATGAGGTGCGTTGAGATCGGTAGTTGATTCTGATAAGACATGAAAATGATTTCTGCCTACAGCGGTTAAAATTGCATCTCTTGATGCTCTGTGATTTGCTTCGGTGTGTATATCACAATCGCGCAACATTACATGCCAGAAGAACAAAGGACAAACACAGAAATTTGTTGTCGCGGAAAAAAGCGAGTCTTTCGAGGCGTTGAAGCATAGAGATTTTAGCGAGTGATTTTTTCTTTCCCTTCTATGCACCGGACTGCCGTGAGATTTCCGATATACTCAAGTTCGCAGAGCCGCTACCGCATTTTGCGCAGCGAAATAGATTCACGTAGGAAATTTCGATTATTATTGTCGCTTATTCCGAAATTATATCCACCTGTCCTCACTCGTGCATCATGCGATGACACACATGGCTTTGAGGAAAAATCTCGTCATCTTCGCGCGGTCTCTCTCGTTCTCGATCGCTCATGTCGACCGATGAGTAACGAACGCGATGCGAACGTCGAGATTTTCATCATTCTGACTTCATTGGCCCGGACCGAACGATACCGCGGATAGCGTCGACTTGCGCCGTCAATTGATAACGACTGTCATCGGTCGCGATCGCGACTGCTCACGATCGCGCGAGATCTTCGCTCTACCTCGTGTCCTCGCAATCTCATGTCGAGAACATGAAAGTTTCTTAATCTCTATGTCAGAGAAGAATGCACTTCTCGCTGGTGTCGTGCGGGTGAGATCGCATCGGTTGCGAAGGGGCGAGCGACGGCGAAGCTGGCCTACCCTCTATCGCCTGAATGCTCTTCATTAGTTCCCGGAATACCTGTGGAGTGTCGAGAGGCGGCTATTAGACGTTCGAGAGAGAAAACCCTGGTACTCCTCATACACCCAAAAAAAGTAATTTCGAAACAAGCGGAATCATCTAAATTTTAGAGGATTTTATTCTTATATATGGCCTCAAGAGGATTTTTCTAAGATTAAAAAGAAAATATTATAAACACATTATTTTTAAAGTTAGAGGGATTATATGTTATATGTATGATGCAAATTTTATTGATTTTATAATATAAATTTCCTCTTATAAACAGATTATTTAATCTTTTCTTAAGAGGATTATTATTTATCCTTACTGTACTTTATTCTTACTGGTTATACTTAATTAATTTAAAAACATTATAATGTATAGAAAAAAGTAATATATATAGATGTACTTCTGACTCCAGTTCTACAATAAGTAGGCACGAATGAAATAACATCATCATAACCAACAAATTTCCAATCAGTTTTGCTATGGACTTCATGGACTACAAAGATGTTCGTCATAACCAATTGTATGAAACATAGTTAAAAGAAAGAATATATTATTCAATTTCTTGCAATAGATTACAAACTGTATTGTACCAAATATGCGTAAATTATCTTCGTTATATATTACAGCAATGCACATATCTTTTTTAAAAAGCATTCCAAATATTATGACCCATGAGCGTATGGTTATTTTTTCCTCCATGCCTGGAAGTAGAGCATGACTGAATAAAAGAAGCCGACATTCAAATCAACATATTCCTCTTCATGTAAAAGGGAAATTAATTGATATAATTAAGAAGAAATTCTCTTGAAATAGGAGGAAAACAGAATAAGATCTAATAAATTTTAGGTCAATGGTTCTCTTTCGCTTTATGGAATCGCTTTATGGAAAGAGGAATCCTTTTTCTGCAAAAGGAGCTCCGCTCAGAATATGAAACTATGGGAAAAATCACTTTACAAATAGAATACTTTTTTTGGGTGTACTGTCTCTTCCTTTTTCTCTTTCATATTTTAAATGCTAGAATAGCGTGCAGAACGACACGTACCTGTACAACGCGACAGTTAAATCTGGCACTGCACTCGACGTAGCTGCACCTCCAGTGCTTCCGAACGAGGTTCACGATGTCCCGGTACCTGGTCCCGGAAGCGACAGCTTGCGACAGTTCGTCCTGCTTATTGCCGACGACCAGCAGCGGCACGCCTCTCATGTCGCGCGCCTCGTAAATCTGATCTCGTAACGTCCTAATGTGCTGGAAAAAAGTAACACATCGGTCCGAAACGAGAGAAGGGATACGGCATTGGCGACCGTGTAAATGTTAATTGGAGACCGTGAGTTTGTTAACAGGTATTTCGAGAGTCGCAGACTCTCTAAGATATCTCGATTTATGTAACTATAAAGTAACGTTACTTCGAAACTGTCAATCATTTTTCGCATATAAATATATAGTTCTTAATTTATGGACTAGGATGCTTTAATTCCGCCAAGCAGATTGTTAGGCATCTTCGACAGTCTTTAATTTACTTATTACGCCGTATTATTCGTGCATTATTTCGTAACGATTTTTTCACTCATGTTTTATTTATTCTTAATTAGTGAGCTCAACTCGTGTCACGTTTGTCGACTTTGACGAGGTTATGTGTATGTGTGCGTGTGCGCGCACGTTGTATCTGAAAGTCCAGTCATCGTCGCTTGGTGAATGCATTCAGGCAATCAAGTTTTTTTTCGCCGGCAATTTCAATACAACTTCGTGCTAGAAACCACAACTTTCTTGACAATCTCCGCTTGCAAAATAAAAAGAAGGAAAAAGAAGAAAGACCGGCAACGTTCGCAAAGATTTCCGATGGCGTCGTAACTTGTCGTATTTTAATGTAAAATCACGGCTACATACTTGAAACGTGTCCTGATTGCTGAGATCAAATACGAGCACGTATGCCGTTGCGCTGCGCAAGCCGTAGTAACGGAAGTCCGTCCATTCCAAATGCGAGCTGACCGGGAAGTACGGAATTGTCGGCAGATCGGTGATCTTCAATTCGTACAATCGATCGGCCAGCACCACGCTCGGATAGAACGTCTCTCGCCTCTCGGTCGGTCGATATTCCTCGGAGAACTCACTCCAGACGAATTGCTGGAAACGCCAGTGACAGGCGTCACATGACAGGCATGTTAATCTTCCCGATGTTCGAAACGAATGAATTCCGTCGCATAGTCGTTATCTCTTGTGAACGTAACGACGAATGCAGTGGAGTCATTAGCGGAGGCCCGGGTCGACCATCACGATAATAACGAAAACGAGAATCCCAATTAGGGGAGAGAAAAGGAGAAAACAATTGATCTGGCATTTCAGTCGGGCGCGGAAATAGCTTCCTTGAGATATTCATTATGCCTTTTAATTTCCTCGGGAGTCGATGGTTGGCGCGTCAGTGAGCGGAAACTACCGTCGGAAATGAACGGAGCGCCCGAGCTCACGATTTGCTCCCTCTTCCTGGCTTTGAAACGAAGATTCCGACACCTTGTCGGTATGTGTGCGTGTTGTGCGATTTGCATTTTCGTGCACGCTACTTGTGATGTAACTTGAGGATGTTTCTAGATTTACACGATTTAATATATTTGCAACATAACATTTTGGCATATCAAGATGCCTAGTTTGTAATTGGAGTGCATTAAAATGCGAGAGAGAGAAAGAAGGAGAGAGAGAGAGAGAGAGAGAGAGAGAGAGAGAGAGAGGGAGAGAGAGAGAGAGAGGGAGAGAGAGAGAGAGGGGGAGAGAGAGAGAGAGAGAGAGAGAGGTTTGTCAAATATAAAAAAGATCAGATATACTCGTACATTTTTTTAAAATTTAGGTGCATTAAAATGCGAGAGAAAGAGAGAGAGAGAGAGAGAGAGGAAGGGTTGTCAAATATAAAAAAAATCAGATGTACATTTTTTAAAAATTGATGTGCATTAAAATACGACTGAGAGAAAGAGAGAGGGTTGTCAAATATAAATAAAATCAGATGTGTATTTTTTTTTAATTGAGGTGCATTAAAATGCGAGAGAAAGAAAGAAAGAAAGAGAGAGGGCTGTCAAATATAAAAAAAAACCACATGTACATTTTTTAACATTCTAATGGTGTTTAATAAGTGTGTTTAATATTCTAAAAATTGATTAAAAGGAGAAATAATGTAATAATGTCGATAGATAAACGATCTTACTCGAATTATGCTGGTTTTTCCCACGCCGGGTGCACCCAGGAAGACGACTTTAACACGATCTAATGTGTCCGCGGGACTGTCCTCCTCTTTCGATCCACCTTCGGCGCCCTCGTAGGTTATTGTGTTTCCGCCTCTCCTTTCTAAATAATCGAGGTCCAGCTCTGCAGCAAGATCAGCGGGAATTGTGCAACGACGCGCGATAATGTGTAACGCGTGACATAGTGAAAACTTGTTGCTCACTGTGCAGACACATCGCGGAATTTTATGCCGCGTCTTTGCAGCCGGTAGTGCGCCGTATAAGAGCCGCGTAATTCAGATAACACAACTCATCGCCGGGATAAATCTATATAAATTAAACAATCCTGCGGATATACAGAGATGCGCACACGAATTATGTAACCTTAATGAAATGTCAAAGATATATTCGGTTCTGCATGATTTGCCAGGGCGGGTAGGATGCACGAGATAAAATTTCAAACGGAACTCATCGATGCGAATTTGAAACTTTTGTTTCAACTGGAATATATCGGAGGTAGAGTGCGTTTTTGCGCGTTTACTCAACCGAACAATCGAGAACATACATCCGTGTGAAAGCAATCAAAATTACTTTAAATGTTTCGATTTAATCGTACACGTGAAACAAAGTGAAAACGTCGAAATGTTCTCTTTTTTTCTTTCGCGTTCGCGGGAATTTAATCTTCAAATATAATAACTTCGCCGACGCGAGATGGAACGGATTAATTAATTAACCGGACATTATACGAGAATTCGAACAAATTGGAAACAAACGAGGCGGATGAAATTTCAGGCGTCGATGCACATTTTACACACAAACGTACACATATACACACACACGTACGCACAAACACATTTACGTGATTTATCTTTAGTCTCTGGGTATCTCTCTTTGATTAAGTTTACTAGCAGTCGAGAGTGCGTGAAGCAAACTTAAACACAAAGCGCGTGTCCCGTTGGAGGTACATTTCTTCGTTACGTTTGAACGCGAAATGTCATCTCATCGAGTGTAAGAGCCATTCCGCGAGATTTTCATGGAAAAGTTTTTGGGACATTCGTTTCGTCTACATTACGACACTTCGCAGTTACGATCGACCTTCGCCGTAAAAATATATTATTCATAAATCGAACTAATATTTTCGAGCGTGATCCCCGTTACCTATAAATCACAATATCCTGTCTGCTATCATTCAACATAAATATAGCATGTTTTCGTTTTCGTATTCGCGCAGATACTTTATAATTCTTAAAACGAAACGTCGCTTTTGCCATTTTCACAATTTGTTTCTTTCAAAAAATTGTATTAATTATATATACATATATCAACTCTGTATAAATGACAATTAAAATATAAAATATAAATTGCAATATTAATTGAGGAAATGTGTCTTCTAAGAATGGAATAATTTGTGATTCACGTGATGATACGCGATTTGCCGGAAAAATTAATTTGTAAGATTTGCATCAAGACGTCGGTGAATATTTTAATAAAATATAAAGCGCGAGATTCACGTTAATAGACATGGTATTTTGTCGAAATTCCATCATGAATTAATTTAGAAATTAATTTAGAATAATCGGTAGTACTCACAGCAAGACGATGTGTAGTTACTAGGTGCGCAACTAAGTTTCCGGGTTTTTTTATCAATGAAAAATGGAAAATTTCAAGAGAAATACAAAAAATAGTTTATTCAAAGTATCGTCCCTCGCTAGCTACACATTTTTGCCATCTCTCTGGCAATATATGAATACCGCGACGATAAAACGACGCGTCTTTGGACCGAAACCATTCATCCAACCAATTTTGCATTTCTTCGAAATTGGCCAAGTGTTGCCCAGCCAAGCCATGTGTCATCGACCGGAACAAATGATAATCGGAAGGGGCCAGGTCTGACGAATACGGCGGGTACGGTAGCAGATCCTATTTCAGCGTTTTGATGGTGTCCTGGACGATGGAAGTGCGATGGCACGGAGCATTGTCGTGCTGCAATATCACTCGTTCGTGTCTCGTGTCCCATTCTGGCCGTTTTTCGAACAATGCATGGTTCAAATTGATCAGTTGTTGTCGGTAGCGATGCCCATCGACAGTTTCGCCCGGCTTCTTTTCAGCAGCTCATAGTACACGATTCCCTTCTGGTCCCACCAAACGCAGAGCATTGTCTTCTTTCCGAAGCGATTTGGCCGTGCCGTCGATGTTGATGCTTCGCCAGGTGAAAGCCACGATTTTTTGCATTTGGGATTCTCGAAATATATCCACTTCTCATCGCCAGTAACAATTCGATGCAGGAAACTCTTTCTTTCATGCCGCAAAAGCAAAATTTCGGAAGTGGCTCTTCGATTTTCCATCTGTCTCTCAGTCAACTCATGCGGCACCCATTTTCCTTCCTTTTGAATTTTTCCCATGGCATGTAAACGTTCGGAAATACCTTGGCGAGTCATGTTTAATGCCTCCGCAAGTTGATTTTGTGTTTGCGTATCATCTTCATCCAATAACACTTGCAGATCGGCGTCCTCAATTGTTTTTGGTCTTCCGGAGCGCTCCTTGTCCTCAGTGTCGAAATCGCCATTTCTGAAGCCACTTTTAAACCAATCTTCACAGGTAGTTTTCGATGGTGCATGTTCGCCGTAAGCCTCTTCAAGCAAACGATGTGCTTCAGCTGCACTTTTTTTTCAAGTTAAAGCAGAAAAGCAAAGTTTCCCGCAAATGCTGTTTATTTGGCACAAAACTCGACATCTTCGTTGTTAGAAAAAATATTTTTGCGTTGCGATATGTGTTGGTATTACGACTGGTTATTGTTAACAGAAGTCCAAGCTATAAAAAAACACAACTTCAGACATGTATGTCGACTATATGTGTCGTTAACGCCATCCATGTGTAAAACTTAGTTGCGCACCTAATATAAACAACACGACGAAAAATGTTTGATTGGATGAATTAATTTTCTGGAAAAATATACCGTGAAGATTTCCATTCAAAATTAACCAGAAATTTGGATAATTTAGACTAAATTCTGATAATTTCAAGCGGAATTTCTACTTCGTTCATATTCCCCGAAAAAAAATTGTTTCATTCGACCAAATATTTTTTCTCCGTAAATTAAGCGAGATTTCATCCAATTCCGTCGATTTGGAAATAATACTTCACTTGATGTCGTCGTTATCAACGAGGACATCGTGCGACGGGCGCGTTTCATGACAAGACTCTATTCGCAATTCATGATCGAATAATTAAAGTCCAAGCGTGCCGGAATTAAAGAAGAATCGAGTGCGCTTGTATAATGCAGCGCGCCTTATGTCGCTAAATGAATGGAGCCTAATGAACGAGCAGTGATTAATTATATCGAAACTATTAGAAAGGTGTCTCGCGGAATAAGACAGCCGAAGTTGGATAAAACGAATGCGAATTGTTGCCGCCTCAGCGGCGGCGGCGAAATTTATTCAGCTCCGTACGCGAGTCGTATTCGCGTAAATAATAAATCACGACTAACGAAAATCAAAAACATCTTACATGCTTCTACAGTGACAGCGAACTTATGTCGGAACGTCTCGTGCACGGACAAGTGAATCTCGTTTACCCAGCAGCCGTTTATTCGCGTGTAAAATCGACCTGGACGATGCGTCGTCGTCTTTCGCCGGACGATCCATGGAATTTAATTGCAAACGGAAATCCCTCAATCGCGACGGATCACCAACTCCGCCGCACTCCTCGCATCGCGCATCTATCGCTTCGCTCTGACACCCTTCGCGGTCGAAGTTCGCCGATCGACTGGCGAGAAACTCCGGAATACTGTCCCTTATAACCGGGGATCAACGACCATATATATATACGACGAGCGTCGGATGGCCGATTATTATCGGATACAGCGTTTGAAGAATTTCATCCCCTTTCGATCGTGGCTCGATCGAATTGCATCGGGCGAAACGTGTTCCGCCTTGTGCGACTCGATTATAATTACGACATTGCGCAGATTGTTTCAGCGCCGCCATGTGGAGCGCGCTTCGAGCTGATAGATTGCCCAAGTAATACAAAGTGAAACAAAGTAAAACAAAGTTTTCCTTTGTCGCGAAATATATCGAAGCGCCGCTAGTATTTGATCGATTTTCTACGATATTTCAGTCGGATTTTTTTTACGTATGAACCGTGCGTTAAATTGCGCGTTGAGATCACGGGGATCACGTGTCGCGTTTATCAAGCCATCGTTTCCGAACTATTTCAATTCGGCTCTCTCGAAGCAACGTGTTAAATTATATGTCGAGTTACAGCGCGGTAGACATATCGCGTCGACGCATTAAGTGGATCACACTTAATTCGCACGGAAACACACACGCTGTTGCATTATAACCCGAAAGGTATCTTTCACCGACGGTATTATTTCATTAACAGGATACCGCGACGCGGAGGTTTTAGCGGCGCACGGTCGCGTGCGCGCGCGCGAGCTTTTAGAGCGAGGCTTTAACAGAGCTTTTAATTAATTTTAGCTCATGACGAGATGCATGTACATGATCGAGTAATCGATGTTTTCGCACGCGAGGACGCGCATTGATGCAATTAAACTTTCGAGTTGCGAGAAACAAACGCGAGCGAAGCGTCCTTTTTATGGGAAAACTTGTTTTATTAATCTCGCGAAGAAAAGGTCTCGCAGCAAAATCGCATGCGCGTCGTATACTCAAACGATAACAGAAGCTATTTTCTCTCTCTCTCTCTCTCTCTCTCTCTCTCTCTCTCTCTCTCTCTCCTTATGTGTGCGAGTGTGGTGTAATGAACGAGATGTATGATGTACGAAATTACGAGTGATACTTACGATATTGCTTATGCGGCGGGAGGCTTCGCCTCCTCCAGCCGCTCGCAGTTTTTGTACCTATGGTTATCGGTGATTCGCAAAAAGATTTTCACAAGTCGCGCCGCGGCCTTAGCCTCGGCACGATTTCGTTGTTATGAGCTTCATACACAATTCAGACGAATTTGATTCTTCTCGTTTTATTCATCACTCGAATACTCTCGTTCTCCCTGTGCAGCTCTTCCTTCTCTCCGCAACTCTCACTCCTGGTGTCTCCCTCGGCGCCGGTGTCTATTACCGATTGAAGGGCAACTTTGAGCACACATACTATTCCGTCTCCTCGTAGTGTCCTCTTCATTTCCAACGTTCGCGAGTGACGCCTACTATTGCGGCTCGTTACTTTACAGTTCGGTGCATCAGAGTTACGTAACACATTGTATCTCACGTACATGATTCTTGCCGCTCGACAGCACCGAACGATCGAGTCAACGTCACACGTGACAACTCTCGATGCCAGACGAATATCGATACTACGCAAAGGTGAACGAACTCTCGTCAAATCAGGAATCACCAATTCAATTCAGTTTTCGAGATAAGATGCACTTTGCGACCCGTTCGATTGTCATCGCGTGAAGATAATCAGCGATCGCTGTTGATCGCGTCAACAAGGTCGAGAGCAGACCTCGGCGAGTTTAGACATCAGTCGAGATCATTCTCGATCACATTTCGTGTACATTGCGATCGACGAGGAACTTGCTCCTTCGATCTCGGGATCTCTCCGGAGCCGCTATTGCGCAGGCCTGACTACTCGTCCGATCGACTCGTCGCACTCGTGATCCTCGAAACGATTACTCATACGCGACTCAGGCAACTGCTACGCGCTTCTCTTGTATTGTTTTTCTCCAGACATTGCATACATACACATACACACACACACACACACATATAGATATCCGAGGATGACGCCGAGGATGAGTGAAAGTAGTTACGGTCGCGCGACGCGTCAGTATTGCTTCGTATTGCTATAGGGTAAAGTCGCAGGGTAAGATCGTAGGGGTAAGTCGCCGAGCACACAACGATCATCACTCACGCGACAGTCACTGACGATCGTCGGTGAAATCTCGCGAGGCCGATGCCGGCCTCCTCCGAGTCTGCCCCCGGATGGAGCGACGGCGACGATTGGTCTCGCCGCATTTGCGCACGGTACATTTTCTCCGCCACGTACTCCGCGCGATCACAGTATCATCTCCGTGGACCAGCGGGAATCCTGCCGGACGTTGAGCACACCGTTGGCTTCCGATCGGGAGATAGGGAGAGAGAGAAAGGCCGGGCGCGCGAGCGGAAGTCTCGTTTCTCTCGCGGAAAACCGGCACGCGGGCCTCGGTCACGAGAGCACGACAGCGACGCGAGACCTCGGTACAGGCAGCATCGCGAGAGCTGCACGAGGCAGAGACGTCTCAGGCAGCACGGTCACCCCCGGACGATCGAAACTACCCCTCGGCGCTCGACTTGCGCCTGCGTGCTAGTCGGACCTTCGTCGAGAGAACCGGCCGCGCCAATTTCTCACTGACGCCTCGCTCAACTCCTCGTTCTTCCCTCCCTTTTGCGAGCGCCCGATGGAAAGGACGGCCGTCGTTTCGGCCGACGAGTACGCCTACGTAACTTTGTCGATGATGCTCATAATATCGGTACTAACATGGATGAGAAGTATAGAGAGAGAGAGAGAGAGAGAGAGAGAGAGAGAGAGAGAGAGAGAGAGAGAGAGAGAGAGAGAGAGAGCGCAGTCGCGAGTGCGCCGTTTGTCGTCTTATTTTGCATATCCGATATTTGTCTATTTTGCGACGGAATTTTATTAATATCGAGAGGCAAGCAGGTACGCGCGCACACACACACACACACACACACACACACACACACACAGAGGCGCGGTCGTGTGAACGTAGGAGTTTGATTTTTCATGTTCGCCTTCTTTCAAGGAGTTCCCATCAACTAGGTGAAAGCGACAGGACATGATCCTATTTTATTCACGTGACCCCATTCGCGCCGACTTACGCATGCGTTCCCTCCGACTCCTCATTTCCTCGCGCTATTGCCGCCCCGTCGCTTCGTAAATCGGATTTTTACGAAATACCAGTTACTTTCTACATGTCGGAAGAGAGTAGAGTATTCCCCGAAAGCAACGATCGTGTCGGGTAAGAAGAAACGCTCGGTCCCGGCGCTGGTAATTCAGTGGATTTCGCAAGGAGCCAACTTTTGCAACGCGAAATAAATTGATTTCGCGATTGCGGTGTATGCGCGCGCGCTTCGGCGCGTCTTCTATAATTTAACTATAATTTTCTATGTGGCGCAGAACAGCGTGTTCGCGTGTAACGAGTCCTCGCGACAGTTTGTTATATCGAGGAGTTGCCTCTGAAAACATAGATTTCTGCTGGGGAAATATTTGACGTTGCGTGACGAAGAAAGTTACGTAAAATTCCCTCTGGACACTTTTGGCGGCTTTCATATGAACGTTTATATATCAAGATTTTATTAAATAAATATAGTACAGCTTTACACAGAGAAAAACTATTTGATAATACTGTGACTTTTATATCGGTTAAGTTTGATAAATTGTAATAAATATACATATATACGTTAATTGTACACGTTCAATTAAAGTCGAAGTAGATATCGACCACCGATATCGTCAGGCATACCTCGTCGTGTCCGCTTTGGCGACGTTCAACGTATTTTCGTTTAACGTATACTCCGCTAACGTGTTCCGAGAGAAACATCGCGCGTCGCCTCGTGATACGATATCCGCGTCGATAATAGTTATAATAATATCTATGACTATAACGGGCAGAATGGGCAGCCATGCACGTGCGAACATCCGCTGTTTTCTTGGATACTTTATATATAAGTGACAAAATTAAATACCACCAGAGACACACCGAGAGATATTACGAGAGATGTAAAAAACGAGGTACATTAGGTATACGTATTGCCCACCCACATGATTTTACGTGTAATGAAAATATATGTCTTATTCTATACAGGCTGTTTCACTATTGTTGAGACACATGCGCGACACGGCAGATTTCTCGGGATATTTTCAGACGAATGTCTCGATACGGAAATGTCTCAGAACTACGAATCTACCATTCGTGATTGTCGCGACAGTAATGGGACATCCTATACTTATTTATCGTATGTAGATCCAAGTTGTATATATATATATATATATATATTGTTCCCCATAATTGTACCATATAATAATTGACGTACCGTCAACGAATCAAATTCGTTCCGTCGTGACGTTTGTCTCATCTCTCCTCTCATCATTATACCGACAGGACGACAGACAGTTCTGTTTTCCTCCCGCGATAGACTCGCTACGTATCTTTTCTTAATTGTTACGTATTTGACCGACGAATTCCTGTACTTAACCCTCCAGTAAACGTGTGGTAAGAAGCAAAGTCAATGGGATCGTTTCACGTGTTATTGTGTGCGCCTATCCTCATCGCGTAGGATTAAGTGCGACATAATAAATACGGAGATCAATAAATCGTTGTACTGCGTGCGGAACGTATTTTCTACGATAACTCGTGAAGGGTTAAGACTGTCGCTACTAATAATAAGAGGCTGCAAGAGACAGAAAGAAGTCAATTCGGGAAGTTAATTAGTGTTTGCGGCTTGAAACAGCAAAATCCGCAAGACTAAATAAAAACAGCATCTAACAATTTTCGCGATCTAATTTCGCAATCTTGAGCGCGAAGTTCTAATGAAAATTAGTAGTAATTTTACTTCCTACGTAATAAACGACTAACAACGAAAATTGCGAAGCGTTGCGTATACGATGTTAAAGCGTGCTACTGTGAAATTTAATAACGTTATAGTTTAGAGCATTATCGAGCTTACAAAAAATATAATCGCCTTATTTACACGTCATTCGAGCGTTTAATTATGTTAATATACACGCGCTGCTTTATCTGGGCTTGACAGTTCTTGAGTCTCGAGTTTTAATCAAATCGTAAGTCGTAAACACGATGATCTCAAGAATGCATTAACGCGAAATTATTAAACAATGCTGTAAACAGAGATACTAATTCTTCATTCGTTATTACGTGGCTCGTTGTCGATCATACGACACGTGGACCATCGGTATAAGCCGCCACAATACACCACGTGAATAACATTAGCGTATATCTTCCCCAAGCATTGCGACTTATGTGAAATTAATGTCTGCGTGAAAATTATTCGCGACTGTGGTGCTTTTACGTTACCGTTCTTCCTTTCACTGATACTACGCGCACGGTAGGCATGTAGTGGAAAATCATACTACGGAGTTACTCGTTAAAATTGTTTCGAGTGTTAATAAGCGAACTTTCCAATTCTTACGACTCTCTCCTTCCGAGTTGAGATTCGGGCAATAATAAAAATAACGATCTTTCCGCCACGTTAATCGCCGCGTTTGAAGCAGAAATCAGACAAATTTCCGTGTCCGAGGATGACGCATGTTTAAGTTTGTCAAAATAACCATTCGTTTCTCATTGTTGCGTGAAGCATTAGTCTGAAAATGCATAATTTCTTGTGACTTTCCACTCAGCAAGTTCGAATAGATTACTACTACGCGCCAATAAAGATGAAGCGGGACACATCCGGCGGAAACCTTCTTAACACGAATGTTTGGTCCCTCGTAAAAATCGTTTTACAAAATATAGTCTTGCGCAATCGCGTGCAACACGAATCGCTGCGCTTGCATTTGGAACACGCAGAGCCACGTGTTCACTTCAGTTGTACCAGCACCATGAAATAGGTCACCACGGCTCCCAATACCTACAAAGTTGAAACAAAAATAATTGTTTTAATCGTATTATTCTAAGTTTCCGCGAAACGTGTACAAACTATATAAATATTTCTTATATTGTGAATTTCTCTCTCTCTCTCTCTCTCTCTCTCTCTCTCTCTCTAATAACACGGAAGAGATTAATGGCTTTAAAGAGAAAAATAAGAAGACGCGAATTTTACCGAAGCGAAGAGATCCAAGGATACTGTGAAGAATTTCGCTCCCGAAATTGACATCGCTTTTTGACACTGCTGACACACGATTTGTACGAACGTCTTGGCTTCCTCCGACCCATCGTACCAATGGCAAGAGTAAGCTGCTTCCATCACCGACGTGCTCTGAAACGGACACGTGGATTTTAATTGCTTAACGTTAGAGAATCGTGCGAACACTACGAATCTCACAATTAAGTCTCTAAATTCAACGAGGTATATTCTTCAAGATGAAAAAGAAATTCTTTTTTCTCACTATGACATATCTATCTACGATATTACATATATCTCTCATTGCAATGTTAAATTCATCTTCTTACTTCCGTTCCGTTGTACGTTTAAAAGAGTACAAAAGAGAGAAAATATTGGCTTTACCCAAAAAAAAGTATTCTATTTGTAAAGTGATTTTTCTCATAATCTCATTTTCTAAGCGAAGCTTTTTACAGAAAAAGGATTCCTCTTTCGATAAAGCAATTAAAGTGATTGGAAATTTGTTTGTTATGATGATCTTATTTCATTTGTTTGCTATTTATTGTAGAATTGGAGCCAGAAGTACATCTATATGTATTACTTTTCGTTATACATTATAATAATTTTTTCAAATTGACCAATATGATCAGTAAGAATAAAGTAAGAACCAGTAAGAATAAATAATGATCCTCTTAAGAAAAGATAAAATAATTTGTGTGTAAGAGGAAATTTATATTAAAATTAATAAGATTTGCATTATACATATAACATATGATTCCTCTAACTTTATGAATAAATTGTTTAATATTTTCCTCTTAATTTTAGAGGAATCCTCCTCCTGAGGCCATATATAAGAGTAAATCCTCTAAAATTTAGAAGATTCCGTTTGCTCTGAAATTACTTCTTTTTTGGGTGTTTATGGGACAATCGAGCTCACATACGTACCTCCTCTATTAAACGATTTCCAAATATGCAGAATAAAAAGACCTGGCCAAAGGTATAGATTATGTAACCGATAGTGGAGGCCGCGTAGACGTTTACACCGTTCACCTGTAGCATTTAAGAGACTCGTACATATTAGCATAAAACCTTAATTCCTCATATGTTCACATCGAGCCTACCGACTTGACATCGTTTTATTAATTTATGCGATCGATAGCGGTCATATTTGGTGAAGACCTTGGAAGAAAAAATATGACTGACAACGCGTGCTCACCTTTGTCGCTTGATAGGCGAGCAACGTCAACGTGATGGTTGTCGTCAGCATGTGCAGCAAAAGAGCGAAACCATACGCGTCTCCGACCGCGGTGACCAATCTATGCGGAATAATAGTTATTAAAGTCTTATTAAAGTTCTAAATTGACAGGTGGTGCCTGTCATCACTACCGCGACGACGACGTCGAACAGTCGATGGTGACTTCCGTTCGGTCGTCGTTAAAAGCCGTCGACAGGTGGTACATGAAAGTTATGAATATATTTCATACACGTTTCTTTCGCGTATAGACGTACGTCACGTTTGATTTTCATACTAAATCAAGCGGCTAAAACCAAGCCGAACAATTGCGGCCGAGCAGGATATACGTTTCCGTTTCACCACGTATATCCTATTCGTTACGTGCATCTTGTTTCACCGATCGTGCGAGTTAACGCCGGTCCCTCTAAGTGAATAATCGATACGACGAAACGCCTTGAAGGAAACGCCACGGTCTATAACGCGTCACGTTGAAGTCGTCGCCGTCGCCGTCGCGCCAAGTCGCGATCGTTTCTGCCGGCGGACAGAAATTTTTTATTCCGTCGATCCGGCATCCTCGGGGGATGCCGGATCGAGGATTCGATGCCGCTACATAGGTCGCTAGTTCGCAGAAGCCTCGTCCCCTGAGACCACTTTTAGTTTAACCATAGGACATGACCTCCGTTGCGGTCAATATCTTTTGCTTCCGATACCGCGAGAGAGCTGATGACACTCGCGCAGTCATATCGCTGTTTAGATATCGCGACGATACGTCGCATTTGACACCGATACATCACCGATACAGACGTGCGACTTTCCTTCATTAACATTTACGATTGTTGATCGTGAAGAGCGGTCGAGCGAAGAGAAAAAGGAGAACATTGAATTTCAAAAACGTCGTGTAGACTCGGCATACGAAACCAGGAAGCAAGTCTTTCAATAACTCGCGCCGACTCGCATATTCGACGCGCTCGTTAAAGTTGTGTCAATTTTCAAAATTATCGGGACCATTGAAAGCACATAAAAGAGCTATCAGAAGAGCAACAGCAAAGTAGTAACAGTCCGAATAAGCACGAGTTCCGCGGTAAATCTACTAAATGGCGGGATTTGTCTGGAGAGATCGTGAAGATTTTCACATGCACGTAAGCGCGCCGTGAGAGCAGCGACGCCGAATCACGACGCCTCGAAGGCTCGAAGGTCCGCCGACGAAAATCTGTCGTCGCGCTCGTGCAGGTGAACCACGTGTGCACATACGAGCACATACGAGCCGCACGTGAACGCTCACCGACATATACGTCCCCATGAATCGCGCAGACCGTACGACACGACCCCCGTTGCGGTCAATATCGCGCTTTCTTAGAATAAATACTTCACCACCGTGGGAACACACGCATCCCGTGCCAGCCGACGAGTAGCTCTGGCGCCCCGGCGAACCTACAGGAACGGCATCCGTTCGCATCGCGCCGTTCTTGGCTTCTTTCTCGGAGGAGCGATCGCTCGCTCGCGTCGCCCTGATCGCCTTCCCTCGACGAGCAAAACGCTCGCTCGTGACGCGCCCGACGCGCTCGTGCGCGTTCAAATTTGAGGAAGGGAAACACACGTGTTCTCTTTTTGTTTTCAAACTGCAGCACGAAACTGCAGCACGAGACGGTGGTCCTGTCCGTCGCTGACTACAAGCGCCGACAAATCGAACGGTTATCGCGGTGGTGCGAGTTCTCCGTAGGAGAACTCCGAATTTGGAGAATTCCGAAGTAATACGTGAGATCCGCCGTTCATTCAGACGCTTGTTTTTCGCTTGATTTCACCTCTTGTCGGCGAAACTCCGCACATTAATGAGCGAAATATCGACTCGATCAATTTTGCAAAAGACTACGGACACTAATTACGGATTATGTAATCGCTGTTAGGCCGCGTCGTCAGAGAGAGAGAGAGCGTTTTTACGGATGTACTCGTTCGATCAGAGATATTTGTGGGGACGATTGGTGTAAATCCCAAAATACGTGGGAAAATAGTTGAAAGTATGAGTCGAGTACTTTGAAATAAATCGCCGAAATAACCTCTGTGGCGTTCAACGCGCCGAGTCGACTTCCGCGAAAGTACCGGTGCGAACATCAAGAATATCATAAGAATATAAGAATATCATAAGTCATGCATATGTGACGATCATTTCGTTCTACGCGCTTGGATACAAAAAGAAAAAAACATTACTTCCGTCGATTGAAAAAAATTGCTTTCGTCTCTACTCTTCGATTCTTCCTTGACTCGCATCGCGAGATCGCGAAATTCTTCTCATTTCATCGATGCTTCATGCCGCGTGTCGGATCACATCCGACACGAATCGCTTCGCCAGCTGATCGAAAAACAATATCGGATATTGGTAAATATTGTGAAAGCATAGACGAGATTCCGCTAACACGCGCTTTCCGGTAATCGACGGCGCAGCGAGCGCGACAAGCGCACGCGATGCAGGCTATATACTACTAAATACTTGCACGCCCAAGAGAGACGTGCAAGTTGTGGAAGATTCTGGGTCACTAGTTCACTCGCAAGATGCAGATAACTCTTAAAGAAATGATCTGTCGCTCAACATAATGGACGAGCGCATGAATTGATTATACTTCTGCGGCGAGTAAGTGGAGCACGGGGACGATTTGCGCGGTGTGTCTCTCATCACGATACGCTCGATACTGAATCTTTTATCTCGTGTGGTCTTGACACTTTATCTTGCGTTCTCCTCCGTGCGGAGAAAGCAAGGTGTGCGACCGACAAGCGTCGTGTGCTCGTTGTGGCCCGACTAAATCAACGGACTCACCTGACGATATGCTTGTGTCTTTCCACCCAGTATTTGATGGCGCTCCTCACGAGCATCTCTTGCTTCTTCGTTAACCCGTTGGGCCCTACACCACCGTTGAAAGTCATGCCAGCTGTCGGCCGGAAGGTTGCCGTGAAATCTTGCCGGTTACTGTATATATTGCGAAGATCGAGATCCAGCATACTGTCGCCTTGGGGCGGTACGGGTGGCGGCGGTTGATTCTCCGACTCGCGAAGATGCTCTGCGCTACCAGCCTGCACACACAAAAGAGATATCCGTGAAAAGAACGGAAAAGATTCGGTCTAACAAATAAACCTCGGGGAACGTCAGACGCCGATTTGTTTCCAATTTTTTATAGTTATTTTTTATGTCAAAATATGAAGAAATCTGTTATCATTTTTAGCTTAAATTAATTTTTTCAATTTTTTTAGAAATTTTTCAAGTTTTGCACAAGTACACTATTTTATATATATATATATATATATATATATATACATATATATATATTTAAAATATTTCTTAAAAATATATATATCTGATTTGTTGAAACTTCGCACACACACGTCGCCGATTATGAATCAGAACCATTTTGTAAAATTCAAAATGGCGGATTTAATATGGCTGACGTCATTGTTGAAAAAATGTTCAGTTTTACGCTACATTCGACGTTGGGTAATCTTTCGACTCACTATCCAGCAAACAAGCTCATTTTAACGGCAAAATCTGGTAAAAAATGAACAAGAAATGAACAAAAAAGAATAAACAAAAAACTTCAGAAATTTCGAAAAAATTGAAAAAATTAATTTAAGCTAAAAATGATAACAGATTTCTTCATATTTTGACATAAAATATAATTATAAAAAATTGGAAACAAATCGGCGTCTGACGTTCCTCGAGGTTTACTTGTAAGCTTCGTCTCTTCTGATATTTCCGTTTAAACGCGTTTTGGGCTTAAATTTTGGATTTAAATATGTGTGAGCATCCGCGGCCAAAATATCGCTTTTTATAGCTTATTAAAATAATTTGAAATCAGAGTCGTAAAAAATTGACTGATTCAAGTCTTACGGATAGTGATGATGTGATTCATATTACCACAAGGAACAGAATAATATTTGCAGAGTTTTTATAATAATAATACTTGCATTATCTTTTCCGGATTATACGTCGGTGCAAATAAAGATACCTGGATACACATTCTCCTTTTTTCCGCGTAAATCCATTTCGCAGTTTGGAAATATTTTTCTTACTCACTGCACGTTCGTGGGTTGTCGAAGTTCAAAGCATACCTTGAAGAGTTCACTACTATTGGGGACCACTGTGTCTAACGTCGCGCTCAGCTCCATGAGGGGCTTCATGATCTGCTTGAGATGTTGCAGTTGCTCGCAAGCGAACAGAAGCCACGAGCAGAAGAGTACGTCCAAGGAGTTTGCGTCGATAAGCATGAAGAGCACCCAGTAGAATTGGTATATCAAGACTATCACATGCATTATCCCTTTGCTGGCGTCGAACGGATAGTAGGAACGGAGCAACAGTTGCGGCAACTAGGTTCAGGGCAAATTTAGGACAATGGTTTAACAGTAAAACTTGCGAATTCGACATCAAATGAGAAGGTGCCTCAATTGTAACATCAAAATCAATCTTTCGTGCATATCTTGTAAGGTTTTACAAATAATAACGATCAGGATGTAAATAAATTCGTCTGGGAACATTTTTCTTCAAAAGTGACTTCACGAATATTCACCTCCTCTCGGAGGTTTACTCAATTTTTCATTCTGTAAATTGGTCGATCGATTACCTCGATGATCGTCGTCTCATTCGTTACTGGGTCTACAAGTTTCCTGATGGGGTGCTCGAAGAAAGTCAGCACAGTCCAAGCTATCGCGCTGAGCACAGTGGTAGCGCCGACCAAGAAAAGCAATAGTCGCATCTTCTTCAAGGCGATCGCATGGTATCGAGCGTTGCTCTCGGCGAAGAGCGGATGGGAGTTTGGATTGTTCCATATCGCCCACGTTCTGTAGAAGTACTTGCTCCTTACGGCGAAGTAAATGATCTTGACGATGCTGTGCGTGAAGAAGAGGAGGGTGATCGTGTTGGCCGTGAGGTCGTCGACGTCGGCGCTCTCGATTATCAGGTTCACCGCGCACAGAGCGAATTGCAGTAGCAGCAGGAATAAATTTACCTATGAAGAACAGTTCACACGGTACATCGAGGAACCAGCGAACCTTGCCTTGACCGATAGACTAAGACAGGCCGGTAGAATTGATTGAGAAAACAGATGTGGGACAGCGTTGAGAGATTTTAATGCTCGCGGTGAGATAGCAATTATTGGGAAGGTACGAGAATTTTAAGATTTAAACTGAAAGTTCAAAAGAACCCGAACCTCTTCAGCTTTGATTTGCGTGTAAGGAAAATTTAGAATTGAATTGAATCCGTTGCCGTCAGGTAAAATTGCCGACGGAAAAATTGCGAACGCTCAACTACGCTGAATTACTTACACAGCAGAATATTTTATGCAAATACTTGGACGAATTATCATCGTAATAATTGAATACAAAGTGGCCGAAGAACTTCATGACCCTTATATTGGGCAAGAGGTCGGCCACTAGGCCCTGCTGCTTCATCTTCATCATCTGCGGGAAGAGAAAAACGGAAACAGCTTGTCATCGTTATCGCCGATACGGGATTGCCGTTGGAGATTCCTTTTCGAGCGACTTTTCAATCCGCAAACGCACGATCGCGCTAATCACCGCTAATCTCGCGCACAACACATATTGCGACCCGGATCATCCGTCACAAGGCCACGCGTATATGAAATGCTGCCAATGAAGTTTCCAGAAGCATGAGACTGCTTCTCTTGCCGCATCGAGCGTGTGTCTCGGCGATTCGGACAATCACGAGTCACAAATAGCACGAAATGCGTCTAAGATCGTTCTGTCCCCTCCCGACCCCACCGTAATGAGATTTCAGTCCCGGCAGCATTCGGATAATTCCATCGAAACGTTGTCCCTTGCCAGCCCCCAGCAACGTCCGCGAGACTCTCCACAGTGTTTCAGACGTCCTTCGGAAACTCTAGACAATGCGAAGCCGTCCGAACGGACGTCTGAAACGCGTCTTTCAGACTCCCGGACGTTTCTTGGGTGGTCCTTTCCTAATCCCCTCGTCCCCCCCTTCCCCCGCTTCGTGCGGCAAGCGATTCCTTGTGGTAACTAGCGCAAAGTCTTACCTTGGCGGCTTCGGTTGTTCAAGATCACGGGCTCGAAGAACTGACGACCGCGGACAGCTAAGCGGCGCGGACTTACGATGTCGTCGATGCGGAGGACTTGAGCGCCTCGCGATTACGCTGCAGCAATCGTGCCAGGTATACGAGAAGAACGAAGAAGAGCAAGCTGACTAGCCGGCCTGCCATCAGTCGTTGTTTTGTGACTCGCCTTCGCCGTCGTGAAGAGTCGGTCGTCCGTTCTAGCCTGGGCCGCGCAGGTAACTTGTACCCTCTGCTTCTGCCTGTACCCTTCTCACGCTCTCTTCAACCCCCGGCTATGACCTGACCGCCACCACCACCCGCCGCGGGGAATCCCTTCCGACGGGGTAGCTACCAAACGTGGACCAATCGGGGCCCGGTAACCAGGCGCAGACGTTTCGTCGCGCTACCAAGCGACGTTCCTCCGCGACGCCATACTGCCATTCTTGCGCCGAGCCGGAGTACATACGACGAGGGGACTATAGTCTTCTCAATAATTCAGACCGCCGCGCCGCCCGCGCCGTTGCGCTCCGTGCTCCGCGGCAGTTTTCAACGTAAAGAAAGTTTCGACGAAGAAAACAGCTTGAAGTTCGAAGATGCCTTAGAGCCGGGGTTAGCAACTGCTGAAACGACCGGCGCGCCAGCTACGACGCTACCGGTCGCCATCGCCTATCGCTGTCTATCCTCCTTAAATCATCCCCGCGCGACGGGTTCGCGGGACGAACACTTGCTCGAGATCGCGGTCATTACTTTTGTTTAACTTCGCGCGTGCAGCGTGTTGTTGTTCACGGAAAGTACGTTGCTCTCTTCGGACGGCAGGAAAGGCCCACACCCGGAGCGGTTGGAGGATTCCAGTCGAACATACACGCGAGCGGCGTTCTGATGATATGTTTTTTCTACAGTGCGTTACGTCTCTCTCTCTCTCTCTCTCTCTCTCTCTCTCTCTCTCTCTCTCTCTCTCTCTCTCTCTCTTCCTCTCTCTTTCTCGAAATATATACTCGCCGGGCAAACCGCACGTGTGTGCGATAGAAATAAAATTTCACGCTACAGATCTGCCTGCCTTTTATTCGCACCACTTTCATAGGCAGAGAGCGCCCCAGAGGGGTACACGGGGGGAAGTTTCAAGTTTACGAGACAGCTTCTCGTGCGCTGGGAGAAGAGAGATCGCGATTTTTCCCGAGAGAGAATTTTACAGGAAGTCGTTACGTTCCGTCGCGCGACGGACTTTAGCACACATTCTGAGAATACAAATTGCTGCGGGCTAGTCGTATAATTCGCGGGCGTGCCCCCCGCCCGTGGTCGTGAGGCCGTATATTGGTCGATGAAAATTAATGATTCGTACGTAAAGAGAGTGTGCGCTTATACGCGAATGCGAATGCATACGAGACTACGAGAATGACGTAAAACAAATAGCGCAAATAACAGTTGCTCGTACTTCACCGCCGGCTGACCTATGTAAGTCTCAACGATTAAATATGTCACGTATCGACTCGAAACGAGGGTCGCGCGCCGACTTATGGACATGGATCGTGCATCGTAACGAATTCTTCATTATTTAGGCTGACAGTCCTTACGCCCGCGCCAATACGACGACGTAACACTAATACATTGGCAGAATCGCTCGCTAATGATATTTACCAGTGGCTAAACGCCGGTTAATGCAACCTTCACATGGTCGCGCGACAGCGAAGGATTTAGGTCAGTCGTTTCTACGTTTAAAGTCCAATTAATTCGACGATAATTACGCGGCACAGTAATCGAGCAGTAATCTAATGTGGCAATTTAGATGGCGACCGTTGCTGGTTGGAACAAGGGACATTATCTTGTATTCTTTCAATTTACCGGGGAAGAGGGAATAATTACTGTTTAATCAGGCAGACTTAACTGCTTGATTCGCGCAGAAAGCCTCTCCGTTACCGCTGGCACTCTCCGCAGGCACTCTCATTAGGTTACATCGCCAGGATATCATGTTTCTTCCTATATTTAATTCGAAAATTCGAACGAAACAAGGATGATACGTATCCTTTCCATTTTGGTTGATTTTTGTTTAATCGGTCGCTCGGGCAACTTAACTGTTTGTTAACCAACTACAGACGATTTAGTTGCTGCTTTGAAGGTAAACAAGATTGACGTAATTTTTCGCATAATAATTGCTACGAATGAGCTACGATTCAAGATTGAGGAGTCTCATAGCTTTTTCGGCGTTGTTCCTTGAGAGTTTTATTACGAATCAGTCAAGTTGATCGTGTCAGTAAGTGATGTGTACATAATTTTATATATAAATAAATGATGCCCAAGGAGAGATTTCAAGAATATTACGTTAATTCAATTAGCACAGAAATCACGATGTTTCGCGCTGGTATCTTCGCGGTATTGTGGTCGTTGGTGATATGCTCGTTTGGGTTCACAATGGATCGTTCAGGTATGAGCTGTTAACGCCGCGCGTGTACGCGTGTCAACTTTCGTTTTCGCGTTTGCTCCACGTTCATATTTACCCGGTACCACTATTCATATTTATGAGGAAGGAATGACGAATGTAAAATACATCGTCTGCGTATATTTAATTTCTTTAATAACCAACTGTCAATTTTGTCGTCAAGGATATTCTTCTGTGTGTGTGTGCTGTCAAGGATCTTCATTTAGATCAAACTATTATTGATCTCAAACTATGATTGATGATATTATTAGATCAAATTATTATTCTATTCCTGTCACATTATGTTCTCTATGAGAACAAAAAGAAATAAAACGTGTTCTTTGTAAATTTATCCTTGAATTTATTCCTCCGTTATCTCATAATGCAACATTTGCGTAATGCAAAGATTTATGTCCATTTTATTGGATAGCACTTGTATTGTCCACCTGGGATACGGCACCGTCTTTAGACACATATCAAAGGATATCTGTGGATCCCACGTTGAATAGCAAGATACAGACGACAGATACCGATAAGTCTCCGCAAATTGAGAATGCAAAAGTGATGACGAAATTGACAGACGGGATAAAAGAGAGTCAGATACGTGAGAAGAGATCGAGCACGGAAAACATCGGAGTAAAATCAATCGGTGACATAACATCAGTGAAGAATGATGACTCCGACTTCTCCGAAAAAGACACAGACAGCATCACTGGCCCGCGCAACGTTGTCTTGCTTCTAATTGACAACAAGACTCATGACGAGAAGAGAAGAGAGAATCGGCACGATCACGTGGAAACACTACCGTTCACTGTCGAAGGATCTCTTCAGGTATTCCTAGGTTATCAGGATGAATATTTAAAATAGTGATTGAAAGTTTGAGTTAGGGACTGGGAGAGCTATCATGATAGGTATGTCGACTTTTATAATTGTTTAACGTTAGCACTTTGTTGTTTAATGTGTATAATCTTAAAGCTGTAATTGCTTTAAAAAAAATGTCGAGTTTTTTTTTCCATATCTTTCGCGCATACCGAGATTCAAGTTGCGTGTTATCCGATTTAATAACTCAGAGCTGCTCCGATAAAATCGGGACTATTAATATCTCCTCGGAAAGTGCGCTGGTTTCGGAAAGCAAAGAAAAGGACTGCGATTGTGAGCGCCTGCTTTATTCCAGTATCGGAGAGTTGTTATCATGGGCGAAATACACAAGACAGATGGCAACAGGTCTGAAAGTTTTATTCACTGATTGTCGAAAAAGTTGCATATTAAAAAAAATATAAAAAATTGCTGAATATCACTGGAATAAAAAAAAAAATAACAGTAAATGGATTTTTCGTGAAGACACGCTCGTAAAGACTAAAGCTTGCCAAAAGTAAAAAAAGAGTAAATCTTAAAAAAATTATTTTTTGTTGAATACTGATATCACATACAACATGTGTTAAATTCTAAACGGTATTTTGTCTGCTGGTTGAGAGATCATTGATTCGATGAGTTTTGTCTATCAGGCACAGTCTCCATCAGCAACCTTTCCACCCCGTTGCTCTTCGACTACGTCGCTGGTCCAAGCGACATCTTGACTGGATTCGACGGATCTAATGAAGGTGATGCAAAATTAGAATCACGCAAAAACAAGCGTGATTCTAACAATGCGTGGCAAATGATTAGCCTCGCAGGTGATCGGTCGAAATCTGTCCCCACTTTGCTCGCGCCTGAGGCTAAGAGAGAAGGTAAGTCACGGCTGTATTAGCTAGTGAGGACAAAAAACATGATTCCTCATCCGATATGTATTAATAGTTTTTACTTGTTCTAGTATTAACGTATATGTATTAGTACTAGTACTATTAGTATTAGTACTATATATGTATTAATATTAGTACTATGTATTAGTACTAGTTAAAGTATATGTATTAACAGTTTTTACTTGTTCTATTACAAAAAAGAAAATATTCTTTGTTACAAAAAAAAATTATTACAAGAAACTAGAATTAATCGAGATATTCTCGACGGCATAAGATACGAGACGGACTTTGCGTTTGCATAAAAGAAAATTGATTACTTTGTAAACGGAATGTAAAGTAAACAGTATTTGATAAGAGAGCGAGTTTGTCGGTTGCAGAAACGACGAATTACGACGGCGCATGGAGCATCTTTGACGTCTTCTCCAAAATAAGAATGGCTTTCTTGCGTTCCCTCCTTGAGTCGTTAGGTGGAAAAGATAGCACGTTCGGAGATACATTTTTACCGTTTCCTCTCAAGCCAACTGCGACCAGTTTAATCAAAAACGTAGTCAGAGAGCTGAAATTTATTTCAAAAAACAAAGGTTACATGTTGATTGTTGTCATGCCAGAAAACGAACGAGTTGCCGTCGTTAACCTTGTGCTACGTGAAGTAATTGCTTATTTCGCAAGGATACGATATACGTCATAAAATAATTATGAAGAATTATAAAAACCAATAAAAAATACATTAATTCTGTATTTATAATATATTTGTTGTTCCATCGATGCAGTTCTCCGCTGATACGCTCTTCATAGCGACAGAAACCTGTTCCGCAAATAACAAGTCCATTATCCCGTTTGCCGCGCGAGGATCAAATGATCATATTCTCCGCGGGACAAGAAGAATCTGGGAACTTCCGACGGCGATCAGGAACGCGATAGCAGGTGGCTGGCATGGCCCAGAATGTCCGAATCGACAAAGGCGCGACGTCCCAACTACTTCACACGTGCCGATCGAGATTTTCTCGCAGGAATCTTCGACGTGGATGCGTGTTGTCAAGGACGTCGTGGAAAAACTTGTAAAATTAGTTCGCACTCAACGTCATGTTAATCAACATGATAAGCAAAAATGTTTTTAATCATTAGTGATCAAACTAATTGAGATACGGATCTAAGAATCATATTCATATGTTATCCGTGTTTTATATATAAATATATTTGTCTCTCGTACGCAGGACTATACCGACGTAGTATAAAAAATTTTCTCTTTTCTAAAGTCTTATTATATATGTAAAATATAAACGGATATGGAGACATCTTGAAGCATGTAATATCCGTTTATTTAACAGACTCGTAAAATTCGGCACTAATAATAATCTTTGACGTTTCGACGATATTTACACGCTTATTACGACATTCGCGCTTATGTTTTTATCTCATGATAATGGTCATTTGCACATTGCGCGATTATACTTTCTTTTGTGCAAGTTAAGCGAGATCTGAGAGCACACAAAGTGTCAAGCAATTTGTTTTTACGCTCGCGTGCAATTTGATTTCTTTATTCGTTGACGCAATCGCTGTGTAAAAAAATCATTTCCGGGCCGGAGAGTCCTGCGTATTTATCAAACCGTACTTGCGAAATCCGAGCGCGGTAACCTCCGGAGGTTTTACGCTTCGGTATGATCTTCGGGGAGATTTTTCTTACCTCGCGTCCTCCTTTTTAGGACATGACAAACATCGAGGAAACTACCATTGTCGAAAAACAAGCCAGAAGCTCCACTCCGCCGGAGACGGTACCGCACAGCCTCGCCACATTGCTCGGGATCGCGACTACGCTTCTAGCCGTGGCCGCCTTGACCTCCTATTAAAATTTACAGAAGTCAATAAGTCGACAAGTTCGGACTGTTATTACGCGTGTTTTATATCTCTATTCATTTCTTCCTTTCACTTATATTTCTCGCGCGAACAAATCAAACTGTTCGAAAACTCCCGACGCGATCGAGATTGCAACAGAGTGAGAGAGAGAGAGAGAGAGAGAGAGAAAGAGAGAGAGGGAGAGAGAGAGAGAGAGAGAGAGAGAGACGGAGAATGCTCACATGTTCAGAAAGTAACAAAATATTTAAGCAAAGCAGACAGGAGAGATGTTATACTACTGGCCAAATCCGTGAATAAACTTTCACTTACGCAAGCGCATATATATAACTCAGTCGACATTGCATCAGCGGACAATACTTGTTCCCTTGTTTGTTTATAACACGATATGTTTTGTCGCTGCGAAACTCCGCGCCGACTCGCGTTTTGAACAAGGTGAAAGGTTTTAATTAATCGCACAGTCGATCGGTTAAAGCAATTAACTATCCCGAAGTGGAACGGATAACAAACTAGATAGCGGAATCTTACTTTCTATCGAGCTTCTCAGCGCGGCTTCATGTCGGCCAGATTTCGATACACTTGCTGCTCGTTAACGGAGCGGAAAGTTATCGCGAACACTTCTCTGGCGCGTTATTTTCCCCGAGGGAGGCTCGATCTGAAAATTCATCGGGAAGCCGTTATTTACCGTTGCATCAGGCGGAAGAGTAGGGCACTACTGAACGCTAATAGCCGCGGAGTTACGCGCATAGCGCGTCAAACAAGTCGCTCCTAGAAGTTCGCGATCAGGCTTTCAGGCGATCAGAGTTCTCTGCGAATAAGTGCAGTAAGCGAGTAATTGTTCGCATCAGGCATGATAAACAGCTGTGTTTTTAGATATCAGTTAAATATGCATCGTCATGGATAAATCTGCCATACAAAGTACGACCGGAATTACGCAAAGTAATCCTTCATGATTATACATGAGTCGCTCGCGCGTATTTGTACACTCACCTGGCGCATCCTTTTGCACGCTTAAGAGCCAATTACAAAATCCCCCCGCTATTGCGGCCGGCAATTTCACATACACGCGAATTCCTGCGCTCGTGACGGTCGCCGTTCGCGTAATCTCCTGCCCCGTGCGACCGTGTATACTCGCGACTATATGCTCGCGAAAGGAAGTAAGACGAGGGCACGAGCACAACCGCGATTAGACAGTATGTAGTTGTATGTATACGGAAGTGAACGCGTAAAAAGCGTAAAAAGTCCGGGAGGGGGGACATAGAGATTAATTATCACGAATCTTCTTGTCGACATAGATGTAATGTAGATATGTGATTTTATGTGACAATAGGCTAAATTCTTGTTCCAAAGTTCTCGAGCTCGAGCATAGTCTGTCAATAATTTTTTTGCATCAGATTTATATTATAAATTAACATAACGAGTATCGATCTGTGGTTAATCGTACATGTCTAATATTGTCGCATCGTCGTCATGCTCATAATTCGCATCTGATGCATCTTAGATTTGAATTAAAAATAAAGGAATATATATTTGCATACCGATGACGGACAAAAAAAAATTTGCCACTGAAGTCTAAAATCTAAGTTCAAACTTCAGATGCTTTATTTGATATAAAGTTTACTGCTGGCAATTATTAACGGTAAGTCTTGCGACAGTGAATCGCATCTTAAGTGTTATAACTTACAATCGCGATTCACGGAGAAATTCATTTTATTGACATGATATATTGCCGTCGTCGATCTACATAAGATCTACGTAAAACATTCAAGCATTTTAACACATATATGTTTTACTTTTTCAATTCACTTGAACAGACGCATAAGTTGCGCGGCTCGTTCTCGAGAGGAAAGTTACAGATTTTGTTGTTCATCAGAGCAAAAAAGCCGGTGTATGTTCACCAAAGCGGTCATGCGCGCTCATTTGTGTGTTACATAAACGCACCATTTCATGAGTTTCTAAAATCGTGAAATTATAACATGAAACGATGGTTATCACTGTTTCCTTGTTTTGTTGCGAAATTATTGCGATTGCGCTACGTCAACATTGATCTTCCTCAATCTGTATTGTCATCCCTCTTATCGCTATTATTATTGTATAGGACATGATACAGTGTCGCGTGGTTCATTTACACTCGAAGCGTCGCTCCTCCATCTAATTGTATAATTCAGGCACTCGTAGCTTTCTTTAGCGCAAATAGGATTACTCCGAGATGGTATAAGCTGATCCACCTGAGCATCTTGACGTAAACGCGAGTGTGTATTACGTCGAAAGCTTGCAATAAGTGCAATAAGCTTTGCAAGCTCATGAATTCTGTGATATATGAAGAGCTTTCGAAACATGAAGAGCCGAAAGACGATTTGGAAGCGCAACTTCGGTGAGAGATGTATGATGATCGGCGTGCAACTCGTTATCCCGCAGGAGCTTCGGGATCCTTTCGAGATCGTTCGGAGCGCGGGCGATATCATTCAGTCGACAGTACGAATAGGACGCATCTGCCGGATGTGAGCTGTCGCAAATTCATCGTCGCGAATTCTCTAATGGCCAGTTCCCTCCAAAAGTCGCTCATCGGTCGCGCAAGGATTTTCCTTCTATCGGGTGCCACTACGGGAAGCAAGAGTGGGGTATCTCTACGGTATAAAGGAGAACCGGTCCAAGAGGTAATCGTTCCCACTCCGTTGTTCGTTTGCCGTCTCGCGAGTTCGCCGCTCGAGTCTCATTTCTCCTTCCGTAATAATCTGAAAGTCATCGTCGTCGCGATCGTTTGCGCGCCGAGCGTTCGCCCGCCTGCGTCTGGATTGTGTGCGTTTTCTCCACCGGTCAAGGTAAGTCCCGATCTCGGCGCGTTTCACCGTGTGACACATATTTCGATTGTGCGGGAAACGATATTTTCCCTCTGCGGCGACACTTCGAATCAAAGTGGATGCGCTGTTGTTAAATTACTCGCGTCGAACTCAACTCGCGCCCGACCCGTCATCGTGCGTGCACGCCACCGGGTAGCGCACGGACTGGCAGATGACTTTTCGAACAATGCAGCCGTGTCAATTTTGTTCTTGTCTCTCGAGCAATCCTTTACCGCGACTCTACTCCTTGCAAGCGTAACAGCTTAGAGAGAGAGAGAGAGAGAGAGAGAGAGAGAGAGAGAAATTTTATTCAAATTAGCTTAGAGGGAGAAATTTTATTCAAGTGTGTCCAAATATATTTATATGTATTTATTCAAGTGTGTTCAACAGTAGATTCGAGTGTAATTAAGTTTAGAAAAACCAATTGTTGCAATTTTCACCGCTGAATCGTTGACTAACGACTGATTTGCGTCACTGCGATTTTAGCTCTGAATTTTTCACCGATTTCTCCTTCGCCTTTCATTTCATTCGGTTATCTGTTCGCGGCGTGTTGACTAACCACTAACATCAAGAGAGGCAGTTGCAATTTCTTTGCAATAGCCCGTGTGCTTCGAGATACGGCGGTCGTTTCGACGTAGTTTCGACAGTGTCTAGAACATTTCGCAATACGGACTGTGCGTATCGAAGGGTCGCGGCGGTACCACCGATTACTTTCGAGACCGCAAACTAAGTGTCTTGCGGATTATGAGATTAATTGCGGAAGTCGCTCGCTAATTGGCCGTAATTCATAAAATTTAATATAACGTGATATTGAAATTTAATTTGTATTTCTACTTTTCTTCACATGCTCGAGGAAACCTGGCGACAAAGTTGGTCCAATCGTCGGTCTATCGATCCGTTCGAAATCAGGTTTTGTCAAGGACATTTTTTAGCATTCTTTATTCTCAACTTTTATCGTTTTGTTTGCCGCGATCCTCTTTACGAAACGATGAGCGCGATAGTGACAACGTTGTAGCTCGAAAATGCACAGTTCCGATAGACTGTCGACAAGAAATTTAATTATCCTTCAGAGGCCTTAGCAGTCTCCTGCTATTTCTTCCTCTTCTTTGTATGACTCGTCATAAATTGTGTGTAAACGCTGTAACGATAAATCGTATCGATAATAAGTCTGTAACGAGATTCATCAGATGTAAAACGAAAAGAATTTTTGTAAATTTTCCGTGACGCGTGGATGTAAAGGACGCTTGAAGAAATCGTGTTTAATCTTTCCCGTAGGAGAGAAGTAGAACAATGTCTTATAAATGAGAAAAGGCGAGGACACACACACACACACACACACACACACACAAAGTGTTCTCTTCGTGTCTCTCTGCGTCCGCAGCAGCAAGGAGTTAGAGAAAGTTTTGGTTGAGCAAGCCGCTTTGGTCAGCATTAATTCCTGACATAAGAGCGATGGGTATCTTAGCCGCTTATATAATTCGGTGGAGTGCATATTATTCGCGTAACACGTGCAACTGAAAAGGAGCCCCCCGAAGGCACACAGATTGCACGTCGTCCTCGTGTTCGGCTCATTTTGCGGTAACTTCACGCTCCGATAACGCGAGAAAGTATCTGATTCACCGTAAAATCTCCCTTTGATATATGACCTTAATTATCTAATCCTTTTTTGAAGTATCGTAAATATATATCTCCCCGCGCACGCACGCGTGCGCTCGCGTGTGTATGTGTGTGAGGGAGGGAGGGGGAGAGAGAGAGAGAGAGAGAGAGAGAGAGAGAGAGAGAGAGAGAGAGAGAGAGAGGGAGGTGAGTTAGCACCTGACGTTAGGCTGATGTGTAAAATGGAATATCATATCACTGCGGCATTGTTAGGCAAAGATTTTAATCGCGAATTTGTTCCTTCATATGACCATCTCACAGCGATGCTCCTCATCGCGATCTGTTTGTAGATGTTGCTGATACAACCTACAGAGGAGATGTCCAAGCAGATCCAGGTGGGTCTGAATGAGAATCCAGCTACCCGCGACAAGGACCTCGAGGCTATCAAAGAATGGCTAACTAAACAACCGCACTTACCTCAATTCGACGGTACAAACAATCTCGAAGTACATTTGCGTGGCCCCGAGTAATTTGCAATCGCGTCGTTGCATTTCTCTACGCGGCGATCCCGCGTAGATTTCTGTTCACTGGAGAAACAACGAATGATTGTATTAACTTACGAGCGATCGCTATCGGGGCTGTTGCTGCTCGATAATAAAGTGCTCTCGCTTCCGCAGATGATCAAGTAATAATGACGTTCCTACGTGGTTGCAACTTCTCTTTGGAGAGATGTAAGAAGAAGCTGGACATGTACTTCACGATGCGCGCTGCACTCCCCGAGCTCTTCTCCAACCGCGACATCGCGAGGCCAGTGATGCAGGATGTACTGAAAGTTGTGTAAGCAGAGAAGCTATCGTAACGCGATATTACATCGAGTTGGAATTTTTGTCTCTCCGATCAGCCGGCGAGAGACGTGCGCGCGCGTGCAAACGAACTTCACCTCGTCTCTTCTACTTGCAGACATGTGCCGGTTTTACCGGGTCTCACGAAGGAGGGGAACCGAGTGATTCTGATGCGAGGAATCCACAAAGATCTCCCGACTCCCAATGTCTCGGAAGCCATGAAGGTATAAACTCATCTCGATCACTGGCGGTGGAACCGCCAGTAAGATAAAGGAGTAACGAGAACTCTCTCTCTCTCTCTCTCTCTCTCTCTCTCTCTCTCTCTCTCTCTCTCTCTCTCTCTCTCTCTCTCTCTCTCTATCTTCTAACTATAGGCCTGTTCTCTTCAGGCTCAAATTAGTGCTATATAGGAACCGAGTTCCTTTTTTCTCCCGTGCTAAATCATATCTTTCCTTTACTCCAAAGAGGCAAAAAGTGCAGTGCTGCAGGAAGAAAAAAGATTGGTTGAGTTATCGCGACAGGGAGCGAAAGCAGACGCGTTTTGGTTGGAAGAAACAAAATTTCTTTAAGTCGAATTTAGTTCACAAGAACTAAAAATCCGCCTCTTTTGCGTGAATTCACTGCGAGGGTATTTTAGGAATATCCTATCTTTTATTTTAAATTTTATTTTACATTACTTTATTTTATTTTACACGCTCCGTTAAATAGCGTTCCGTGTAAAACTCATATTTAGTTTTCGTTGTTGTCGCAGCTGGTGCTGATGATCGGTGACGTGCGCCTTAAGGAAGAGTCCCACGGGGTGGCTGGCGACGTTTACATCCTTGACGCTGAGGTCGCGACACCCACGCATTTCGCCAAGTTCCCGCCAACTTTGGTGAAGAAGTTTCTGGTTTGCGTGCAGGAGGCTTACCCGGCGAAGCTCAAGCAGGTGCATGTGATCAACATCAGCCCGTTCGTCGATACCATCCACAATTTCGTCAAGCCCTTCCTCAAGGAGAAGATACGCAACCGCATCTTTATGCACAGCAACATAAACACTCTTTACGAATACATACCCAAGGAGATATTACCGAGCGAGTACGGCGGCGACGCTGGACCCATCAATGTTATACATGGTGCGATTACTTTGTTACTTGCTGAACTCGCGATTACAGTATCTCTTTTAGCGGTTCTTAATTTTATGCTTTTTTTGAAAAAGATGTGCAGAGTAAATCTCTCTCTCTTTCTCTCTCTCTCTCTCTCTCTCTCTCTCTCTCTCTCTCTCTCTCTGAAAAATAAATCTGACGTCTCTCGCGACTTTCCAATGTTCCACGTGAGAAACTTTCGCGTAAAATTGACGATCCAAGCTCGGTGAGCTGATGCAGAAGAGATTTTATGTGGAATATCACAAACTCTAAGATCTTCCTGACAAAAGTCGTTGAATTGAATTTTTAGACAAATGGATAAAAAAGTTGGAGGAATATCAACCGTGGTTCACGGAGCAAGAGAACGTGAAGGCCAACGAGACTCTGCGTCCGGACAAACCAAAGACGCACGACGACTTGTTCGGTCTCGACGGATCCTTCCGGCAGCTGACGATCGACTAAATTGAAGTACACCCCCAGGAAGTGTCGCGACCCGTAATCATCGCCAACGGCAGTCGTTAATCGAATTATTCGTTCATGTAGAGAGCAGAAACCTCGAGGCCGATCGATCGTGAAATTCCGCCGCGTGACGACAACGTGTAATGTACATCCGTTTTCCAAACAACTATAACCGGAGCGTGAGCGACCCGCGTCCGAAATACACTGCGCAATGCGAACGTAATTCGCATGATAACGTCTGAAATCGCAAAAGGTGGACACACACAAGGCCAGACTCGCAATCGATAACGGTCATCGTCAACTTCATCTGTGTGTTCTCACCGCGTGCGCGGTTAAAGATAAAACTTTACCAAAAAAGCTTCTGTGCTCTTTGACAGTTACCAGGTAGCGTTGACCGAATAAACAGCAGAAAGTATTTACCTCTTCGTAAGTTTTTTATATAGTTAGCGTATGTAATATAGAAAAAGTTTATTTACAGAGAAGCCGACAATCGCCGACAAACGAACGTACGGAGATTCACGACGCGACGTGAACGATGTTTCCGTCGTTCGCGTGATATATTTTTCCATTGTGAAGAGTACCTTTTAGATTTCGGGACGAAATATGTAATAATGCTCGGGCAATCGAGCAATCGTTTCGTAAATAAATTGTGAAAAAAATAGATTCTCACTTCGTGCTTCAATACTGAACAGTCAGCTAAGTTTTCTGCATGTCGCACACACGACTCGTACAAAGATATTTTAGACGCAGGATTTTTATCACAGTGTTACATGAGAAACCTGTAATTAGCATAGCAGGAGAAATATGTTGAAAGATTTTGCAACGTGAAATTTCCTGCAGAAATCCTGCAGCGAAACTCGAGAGAGGTGTCCTATTCTCGGAAGGAATGAGTCTCCCGCGGGAGCCTTCGGCTATTACCGATCGCCATCATTCATCTGTTCCGGAGTAGAACAGTCGAAAAAGGAAAAATTCGATGAGAATGTCGAGTTCAGTGAAAGCTGCAGTTGCGCGGCAGTTTAAATCGCTCTAAAATCGCTTGAGTTTCCGTTTCACGTTCACTTGAATTCCCGCGATAATTATTGTCAGTGCCAGATTCTGATGACTCATTGGCTTCAAGATTACCAAGATATGTTACAAGGACTCTTTTTATAAATAGTCTATAGGAAACGCTACAAAATATGAAATATCTGTAGTTTTTAATTTTTGAAGAAAATTATCCGAAATAGTTGACAAAAATTAAGTTATCGATAATGGATAAAGCGTGAAAGACAAATATAAAGGGAAAAGAATAAGAAAAATAAGAAAAACCAAGAAGAGAGAATAAAAGCCAAGAAAGTTCCGCTGAAATATATATTAATAGTTTCTGCCTCGAAATCGACGCAAATCCAGTTTCGAAATTATCTGTCATCACGACGCTTTATAAATTCCTGTGTGTTATATTATATTAAAATTTAGAATAATTTCAAGTCGGACTTACATGCTGTCGATACAAATCTATCGTTATCTATCGTTAAGGTAAATAAACTATATTGTTATAATATATAATAAATGGAACAAATTATGAAGATCATAAGTCGCTTGTATGCGTGAATTTACGAAACAAATAGTGTATACGTTCTTATTACGTTACATATGAAAATCAGACAGAAATATAAAAATTCAAAAATAAAAAAAAATGCGGTTAGTTCCGAAAAGAAAAGAAACGTGATTTTAGGGTGCTTTAATTTAATTAACTCAATATTATCATTAATTTCATACATTATCAAATATTATATTGTTAGTATGGTACCTCTATAATAAATGCGACATATTGTAGAAAGGATAGAACACTCGTGCGTACAAACGTCCAGGTGTATGCTTTTATGTGCAACCGTCACGTGTACGTCTAATATATAATCGTCGAAAATCAATCGGTCGTCACAAGTAGGATGACCAACATATTAAGATATATTTACGTTACACTTTCATGTTAGTTAATGGAATTATTTGATACATATAATAATCATTAAGAATACAAGATCGCTGATACCGTTTATATCAATATCGTTTTAAGTTAACATTCAGATGACTAAAATATCTCTTCCAGTGTAATATTCGTTTAAATCGGTTTAGCTTTAATTTGCAACTTATTTTGACAGTTTAATGCAGCCAGCCAGCTGCCTTGTTAAGTTTTACCAAACTATTCAACCTAATATTGCTTAACTATAATAACTCAGAAATTAACGGTTACCACGGACTGAAACACTTCGCGTCGATAAACAACCGTTAAATGCTAAATGTCAAAACCGATCGTGGCCCTCGTTTTACGACCACAGAATCGTTTCTTCATCAAACCGTTGTATCTGATAAATCCCAACGTTTTCTTTTCTTTCAAGAAATCGCACGATCGATGTTGTTGCTCGCATGAAAAAATAAACGACATTTAAAGTTTAAACGAGATCAACTGAGGAAAGTCGCGCGAGCGAATAGACGAGGGAGGATGGGAGAATAATAGTAAGACGTGGTACGAGCGATCGAAGTAGAATAGAACGAGAGGAACGAAGACGAACGTGCTTATTCTGTCGCAAGTGCACGAAGACCGATGGTAGAAAGAGGGACTTTCTATAAAAAAAAAAAAGAAAATGAAAAAACATAATAAGAATGATAAAAAATGGATATAATTATAGATTATAAATATAATCATATTAAGAGAAGAGAGAAAAATATTAAAAGAAACTGCCGTCAGGAAATGACCTCACTTGTCTCGTTTCGCATTATTATTCATTATCCATTATTAACAGGTGCGACTAAATAAGACTTTATCATTTGTTCCTCATTTTCAAGCGAATCTTACTGATCTGTAGTCTCAACGATTTATCATCAGATCTCTGTTACGATTGATATCTTGTTGCAGCGGAGACATAAGAGTTGCAGATCAACGTACTTCGTCGTGTTCACGTCGTCGGAGAGCACAAGCTCGAGCAGGCAAAATAAAACTCAATTACATCATCACATCATGGTGAGTCTTCTCATAGAAGATTTTCAAGCGTGATTTGCGATTACTTGTCGCATACACGGATACAACTCCGGCATGCGTTACCGTATTACGTGCCACCGATGTGCCGAGTTCAAAGTATTAGCGCATGCCTCGCATACAGGAACATCTCGCAAGTTAAGGATGAACAAATAATCGAGCGCAGAAACTGAGCAAAATGGACAGATGGTCAATCAATTTTTGCCATCTTAATTATTTTCGGAGAAGAAAATTCCGACTAATTTTCGAACTACGATCGTAACGTTACAGTTACCAAATTGATTTTCTCCACTTCGGGTCGTTGACACGACGAGTGTTTCGTTGGGATTCTTGCATTATTAAAAAGCGATACGGTTGCGATTTCGCGCGACGATGGTTAACGACGATCCTTGCCGGAAAATTATTACCATCCTTCCCAACATTATCGATCTGCGCATTATTAAATCCGTGGTTTGCGATTTCACCACATCATCAGTATATTATAGACAAGTTACCCCCGTGACATATATATATTATACATTCCGTGCTGTCATGCTTTTTTAATGAGCAATTTGCTACTATGATACGCATGCGCATTATTCCTTTTTCGAAGAACTCACGTCAATGCAAACTGCGCATTGGCGTGACTTTTCTTGGAGAAGGAGGGATTGAATAATGCAACAATTAGAATACGAAGACATCGATGTCTCCTAATTTCATGTATCTATTTGAGTACCTTCCAAAATAATTCAATGCAATTTGCGTGCGGTGCGGCTATAAATGTAAAGTGGCAATTAAAGATTAAAGTCTAAATCAACTTGAAGATCTATAAACTTGTGAATATTTCATCATACTAATAATTATATCCATATTTAAGTGCAAGAACATTGTATTCAAGTATTGTATTCCTGAAACCGGGTCGATCGAACAATAAGTGATTAACCGAAGTGTAGCGAGCCAAATTCAACGATTATCCTGTAACGTCAGAACCAACGGTGATGCTCGAGTTGTACTTGAAAACCATTCATCGTCATCGTCCTCTCGCCGCGACGCGAGAAATCGACTCTACTTGCCTTCGATGAAAACCTTGATTTTGTAAATTACACTGCGCGCAGTTTACGTTACGAGACTCTAGTGCCTACATGCAAAATTTAAGACTCTACGTGACATTGTGCTACATCGGACTTTCTTTCATATATGCGGTACACCTACATTGAAAATTATCATTACGCCCATTCTCGATGAACAGGCTCGCTGATGTTGCCGAGTGACTGTTAACGCGTGCCTTATCGACAGATTCTGTCGTCAGCGTTATCGATTACTCCTCCGTCGGACCTGCCGAATTCGGGAAATTCGTCGGGCTCGTCGAATCTGCCATTCGAGCTCCAGCTTTGTCGGGCATATAAATCACACAGGACAAACATCCTGCTTCCTCTTGGATTCCTATATTTAATCCTTTGCACTCGGAGCCATCTCGCGAGTTATCTACCAACAACTCAGAGGCATCTTTTTAGGAAAGTATGCAAACAGGAATCGCGTCATATTAAATAGTGTAGTTTTGAAACCAAGTAATTTATTGCAATGATATTTGGTTTGTATGAATCTTTAGACATCGGGGAACATATTTATGACAAAAAAAATCAAAATTTTATATCTTATAATTTTCTAACGTGTGGTAACGTATGAAACAATCATCGATATGCATTGCAGGTTCGCTTTGCCATTGTTCTGTAAACTAGATAAATGGTCGGAAATTTCGAACTGTAAATTACGAAATCTCAAAATGGAATTTATTAAAAGAATATTATTTTTCCAATTTTACTTTTCTGACTTAGTGCAGGTAACGATCTGTACCACTCGATACTTCAATACGATCTGCTTTCAGCTTTGAAAGTCTCTTTCTCTTAGGCTACAGTTTATTTAAAGCTTGTTTATTTATCTTTTCAAATGGCATCGTATCATGTGGTATATTGCCAAGAAAACATGTGTCTTTGAAAAATTTGCGCACGCATAAGTTTATTCTTATATTCACTAATAAAGTCTTTATGTCCGCTGAAAGGGGACATCCGAGTAATTTGTTAGATTTACGATGTCCCCTCAAAGGGGATATTCAAGTGCAAAAGGTTAATCTCGTAGCTGCATTAGATATCGAATTTATATCTCTCAATTTTATATCGGAATTATTCCACTCGCTGTATGTAGTGCATGACGATCATTGACAATCGTTATGTTGACGATACATTTTTCTATGCAGTGGCTCTCGTTACAATGGTGCTTACATTGCGCGTCGTACTTATCACTGCGTAACGTCGCAAGTGCGACACACGAATGCTGAAATACGCGAGTCTGTCGGTGCTATCGCCATGATACGTAAACGCGTCTTCATCGTCTGGTATTTGGCTCTGGTTTTCCTCCTTCTGCATTCCGGAAGCTTCCGCGCGAATGGTGAGTGATAATCAGAACTACTCCTACGAGTTCCCATTGGAAGATAAAAAAATCAAAGAGAGAGAGAGAGAGAGAGAGAGAGAGAGAGAAAGAGAAAGAGAAAGAAAATTGTGTTAAAATCGTGCTCAAGTTGTAGCAGAAGAAACAGGACAAGAATACTTGAAGGGATGCACACATCTTCGATGCGACAATGGCGGCCAATGTATCAAACGCAGATATTGGTGCAAAAATCCACCTTGTCCAGGCATGTTGTATTGCTCCAAATCTATGCAAGGTGAGGAGAAATTGTATCAATTATTGTCTACATTTTCTATCGAAAGTCACTTCTTCCAGGCAACTTTACGCGTCTCTTGGCTATCCTTCGACATAATTAAGCGCCGTTCTAACATTTTCTAGAGATCTTGTTTCGTTTGATCGAAGTCGTTCGAATCGAAGTGACATTTTCGTTCGGTTAGATCGGCTTAATTTCACGTTACATAATCCATTTGCTTCAGAGTCATTGAAGGGGCCGTCGACTTGCGACAGTGTGCGCTGCAGCAGCGGACATATATGCGTCGTTCGAGTTCGAGGGTGTCGTTGGGATGAAAGTAATTAACGTATATTAGAGAAATATCCGTTATACTTGTGTAGTTAGTTTACAGTGTGAATATTCTCAGAATGCCAACAGCAGATTGCGCGCTGCATATCGGAGAAGGAGTATCACGAAGGAGCGGCTTCCTGCGTCGATTTCGAGTGTTCACCAGGGAAACGTTGCATCCTGCGGGAATCACGCTGCGTCAACCCACCTTGCAAACTCATCAGGAGCTGCGCAGCAGCGAAAGGTCAGTCCAAACCGGAGTACGACTCAATTCACATTTTCACGATATTTCCTCGCGGGACGTTCATTTTATTTTCTTTTACATATTTACGTTGCTTTCGTTATGTAGAGCGAGTCATTTTAAGTATGTGTTACCCACCTCAATAATTTTCTTATTTTTGATTGTAGAAACAAATGTTTCCAAAGTTGTATGGTTTCAAGAGAGACATGAAACAACTATATCAGTTTGTTCACAGATGGCGCCACTTTCGAAATATTCTGAGCCTGACTTTTGTTAATCTGATGATTTTGAAATTTCCAAAAGTCGATAAGTTAACACAAAAGTTAGGGCACTGTTGTAACAATATATTCTTGAGACTAAGTAGAGTAAAAATGTCTAGTACTATTTTTTTTTCGACAGATAGCGAGATGTAGTAAGTTAATTATTGAAAAAGTTTTCGAGTTTTCCTTAAATATCTCAAAAAATATTAGACAAATAAAGAAAATGTTTCAGACAAAAGTTCAAATTTCAAAAGTCAAAATTAATCGGTAGAAAAAAAATGATATAATAAAAAATCGGGGATTTCCATTTAAGAAAAGAAAATAATTAGCGAATATCTCGAAAGTGGAATCATCTGTAAACAAATTAATATAGTTGTATTGTTTTATGTCCCCCTTGAAACCTACAATTTTTGTCCGAAACATTTGTTTTTACAATCATGCAAAATAAGAAAGTTACTGGAGTAACACTTAAAATAACTCATCCCGTATATATTCGCAACAAGTTGCGACGAAACATAAGTTCCAAAATCACGGCGATCAATTGTGAATCTGCAGACGTGCAGGTTTGGTTCGACAAGTGCAAAGCTTTAGACTGCCTCTCGGAGTACGAGTGTTTCCTGCGAAGACCGGACGACGATTGCCGTGCCGACACGTTGTGCGCGCATACGCCTGACTGTACCTTGACCGCAGGTTTGTTTGCATGTTTGATGAAGTGATGAAAGACTAAAACGAGAGTCTGTGAAAATGAGAAGACTCGACAATCTTCCGATTTGCAGAAGACGAGCTGATCAGCAAGCATTGTCGCGGCTGGATCTGCCCGCGAATGCAGAAGTGTGCGGTACGAATCGTAGGCTCGTGCAGGGGTTTCGATTGCACCATAGAAAGAACTTGCCGACCTCTCATCGTATCCTCCAACTCATCCGCCGGGCACAAAACATTTGCGATCAACAAGGTAGTCCGCCGCTCTCCAGGTGATATCGCTAAATTCATCGCGAATTTCGAGCAATTTTAGCAAAGTGACTTTATTGACTATTTTTTGCAATCGTAAGTGATCGCATAATGGGCGAATTTTCTCTGGCTCTATATGATCAAGACGGTTTTCTTCCTCTCTCGAGTCCTGTCTGCACTTCCGCGTCGGTAAATTCGTCGTGAGCTTTTATATTACGAGAATATTGAAACGCGGAGAGGAATACGCGAATAAAAAAATTGCTGGTAGAAATAAATAAGTAGAATAATAGAAATAAACGTAGACCGAGGCATGGTCGACCGAAAGGAATCTGGTGCAAATGAAAACCGAGCAGGTCTTTGAAGATGCGGAGAGACGCGGAATGAACACGGCGACGCGTTATCCAATCACGAGGAAAAAGGTGATGTACTTTCGCACGAATGTCATAAAGGCTTCTGGGAGGTTTAAACGCGCTAAAACTCGATGGAGATTTTATTCTACAGTTTATTCTACAGACGACCTCGATAGCGGCTTCAACGACGAAGCAAACGGATTATACAACGTCCCAGTAAGAAATGGATTTTAAACATTTTCTTTCTCTTTCTTATTAAAATTATAATATTAATCTCTATATCTCTCGTTCTGTATCTTGTTAATAATATCTCTATCTTATTAACATTATTAACACTGATATTAAAACAAATATTCATAAAATATGAATGTGCTCGCATGTACATTACATACACATAATATACACATATATACACGACGCTTTCGGAAATTTTTTTATTGTTAATTTATGTGATTTTTTTTATCTTTTGCGCATTAGGAAACACGGGACGGAAATTTCGGTGATTCATCAGCAGACCACGACGGTATCAAGCTCGATCGTTAAGCCACCATATTTATCGTCGACCCAACCACATTCCACGCTGACTTACCCTCGTTCTTGGCTGAATCCCGATGAACTCTTGACAACAAGCACTATCAGCGGTGGATTGGAAATTAGAGACAAAGACGACAAAATTCTCGCGGTACCGACGTCATATTTCCGACTTCTGATTTATGAAAAGAAAAACTCTGCATAATCGGATAAATATACTTCAGAAGCGCGAATACAAGTCCACTGTGAATTGACTAGCGTTAAAAGTAGATAAGATTGTTGCGAGGGAAATGACATGAAACACAATAAACGTTTTGCATTTCTTACATCCTTGTGCTTCTCGAGTACGACTATCATTTTCAAGGTAGCAAGTGTCGTAACGCAAAGATCTTTCTCCAGACTTCTTCGACATTCTCCGATTGGCCGAGGGACTCGAGTTTTCCGGCAATCTCGTTCACCGACCGGAAAGTCGAGTCCACGACTTCACGCGACACGGCAGGATTGGAGATGCCGAAGAAGATCTACATAGCGACCGACAACGCTATGCTGCCGCTTCCTGTGGTGTTGGAGGGCATCAACTTGTTCGGACAAGGATATCCAATCTGGATAGAAAACGAGTCACATCGTTCGATGTTGTTAGGAGCGGAAGACGAGGACGAGAACAGATGGAGGTACCACGCACCGGGGGAGCCCTACAGGATTTTATTGCCGCCGTACGAGCCAGTGATCCTCGTCGAGAGCGCGAAACAAGGACAGTTGTCTTCGTTTGTCACTTACGCGCTTGGTTACCCTTTTAACGAAGCGACTTTACTGTCCTTGCAAGAAATCCCGTCCCGAGGTATTCACAGTTAATTGCAGTTACAGCCTGTCTTTAATTTTCGCCGGAGGCTGTCTCATTACAGCGCAAATTATAATCTGAGAGAGAGGATAATAATTATTAGATCTTGATTCTGATGTTTACGATCAAATCTTCGTACACATATTTTGTTTTTATTTCACCATCAAAGTTTAGATCAGTACCGCGATTCTGTAACTCGTTATTGGAGTTAACGACATTTTCGTTATCGTTACGCAGCTTTTGTATATCGTAGAAAAACTGTGCAACAATAACGAAACTGTCGTTAACTCCAATAACGAGTTACAGAATCGCATCACAGATATCAAAGTTTAGACGAGCTCCCGATATTCGATATGTTTCAACACAACGCTGGTTTCAGACACAACAGGAAATTCAAAGAGGACTAATCGCCCGATGAGTGTGCTTGGCGGGGATAATGGTGATACGAACGTTTCTGCAACTGATGAGATGAGAAACCTCAAGACAAATCATTTCGATGATTCGCCCGGCGATTATGCGAGTCTCCGCGCGACGAAGAGAACGGACGTCGTTCCACCGAATATTCGCGACAAAGAATCGGATAAGAATCATTACGATGTGAGTATAGTTGCTTGGAGTGACCGGCGTTTACCGTATCCTTCGCGAGATGGAATCGACATGGTAATTGTTTACTCCATTGTCCGTACAGGATTACGAGTGGCGACCGTGGCGTGTGAATCACGACTATTTAGAAAGGAGCGAGTCGCATCCAGCCTATGAAAGAGAGTTCACATCTGACACCGACGAGATTGCGACAGATGACTCGCGTCTGAATAATTCCGATAATATCACGTTATCTCGCGCGATACTTGGGGAAGGTAATTACCTCAAAAGTATTTTTAATAATTTGAGTTCGCGTCAAACGTTGTACTATTGCACGTTTGATTTCTCGAATCTCGTCAAGTGACTTCAAGCTTCTAAATCGTGTGTTACCTTGAACATTTCAGAATACGACGGAATAATATCGATTTGATTATTCGGTAACCTTACAAAGAGCCATAATGATAATAATGCTCGAATTCAACATGTGATTATTTGTAGAGACGCAATACGAAACGCACACATCGACCGACGCGAAGAGGCCTCTCGTAAGAGGCGAAATTACGGACGAAAACAGAGGCCGAGTTTTCGATACGCGATACGCATATAGGCACGATCAAAATCTTGCGACATTCGATCCGATACGAGACTACGTCCCGGTAGGACGAAGCGATTATGGCCCCGAGGACGACGAGGAGCGTTATGGCCTTGTAAATTATCCTTATGACACAACGAACGTTCCCGACGTTGATAGATCGAGCGAGCGGCGAGGATACCCTTTGAACAAAATTTTCGACATCTCACGGAACCAGGAGGTAAGTCATGCACGCATCGCGGGAATTGCGTCTCTGCATTCTTGTGTTTTGTGTTGCATGACTCGCAGAAAACAAAAGAAAAAAAGAATGGCATAAACCGGTTTGCGATTTTCGCTTTCAGTCGGCCACGTTTTCAATCGGCGAGCTCGACGAGTGGAGCAGCGAACGCCCGTCGTTGGCGTTTCTCCGCGGGACGTCACCCTACCGTAAATACAATGACAATAACGAGAAAAACGACGATCGTGAATACGATGAATATTACAGTCACGAGAGCTGACGACGTCAGCTACGATATATATATATATATATATTAGCGACGTCGAAACGACGCACGGACTCATGACGGGAAATAGCACCGTTAATCGAGCGCAAATTTTTATGAGTTTTTTATTGCCACTCCCTCTTCCTTTCCCGCGCGGCGCTTAACTTCACAAATGAATTCGCTCACGAATGCCGAAAATCGCTGCCGCGAGCGTCAGGCTAGGTAGACTCGGGCGAGCAGGTAATCTTTTTCTAGACAATAGATTTTTGCTCGCTGACGTTTAATATTTAAAATTTGTTGGTAAAAGTTCTTTCTGGACGCCTGATTTTTATTCGCCAGCGTCTAAAATTAGAAGACGCGATGTCTAGCGATAAAAGTTGAACATGTCCAACTTTGTCGTCGCGACCACTAGACGTCGTGTTTCTAATTTCTAGACGCTAACAAAATCTATTGTCCAGAAGTTTTTGCCAGCAGATTCGCTGACGAATGAAGAAGCTTGCTCAAAGTGAACAAAAGCGACACCGTGAAAATTACCCTCAACTCACGGTGAAAAACAACGGCACGCGGACAACGGTGGCAGTTTACACTCTGTAACAATCGAATTTATTCCGCATGAAATCCTTGCTTCTTGCGCGTGAATTATGCACAGGCTGCATCGCGGACGGATTGATCGATCCGACTTCCCGTCGGACTCGAGCAGAAGACTGTTTCTCTTTCTCGCCGAGTCGCGTAGCTTTTTTAGTCAGTTTTGTTAGAGTGCCGGTATTTTTGCACACTGACGTGCAACAATTATTCCACAATCGCGGTAATTGGCATTCTTGCGGTAGGCAGGTGATAATAATCGGATAATTTAGCCGGGCGTTTTTCCCTTTACGACGACGACGGACACGATTCGAAACGACAACCTGAGCGACTCGAGATGATCCTATCGTTGAAGGCAACGCTCGAAGGTGTTCTATTGCTCGCGAGATGTCATCTGCTCTATCTTCTGCTCTTTCTTCTCTCCTCTCCCTCTCCTCGCCTCTCTCTCTCTCTCTCTCTCTCTCTCTTTCTCTCGTTTTCTCGTTTCTCGTCATCGCGAAATTTCCTACGACGGAACTGCCGCGTGTGCGAGCTCCCGAAACTGCTTCCACGAGAGTGCGAGAAGCAGAAGAGAGACGGCGGGAAAGGTGGTGGAGGTTGTCGAATATTACCACGGCGATGGGGAATGGTACCGGTCTAGTCGGCCGTTGATCGCGGTACCGCGAGCTACGGTTCTCTCGCGAGTCTTGGTCGCGCTTCTCCTTTCGTACTACTTGCGCACCTCAAGTCCCAGCAATTATCGCTCGAGGGATACGGGGTGACCATCCTTGAGAAAGGTGAGTTTTCTCTTCTTCTTTCTTCTGCTTTTCGATCCTCACCGACCGACCTTGAGACCGGTGTAATTTCCAACGAGCCGAGTAGCGACTCGCAGCTTGGACCCGCCGCGGAAAATAATTTCTCTGTGTTTTGCTGTCGCGGAGCAACAGCGAGACGAGTTTAATGCGAGACAATTTCTTTCTTCGCCTGTGAGTATGAAATGCCTCTTTAAAGTACATCGATTCAGCATCGATTGAGAATCAGTCGTCGCGTGGTACGCTTCCCGTAAGAACGCGACCGGAGGAACGATTTGACGACGACGTGAAGAAAAAGGACTGAGGACGCTCTCTCGAGCAATGTAGATATTTAAACATCCGCCAGCTACATAATTATTTTACGTACGACGTGCCGGCGAAAGATACGACGAACATTTATGTGAAAAATGAGTGTTGTTGTACGCCCACAGAGCTCTCGGAGAGGCGCGCCGCCGAGTCGCGCAATACCTCGTAAAAACGTTCATATTTGCAGGCACATAAATATTCGTGTATCCGTCCACCGACGGGAAAATAAGTGAAAGGCATGTCCTGGTCGCTTCTTCGTTGTGTTTAATTTAATGTATGCTACAAACATCGTGCGCGCGCGCGCGCGTGCGCGACGCTGAAGCCGTACGGCGCGCTTTAATTAATCGACGAATCCTCTTCTGGAAAAAGAGGCACCGGCTGATGAACGGTGAGTCGCGCGTGGATTAATTCGCTAAACGCGTGCCTTGGCATTAAGCGTCGTCGGATCGATCCCACCTTTCCCTTGAAATGTTGCGACCATCGTATGGACGCCGCCGTCGCCGCCGCTTTTCGTGCCGTGCTTTTCGTCAAGTGTGACGTTTCTCTCGTTTCTCTCACGCCGAGATGAGCAGGATGTGCTAATCATTCGCGGATCTCCCGAGGAGGAGATCACATCGCGAAATAGAGCAGGGAAAAGACGCAGCGCGATGTTCGCGAGATGAACCATAACGCCCCGCCAGCGCTCTTCTTTTCTTCGAGTCGCGACGACACGTTAGATCGAGATCGCCGCCTCTCGGCTCGCCAGCGTTCGCTGGCAAAATACAAAGGTTTCGTTGGAAATATCGCGCTTATAATTGCACGCAACAACACGAGGCTCTCAGCGTGCCGACGTGGAAATGCCGATTCATCCGACGACAAGTGGGCCCGTGTGAGAACTGTGTGATATTATGAGAATGTAAATTGCGGTCGCGCTCGAGATCCGCCTTACAAGTGCCTCGCGTTCTCGCGCGACTACGTTCATTAAAATGCGATCGAGCTAATATCCGGCTGCGTGCATGAAAGAAATTGAAGTCTCTCTTTATTCGCGTGGTTTCCCGACCAGCTCGGCAGCTCGCTCGGCTCGCCGTCGAATATCCTACAATTATGCAAAAATTCGAATTACGTATCCACTCCAGAGAGCCGGACGTCCGTTTCACGCGATCGTCGCGGGCACGTCGTAACGCAACGTCGGCGCATCGATTAATGCTGTAATCGATAACATCGCGATAACGAGGGCGAGCCCGTCCGTACGTAAGACCGCTCGCATGAGACTGCGAAACCGCGAGGAAGACAGACGGCAAAGGAGGGGAAATCAACAGTCGGAAAATCAGCCCGAGTAATGTAACGCGCCGTGTAATATCCACATTTTCGCACTCGAGGATAGAGGAGGTGCCGACGTAATTGAGAGAAACGATACTCCGCGGCGATTACGTTGTTAACGTCGGCGTTTTCAGTTTTGCCAGTTACATAAATCCCGATTAACACCCTCGTGCACGCTGCGCGGTAGTCTCGCGCCGACAACAATTTGCGGTGTTGCGCCTCTTAAGAGGAGGAAAAAAAGAGGGAGGAAAACCGCACCGCTGTCTTCGAACTGTTGCAAAAGTCGCACGATCGATCGTACATGCTGCGAGACACGCTTGCGTGTCAACAACTAGAGAAGTTACAATTAATGCATGCGAGATCTCATTAAAATTGTGTCGTCTAGTTGCGAAGAAGTCGAATTCCGCAGAGCGGTTGAAAAGTGCGGATCGTAAATATGTCGTCGTTCTCTTTCAGCAAGCCAAAATCTCCTCGGCGATCTTTCAGGATGCTGCGTCCGCCGATATCCAAAATCTATCCGTAGGAGAGTCGCTTCTGCTTCATCCAAAAAGAAGTATTCTATTTGTAAAGTGATTTTTCCCATAGTCTCATATTCTGAGCGGAGCTCCTTTTGCAGAAAAAGGATTCCTCTTTCCATAAAGCGATTCCATAAAGCGAAAGAGAACCATTGACCTAAAATTTATTAGATCTTATTCTGTTTTCCTCCTATTTCAAGAGAATTTCTTCTTAATTATATCAATTAATTTCCCTTTTACATGAAGAGGAATATGTTGATTTGAATGTCGGCTTCTTTTATTCAGTCATGCTCTACTTCCAGGCATGGACGAAAAAATAACCATACGCTCATGGGTCATAATATTTGGAATGCTTTATAAAAAAGATATGTGCATTGCTGTAATATATAACGAAGATAATTTACGCATATTTGGTAAAATACAGTTTGTAATCTATTGCAAGAAGTTGAATAATATATTCTTTCTTTTAACTATGTTTCATACAATTGGTTATGACGAACATCTTTGTAGTCCATGAAGTCCATAGCAAAACTGATTGGAAATTTATTGGTTATGATGTTATTTCATTCGTGCCTACTTATTGTAGAACTGGAGTCAGAAGTACATCTATATATATTACTTTTCTCTATACATTATAATGTTTTTAAATTAATTAAGTATAATCAGTAAGAATAAAGTACAGTAATATAATCTAAGAAATAATTAAGAAAAGATTAAATAATCTGTGTATAAGAGGAAATTTATATTAAAATCAATAAAATTTGCATCATACATATAACATATAATCCCTCTTTTAAACTTTAAGAATAATGTGTTTATAATATTTTCCTCTTAGTCTCAGAGGAATCCTCTTGAGACCGTATATAAGAATAAAATCCTTTAAAATTTAGATGGTTCTGCTTGTTCTGAAATTACTTTTTTTTGGATGTTGCTCGAACGCGACGAATGAAGCTGGATGAGAGAGAGAGAGAGAGAGAGAGAGAGAGAGAAAGAGAGAGTTCCGCGGACAGAAGTTCGCTCTTTGTCATTATACTTTAGATCGCGACAATTTGTGCGAAATGAGAAGTCCCAGTGCGTCGCTGGGAGTGCGCGCGAAGGAACCGGCAGTGCAAAAAGCAATTTCTCAATGTCCAATATACGCACTCACGTACGCACGCATGCACGCACGACGGAGTTGCGCAAAACGATACCTCCATTAGTCCAAAGGATTGGAAATTGCCTTCATCGCGGTTTTCCATCTCGAGCGAGATATATCCGACGGACTAGAACGAGGCGCGCAAATTAATCTCGCGGAGATCCATTAACGTATCGCACTGAACTCGTAACGAAAAAAAAAGAAAAGGAAAAATGAAAACCACTCTTATATAGCAAAGGTGGATTACAAAATATCGGGCTAATTAATTTTACTTCTCGAATGATCGCCTCGTACGGCTCGGGATTAATTGTTACGGACGAAATCCAGCCGTAAAATTGTCGATGCTGGCTGTTTAACGACATCCTGATTTCACCGAACAATGTAATGACAAAGCGAGCTTCCTCTTTCCGGGCTTTGATCGCCACTTGCTTGTTTGCCACAACTAAACGCCAAGCCGGCAGCTATGACGTTACGATACTTTTGTGATGTAAAAAAAAAAAATACGAGCCGCGAGTGCGCCGACGGCTACGCTCCTCGAGTGCGTACGCTCCTTCGGAGTCAACACCGTTACGTTCACTGACCGAGAACCGCGCACTGTCTCGCCGTCGATTGCGAAAGTCATGCAATTTTACGGCTTCTTTTTCTGTTGCCCTGGCTATTCGCCGACCTGCCCTGTGTCATGTATATTCATACGCCTCTGCTATCACGATGGGTTTTTCCAGTTCCACTTGTTAACGATGGAAGTGGCAATTTTAGCGAAGGAATTCGATTCTATCGCTTCGACGCAGATCATTCGTCGAACTTTGTCGAGAAAAGCCGGCTGTCTCTTTTGAATTTTCTCCTGGAGAAGATTCAACGGAATTTACCGATCCGGAAGGGCGAAGCATATATGAACTTTGGGGATAAGGCGGAAAAATATGCACAGTTGCATATGTAATACCAAAAAAAAAAAGTATTCTATTTGTAAAGTGATTTTTCCCATAGTCTAATATTCTAAGCAAAGTCTCTTGCAGGAAAAGGATTCCTCTTTCGATAAAGCGATTAAAGTGAACCATCCATCTAAAATTTATTAGATATTATTCTGTTTTCCTCTTATTTCACGAGGATTTCCTCTCATTTTAATTAATTTTCTTCTTATATGAAGAGGAATATGTTGATTCGAATATCCCTTTTTTTTGTTCAATCATGCTCTACCTTCAGACATGAACGAAAAGATAACCTCATGTGCTCATATGCTCATAAGTCAGAATATTTGGGAAGCTTTTTAAAAAAGGTATATAAAAAAGGTGTTGCTGTAACATATAACGAAGATAATTTACCTATACTTGGTCAAATACAGTTATAATCTATTGTAAGAAGTTGAATAAGATTTCTTTTAACTGTGTTTCATACAATTGGTTATGACGAGCATCTTTGTAGCTATTAAATCGATAACAAAACTGATTGGAAGTTTATTTGTTATGATGATCTTATTTTATTCATGCCTACTTATCGTAGAACTGTATTGTAGAACTGGAGCCAGAAGTGCATGTATATATATTATTTTTCGCTATATATTATAATAATTTTTTCAAATTAACTTAGTAAGAATATAAAGTACAGTAAGAATAAATAATAATCCTCTTAAAAAAAGATTAAGTAATCTGCGTATAAGAGGAAATTTATATTAAAATCAATAAGATTTGCATCATACATATAACATATAATTTCTTTAACTTTAAGAATAATATTTATAATATTTTCCTTTTAATCTTAAAGGAATCTTTTTGAGGGGTCATATATACCAGGTCTGTAAATATGAAACCGGAATTTGCCCATAAATGGCCCTAGCTGTCAATGTATAGTTACCGTCAAACCGCGTCATTGGTGCCATTTTCATTTGTTGACATCTGACAAAGATTTTCAACTCACAACAATACAAGTTTCATACAATAGCATAGTTTGTAATAGCGTTGAACATGTCGAATTTTGTGCCTGGAAGCTACGATTTGCAGACAGCATTGATTTTCTGTTACCATTTGAAGAAAACTGCTGCGGAATCGCATCGAATGCTTGCCGAAGCTTACGGTGAGCATGCTCTTGGTAAATCACAGTGCTTTGAGTGGTTTAAAAAATTCAAATGTGGCGATTTTTACATGAGAAACGAAGAACGTGGAAGACCACCGAAAAAGTTTGAAGACAGCGAATTGCAAGCATTGTTGGATGAGGATAACGCTCAAACGCAATAATAACTCGCGGATCAATTAAATGTGACACGAGAAGCCGTCTCCATACGTTTGAAAGCTATGGGAAAGATGCAGAAGATGGAAAAATGGGTTCCACATGAACTGAATGAAAGACAGCAGGAAAACCGAAAAACCACTTGCGAAATGCTGCTCGCCAGGTACAAAAGAAAGTCATTTCTCCATCGAATTGTGTGACTGGCGATGAAAAGTGGATATATTTTGAGAATCCTAAGCGTAAAAGATCATGGGTAACTCTAGGCGAACCATTGGCATCGACTGCAAGGCCAAATCGCTGGACGGAAGACAATGCTCTGTGTTTGGTGAGATCAGAAGGGTGTGATCTATTATGAGCTGCTAAAACTTGGCGAAACCGTTAATACTGAACGCTGCCGACAACAAATGATCGATTTGAATCAAGCTTTGCGTGAAAAACGACCAGAATATGAAAAAAGGCAACACAAAGTGATTTTGCTTCATGATAATGCACCATCACACACAGCAAAACTGATCAAGGAAACGATTGAGGCGTTTAGTTGGGAAATACATACTTTCGCATGCGGCTTACTCACCAGACTTGGCTCCGTCCGATTACTACTTATTTGCATCGATGGGACACGCGCTTGCTGAGCAGCGCTTCACTTCTTACGAAAATGTACGAAGATGGCTCGATGACTGGTTTGCCTCAAAAGAGCAACAATTTTTTTGCCGTGGCATCCATAAATTGTCAGGCAGGTGGGAAAAATGTATAGCTACCGATGGACAATACTTCGAATAAAATATTTTTTATCATTTTCATACAATAAACGTGTATTTTCTATACAAAAATTCTGGTTTCATATTTACATGCCTGGTAAAAGTGATGTAAAGTAAAGTAAAATAAAGAGTAGGAATAAAATTCTCTAAAATTTAGATGATTCCGCTTGTTCTCAAATTATCGTTTTTTGGGTGAACGAGTCATTTCTTATGTTGCACGTAATTAAATAAATAGGCAAAGCCACGATAAACGCCGTGTATTCCTATCGAGCGCCGTGAACGTTAGCGCTATCGACGTGAACGCTATCGACAGTCTTCGACGGTATAGTCCTTGGCACCGAAAAGCCTCTTCTTCGAGAAGACAATCCACGGCGTATGGCGCTTTCTGCATTTTTCTCTTCAAGTTTCTTTCACACCGAACGCCTCTCCGTGGTTGCCGCGCCGGAAATTGGAGCACAGCGCGGCATCATCATCACGCAATTCGCAATCGCGAGGCACGTACTCGAGCGGCGTTACACACACATCCTCCTGCGATTATGCATTCCGACTTCGGTGAGAAGCGGTCGGCAGAGGAAACACAGCCGGTGCATGGAGAGACGGATAGAGGCAGGAAGAAAGAGGGAAAAAGTTTCACCGGGCCGGCAAGGCGCGCGGCGTATCTCACGTGATTCGCGAGCACGTTCGTTCCCTCAATCGCGCGCCGATGAAGCTGAATGACTTTACGGCTGGTCGCAGTCTATTACGGGGGCTGTTACACGTTCGTTACGATGACAACCCGGCGACGACGTCGGCCGGGTATACTCGCTCTCACTCTCACTTCAGCTTTTGTTGTTTTCCAACGCGGAGAGCTCGCTTCATGGTTCGCCGCCGGTCCGCACCGGAACGAAGATAAATGCGCTCTCGGTGGAGCAGATGCACCGGTGCGTGACCGGTCAAGGGATATCTTTAGACGCTGCGGCTTCTTGGCCCCCACTTGGAAGTGGAAATATTATTGCGTGCTACCTCGTGCCTCCCGCAGTGCTAAGCGATGAAACGAGATTTCAGCACAATCTCCTTTCTTCTTTCTCTTTTCTCCATCCAAACGCCGCTGGGGTTTCTCTCGCGGATGAGCAAAAGTATCGAGCAAGAGAAGTGCCGCGGGACGACGACGGTCGTCGATACTTTGATAAGTAATCATGCTTTGATCTGTAATTATATAGTAATCGGGAGCCTGCACGACTATGTTTAAGCAGAATTAATTACATCGTCGGTTTTACGTAATCATAGGAATGCGTGACCACTCGCGGCTCGAGTGGTAGTCAAGAAGTAATCGTTTATTAGGATTTACGCGGACGTAAATGTTAAGTGCGTTTTGCGTTTTGCGGAAAAAAAGAAAGAGAGAGAGAGGGAGAGAGAAAGAGAGAGAGAGAGAGAGAGAGAGAGAGAGAAAGAGAGAGCGTCGAGCGAAACCGCGTGTCACCGATGAAAAATCCGGTAAATCTTGTCTTTCTCCTCGTTCCTGCGTCTTCATCTTGATACAAGCCTCCCAGACGCCGATGACGGCCACATGAATCGTCAGTGGCAGTCACGACTCTCGTTATGCCACTGGCCAATCTCGCAAAGGCGAATCCCGCGCTCCCGCTGGAGCTTCCTTTCATTCAACCAGGTCGGAAACTTTGAAACAATTATACGTGTGTTCCAGATGAGTTGCAACTGCCCATTGACCACGTCGACCGGGCCGACGTTGGCTTCGACGTGCGGCGGGCCGTCTTTCATGCTTTTCATGGGGCTGCTGGAGGTCTTCTTACGTAGCCAGTGCGACCTCGAGGACCCGTGCAACAGGCCCGCGCCGCCGAGCAATGTCAATACGAGGTGAGCCCGGCGAAGGCCGTTCTGGACGCCGGTGATCGTTGCTCGTTGATTCGAATATGGGTCATGGGTAAACTAGAACGACGAAACGACAGACCGCGCCTTTGAGAGTCGATTTCTTTGAGAGCCGCTTTGAGACCGCGCGATAACGAGAGAGATCTCGCTCACGAATCGCCGTGGGTGTTACCCACCGGCGTGTGATGTATCCAGTTCTCCCTTCCCGTGAATTTTCAACGACACACAAAAACATAGGCTCGGCCGAAATTGATCGAACGCGTCTCCTTCTCTCGCGGGAGAGAAGCGGAGAAAGGGAGAAAAGAAGGGAGAGACAAATTCCCCGTTGGAGATTTGGCTGAGCCGCCTTTGGTCATCAGCCGCTGATAATACCGTTTGACTGATCATGGCGGCTGCCTACGGTTATCGCGGTTATTAAAGTAGACCAACGCTCGGGAATCCGCAAGGTAACTTCCTCGTTTCGCGTCGTCTAATTACTCGGCTGAGGTCGACTCACTCGGCGAGGCTTGAATTCACCGTTGAGCCGAAGCGTTTCCTCGTGACTGTGTGTCATCTGCCGCGGCGCATCTGCTACGGCTGCTATTGTATGCACGCGTCGAAGATAATAACGGTGCGTCTTCCTTTCCCCGGAGATCTCTTGTCACTTATCGACGAGAGAGATTTCTTCCGCGAAGAGAGCATCTCGCGCGTATCCGAGGGAAGCGTTCCACGGCGAATCCTAAATGTGGTCCCGAGATTGTGTCGCAGCTGCGCTCGCTCACGTAATACCGTAGGAACGTCTGGCTGCGCGCGCCCTCCCTCTCGGAAGTGAGCATCCACGCACGCCTCTATCCGCGGAGTCGTTACACCTGTACGCACGTACGTAATACCGCGGGCCATTGTTCCGATGCGCCGCGCGTTGCGTCACATCTGGCCGCGGCATCTACCCGCGCGCCGCTGGCGCTGGGCCCGCGACGAGACGCGAAAGGAGCAATTCTCTCGCGGGAAGCCTCGAAGACGCGGCGAACCGCGGAACGGCAGGATGTACGCGGGAGAATGAAAATCAAACATGAACAACGGGCGAGATGCATTTCTTGAGATATCGCGAGACGTGGCTGTGCCTGTGTGTTATACTATATGCTGCACTATTTGGAAATAATTGTTCAGAGAAACTTGGAGAGAGAGAGAGAGAGAGAGAGAGAGAGAGAGAGAGAGGGAGGGAGGGAGAGGATACGCTTTTAACGACTCACCCAAAAAAATGTAATTTCAGAACAAGCGGAATCATTTAAATTTTAGAAAGTTCTACTTTTTTATATATGGCCTCAAGAGGATTTCTTTAAGATTAAGAGGAAAATATTATAAACACATTATTCTTAAAGTTAGAGGGATTGTATGTTACATGTACATAATGCAAGTCTTATTGATTTTAATAGAAATTTCCTACACATACACAGATTATTTAATCCTTTTTTAAAAGAATTATTATTTATTCTTATTGATTATATTGGTTAATTCGAAAAAAATTATTATAATGTATAATGAAAAATAATATATTTATATATATATAGATGTACTTCTGGCTCCAGTTCTACAATAAATAGACACGAATGAAATAAGATCATCATAACAAATAAATTTCCAATCAGTTTTGTCATGGACTTCATAGCTACAAATATATTCATCATAACCAATTGTATGAAACATAGTTAAAAGAAAGAATATATTATTCAACTTCTTGCAGTAGATTATAAAACTGTATTTGACCAAACATGGGTCAAATTATCTTCGTTATATGTTACAGCAACGCACATAACTTTTTTTAAAAAACTTTCCAAATATTTTGACCTATGAGCATATTTATGTTATTTTTTCGTTCATGTCTGGAGATAGAGCGTGACTGAACCAAAGAAGTTAATATTCGAGTCAACATATTCCTCTTCATATAAGAAGAAAATTAATGATATAAGAAGAAATCCTTTTGAACCAAGAGGAAAATAGAATAATATCTAATAAATTTTAGATGAATGGTTCACTTTAATCGCTTTATGAAAAGAGGAATCCTTTTTCTGTAAAAGGCTTCGCTTAAAATATGAGACTATGGGAAAAATCACTTTACAAGTAGAATACTTTTTTTTAGGTAAGAATTTATTTGGAAATGCCAGTTCAAACAGCAGACAATTGTCGAAGAGCAAACTGGATACGATTGCGATGGTAAAAAATGTACAGTAAAATTGTAATTTTACGAAAATCGAGGATACACACGGATACAATGTAGACGTACGCTTGTCTGCGTGCAATTAACAGTAGTAAGCGAAAGGCTCTTCTTGCCCTGCGAAAGGCGGGGGAACCGCTCATCCGGCATTTTACCACCGACTTATCTCGCCGTATCCCGTATTCATGAGCGATTCGCGAAATCTGCTTGACTGTTAAAATAACAAGAAGAGAACGTGCCACGAAATCTACACGTGCCGCACTAGAACTTGTTCCACGAAGATGGAAACAGGTTTTATCGCGCTCGCGGCTTTTTTCCAACTCCCGCGATCTGTCTTACGCCTGTCGCCGTTCACACACAATTAAGCGAATCTGAGTCATTAAACGTAATACATTGATATTAAACGCGGAATTGCAAACCGCTAATTTATATCTGATATCGAACGTTCTCTCATTTTTAAAATCTATCGAATTGCAACACAGTTTCTCGAGCTGAATTTCAAAGTACGACGAGACGTCGAAGTCGACGACAAGCGCTGATGTAATGCTTATTCTATTTTATTTAGTCGCAATATCGCATTCTGCATTCTTGCTGAATCGTTTATTGCGATTCATGCTCCGCCGGGAAATGTCATTTTCCAGACAAATCCGCAAATCAGAGTTACTTTCCAGTAATAATTTGATCATCACTACTCCCTCTCGGAATATCATATCGTCGGCGAGAGCGCTCTGTAGCAATAGGGCAGTGGGCCCCCAGCACAGGAGAAATAATCATAACATACGCTTACACGCGTAACGAGAACATGCCCGACTAACGGCTATCGCGAATTACCTCCGACACAGAGTACCTCTCAAGTGAAAAGTACAGCAATCACCGTGGACCGATGATTAGAGCGGGGAGAAAAGTTTCCTCGAGTTTCCCGCCAACAGATTACCTCAGCCGCGCGGCGGTACAAAAGGGATCCGCTTCTCCCCTCGGAGAATTTGCGGAGCACGTGGAGCCGCGACGACGACGATTAACGTTCAGTATTAAATACCGCACTAATCAAGCTGCGAATTGAGTAAAATTAAGCCAAGCAGCGGAGGCTATTATCCGTCGCCAGTATCCTATGCGACTCGTTCGCGGAGAGCCTCTTGTTATCCTGTAATTATTCCCGCGACTACGGTGTCACCGGTAACAAAAGGATCGATCTGCTCGGATCCGAAGCCGAAGAGAGCCGGTCGACGAAAAGAGCGGCGAGAGAACCGCGCGCCGTTCTACAGAGACTCGTGCGTAAAAGTGTGTCATTGTCCCGCACGCTACACATACGGATACGTTCGTGCCGTGGCATTCAGCCGAGAGAGCATACCACGGACACTCGCCTGTGAGATCGTCCTGAGAGTTCCTGAGAGAAACACACCTTTCGCCCGGCATTCGCGCGCGACGCGGCGCGCGAGGGAAAAGGGCGGCCTCCTCACCGCGCGCGGATTCCGGCGGGGTACGAAATTCACGGAGTTTGCTAACGACGATGCGTCGCGACGCATTCATCAGCGATTCGAATCGATACTTGGATTACTCGCGTCTCCCAATGTCCGCTTAGTCTCTGGGCTGAATCGAACTTCCGATTAACGACGTAAAAGCGAGTGAGAAATCGAGTCGATAAGGGCGACGAGAAATGGCCGATCAGGGTAACATATCTCGACTGTGCATGGCTCTCTTTGCATTGTTTTCTTTTATCTCGCGTCATAGAAGCTTTGCTCTCTTCTGCTTTTTATAGAAAATTAAGCTGAAGCAATTGGGAGCGATCGGGAAGATTGATATCGATCGAGTTGCGACAGAAATTTATCATAAGAGAGCGGATAACTGAATTTCGTGATAGTTTGACTCAATAGGGTTGTAAAGTCTTTTACTCGCGAGAGGGAGAGATGATAAAAAATGTAAAAAGGGGTGCTCGTAGCGTTGCTGTTACATCATGAAGATAATATTCGCTGCTCCTCTGAGCCAGTTACTAATCCGTCAGGTGAAGGATCGCCTAATAACGCGACTTCGCTAATTAAGGTGCCTTTCGCAAACGAGCGTGCACCGTAAAGCTGAAAGCGAGTAACCTTCTGCGCCACGACAATCTTACTTTCGAAACGTCGTCTTCTCCGGGTAAGGAGAGTAGGCGAAATTCCGGTTGGCGGGAAGCTTGCCGCGTACGCAAGGTGTCCCTGCCTGTCTTGTGTCCTTTATGTGACGGCGAGTTCGATGACCTCGCGATAAACGTGCAAACCGAAAAAAAAAGAAAAGGTAAAAAAAAAAGAATAAAAACGAGTACTTACATAAATAAATACATAAGTAATATACTTAATATACCTAAATACCTAAGTAAGATATTCATCGGTATAAGTCTTTAGAAAAAGTCTTTAGACAAGTCGCCGAGGCAGAAGGGGGATACATTTCTGTGCACAACTCGCTGATTTACGTCGCGACACGGATAATCGAGTCGATGGTCAGTCGACGATATCTCACCCGCGAGAAACGGAACGGATTCCTCTTTCAGGTACGACTTCGTGGTAATAGGAGGCGGTAGCGCAGGTGCGACCGTCGCGGCCAGATTATCGGAAGAGCCCCGATTCTCCGTGTTGCTACTGGAGGCTGGCCTGGACGAGCCCACCGGCACGCAGATACCCTCGTTCTTCTTTAACTTCATCGGCAGCGACATCGACTGGCAGTATAACACCGAGAGCGAGGACGAGGCTTGCCTAAATAAGGAGCACAACCAATGTTATTGGCCAAGGGGAAAAGTAAGTAGGGTTCAACGCGCCACTGGGCAATCCGCTGACCCCCGGCGAATTCTTACCTCAGGATTACAGTTGCGTCAGATTTGGAAAGCGGCGGTGTAATGTCGTTCATTAAGACCGAGGCTCCGAGTTAAACGCCCCCGGAGATTATAAGCGCGCGCGCTCTCGATAATCCATCGACCGCGCTCACGAGTCCGATCGCGTGTGAATCGCGCGTCCACATGTCAAATGGGACTTTGCGTTAAAGCCGAGACGAAATCACGATAGGTTCTCGGCGGTACCAGCGTGATGAACGGGATGACGTACATGAGAGGATCGCGCAAGGATTACGACGACTGGGCCAGGCTCGGCAATGTCGGCTGGTCTTACCGAGACGTCCTCCCGTATTTCATAAGGAGCGAAGATAATCAACAAGTCAATAACATGGATTACGGCTATCACGGAGTCGGCGGGCCGCTCACGGTCACGCAGTTCCCTTATCACCCGCCCTTGAGTTTCGCTCTTTTGGAAGCCGGCAAAGAACTAGGTGAGTGTAATTGGACGTGGACGGGACCGGCGACTGCCATTTTTACGTTTTATCAGGTTGGTGATAAAATAATTGCGGTTTTTATCGTTTTAACTTTGACGCCGATTTTTCTAATTATCGTTATCTTTTTCAGAATTCTATCTTGTAGGAATAAATAAACTTGTCTCCCCTTGGGAGAAATGTGTGCAGGCCAATGGTCTTTGTTTTGATTAATAAATATAATTTTTAACTGATATATGCATCTTTATATTCGATACGTAAAACGGCAATTATTTTTGCACCAATCTAATAAGACACGGTGCTGCTATTGGGAGATTGCCCGGGATGTTGAGATTATGTCCATTTTCTTGCTATGCGTTCGATTAAAGAGGGAATTACATGCGAAAGGCCGTTTTCAAAGCTATTTTTATTTTTATTTTTATAAATTTTTATGTTTATAAATTGTTTTAACAGAAACGGTAAGATCAATGGATTTGAAATTTTCACAGTGTATTCATTAATGTTCAAAATATAAAATAAATTTTATTAAATCACGAGAACTGATCCAATTTGTAATTATAGATAAAAATCCGTTTGCAAGCTCTATATTTGCTGTCGACATAATTCCGGGCCTCTCTCACTACTCTGAAACCAAAAACTGAGAAAGATTTTTAAAATATACAGTTGCCATTATAGCCCGTATCAAGATGAAGGCAGTGAAGCCAAATTTGGAAAAGTAATGACTGTACAAAAAAAAGGTATCAAAAATAAAACTTTGTTCAACTTATAATCATGTCCAAAAAAAATGAATAAAATAAAATATGATTATGTTTGAGGTAGGAGTGCGAAAACTACATGTCTATTGTATATTGTGTAAAAATTTCAAGTTATTCGGTTCAGTAGTTTCTGCGTATAATCGTATCGACAGTTTAAGTAAATGATGTTTTCAGATAAACGCATTTAAAGTTTTATGTTGTGCTTTTTCCACACAGATAGTAACAAGTTTATTTTATACTTTAAACATTAATGAATACACTGTGAAAATTTCGAGTCCATTGATCCTGCCGTTTCTGTTAAAAAAATTCTTAAAGAAAATAGCTTTGAAAACGGCCTGCTCTGCATGCAATTCCCCCCTTAAAAGTCGACATAATTCATAACAATAATTAGCGAGAAATAATAACTGGTGGCAATAATTAGTAATGGATAGTGGTGAGCGGCGGAGTATAATCGGAAAAAGAATCAATAACAATGAATAATAGATACTTAAGAAGTAATTCTGATCTCTGTGCGTCAGGATACGACACGGTCGATCTGAACGGAAGGACGCACACGGGATTCGCCATAGCGCAGACCACGTCGCGAAACGGCTCACGGCTGTCCACGGCACGCGCTTTCCTCCGTCCCGCCAGGAATCGGCCGAACCTCCACATAATGCTCAACTCGACAGCGACGAAGATCCTCTTCGACGACAGCAACAGGGCGGTCGGCGTCGAGTTCGTGCACGATAACATGCTTAAGCGCGTGTCGGTGGCGAAGGAAGTCGTCGTGAGCGGAGGTAATGTTTTCGCTCGACCGATTACGATCACTTACGAAGAACTAACGACCGTTCCTGTCTCTCGCGTCCAGGACGCGAAGGAAAGCTGGAGAGGAGCGCTCATGCTCCTTTCCACGACGAAGGTCGCGAAAGGAATAAACGATAGGAATCTAAGTTTAGAAACGTCACATCCCGCGGAGGCAGTCTTAATTACTCATCCTTCCGCAAATTGTCTCTCTCCCGGCGGCGGCGAGAGAGGGGGAGGGATGGTAATCGCGCGTATACGGTTTCTCTCGAACAATACGGATTGTGCGCCGGTGGGCGCCGGTATCGTCGATGTCCTTGAGCCGAAACCGGAGTTCGCAATCACGTTGGGGGAGAGAGGGGGAATGATGGGAGATACGACGCGTGCGTCGACGACGAGCTCAGCCGCGCGGAAAGAAGAGAAGAAACTGATCTCTCGGAGATAACGGTTCTCGCGCGCAGGTTAATCGCGGATTAATCGGCAAATTGTTAGATATGATTTACGAGCGATTACACGCCGCCATCCTACAATCCATCTCGCTGGAGCTTTTAATTCAGCTAATTGATGCGCTCGTGCTATTACGCGGTATTCCGCACGCACGAGCGACCGCTGATTATACGGATCCTCCGCGTTATCGCGGCAACGGCACGAGTCCGTGTAATTGGGCCGTTTAACGTTTTGTTTGTCATAGGCGCCGTTAACTCGCCGCAGATCCTCCTGAACAGCGGCTTAGGACCCCGGGAGGAGCTCAACGCGGTGGGTGTGCCGGTCGTCCGTGATCTTCCGGGAGTCGGCAAGAATCTCCACAATCACGTAGCCTACGCTCTGGCCTTTACCATCAACGATACCGACACCACTCCTCTCAATTGGGCGACCGCCATGGAGTACTTGCTGTTCAGGGACGGTCTCATGTCGGGCACAGGTAATAAAGCGTAATCTACATCGCAAATATCGACGGCGTCTTTATTATCCTTCGTCGAATTATCCGCTTCGTACAAATCTGCTTCGGGTTGCTCGTTGACTCTTCATCAGTCGTTTATTCTCACTCGAACTCGAGGAAATTCTTCGAGCGAAGAACTTCCTTGTTCCTCCATATTTCTTTACAAAAAGAAATTACATTACTCTTACGAGAGAAAGTTTTTCTCGCCGATTTTACCGAGCCTCGAATATCGTAGGGAGAAAACTCGTAGATAAAAATAATATATCTATTGGGGGTAGAGTCTTTTCGTTATTTTAACCCTTCAATTAGCGCAACTATAATATTGCTACGTTAATTGAACGAAATTTAATTATGATTCTAAATTAATTAGCAATATTTCTTTACAGTATATGTCAATTTTCATCAAGATACCAAACTTACCCTTAGAAAATAGCAGCCTTCGAACCAAGTGAAGAACACATACGTCATTTTATGTTACTTAAGCTTCATTGTGGATCGGATAAAATTTCGTTCTATTAATGTAGCTATATTACAATTGTGCCAATTAAAGGGTCAAAAAACGGAAAATATCGTATCCAAAAATAAGAGTCTAATTCCTCGCACGTTTTGGTGGCCTCGACGAGCTCTCGCAACCACTCTGCGATCTACAAGCGAGACAGACGTCGCGCTCCAAGTAGATACAGACGGTCGCGTCTGGTCGAAGTACGGCAGTAGAGACGACGGGCGCAACGCGTTTGTGACTACTTGAAGCGCAGCGCTCGCAGCTCGTATTTCAAAGGTGCGATTTCAGTGTAAAGGAGACACGTCATTCTTGTCTCTGGCTTTTCTACGACATTACTCGAGATTACTTGGCGCTATTGGTACTTCCTTTGTTTGAGTAACCTCGTGCTCGCAGTACTCGATGTGTCGTCGGTATGATACTGAAGGTGCCACTTCGCTCGACATAATAACCGTCGTCCGTGTATTTCTCGCAACTAAATAATGCGATCGAACTCGTACCTCGAGGTAACGTCGGCGATTGCTCTCGCTAGGGACCACAATCGCATTGATCCGACAGACACGAGGAACGACCGCGTCGTCGGGGGCGCCGCCTCGGTGCAAACGCCACGTTTTCCTGTTTACCGTGTCGAAGATGTTGCATCTCGGGGCATTAATTCGCGGACTTCGTGCACAAGCAGTGAAAGTATATTGCACAATGATCACGTTCGTCGTGTCTGCCGATCCGACGATTACGTGACTGTCCCAACCCCAATGGGTCTATTTATCGTCATTCAGATCGCCGGACCAATTTAAAACCGGTCATCACTTCACGCTCGTGACTCTGCTCTCTTCATGGTCCGTCAGCTGAAATTAACCGCTGATCCCGATTCCTTGACGTTATTTCACACACACACACACACACAACACATACACACACACACACACACACACACACACACACATTTATAATAATTTGTAATACACTCGAGGTAATTTTTTGAACAGCGTCGAAATGAGGTTTTCATGAGGGGAAGGGGAGAAAGAGAGTCCAAAAAAGAACGCAGAAACGTGGTCATATGTGTGCAAAATCATTACAACTAAATGAACCTTATGCGCATAAATGCCAGCGTTTATCGAATACGTTTCTGCGAGAGGCAATCTTACGTCGTGCCATCAGCGATGCGCGTGCGCGCGCGGTGACATTTCCCTCGTTATAAACCGGACGATACTATCCATTAATATCGGCATTACAGCCGTTGATATTCCCATAAATTAATATTAGCCACTCTAACCTGCGGAAAACGGCCACCGTCTCTCTCGCCTTTCCACGTCTCTCCGAGGCGCTCGTTCGCATTTACATTTCTCCCATCGCCACGGTTAAATTATTACATCGCACGCCGTTGACCGGCGTGGTTTACCGCTCAGGAAGGCGTATACGTACGTCGGCTGCGGTCGTGCTTGCGCGAGTATTCGCGTTTGTTAGCGGCCGCTGGTCGATAAACAATACGGAAAGAAGGTATGCGCGAGAAAGTCGCGGCTCTCGCGGGGCTGCTGCCGGTCCCTTCTCCCCTTCATCCCGCGACCAGTGTTTTCATCTCTTCCGCTCGTCCAATTAATGCGGCTAATTAGGCTACCGAAGGCCGCATCGGGGAGTGTTAACTTTGTTCCACACTCGCGCGCTCTACTTTGGATCATTAATCAAAGATGCCGGGTGGAGGAGAAGGGCGCTCGCGCGACAGCGGCACGAGCGGGGAACGCTGTCCGTTGGGAATGAAGCGAGAGCATAATTTCACAGCGTCGAGAATTCGCCCGAGTAAATTGTCCGGGAATTTATGCAAATATCTCGGCGTATGTCCGTAAGTAACGTGTATATCCCTTTCACGATACTCGCTCGCCCCGCTCATAATCCGGAGCGCTTTTTAAGGTATTCGGCACGATCGATCGCCCCGAGCTGAGCTGGTTCTTAACGAGCGTCACCTCGGGGCTGAACTCCATATTGGCTCTCTCTCTCTCTCTCTCTCTCTCTCTCTCTCTCTCTCTCTCTCTCTCTCTCTCTCTCTCTTTCTTTCTCCTTTGCTCCCTTCAGCACGAAACGCCGTAATAGTGCTAAATGCGAGCCTCGGAATCGCTTCTCTTACGTCGGTTTTATCGCGGCTGACTGCGATTCGTGGACGAACCGCGACTCGACGAAATTACATAAGGGCTCCGGAAATGCCCCCGACGCGCGCGAATATGCCGTTGCGAAGGAACGAACTTGTCGATCGCATCTCGATTTCGCAACACCGACACCGACCGTTAGCTGTGCCACGAGTTCGGGGGTAGTGATTAATTACTGGTCGAAATGAAACGTATCGGAACGATCGGAACCGTCATCCATCGATCAGAAAGGCCGACGATACGATCGCTGTGATTGATCGGTGCTTCGCGAGAGAAAAATTACGCAGATGCTGTTAATTTCTAAGGAGCGATTCTCGGGAAGAGATAGATCGCGATCAACACTAGTCGACGTTTGACGTTTGGCAGCGATCGATCATAGGTACCATTTCTGGTGAAATGTTAGATGATATATTTTGTAATGTACGATCATACAGAGTGCGTACGATAATTTTTGATGCTCTAAAGCAGAATTTCCCAACCTTTTTTGTATTTCGCACTCCTAAAAATTTATTAATAAACCTTCGCACCCCCTAGAAAAAAAATTATTCGTATGTTTTATGGTAAAAATTAGTTGTTAGGGCTTTAAGGTAAGAAGTTAAAAATCAAAAATGATAAAAAATTATTCAATTTTTTATTAAACCATAAAGAGTTCAGTAATGTATTGTAGAATATAAAGAAAAAATTTATAGAACTAATGCATTTAATTTGTAATAATTTATTATTACATAGTATTGTTTTATAGAAATTAACCATCATTTTAATATTATAAAATTATCATCGTATCAAGTTTCGTATAGTGATACGTAATGAATATATACGTACAGATATATAAAAAAATATATAATTTTAATAACATTTTTTTTTTAATTTGATGGTAAAAAAGTGCGGGATTATTCCAGAATTCATTTTAATTATTATTAATCACAATCACTTTTCCTCGCACCTCCAAGAATGTTTTTTCGCACTCCCCAGGGAGTGCGAGCGCTCCCGGGTTGGGAACCCCTGCTCTAAAGTATTTTGTGCTGAATGATATGCGTGACGTTTCATGAAAGGTATGACATTTTAGTTTATGGTAATTTGATGAGTTGACAACTGAATACCCGCACTCCGTCCGCCAGGGATCTCCGAGGTGACGGCGATGATCAACACCAAGTTCGCGGATCCGCGGGAGGATCATCCCGACGTTCAGTTAATCTTCGGCGGTTACCTGGCCGATTGCGCGGAGACCGGCATGGTGGGCGAGAAGAAGGGCGCGAACCGCAGCGTATACATCATCCCGACGATCCTGCACCCGAAGAGTCGCGGTTATCTGCGCTTGCGAAACAACGATCCACTCTCGAAGCCGCTGATTTACCCCAAATACCTGACTCATCCCGACGACTCAGCCGCTCTCGTGGAGGCTGTTAAGTTCAGCGTCAAGCTAGCGGAGACCCAGGCGCTCAAGAGGTTGCACGCTTTCACTTCTTTTACTAAATTATGCGGACACGAAAGTGACGTTCTCAACGAGAGATAAGAGCGATATTAATTATGTAGTTGCATAGTTTTAAAGCGAGGATGTTAATTGTGATGAAGTAAACATTTTTCTTTCCGTCTTTGACGGGAGACGGGAGGGAGAAATTATTAATTATTATTAATTACTTATTATCAATTATTTATTATTAATTATTTATTATTATTGACTCATAATTTATTATCGCTATTTTATAATTATATCATATATACAGGGAGTTAATATATTCGGCTGAGATGTTTTTATAACGATTCTTTTTTTATAACGATATTTTTATTGCGATTTCTTTCTCTCTTATTCGAGCACGTTATATAACGTGCTTATTTATATTTCTTCTCGAAATATTCTACGCCACGAAGCGACATATCTTTCAATTAATATGAGCTTGCCATCGTTAGCTTTGCCATCGAGAGCACAAGCACGAATTTGCGAATCCTAAACTTGATTGAACTTTCATTCAATCTCTCAGGTACGGATTCGAGCTGGACCGAACTCCGGTGAAGAGTTGCGAGCACCTCAAGTTCGGCTGCGACGCTTACTGGCATTGCGCGATCCGTCATGACACGGCTCCCGAGAATCATCAGGCGGGTTCCTGCAAGATGGGTCCCCCGGACGATCATTTGGCCGTGGTTGACAATCAACTGCGAGTCAGGGGGGTGCGAGGCGTGAGGGTGGCCGATACGAGCATCATGCCGCGAGTGACATCCGGCAATACGAACGCGCCGGCGATCATGATCGGTACGTAACGACTTTCGTCGGGTACAGTATTATTACTTTTGTCTCTGACAAGATATTTTCAGCTAAAACGTTTCAGCTAAAACAATAATCTATATGATGAAATATTAGATGAGTTCAAAAGTTCAGACGACTTTCTTCAAAAAGGTCGCGACTGATCCAGTTGCTGACCTAACAATGCTTGCAAATATGTAAATGCACAATATATCAAAAATAATAGAAAACAACAGCGATTATTTCGGCGATTAATAGGAAAAGAATAAGACGTTTTTGATTAAATTACTCACAAGGAAAAATTTTTCAAACAAAAATTGTACAGTATAAAAAATTTTTTGTTCAAAAAGTTATGTCCTATCTACGATAATTATTGAGATAACATAAAGGGGATGAAACTTTGAGGGGCAATTTCATCCCTTAAACCTGAGCCATTGTCGATAAAAAAAATATGAGTCTCTTATTTTTGGCTACTCTACAAATATGCCAAGTTTCGTCGAAATCGGAGACACACACTTCGCGGATGTTCTTTGTTAGTCCATTTTTCTGTCACGAAATTCACCGAAACTTTTGCACTTGTTCAAAATTGTCTATATAATATATATATATATATATATATATATTATTTTATGTACAGGTGAAAGAGCAGCGGACTTCATCAAGAGGACCTGGATCGGTTGATTCGAACTTGCTTGACGTTCGATTACGATGTTCTACTACTTCGCGAGAAGCACCGTGGTTCCAAGCGACACGAATATCTGAAAGATGTCGCGAAGGAGTCTGAGTGACGCTTATCGATTATTCAGACGATTCTTTGGACGTTCTTCGGATCTTCGAGTTATTTCGAGTCTCCCATTCTAGTATGTATATTTCGCGGGACACAAATCCATATTCTCCCGGCGATCTTAAAATGTTTGTCGACGATTAATCATTACGATCCGTGGCTGCAATTAACCGTCGAATTATCCGTTCGTTACGCGCGTACTTCGCAAGACTCGGAGCATTATTTAATCTCCGTTTATCATCTCGCCTCTTTCGGCATCTTTCGGTATCATTCGTCTGTTGTGTGTGCGTGGAGCGGTTTCACCCAACAATTTCGCCGACAAGACGCGAATCGTGTTACCGGTTTTTCCCAGCTGCAGTCTAGATTTTTATCTCACGCCCGTTCTCGGCATACCGAACCTTAGTTAAGCACTCCTCGCGGTAACAGGCTATCGGTGATCGTAATCTCTTACCAAATAGATCATTCGCCGCGAATCGCGAGAACTCTCGACAAGCAAAGGCATCCGACCGCAATCCTGCTCCGTGTCTTCACCGAGTGAGTAAAATAAGTGAACTCGCTACTGTAAATAGTACATTACCGCCACAGTGTATTCCCCCCCCTCCCCCACGAATCACTTGTAAGATGATGTACAAATAAAGAATGTCCTATCGCGGAAGAATATCCTTTCTCGCTATATCTCAGCGGAAGTGTGCCGTTGTGAGCTCCGCGTACATTCGACGACGGAAACGTGTCACTTGCCGAGGAGTTTACCCAGCGCAGATTAACGCAACACTTCGCATTACCCGTCCGTTATCTTCGCTCGTCTTCGCTCCTTGGAGTTGGACGGTCGATTTATCAGCGCGCGTTCACCGACAGACAAGGCAAGGGTGGGGTGCTTGTTAAAGAAAAAGAACCACCGCATCAGCGGTGTGTGTGTGTGTACGTGTGCGACGCACTTAAGCGTATATATTTCATGATGCGCGTGTGTGATATTGAAAGCTTAAGATAGGCATACTCGTGACATTACGCTAAACGTTAAACGACTACGGTAATACTGACCACGCTCGCTCTCTCGCACGTTTCGCGCCTAAGACTAGATCTCTCTTCTGCTTTCGCTTCGCCATCGCGCTCTTCTCATACGCAAGTCTAACACGCGACATTCGAGGTGAATCAAGATCGATCGATTGCCGAATTATCGTCCAGACTCCGTTCGTTCAGTACTGGCTGCGTTTGCGCTTGTTGCACTTGTACATCTTCCTGATCTTCTGAATGTCCCTCTTGCTGAAGCCCTTCCGCTGACCGATCTCCTGGCTGGTGTTCTCCTGGAAGATGTCAGTGATGATGCCTAGGATGCCGGCCGACTTCTCCTGCGGATACATATTACATAGTACAAGCTGTAACATCAACGTATAGGTCAGTATGACGGGTTGCGCCTGCCTATTCGGACGATAATACAAAGGTTGTCGAAAAAGTCACTCGATAATGATATTTGCAGTGCTCTCAATGATGATGAGTGCAACTAACTCTGCACCGTGATCGTTGTGACAGTTTATCGACTGTTTAAGATGTTTAAAAAGTGAAACTGAGAAGTAAACATTAGAGTAATGAATAAAGAGTAAAAAATAGCCAAGATAAATAATAGATAAATAATACAACATATTTTCTTGTTTCACACAATTTCCTAATTTCTTTCTTGCGTCGAAAAGTTCCATAGGAATTGGAGAAAGAACGGTACAGAAATATTTAGAAGTCTTATGTACTATGTTCCATCCATGTTTCTACAAAAGATCGCTTCTGATCGACAACAACTATCGAGCCCTATTTTCGATAAAGGAAGCATCAAGAGACTATGATGTCGCTCGATAATTGTCGCCGATTAAGCCGCAATCAATATTTTTAGTGCATTTCTGGCCGATCCATACCTTTACAGAAGCAATCTTTTGTAGAAACATGGATGGAATATAGTACAAGACTTCTATGACAAATGTCTCTATACCGTTCTTTCTAATTTTCAATTCTTATTAAACTTTTCAATGCAAGAAAAAAATTAAGAAATTATGTGAAACCAGAAAATATGTTGTGTCATTTATCTCCTTAACTATTATTCTTATTTACTCTGTTTAAATCCGTAATATTTATTTCTCAGTCTCACTTTTGTAAACATCTGTTTTAATTCAATGAGGCTGGATTCCTATCATAAACGGTCGATAAACTCACCATAACGATCACGGTGCAAAGTTAGTTGCACTCGTCATAACTGGGACCACTGCAAGTATCATTATCAACAGAGTCGACGAGTGACTTTTTCGGCAACCTCGTCCGAATAAAGATAGGCAAGCCGTCATATTGACCTGTATGTTAATGTTACATCCCGTACAAATATCAAGTACGACAAATCCGCGGTGATTCGTGTTCGCGAGCGCGCACGGAAGCATTCTCGCTGCTTTATCGCGCGGATATAAACCCCTTCGCGAGACAACAACGGGATCCAAGTTGCGGGACGCAGAGGACGCAGAGAGCGACGCGAGTACCATAAAAATGCTATCAAGGATCGCTTACTCTGGGTACTATCGTGGGCTGGCCGTTCTTGGAGAATGCCTTCGACGAGTAGTGCATCACGCTGCTGTAATCGTAGCCGACACCGAAGGCGTCGGTGGTCTCCTTGGAGGCCTTCTCGAAGTTGCCGCCGTGACCTGGATGCATAAGGGATGTCGTACGTGATAAAGATAGAACTTCATAATGCAAACGATAACCTCGGGCTTTCGGTTATGGCGACTTCGGAGAATTGCGGGCGAGCCGCGAGCCTTTGAATTAGCCAGCTCGGCCGATCGAAAGTCAAGAAATCATCACTGATCGGGCCACGGAGATGCAGGAAGATGGAAGAAGCGAGGGAGAGAGGGGGACAACTTCTCGGGAAACAATCGAGAGTGCGTTCGGAGTTTACAGTAATCGATAAAAATTTAATACATTACACTCCATTTTTTATACGCTATCGTTAACCCCTTCCATGGTAGAGCAAAATTCAGTAAAATGCACTGAAACCGCCCCAAAAAAATGACGGGACGGATTTTCTCAATAATTTGTATACTTCAGTTTTTTTGGTCGCTGAAGCCGAATTTGAAGTCAAAATATAGAAATTCAAAATGGCGGATCGAATATGGCGACTAAAATGTTTAGAAATGCTTAATATTATAAATAAAAGTAATTGGTCATTTCTCAAGTTACTAAATTAACGATTTTTATATAAAATCGCTCTTAACGCTCTTGCTGCTCGCTGCGAACTGACTCGTTCGCTGCTCGCTCTTCGTCGTACATCCTCTGTTTTTTGGTACTACCGAACACTCAGATTCCTTTAGGCGCTGCGGTCAAACGACGCCGATCCTTCCATCGGACGCCGCGGTCTCTCCTCAGTTTCTCCCTCTTACCCTTTCTCACTCTCACACATCCCGTGTGTGAAAAAGAAAATTTACAATTTTCCGACATTTTAATTTGATTATAGTTTTTTTATTAACAAATTATAAAAAACCAAGTTGAAATTCGTAATCAGCGACTCAAAAAATACTTGATAAAAATTCTACAACAATAGTTATTACACTTAAAATTCAATACAACACGAAAATGATCTGGACGCACCGGTGCGTCCGTGCCACGGAAGGGGTTAAATTATCGTCGAATAATTCAGGATTATTCAAACAGGTTGACCGCGTAATATATGTATTAAATTGTTGTCAAATAATCCCAAATTATTCGAGTGTAATTAAGGGCTGTAAAAGGGGGATTGTTTAATATGAAATTTTGCTACGCGAGCTTCCTCTGCTAAATTTAGAGACACGAAGATAGTAACGTACCATTCAAGATGTTTTGCCACAAGATGTGCACGTAGTCGTCGCGCTCGTATCTGCTCTGCTCGTGCAAGAAGCCGACGGCGTGCATCAGCTCGTGTATCACCGTGCCCTTCTTCGTGACGCAGCCAGGCACCTGAAGGTTGACGTCCTGCCTACCACCGATCCTGCCCACGCTGCTCCAGCAGCCGCTGTTGCCGGCCGTGATCCTGATGTAGTCGCTCTCCTCGCCTCTGTACGGTTTGAACTTGATGCACGTGTACTTGTGGTAATCGTCCATCGCGTCGAATATCAGTTTTTGCTGCTGCGCGTCTGCGGTGCAAATATCGCAGAAGTGAGACAAGCGAAGTAAGCCAGAATTGGGTCTTGAACGGCGAGAGAGATAGCCTTCAACGACGGTTGGAGGCGTTTTTGAAGATCGAGTTGTCTCGAGGATTTTCGAATGGTATCATTGTTTAATAATAATCCTTATTCACGGAAGAAAGTACCTTGACACACATATAAGAGAGACACACGGGTGAGGCAGACAGACGAAGAAAAGAAAAATCGGCACGATAAATCGTGAAGAAAAAATATTTGTTAAAGGTATGAAAAATGTTATATTTATGACGTCGAGAGGAGGCTCAAATAAATGTGTTACAATCTCTAATAAACAAGTAATATCAAATTATATATTTCAACGAAATATCCCAAGTTTTTCGAATCTCTCATTGTGACATAATTTTATATTTCTTCGACTCTTTTGCGCATATTACCGTTTCAAAGAGACATGATGAACATTTGACTCCCCGCTTGTCTTGTCATGAGAGAAATATTAATCCAAGGTGAGCTATCAAGGATACCTACTCAAAGTCTGCACTTTACAGGGTACATCGCAACATTCCCTGCGTGATCGGGAAGTTTCAGGGACATATACTCACTAAAGTACGGACTGATCATGAAGGGGATAACGCCGTTGGGCCACCGCGCAGTCTCGGCCTTGAGACCGTTCCTCCCGAAGACCGACGGGAAGAGGATGTCACCCTCAGCGTAGTTGCCCAACTCCTCGGGATTCACGCCCATATTCTCGTGCCATCGCGCCACCTTGAGGCCAGTCTCATTGTCGGGCAGCCCATAGAGCGATTCGCCGAAGTGTTGCAGATGAGCGATCAGTCCTTCGGGGTTGTCCACGGCGTTATCGAAGACGTCCCGCCGACGAAACGGCCAAGCTGACGCGAACGTCGTCAAGACGAAGAGCGCCCACGTAAGGCCACTCGTTAACGATCGGCTCCACATTGATCGTCTGTTCGCGAGACTGGATCACGATCGGATGTTGATTCGCCTACCTACCAGCCCTGTCGATGGTCGCCAAGTGTTTCAGCCGCAACAGTCGTTCCTGGTTTTATATGTCGCGGCCGAAGAAGCTCGCAGCTTGCCCCACCCGAGCGGGTGAAGTCGTCGCTTCCGTAAGGAAGTGATCGGGGCCACTCGTTGATAACCGTGGACTTTGGGTGACGCCGCGTCCAGATTTGCACCCGGTGTCATTGTCCGTCTCTCTCTCTCTCCCCCCCCTCTCTCTCTCTCTCTCTCTCTCTCTCTCTTTCCCGCTCTCCTTCCTCTGCTTCTCCCTGATAGGCGCGACATCAAGCTCAGCCATTAAGCGTTGTCGTGAGTTATTAATCCTTCAGACGGCGATTGTGCTAGGAGGCTGTATTCTCGGTACGAGACCTACGGTACCTACGCACGCCGGCTTCGTGTTTCGATGATGATGAAGCGGCTGAGGTTCAATCGCCCGAGTACACCGCCGAAATCCGGAGTCACTCTTGAAGAGATATCTGCACGAGTCGGCCACCTGAAGATTCTCAAGTTAGACGAGTTCATCGAGTTAGGGGAAAGTACAGGTAGGCCTAAGTCAGACACCGAGAAGGGGTTGCGTTGTTTGTAAAAGAACAAAGGACTAAGTAATCTGACTCGTGATATGCAAAATTTTGGGAAGAATGACTCTTTTGAAGGCAGATCGTGATTAGAGGTTTGTTGGCAGCACACCATGAGCCGCCTTGGCCGCAGCAATCCATGTAGAAGTTCTTTCAGGAAGAAGATGGTCTCCACACCTATGTATTTACATTTTTATTCACCATTGACTTAATCTCACGAGGTGATACCACGTCGAGTGAAAAGCCTGAAAGCGCGAAATAATGGACTGTCTCTGTCTTCCCGTTTCGGAGGAAGCGCGAAACCTGTTCTCTCAGATGGTCGACATTACAGCTCGCGGAGAGCGTCAAGTACGTCAACGTGACGGGAGGACAGCATTATTTGCACATCGTCGTCCCGTAGTAAGCGTTGATACACTCCCGCTCAGATCATTCACATGCAAATTCCGTCGTACAAACATTTGTCATCTTTCGTTTCGAAAGAGCCTCTCTGTCGCGCGCGCACAGCTCCTCGGAAGTGCGATATTAAATAGCCAAGGTCGCCTGTTCAATACCATTTGTCATATCGTGATTTCGCGGGCGGATAAGATTTTAACGCGAGATACGCGATTTACGAGGACGACTCGCCACCTTGCCGGGTTTTTACGTCTGATCGACCGACCTTCTAAGATACGGCGACACGGCGACAGCCGAAGTATCACATGATGTAACGTGGCGCGATTACATTTATGTAATGAAAACGCTAAGCTAGCGGTTATTATATACGCAATATAAATGTCGCGATAACGCTTATACGTCTCTCTCTCTCACTCTCTCTCTCTCTCTCCCTCTCTCTCTCTCTCTCTCTCTCTCTCTCCCTCTCTCTCTCTCTCTCTCTCTCTCTCTCTCTCCCTCATCGGGGTTACCTATTTATACTTTGTAACATTTAATTACGCGCTGATAGGAGTCGAGAAGGGAGCGCTAGGAGAAAAAAGTCTACTTCGCGGTATCTCCGGAACCTGTTTGAAGCGTATCTACTAGGATATTACGACTAAATGTTAGGAACTGGTCTGTATAATTACCCTTTTCTATTACACGGATAGTACGATAATTTTAGACCGAGACAAATCAGAGTTCCACCCTCGCTCTATTTGCATACGCACATAGATCGTATGTTCCGTTGATTTCGGAATTTACATTTATACGACGAGTTTAGACGAGTACTGCGGACTAAAATTGAAGCAACATGTTTCCCGAAGATATGTTCGTGTTAATTGTATCCATATAGAGTGGCGTGCAAAAGTTTCGAGCCATAGCGTCTTTTTAAGATACATGACAATATATTGATTTGCTCTAAAAATTAATTATATAAAATAGTTGACATAACATTCTTACAAATAATAGTACAGTTAGAAAATTTCGAAATTACATAGTTTCTAATTATTTAGTCATCTAATATTTACATGTGTTCAAAAGTATTGAGCCGTATTCTTGTTGTGACTTCATGAGTCCGGTTTGTTTACATTTCTTATGAAACTCCTTCGTAAATATTTACTTTAACTAAGGTTCAGTCTATTGTCTACAATAGAATTTCGGCAATGCCGAAACATACAAGCCTTCAGTTACGTGAAGCCGTGATTAATCTTTCTCAATAAGGAAAGGTTTCTTGCGAAATTGCTAATTACTTATTAATTGATAAAAGTACTGTAAATAGGATTATTGCTAAATATCAGTTGACGAATTCTCTAACTGATAAATCACGAAACAGTAGACCTCGCAAAACTACAAAGCACATCGATAAAATGATTAAAAGAAAGTCGATAGCAGATGTTAGAAAAACTGCCATGGATATTTCTCGAGAACTACAAGAAGAAAATCTTGCAGATATTAGTCGAAGTACAATGTCTCGATGTCTAAAGGAAGTAGGATTTTTAGGATGTGTTGGTGTAAATAACCCCATTAATTAGTGCAAAAAATAAGAAAGCTCGATTAGATTTTGCAAAGAAATTTGAACATTGAACTGAAGTTGATTGGCGAAAAGTACTTTTCTTTGACGAGTCAAAGTTTCAGTTATTCGGAAGTGACGGTAGAAAGTATATACGACGTCCAACAGGCACAAGATACAATAACTCAAGATATCAAATTCCTACCGTAAAATATGGTGGAGGTAACGTGATGGTTTGGGGATAATTTTCTTATAATGGAGTTGGTCCATTGGTTGAGAACACGGGTACTATGGACGCTATAATGTATCGAGATATATTGACACAGCATATGCTGCTATATGCAACTCGAAACATGCCACGTAGTTAGATTTTCCAACAAGATAACGATCCCAAACATTCATCAAAACTAATAAAAGAATTTTTCATCGTGAAAAAAATGCGAGTTCTTGGCCCTCGCAATCGCCAGACTTGAATCCTATTGAGCATTTGTAGCAAGAACTCAAACTACGTACAGGAAATAAGAAACACTCCAATAAAGCTGAATTGTGGCAAGATTTGCAAACTCAATGGCAAAATTTACCTCAAGACCGCATTTCTAATTAAATAGCATCAATACCTCGTCGTTGTGCTGCAGTGATTGCTTCTAAAGGCATGACAACAAAGTATTAAGTTTAAAAAAACGTTGACAACATTTTCTGTTATTATTTTTCAATAATATATTTTTCTTATGCACAAGAAAACTTTTTGGCGTAATATTTTTGCACTGTTTGTAACAAGACATTGTGTAAAAATGAAGTATTTAGAATTATTAAGAGTTTGTAAAGTTTATATAATTATAGGACAAATAAATACATTTTGTTTATATATATGTGTAAAGTTTTTAGCGCTCATTATGAAATGAATATATAATAATAATTGTGTGGCTCAAAAGTTTTGCACGCCACTATGTATGCATTGTACAGGGAATTACTTCGATGCTGGTTTTGCTTGAATTTTCGTTTATTAAAATAATTATTCAACAAATTCTCATTATCTAGTATATAATATATCTTATTCTAGTAATATTGTATGTAGTAGCATATCTTATTGTCTAGTACACAAAGATATAAAAATGACGCACTTTCTAATACATTTTAAATAAAATAAATAATGTACTAATTAAAAATATTAATTAATTATAACAGAATTATAGTACTTATATATATATATATATAAAATATATATATATAATATATATATAAAATATATATATATAATATATATATATATATAAAATATATATATATAATATATATATATATATAAAATATATATATATATATAAAATGTCTGACAAAAAATATGTAAAATTCTGAGTTATTATTTTAAAAAAATTGGTACATATAATTACGCGCAATATTATTTATAAATATTCTGCGACCTCGATTCTTTATCAAAATCAATAGCGACTCATAGCGAAGACTTTAAAACTAAAAATAAATATTTTTACCAAGATTCGAATCCTATTTAGCAAAGACTCAAACCTCATCTACATCTAATGAATTTGTCGAAATGCCGACAGATGGCGTTATGTAAATCGTTATCGCGCAAATCTATTTGCACAACATTGCTAGATGACATTGGAAGATAGTGCGTCGGTGACGTTTTTAGCAAGCTTGGTGGTTAGTCCGCGTTTTATCGATGAAGCAGACAGGATTTTTTTGTACTTATCAATAATACTATCAAACAGTGTCTAGAGTAAGTATTAGACTAACTTTACTAAAAAAAGAATAATTGACTCTTTTACAAAAAAGAATCGGTGATTGAATAATTCCGCCGCCGAATTATTGTTCAGTTTACATAAAACATAACCTAAAACCACTTTTCGTCGCGTAACAAAGCTCGATTCGCACGTGAATTCGCGAATGAATAACATCTACGGATAAGGAGAACTGATATTACAGGATGACGTTTGAGGATTCGTGGGAAGCTGTCAAACAGGCGGCAGGCGAAAACAGGCACGAACTGGTGTTGACAGGCGCGTCGGTGTCCAAGTTGGTCGAAAAATCAGGCTTGGACAAGAACTTGTTTGATCTTCATAATTTAAATTATCTCTGTATAACACAGACATGTCTCCAAAATGTACCGGACGAGATCGAGAAACTGACAAATCTTACAACTTTGGTGCTGCATTCAAACCAGATCGACACGCTACCAAACACAATCGGCAAACTGATCAAGATAAAACTGCTCGATTGTTCAAGAAATAAATTAACATCTCTTCCGCAGACATTAGACAATCTTCCTCAGTTAAGCACGATGAACTTTGGTTCGAATCTATTACGATCTATTCCGTCACAATGCACAAATACTAAATTAAGCATTCTGGATTTGTCAAACAATCGTTTGGAAACCTTCCCTGATGTGTGCTATGCAGAACTTATTCATCTGTCAGAGATTTATGTCAACGGGAATCAAATAAGAGAAATACCAATTGCTATAAGTCGACTTCAAGCCTTGAAAGTATTAAATATTGCAGATAATTTGATCTCTGGTAATTGAGCTTAATATTTCTATAAAATTTTTTCAATTTCATTGTTAATTTTCTCCCAAACTATAAATTCAATTGTTTTAAATATACATCACAAAGAATAATGCATATAATAAATGTGTGAATTTAGTTATTCCAGGTGAATTAGCAGATTGTGGCAAATTAAAAGAAGTTAATTTAAAAGACAACAAATTAACTGATAAGAGACTTTTAAAACTGGTCAATCAATGTCGTTCAAAGCAAATTTTAGATTATGTCAAATTACATTGTCCAAAGTGTATATCATCTGTAGAAGTTGATAAATCAAAAAAGGGAAAAAAGAACCAGAAACTTAGCGAAAGTGAAAATACCAGTGAAGTAGATAATTTGACACATAAATTGAGGATATTAAAAGTAACAGATAGTACACCTGTAATAAAAGTTACAAATAAGGTGAAGACTGTCAGACCTTATATAGTGGCATGTATTGTGAAAAATATAAATTTCACAGATGCAAGTTTCAAAAAGTTTATTCAGCTGCAGACAAAATTACATGATGGAATATGTGACAAAAGAAATGCTGCTACAATAGCAACTCATGATTTTAAACTTATAGCACCTGGTAGATATATTTATTATAATGGCAATGAATGGGTATGATTTTATTTATATTTTATTTATGCATGTGTCTTTTCAAGGTGACTTAACATATACAGCGATGCCACCAACAGAATTAAAAATTAAACCTTTAATGCGCAACAATACTTACACAGCAATAGCTCTGTTTCAACAGTTGCAAACAGAAGCTGAGAATCTACGTAAGGAGAAGAAACGAAATGTGTACTCTGGAGTACACAAGTATTTATATCTGCTAGAAGGCAAACCTTTATTTCCATGTTTCATAGACAATTCACAGCAAGTTATATCATTACCACCTATTACAAACAGTGATGTAACAAAGATGTCTGTCTCCACTGACACAATGCTCGTGGAAGTAACAAGTACTATTTCATATATAATTTGCAGGTGAGATTTGTTCAATTTAGATATATTCATCAAAAATATATCAATGCGTGAATTGTAAAAAGTGAATTTGTTAATTATATCTCGAATTTTTATTCACAGAAATGTGTTGGATGAATTTCTGAAGGAACTAGTAATCTTAGGTTTTACTGACACGTGCAAACAGAAGGAGACTAAAAAGTATAATAATTTAATTGTCGAGCAAATTAAAGTGGTCGATACTGAAGGAAATATGAAATTGGTGTATCCTTCGAGAGCAGATTTAAATTTTGATGATCATTCTATTATTATAATGCGAGAACAACAAATGACGTAATGCTATTCAAATATTACTTTAACATTATAATATGTTACACGTTGATTGATTTGTATAATGTTTATACATGTTTATTAACTTCTTTTCCTGCACAAATGTGAGATTATATCTTGACATTAAGTTTATATTACTTTCTGATGATACTCAAAATAATTTTTGAGAGAGATATATATTCTTCAAATAATTGTGTGAAAAAAATTTTTTTAATGTTCACTCATTACTCTTGAAAAAGTTACCATTTTTTCTTTATTTAATTAAGACTATACTGTCTTTGTTATTTATATCATCAAATATTTATTTTCAATTTATTTGTACTACTAGAGTTTGATTATTTTCTTGCATTCATGAAGTTATTATTTTTGTATTGCCAATACATTTTTTGTGTTGAAAATGCTAAATAAAAGTGAAAACTCTATTTCAGATATCTTTTATCTTTAACATTTTACAATAGAAAGAATCGAACTTTTCTTATTTCTTGCATTCTCATGTCAATTATCGTACATAAGAAACTAAGTTAAAGGTACGTAACCTTCGAGACCGAATGAACCAAAAAAAAATCAGTCTATTCAAACCGCCACCAAACACTTGCAAGCACTCCACGTTTTTTCATATCTTACCTCAATTATCGTACTTTTTTGGATTTTGCAAATTTTACAACGCATATAAGTTTACAAAAATATTCTCGAAACATCAGACGTCACAGAAATATAAGAAAAGGGAATCAATATTTCCGACTCATTTGCAAGTCGTGCGCGCACTCGTCAATGAGGCCTCCGCCCTTAAAACTTCCGCATGATGATCGCTGTTTCGTGCACGCAAGAAATCGCGGATGCATTTATAGAGGGGAGTCCGCGTCCATTAAACGCGCGTGTACAAGCCGTGTTTAATTTATCGCATTGATTAGAGGCGTTTGGGTACAGGATGTAGCGGTTATCCGCAACTTCGAATATCAACGAAAGACCGCCAGCTGGCTCCGGCGCAGCTGAGCCGACGGTGGCGCTGCTGTATACACGGCGATTCGCCCCGTCTGCGTGCCGGCGTTGAATTCTCATCTGTTTTTATAAATATTGTACTTTGCTACGCATGCCGCGATCACGTTTCAAACAGTGATTGTTCGTCGATGGACACCCTCTTGCGCGTCTATGCGAATTGTACGCTGTGAAAAGTCACTTCGATGACACCGTCGGTACGATAAGAAGAAAGTCGGGGCGAATTTTCCACGAACTTTCCCAACATGCGCGAGTGTTTGAAGTGATAACATGGCGCCGAAACATGACTGGTCATGATGGGGGAATGAGAGTGCGACGTTTGAGGTTAGTCTGTTATTTTTTTCTCGTCAATCGAAAGGTCATCAATCTGCGAGAGTCACTCTTACGTTACTTCTCCGTGTAGTCCTTTTTTTTTTACACACGTGAAATCTGTTCGTATCTCCGAATAATGTGCTACTGATTACTCTGGCAAACACACACTACCTGTCATGTTTTATAATTAACATGTTTCGCCATAAGTCTTGCTACTTTTATACGAGTTCTTTACGATGTTCAGTTCATCGTCAGGCTTCTTTTCTACAATAGAAATGTGATATAAAGTGTTTGATATTCTTTTATAATATATTTTTCTTACAAGTCTTATGTTTTTTCTTAATTATACTTTTTTTTTTAAATTATATAAAAAAGGGAAAAATATTGCTTTGTCTTATGCTTGATGGTTCTGTCACACATGGCATGTTAATATTTTTTATATTAACTTTGTACTTTGCAAAATTCATATGGATCTGCTTCAACATTTTCCATATGTTGCAAATAACAGAGAATAATTTTTTAATATAATATATATAATAGTATGTATATAGCTATTATTTATAGAATTCTACTTATAACCATTTTAAAAAAGTAAAGGGATTAAGTCAGATCATAAACTTATATTTTATTAAACATATTGTTTGCACTATACAACATTGCCTAAAGTTGTGCAATGTTGCTACATATGTTTATCGCATGAGAAATCAGCATATATTAGATATCTGAAATTCTTCTGCTATTGGGAAAATATGAAACATAGAGAGCATAAAAAATATTGAAACTTGGTTTCTTTAATAATAGTAAAAAAATAAAATAAAAAAAGACATCAATAGTTTTAAAAATAATAACCTATTGGTCCAACATGATAAATGCTAAAAAATCTTATGTACAGTAACAAACTATTCTAACAATTCCTTTTTGTTGTTATTGACAATATTTAAAAATAATAGGTCCTCTATTTCCTCTCTTGCAAAAATGTGCATACACATGTTTCAATATGAGTAAATGGTTTGGCCATAGTCTTTGGATTATATCGAGGAAAGATAGTCTGCTAGATGTTAAGTATCGATTGAATAAAATAGAAACATCCTGACCATGCATCTTTAACCGTCTACTCTGCTCTCCAAAAATATACTTGGAAATACCTTATACATACACATGTCGGCTTATGGAATAGGAAGATCTGTAGATCACAACATTCAGTCTAACTAGTAGATAATGTATATACTTAGAGGTTTAATTCATTTTAAGTCGCTCTTGGCGTTCTTTCACGTCAATGATGCCAAGATTAATACACGACACATATCCATGTAACAGAGAAATAGCTGCCTTGATCAGCGCCACTGGAGCGCTTAGGTATACGAGCAGCCTGTACAAACCTATACCAGCCACTGAAAAGTCAAATGTCATTGTGAGTATACATAAATTTGTATAGTGTAAAAAATAAAAGAGAGAATAGAATATACACAATACTCACAAATGGGTCCTTCGGTAAAATGCAGCAAGTACAGGCAGGCATAAAACGCTTCGTTGCCGGCGCACATGAAAAATAACACCATACGATTTGTGTAGTACAGTCTCATGATGGGATTTTCAGACATGTCGATGAACTTGTGACTGGTTTTTCCTTGCAAGAGGGTCCTGTTGCATTGCGACAAGACAGAAACATTTAGTTGTGCCATTTCCTTTCAGTCTCTACAGCTTAAGATGTTGTAAGAATGTATGTTAAGCTTTATGTTCCTTACGTGTGCAAATATATCCAGTGGCAAGCTATATCGATAGCCATGCTCAGTTGAAACCAGAAGGTGTAGGTGGGATAAAACAGGCACAACGTCACCATAAGGCACATCGTGCCGACTCTATCCGTCAGCTGATCCAAGATCGCACCGAATTTTGTGCATTGATCGTAATACCTCGCTGCATGACCGTCTATCGCGTCCAACAGAGAACTGACCACGTAACACGTTGTGGCGATCACATAGTGGGTGGGCATGAAGTAAAAGGAAATTAACGCCAGGATCACTCTGGTAAAACCTGTCGGTGGCAAACGTGCGCGCAATTAGCGCATGAATTTCTCTCACTCGGATTGCGCGGCTTTGTTACCCGTTATCATGATTATTCATCGATCGATCGCAGAGTGATCGCGCAAAACTAGTCATGAAGGAAAACGTTAGCTGCGAGGCAGCGAGTTTGATTGCCGGCTGACTGACACAATGTTACATAAAGCAGCAGTGCAGACATTTAATCGATAACAGAAGCAACCATAAAAGCGCCGCAAGGCCAGCTTATACGGTCATCGTTGATATTTTGCGCCGCGTGGCTGAATTCGATAGAATTACTCGACGAAAAGGAAGCTCGATCTTTCGACACGCATATCGAGCGATGCGTCTCGCTCAGTCGAATCTTGGCGGGCGCCGACGTGCTCCTGCTACCGCTACTGCACGCGAGCGACAAACAAACGAGCGAATGCAACCTAGCGATTGATCGTGTAACATAATCGTGACAGCAGAAAAATTGTCGCGAGACGCAACAATGTCGCGAGACACATGTGACGACGTATTTACCGATGACATTTGGCACGAACAGGAAAATATTCTCCGTCTCGGCCATTTTGGTGCGTGCCTCCGACGGCGAAGTCGTTCACGGGAGTGTTCTGTCCGCACGAGAGATAACACGGCGGCGGCAACGGTAACGGTTTATCGGGACGACGGGCGCGCTCGTGTCAAGGATTATCTCGACACAACTCGCGTATCGCGAGAGCACTTCTGGATCTACTGAGAACGCACACACGTGTTACTCCTTTTATCTCACACATACATGTACGCACGCACGCACGTCGCCCGTACGCGGGTGGCAGCGACGAGTCAATGAGAGGTTTCGCCATCGAACGGTGTATATTCGCGTGATATACCGACCTTCGTGCACCGGTCGTAATCGAAGCCAGGACCGTAGCGTGAGTCACGGATACCCATCGCCGTTCTCGCTCGACTAGTTCTGAGAACACAAAGTCGTTCTCCCTCTCCCGTTTCCCGCCTTCTTCACGCTCCTCGCCTCTCCGATCCGCTCCCGAGTCGGCGGGCGCCCTGCCGAGCGGCTACGCGCCTGCACGCCAGACGACATTTTCGGAGACCAAGCGGCTGGTCCGCGCCGTTCCTCTGCGCAAAAGCCGCCCGCTTATTGTGTCGCAACGGGAAAGCGTCCGCCACGGCTTCTCCCGGAGCTAGTCGTCCGCGTGTGCGAGCGGACCGCGCCGTTGAAATCGCGAGTCTTCGCTCGCGAGTGGCTTATCCGTCGTCGACCGGGCATCCGGGTGTGCATCCGCCGCGTCTGCTGTGCGCAACGTATGTGCAACACCACCATCCCTGTGTGATCCGAACGAAATCGAGACTCTTGGCGGAAGGCTACTTCGCGGAGGCGGACGGTGGGCTCCGCGGCGCGTCGTCGCGCCGTGCAGCCTCTCGCAGCCCTGGGCTCTCCTCTCCCGGACGTGCGCGAGGCGCGAGTTTTGCGTCTCGCCCGGGCCGTCGTCATCGTCGAGGTCGAGATATACAGAAGCTGACCGCCCCATGAAGAAGGCGCCGTTACGCGATCGATAACCCGCCAACCCGACGATCTCGGCACTCTCGGACGACAACCAATCGACGAACCAAACGCGCTCGTCAAGCCGACCACCACTTCGACTCGGCTCGCTCGCACCCTCGCGAGTGAGAGTGCCCGTCGCGTCACGTCGAGGCTGTATACCGCGCGCGCGGGCGCGCGTCTACTACGTGTCTCTACTGGCATCTGCCATGCCGACGGCATTGCCGTGAACCGCTCATCGTCGTGCACGCCACGAATCGCGAGGCGCCGGCGGCGACGACGGCGATGATGAGTCCCCGTTTATCAAGTTTCTCCGTACGCGCGCTCGAAAGAGCAAGTAGGCGACGCGTCGTGTGAGCTAGCGCGCGTGTACGTGCACGCGGGGGGAGGGAGCCACGCGCGGGCGAGTGCGCGCGCGCGTGCTGGAGGTGTGTGTAGGTGTGTAGCTGTGTGCACGGTGAGTGGTGTGCGTGATCCGCAAGATTCCTTTGCGGATGGACTTTTCCTCGAGACGCACGGCGTGCGTTATATTCGGCCGGCCGAGCAACGGACGCGTACGTTCGCCGTCGGCTCCTGCGCGCCGACGGCGGCCATTTTGAATCGACGTGCTCAACGCGGCGGCGGCGGCGGCGGCGGCGGCAGCGGCAGCGGCAGCGGCAGTTGTCAACGTAGGTCGTTGCGCGCGCCGTGAAACGCCGAAATCGGATAACTTTTCGTGTAGGGCGCGCACTGGCCGCCTCGAGAGACGTCGCTTCTCCTCTGTGCGACGAGGCGAGCCTTCCTCGTGAGAAAGCGAGGGAGAGAGAGAGAGAGAGAGAGAGAGAGAGAGAGAGAGAGAGAGAGAGAGAGAGAGAGAGAGAGAAAGAGAGAGAGAGAGGGAAAGAGAAGTGTCTCTTCCCCCGGGGCGTTTATACTCGCGCACGCTCTCTCACGCGAGGACGCCCGCGCGCGCGGCGTACATTACGCATATGTACGTGCGTACATACTTAGCCATGGTACCGCGCAGCCGGGCTTTCTACTTTCAAGAGGAAACGCTGATGGACGCAACAGTGATATTCGTGGAGCCACTCGCGCATTCGGTTCCAGTAGCGCAACTCGAGAAACCGAGACATCGACTGATACCGAGGAAATAAGAAAAATCCATACTCTCGAGAGTTGCAAGTACTCGGCATTGACGCGCAAGGAGAGAGGGAAAGAGGGAGAGAGAAAGAGAGAGAGAGAGACTCACACACATTCACATACATAGTCGGATCCACCCGCTCGCAATGCGTCGCTCGTTCGAATTTGACATGTGACCGCGGCAGTTGCGTTTACGTAAGTTGCCCCTCGTCCGAACGGACGCTCGTCCTGTCGTGTCCGCGGCCGAAGGAACAATTTCGTTCTGTGAATTTTCTTTCGTATACTTGTCGTGCGTGCGGTACTTTTCGTGAGTGACGGACAACGCCGAACGGTGCGTCGCGAATACGATCGATGACTCCACGAGACAGCTGTGTGCGCGAGTTGACAGCCCATTCGAGGAGCTAACCTCAAATCTCGACGAACGAACGAACGAACGAGCGAGCGAGCGAGCGAGCGAGCGAGCGAGCGAGCGAGCGAGCGAACGAACGAACGAACGAACGAACGAACGAACGAACGAACGAACGAACGAACGAACCGCTGTTGAGGTCTATAGTCAAGTTAAGTATTATCGCCAGACGAGATTGCGCGATCGAGCGCCTACCGTTTTCCCGCACGGCAGCTGGAGAAACGGGAAGATCCTTCGAGAATTCGCGAGGAACCTCGTGACTAACCGTCAACGGTGAGCGACCATTTTTCGGGGCCATTTCGTCGTTCTTACCGCGAGAACCAAGTTGCACCGATATTATCGAGTCATCCTAGATTACAAAAATTCGTATTTTTCTAGATTGGCTATCTCTAGATTAGCGTGTGACTCGATCTTTTCTAGAATAAGTACCTCCTAAATCAGCGACTTGCACTGTCTTTTTCTAGGTTAGCAGCTGACTTTCAAATTAAAGTTCTTCGACCGAATTAACGATTCGCGCGCGGTCGTTTTCTAGAATATCAAGTCTCACATCGGCGATTAGACTCTTTTTCTTTTTGCATTTTTAGGTCAACGTCTAGATCAGCGACAGACTGTCCTCTAGGTTAATTCTCCTAGACTAGCAACTTGTCTCGTCCTTCTCTAGACTAACCAATTCTAGATTAGCGACCGCTCGCCTCTTTCCTGATCTACATCAACACGACGTACTTTCCAAATCACAATCCCATCCGCAACTGAGAGCAGGGAAAGAAGACAGAATTGAATCGGGATTAGGGACTAAAGTCTCGCACATCGTCATCGGTGCAACCGGTTTGGATTCGTCGACGTCGTTAATTTATTCGTCGTCGGTACACTGAAGCATATCAGTGATGTGAGACGCGCTCCAACTGCGAGTCGCCAGCGCAGCACAGCGGGCTCGTCAATGCGGCACGGGTTGCCGACAAATCCGCGAATGGTGCTCCCGAGGCACGGTGGCCCTTGAGGGATTGAGAGAAAGAGAAAGAAAGAACAAAAGAGAAAAGACGAGAAAGAGAGAGAGCGAGAGGGGAAGAGGGTGGGAGAGATGATGAGGAGGGGGGAGCCATGAGCACGGCGGATACCGCGCTGTCAATTTCAATCAAGATGGCCCCAGGGCCGGAACACCGCCAGGAACCGGTAGCTCCTGACAAAATTGCCGAGAGCGATCGCGCAGCCGCCGCAGCCGATGTCGTTGTCGACGTGGAGAACAACGTCAGCAGCGCGACGACCGGCAGCAATAACAATAACAACGACGCAGCCTCTGTCGCCTCAGCTCCTGCTTCCGTTCCCGCCGTCACCGCCGCAGCCGCAGCTGCCGCCGCCACCGCTGCCGCCGCCGCCGCCGCCGTCGTCATTGCGGAACAAAGTTCGAACATCGAGATCGCCCCGGCTAATTCTGCCGCTGGCGCCGATCCGACCAACCAAAGCTCACCGCCAAGCAGCGCCGTTGACAGTAAACAGGTGAGCAGAGAGACAATCGAGAGTCGAGGAACGAGTCGAAGTGCGAAGAGTCGCCTCGACGAAAGAGAGAGAGAGAGAGAAAGAGAGAGAGAGAGAGAGAGAGAGAGAGAGAGAGAGAGAGAGATGATCCGTTTAAATCGCGGATATTTCATAAGATGAATAACACAGACACACACGGCGTGTCGCGAATTATCAAAATATTAAATTGTTAAATTATTGCATTATGTCGCGAGGCTCTATGCCGCAAGCGGTATGTCGTGGTGTATATAATTGCCAAAAGTTTCTTGTCAATCGTAACGGTCGCGGCGGATTAAGCAACAACATGCTGAACGACTTGTTATCTCGTTCAACAGTTCCGCGCCCTGTCCACTCGCTGCTCGCGTCTAAAAAGTCATCGAATTTCAGCGACACGCGAGTTTTGATCGGACCGGTCAGGTGCTTTTGATTGATTTCGTACCTCATGATCGAGTGGGCGGTTATCGTCTTTCCGAAAAATATACGTCTCTTTGCGTGTTCGTCGTTGCGTGTCGGTGGTGCGGCACGCGTTAGTAAATTAGATTGTCTATCGTTACTGGCATCTTCTCGGGACGAAACATTCCAATTTCCCTCGTGCCTTACTTCGGGGAAGAGAAATATCGGCGACACGATATAATCCAATTCACTTGAAAGGGAAACTCGCCGATGCTGTGCTGATGACGTATGCTCATCTTTCTGCATCTTCGCGTGGGCCGCGATGAAAAGAAGAATGTTCGCGTTCTCTGTCGGTCTCGGAATACGTCGTACGAGACGGCGTAATTATTTTTTTCTCTCTAGGAACTCGCACGGGTGCTTCTTGCTATTTGAGGACACGCTTCGTTACGCTCCTGAAATGGCCGTGCTAGCCCTCGATAGAGCGAGGACGTGTATCGCACAAACGTTCCCGATACCTCCTTTGGGTGTTCGATCGGTTCGTGTGATTTCTTTCGAGCAGTTAAGCAACACGATCGCGAAAATCGCACAAACGCGGATCGCGCGAATCAGCGTCAGTCAGCCTGGCGCTTCATCGCGGTCGTTGTGTAGTGATCATAATAATAATAAGAAAAGGGAGAGGGCTTTCTTTCGGGCTCTGTTATCCCGGATTTAGCGGAAGTCAGTGCAGCAAAACGGTCAAGCGATTAAATTAAGGTTGCAAGTCACAGTGCGAGACACCTTAGAAGCAAGAAACAAAGATGGGACTTTTACACACGGTGTCTCAATACGCGCGTTCCGCGTGCCAACAATGAGTGTTTGTGTTTGTGCTCCTTGTGTTTTATTTATAAAACCAAACGACACTCGCAAGAATGCTCCTTTATGCCGCGTTACTCATCCGTTTTATCCTTTAGTCATATCCGTCTCTTCCGATTCTCGTTTTGTCCCTTACAGTTATTATCTCTCCTGTTGTCCCGTTCGGACCCGCTGCGTCCCATCTCCGATTTCGTGCATCTTTTCCGATACGTTATCTCGATTCCCTACGTGCGCTTTTATTTCCTGCTTATTCGTCTCCGTCGAGACAGAATAAGTTAGTCAGCCGTTCGACTTGCTAGGCGATATCTGCGAACGAAATGCTGTCGCAATCGAACGAACGAGACAATCTCTCTCATCGCTAGATATTTTTTTCCATCGGTCACCGGAGTTCATCGCAATAAAAAAACATTTCCACGCACGTGTCTATTTTATTGTTATTATTATATCATTGTCGTTGCGCAGCACTCGTTATCGCACATGATACTCGCGAAGCGTGTTACCTCTCGTCGGAAGAAGGTGAGCGAGAGCGGCTCACACTGACGACTTGCATCTCCACTCGTCGCGTTGTTAGCAGAAGAGAATCCCAGGGACGCGTTCGAGGAGAATGCGCGATTGACAGACGCAACTTACGGAACGCACGGGCCTAATATCGTCGCTAGCGATGCACGTACGCGCACACTCTCGTGACGATTTAGCTCGGTATTCCGTATACGGCGCGACCGATCGCTCGGCGACCGCGCGTCCGTCGCTTATTCTCCTCGCGAGGTGTCCTTCCTTCGGCGATGATCGAAACCGTTATAATTATTTCGACGAGTTCGGCTCGTCGACGCTCTTGCTGTTACGTCGGCGAAAAAGAAGGAGGAAAAAAAGAGAAAGAATAATCGTCACACTGCGCGCTTATTGCCGTTGATAAAAAATTAGCGTGGCGGCGCGTTTTTCTCCCCACGTCGCCCCCCGCGGCCTCGAAGACTGAATTTGCCATCGAGGGTGGTTTTACGTCAGTCTCCGTTCTCCCCCCGACTTTTGACTCAGATAACTCGACTCTCACGCGCTTCTTTTTTTGTTGATTTTCTCGACGAGATTAATCGCTCGATAAACAGGATATTTCGAGGCTCTAGAAAGGTATGACAATGACGGGCTCGTCATTCGCATAAATGGCAAATGTTAAGTAAAAAACTGCATTTAGCACTGAGCTCCAAGTTTTTTTGGAGCCCTGAGAGAAGATTGTTTGCCCGATAAGCGATGATAATTCTAACATTGTAACTCGTAATTTAACGTTCGTTTAACGTGTCTGTAATACGCGCGCACGCACACACACACACACACACATACACACACACACACACACACACACACACACACACACACACTTGCATTTCTAATTTCGACGTGAAATGAAAAGAACCATGGAATTTCGGTCGTTCTAACTGCTTTTATGCTCTGATTGGTCAAATTATATCTCGTGGCGCTTCCCTTAATCGGCGGTGTCATGAAGCATCGTGAAGATTGTCTTTAGCAAGATGGATAATTGGCTCACAAGACAAATTGTTTCTTTCGGTGTTTCCGATTACTGAGAATTATTTTTGAGAGAATCAGACGTAGAAATTTGAAATACGTATACGTATTTATGCCATTTTACAAAGAGATCTATGAATTTCTTTGAGATCCTAAATAGTCTCGGAAAAGAAGCAGTGATCTGAAATCAGTTTGAACGATTTAAAGGACGATTTGCAAGGGCAATCATTGTAGGAAATCTTTGCGATAAAAATGCGGGTGAAACTTTGTACGATGTTTTAATGTGGATAATGAAAACTTCTTTCGCTATGAAAGAGAACTATTTTTTCCTCGAACATTTATCGCTGGACGATTTGTTTGGCTCTGTTGAAGACGATTTGTCAATGCGTACTTTGAAACTTCACCGGGTCTGCGTCTCTGAAAAACCTTTCCTGTCTCTTGGATAATCTTCCATTTCCTCTTCTTCAAACATGTCATCTCTTTCTCTGGACATTCATGCGAAACATCGTCAAAATTTCAGGTATTCTTTTCTTCAATGAGAAACATATGGGAGTTTGAATTACTGCACAGTGATCATTATGTAGAAACTTCGTCGAAACATCAATTTCCACCTATATATATTTTTACCTGTCCTTCGACCAAAAACTTGCTCAACACCTCAGGGTGCAAAAAAATACCAGGGGAAAATATCGGTCTTTCGATTCCGAGACAAAAAGTCCTCCCGTTAAAACATGTTTCTCGAGTTTTATAATGTCGAAGGTCAAAGACATTGAGCTCTCTCTGTGCTGTGTAGGACATTAGTTTCCGTCTGCCTAAACCGAGAATATCTCGAAAGTAGAAGTGCTGAGGAAACGCGTACTCGAAGGACTTCACTTTGGCGCACTTTGAGATCCGTTTTCGGCGATGAACGCGGAAACAATTGGAGACGTAGCTGATCGGCGATTGTGCGTTATTGACGACGCTGACAAGTAGCGTCAATTCATATCGGCTGTGTACACATCAGTTCTTCCCAACATTTCGTAAATACGATTAACATATTCGAGACGTGTCCCTGCACCTTTGACATTAAGGCTGACTAGCGGATATTTATCGAGTTCATCCTATGCGCTTATCCAAGTACCTTCGACGTCGTTGATACCTTCATGCATTTCCGTGTCGAGCGCACTGTGTGTTTGGATATTCGTTCGTCATGACTCAGAGAACATCGTGTTTGACAAGCGGACAGCTGTGAATGTTTCGCGCACGTGAACGATCCAAACGTAAGATTAAAAGATAAGTGGTGTGTTACACGATATTAAATTATGAACCAACATACCGACGCGTGGACATCGACGTCATGCATATCGAGCGAGACAAATATTTGCAAACTTTTCGATAGGCGAATATCCCGATGCACATTTGACTCGAGAATGCTGAAATGGGACTAGAAGGGTGCTTTTAATGATACTTTGCGTAGATATGACACGTTTGACCCGGAAATGTCTAAACCGGCGGAAGCCTACGCTAAAGGTATCGAAAGGTACCGACGTCGTGTACGTATTGACAACAAAGTAACGTTAAACGTCAAATTGCAGTTACGGTTAAGTGTTAGATTTGCAGTTCACGGAGGAAAGAATAAGAAAACGTCATGATTCCGGGGATTATGTGCTCGACGGTCACGTTTCGCGAGTACGAGTGTTTCGTAACAAGGTGTTACTCCTTGGAAAAAAACAAGAAGCCAGGAAATCTGGGAAAATTTCAAATTCTTTCCACTTCAAAAAACTTAAAAAATTCTCGTGGACTTTTTTCCCCGAAATTTAAGCTAACACCCTCGACATTAACGACAAATGTTCGGAGTATCGTTAAACAAAAAGAAATCGTCTTGAGAAAGAAGCATATTCTTTTACATCGTCATGAGAGGCTCAATAAAGGAAGGGACTCACGCGCGTAGTCGCATGCCGCATTTAGTGTCGGATATGTCGTCCGATGTTCGGTTCCAGATAATATAGAGTCGTGATCTCCCAAACATGAGGTATGAATACGCGCTACAGTTGTAAACACGAACGTTCCATATCGCCCATGACAAATCAAATTTCAATTTTGCCACGGACGCGTGAAAATTATCCGTTATACAGATTCGCTCGCGCGAAGATAAAAATGCGTGAGGCCATAGGTATGTTTTCGCGCGTCCATCGCGTTAGAAATTAACCTTGCCGTAATCATGTTGATTTTTGACCTCCGATCCAGAAATTGAAATATACTTTTTTTTTTCTTGTATTTATTTTATTCTCATCGGAACATTTTGCGGATTATCGAATATCGCGATGAGAGAGTTAGAGGGAGATAGAGTGAGAAAGAGAAGGGGGGGGGTAGAAAAAGAAATAAAATGAGAAAGCGTAAAGAGCAGCAGAGAAAGAAAGAAAGAGAGAGAGAGAGAGAGCAGAATAGGGGAAAAGAAAGTAAGAAAGAGAGAACAGAGTGGAAGGGAGATTGCGTTAAGAACAGTGTGTCAGAGGGCGCTACTTACTTCACCGACTTCGCATGTTCTAGGCTTGCTCCGTGATTTCAGTCCAATAGTGGCAGCCATGCCAGTGACAATGTTCTACACCTGCTCGTCGCATTAGCTTTCAAAAATCGGGACACACTTGCCGCATCTCGCTGACACTTCTTCGTTGTGCGTCGACGATCGAATGATATTGTGCTTGAAACGTACGTTCAGACGCGTTTCGCGATACGCGTTGTTGGTGCATTCGTTCAAATCAAGAGTCACCAACAACGACCGTACGGTCCACGAAGAAGAAACGGTAGTGCGAAGAAGAGGAAGAGTCGAGAGTGTGCGGCCTGTGAGCGACCCGGCCTCCGATCCTCTAAAAATATAAATTCCGTGCCAGCACTGACTAGCGAATTTTTTCCACCGCTTCTCGTAAGTTAGCCCTGATATCTCTCTCTCTCTCTCTCTCTCCTTTTTCCCCTCAGTCTCTCTCTCTCTCTCTCTCTCTCCCTCCCTCCCTCCCTCCCTCCTTCCCTCCCTCCCTCCCTCCCTCCCTCCCTCCCTCCCTCCTCGTCTTCCCCTGTTTCTATCTTGCTCGCGTCTTAATTAGCTAATCGCAAGAACGCTATCGATCTCTCACGGATGGCATCGAACTCTTTGCACCGCTGTCCTCGACGTCGATTCACTACATGAATCGTTCGCCTTTTTGCGTATCCGTCGACTCTACTCTCGTCCTTTTTTTTCGTTAAATCGGACAATCCTTTCTGAGGGAAAAACTTATAGACTTGTTGACGATTTTCGGTGATATCGTGTTCGCGTGAACTCGTTACTCCGAGATCATGTCATCCTCATTACCCCGAGGCCTCTCCTCTAACCTCTTTGTCTCTCTCGCTCCTGGTCGCCGCCTCTCCCCGCCCTATGTGTCCATCCTGTCTCATTCTTTTCCCTTCTCAATCTGCCAACGTATTTATCTATCTCTTTGACTCGTTAAGTTTCTTGTGCGAGCAAACATAATTCGCATTTCGTAGTACTCGAATGAGACTACGCTTTCTTACGTCTCGGTACAATTGTACCCAATAGCATAACTGCAATTCAACACTCAACGTTGTTTCGCCGATAGTTTTCCTTCCGGTTTAAGCATTTTCAAGTCAAGCACACCGTATCTGGATACCAGATATCACCTTTCCATCGCTTAGTTTAATATTGTATAAAATCTGTGTTTTATCTCTTAACCTCTAAATTTATCTTGTCACCTACTAATGTCAAGACTGTCAGATGTGAGTTATGGTGGACAAATATCTAGACACATTTGGCTCCAAAATGTCTAGACATGTACTCGACTTGAAAATATCTAAACGGAAACTGCAAAACGTGATGATGTGGATAAATGATGAAACGATAATGACATTTGGCACGATCGACGATTCTCATCTATTAACCTGTTGTATCTTTTCGACGCTGTCGTCGTACAAATCTGATTGTATACATAATTGATTTAGTGCTGTTATATATATATATATATATATATAATTCTAGTGAAAACAAAATTATGTTATTACTTAATTATATGTAAAATGTTGAAAGCAAAAATAAATCTAATTACTTTACATTGAATATTCGTCTGAAGTAATCTGAATGAAGTCTCGTAGCAATTTTATAGGGAGGTTAATTATATCTTTTTTTTTTATTTCTATACTGTAGATTTTATAACATGGTTGCTGTAAGCCTTAAACAGATCCAATAAGGGAAACCTTAAATTTACTCTACGAACCTATCTATGCTCGCACTTATTCACAAGTTGTGAACTAGTTTCTATCATAATATAAAGTTTTAATAACATAATGATGCAAAATTATATTAAGAAGAATGTCATGTATATCTCTCAGTGAGTCTCCTGTATATATTAGACTTTATCAATGAATGTTATTGTGACATTTTGAATAATGTGATTTTTAAAATATAGTCAATTGTTTTAATAAAAATCATTTAAAAATTGGTATTTTGTTTCAATTATTGCAATCTTATATTTTACAGTAAAAATCAATATTTTGGTGTGTGTGTGTGTGTGTGTGTGTGTGTGTGTGTGTGTGTGTGTGTGTGTGTATGTATGTATGTATGTATGTATGTATGTATGTATGTATTGTCTTGTTAATATCTTACATATTTTTGAGAATATAAACATTCATGTATTTATTATGATGACATATATGATACAATTTCTGCGGTATTGCATAAATAACGTAATTTTTCAGTTATTCTCATTTTTAGGAAGAACCAGCCACTCTTTCTGCATTAAATGAGGGTGAACTACGCGCTTTGCTGGACGAAGCTATAACATATAAATGTCCAAAAGACAGAGAAGGAAAATCTAATCTTTTTAAGGTATTTTATTAAAATTCTTTAAACTATATGTGAAATAAGAAACAAAGACCTGTTGATGTTACAGTTTATACACAATATGTTTTTCAGGAACTTTTACAAGAAGCAGAAGCAGACGAGACTGAGGAAGGACGTAGGGTAATATCCAATTCGCGTTGTTTGCCTGGTTCAAATCGCAGAAGACATAAACGAGAATCTGTATCCGAGCGTCTGACACACGGAGGATCGTTACAAAATTTAGCACAACCTATCGCTTCAGAATTCGATAGTAGTTTCGCTTATCTGACATCTGGATCGTGTCACACTTATGGCAGTAGTAGGAGGAAGAACAAAAAATATACAGGACCCAGTGTCTCCGCTAGACAGAGAGAAGGCGGATCATTACCGTCAAATGTGAACGCATCGCATAGCCTTGCTTCTTTGGCTAACTTAGATCTAATATTTGACAAAAAGGTAACACAATCATTGTTTCGTTATGGATAAAATGTACATATTTTTGAAAAAAATTTTACTATTGATAAATGTGGAAATTTCAGAGTTTTTAGATACAATTTATATATAAAGAATTTCATGTTTTCTTTTCTTTTTTTTTTCCGCAAAGAAGGGCTTCTGCGAGGAGCGACCTGTGTACGATTGGACCAATAAGGAGAAATCCAAGTCTCTGGACAAACCATCATATACTAGTACAAAGAAAGAAGATAAAGAGAAAGACAAAAGAGACTCGAAGAGGGACGTAGTGAGCTCGGGCGAGACGGAATCTGAGACACGTGAGAAGAGAGTTTGCAAAGGAAAATACGGGACAAATGAGATGCTGGATTCCGATAATCCACCCCCAGAGTACAAGTCGGACTACATGGTGATCGATTTAGGTGATGTTGAGGTAAAGTGTTGTTTATACTAATATGTAGACTGATATATATTTATCTGCATAAAATTGTGTCTTTATCTTAACATCACGTTCTGAATACCAATGAAGTTTATGTTGCATCTTATAAAAACTAAAATATAATTCACGTGTTATTTTTCATGTATAGCAGGTAGGTGCTATCAGTGAGAGGAATATAGGGTCCACAGCAAGCGGAGTTCAAAGACCTCGCTCTTTAGACACCGAAAACGACGAAGGAACTGAAATGAAAATTATTGAGCCACGTAGGCCTGTTCAGTATATCACACGGGCAACTTTTGACATAACGCAGACTCCTGTGGACACCACTATAGAATTCCCTATTCGTGAACACAAGCAAGAAAAATCAAAGATATCTGTTAATGGTACGGAGGTGACGGGGGCTCTGTCATTTCAACCGCACAACAGCGTAAAATGCGGTATAGCTTCCAATAGTTCCAGCAGTAGCCAGGGTAAGGTTGTACCAAGTTTGTGTTCCGTAATGCCAGCATCTTGGCAAGCGCAGAATATAACGATGGGTAAGATTACATATTAATATATCATTGACTGCTTATGCCATAATTACAAATCTGCAAGTTTGTAGTTTTGAGAAAATTACACTTGAAACATTTGAATGGCTGTTATGTTCCAAATTGTTCCAAAAACCTGTTCACCAATTGAATATCGTTTGTTATATGTGACTGTTCTTTAAAAAGAAGTCAAGAATGCAATCTTTCAGATATTGTGGATTTGTAATTGTGATATAATACACGAATATTGTTTCAAAAAAGATATAAGTAAAATACAGTAATTTTATAAATTTGCGATTCTTGTATAGCATCTCTATTTGTATAATTGTATAATTTTGTGTACAATTTATAATATATATTTGATATTTATATAATACACAACATTACGTATTTCGTAAGAACTATATGAATATATTAAAATGTATACATTTTTTTCTCAGAATGTCTTTTTCTCTTGTTCAAAGTTGATAAAAGTATTTATTGTAATCTAAAGTATATGGATTGTGCACAGAAGGTCCCAGGTATGCAACGCAGCACATCACGATGAAGGATCCATCAGCATCCGGAGAAAAGAAATCCTTGGACGAAAATGGAAATTCCTTACAAACATATAATGGCGAACGAAAAAAGCCTAGGAGAAAACACACTCAAGAGCACAACGTGAAAGTTTATAATTCCGAAAACGTCGAAGGTCATCGTTACGATAATGATATCGAAACTCTGGTTAACTTCATCGAAAATAATAACTCCAAGAGCAAGAAAGGTAAAACTGGTAATCCTGTTAGGGTGAAAACTAGTTCGGGCACAAAACCGAGAACTAGAGAAAAGGATACGAAGAGGGAGCAATTGCCTTCGAAGCTTCAGAAGTCCAATTCTCTGGAGGAAATTTCGAAAACCAAACTAGAGGACTTGACCACAGAGAAAAGTGTTAGTTCCAGCGGTGCTAGTAGCATATCCAGTCAACATGGCAAGTTAAAATTAATATTATTTATAATATATTTCTAGTATATGTTGAATGTTATTTATATATCACACATTAAATAAAAAATATGTATATTATATAGTGCTTAACAAATTTAATACTTGATGACTTAACCCTTTGCACTCCGCGCGTTTTCTTATCACTGCCTACTCTGGCAACTTCAGCAGTGGAGCGTCTGGGAAAGAGAAATTTTACTTTGGACGGAAAAAATTAAAAGTGCTTGTAATTTCAAAACTGGAGATATTGATGTTAATACTAAAATGTCTCCACAGCGGAGCCACCGGAGTTACGAAATAAATGATGGATGTCTCCACAGCGGAGCTAACGTAGTGTTAAGGGTTAATTATTACATATCGAATTTTTACATAAAGTAAAAATTTTTACATAAAGTAAAAATTCGATATATCGATAGAGAAATAAATTCTCTTACATATATTTTCTAACATTACAGTTATCGCACTACATTGATATATTATTTTACATTATTTTACATTATTCTTTGCAGGTACGATAAATGTGGCTTTGCGACGTGCAAAGCAGAAGAGTACTGGAGACGCGACAGTTGACAGCCGAGGTGACAGAAGATCTTGGGGCACAGAGGAGGGTCAGTCGATATATTGCAACGACACAGGAGAGGATTATACGAACCGTCGTAATTCTAACAAGAAAACGAATCCAGAACCGGAACAAGAGACCGAATTCCTCGTTGTTACGAAAAAAAAGAAGAGTAAGAAGCAGAGAAGAAGCTCTAGCGGTAGCAGAGCGCAAAATTTGACAACATCGAGCTCCTACCTCCAGAATTCCAGAGGGTTCTCTAACGAATATAGAACACCGGTTTCTCCCGAGCTCCGAAGAAAATCAGCGAGCAGCATGCCTCCAAGGTAATAACTAGATACGAGAGACTCAGTTAGATATAAACCCTTATGCATACTAACAACGATGTAAATTTGAAATTCAGCTGCAGTAATTCCAAATATGTAATTGTACCGTTCTATAACTCGTGACTGATTTGTTTTTCTTCTCTCTCTCTCTCTCTCTCTCTCTCTCTCTCTCTCTCTCTCTCTCTCTCTCTCTCTCTCTCTCTCTCTCTCTCTCTCTCTCTCTCTCTCTCTCTCTCTCTCTCTCTCTCTCTCTTTCTCTCTCTTCTCGGTCAGTTGTATAAATTCACACAAATTACTCCCATAAATACCTAAGTGAGATTGGCTAAAACGTACTTCTAAAGATTTCACCAATTGAATATCGCTTGTTATATGTAACTGTTCTTTTTACAGCGACAAGTCTGACAGTAGTGATCTGGATTCAGTCCATTCGTTGCCGGTCACGTCGAACAGCACGAAGCACAATTTGTCCAAAGTCGCAACGTCATCGGGTGGCACACCACAAGCGAGTTACGCAGATATAGCGCGCATGGCTACTATTAACATGTCTCACAATTCGGTCTTGAACATGTCCGCGATCGTACCGAGCATGCTAAATGCAGCGTCGTGGCCCAGCGTTCCACCCAAGACCCCTTCGGAGCCGGACAAAGCGCCTCAGGATTATTATCCCAGTTTGGACGAGATACAGCACCCGGAGAGAAAAGTGAGGCAGCAAAACCCCGGCCAAACGAGTTCTACGGCTGCGAGTTTGAGTCTCTCTTTCGAGAAGCCGCTCTCGCCGACTCTGACGAAGGGGAAGAACTCGTCAGACGGAAAGAAGGCTGAGGCTCAAGAGGAGGCCATTAACAAAAATATCCAAGTGTTTAAGTACGTGCAGGATATTGAGAAAATGACGCATGAACACGAGAGTGTGACGCAACAAGAGCAGAAGCACACGGTTTCCGCTAGTCACAGTGCAAATTCTAGCGAAATTGTCACTGCCGTGACAAGTTCCGCAACCACGAATTCTATGACGCCCAGGTTAAACAACAATACAGTGACGAATTATAATCCGGTCGATGTCGATACCAACATCAATTGCACCGTCAACAGTAAGGATTCTGTCGTGCACTCGAGAGCCAACAATCCTCGTTCTCGTAGGACTTATGTACATAGTAATCAAAACATACAAGCTCAGGGACCGTACGAGGAGCAGCATGTCAAGAAGACCGCATACTCTTACCACGACGAAGCGGTTAGAAAGTCGCACAACACGGACACTTCACAGTCCGAAGGCAAGGCTAATAATTCGATGAGCTCGTTATCCGACAACGCAGACGTGCAAAAAGCGAAGACGCCCGCGAAGCCTGTACAAGAGTTACAGAACGCAGACGAAGCTGACGGCAATAATAAGACGGCTAGACGGAACAGCGACCCGAAGCCAACGACGAGAGTTGCGAAGGAGTATCAGAACATCGCGATAAAACACGATGTGGTGGTGGCGAAAGTTGTTGCATGTGGTCAATCGCAGAACTCGAAGCAGGACAATCAGCGTGAAGACGAGAATAAGAAGACGAAGTCACAGAATACGACGCAGTCCGATAACAAGGAGCAGCAGCCGTCGCAAAGAACGTCGGAGATGCAGCAGACGAAAAATTCCACTCCCAGGCCAGCGGTGATTCTATTGGATGAGACCTCATCGGATATTGCCAAGAACAGCAATCTACCAACGGAACTCACCTTTGGCTTTGAAATAAACGAGCAACTGCTGCTGTCGGAGGACTCTGGCAACGAGGAGACAACGACGCCGACTCCGAGTCCCGTCTTCACGGCTACTGTGCCGCCTCTCATCAGCAAGCCGCCGCCCAATTTCGCCGAGAGGAACCCGCCGGCTGCTGTGTTCGAGAAATCTGTGAGATACGACAAGTTTTCGCCTAATTATCACATGCAACAGCCATCGAATACTCACGTCACACCGCCGCCACCGCCGCCGCCTGTTCATCCAGTGATGGTGCAACCATTACCGTACATGAGCTATCCCACGAGGTTTCCGCCGCCCACGTATCTGCCACCGCCGCCGTCACCTCCACCTGGAATCGTGGAAAAGTTTCATCAGCCAAAGGAGGACTTCTCTATGCTGTATGTCGCGCCGGAGGAGGAGTTAAACGTGCAAATGTACAACCACGATAAAATCGTGACGTTTGTCGGTTTAGGTAAGAGATAGCTATATGCAACAAACGGTCTCTCTCTCTCTCTCTCTCTCTCTCTCTCTCTCTCTCTCTCTCTTCTCTTCCTCCTCTCTCTCTCTCTCCTCTCTCTCTTCTCTCTCTCTCTCTCTCTCTCTCTCTCTCTCTCTCTCTCTCTCTCTCTCTCTCTCTCTCTCTCTCTCTCTTCTCTCTCTCCTCTCTCTCTCCTCTCTCTCTCCTCTCTCTCTCTCTCTCTCTCTCCTCTCTCTCTCTCTCTCTCCTCTCTCTCTCTCTCTCTCTCTCTCTCTCTCTCTCTCTCTCTCTCTCTCTCTCCTCTCTCTCTTCTCTCTCCTCTTCTCTCTCTCTCTCTCTTCTCTCTCTCTCTCTCTCTCTCTCTCTCTCTCTCTCTCTCTCTCTCTCTCTCTCTCTCTCTCTCTCTCTCTTCTCTCTCTCTCTCTCTCTCTCTCTCTCTTCCTCTCTCTTCTCTCTCTCTCTCGCTCTCTCTCTCTCTCTCTCTCTCTCTCTCTCTCTCTCTCTCTCTCTCTCTCTCTCTCTCTCTCTCTCTCTCTCTCTCTCTCTCTCTCTCTCTCTCTCTCTCTCTCTTCTCCTCTTCTTCTCCTCTCTCTCTCTCTCTCTCTCTCTCTCTCTCTCTCTCTCTCTCTCTCTCTCTCTCTCTCTCCTTCTCTCTCTCTCTCTCTCTCTCTCCTCTCTCTCTCTCTCTCTCTCTCTCTCTCTCTCGCTCTCCTCTCTCTCTCTCTCTCTCTCTCTCTCTCTCTCGCTCTCTCTCTTCTCTCTCTCGCTCTCCTCTCTCTCTCGCGTCTCTCTCTCTCTCTCCTCGTCTCTCTCTCTCTCTCTCTTCTCTCTCTCTCTCTCTCTCTCTCTCTCTCTCTCCTCTCTCTCTCGCTCTCTCGCTCTCTCGCTCTCTCGCTCTCTCGCTCTCTCTCTCTCGCTCTCTCTCTCTCTCTCTCTCTCTCTCTCTCTCTCTCTCTCTCTCTCTCTCTCTCTCTCTTTTTAATTGCCTCTGACTCACGCACGAATCAATTGTTCACACGATTCTCCTGATAGTTATATATAGTATACTTAATCCTTTCTTTCTTCGTGTGTTAACAGCGTGGGACGCGGTTATGAGGGAGATACCAATTACTTCGAGCGGTCGCATACAGTTCTACAGTGGACAGTGAAGTGATTGTTTCTAACGCACTGATTGAAATAACAGGCAATAACAGTCCTTTTGTACTGGTAAAACTACTTCCATTACAAATAGATAGTTCGATGAGAGTCCTGTCGCTGACACGAAACCAAGTACTCTACGTGTTATGCAGTTGCTTTAGTCAAGCGCGAGAGCAACCTTTCGCTTGGAGAACCATCTGTTTCACTTCATTCGAGTCGTATGCTAAGTCAGTGCGAAATTAGTGAAGCCGAACGGCGCGAAGTGTGCCTCAAGAGATAATAATAGCGATGTATATATAATCAGTCACCAAAAAAAAAAAAAGAAAAAATACGAAGGAAAGACGGGGAAAGAGGACAAAGTGTGTATATGTACTCAGCACGTACATTATGCTTGCGTAAATCTTTCACGATGACAATGGTCTCGTAAGCAAATTTCAGTATTGACAATTAGCAACGTTTTTGGATTGAGAGTGGTGAGACTTCCTCTCCAAGGGACTATGTATCCTGTCCCTTAAAACGAAGGAAACTTGCAGTGTTCGAGTTACGCGTGTACATACGTTAAGTATCCATATGAAATTTTCGAGAATTGTCCTTAAAACTCGTGTATCAGTGTACGAAGTTTCAGACAAGATGAAGTTTGAAGAAGTGCTTCAAAAAACGCTACAAAGAGAGGAAGAGAGACACACTTGCAATAAAGCCAGGACTACGGTGAAGCGGGTTTATCGAAGGAAGTAATCTCGCACACTGACAGTGGTGTCTCCTGGTGCCTTTAGACTCACGAATCTTTAGGCTAGTCGGAGAAACCTGCTATAAATTAAAATTTCACGTGGAACCGTGAAATTTGTGAGAGATAACGCTAAATACTTATAATTAGTTTCGAACTCTGTGAGCTGGGGATAATCTTAAGTGAGACACTGAGAGGAAGATTACAAACCAGCTGGGTGAGTCTATGTCGAAATACCATAAAAAGTCAAAATATACAGATATTGAAAGCTAGATGTACTTTATTCGACACAGTGTAATGCAAGTTGAAATGTGCGGATATGTATCGGAGAGATAATGAATGTAAATGCGCGGTTGAACATGTGTACAATATATTAAGATAGCGTGTTTGACTTTTAAGAACTTCTCAGAGTGGCTACTTCTTCCAACTGTGGCAGTCGATAGTTAAAACAAAAAAAGGAAAAAAAAAGCGAAAACAAAGTCGTCATTAACTGGGTTTTGAAAATGTCGCGCTCAAAGTCTGGTCAAATGACAGTGAGATAGGATGCGAGTGTGTCGAAAAGCGTTAAATTTTTACACAGACCCGCTTATTTAATAAATAACTAATAATTATTCGTAATAATAATTATAAGATGATACCTGCTTGTGATCATAAAGAATACGATGGTGTGAATGCGTGTAATTCGTGTAGACATTCTTCTATTGCGTGATTATGGTGATGAGACCGCTGTTCGATCGTAACTAAATATATGCGTCACACAAATACCTTGTTGTAGGACGTTCGGAATGGAAGTTATTCCAAATTAAATGCATTTCATGAAGTAACGAATATTGATACAGTGACACTACGCGTGCATATCCGCACGAAACATGTTCGCCTCATGTTTGAACGGTGATTGTTTACAGTTTAACGGGAGAATCTGTTTATTTGAGAATCAACAAATTTCATATTATACTTATGAATCACTGACAATATATATATATATACATATATATTTTTTTTTTTTAAACTGCCTTGCTTACATGTTATCGTCTACAGCATATCCGTTACTTCTCTATTATTCCAAGATTTTGTGAGAAAAATTAACAGTTTGCTGGTATGAGTTTTCGACGCGTAAGGACCTCGTCGATCTACGATGGGCACACGCCGCAGGTACACACGTCAAATCTGGACGATTAGTGCGGTTAGTTGACTTTCCATTCGACTCGCGAGGTTTCGTTATACTTACTGTTACCTGCATTCTGCCGTCACCGTGGAACAGACGTTGTCTTGACAAACTGCACAAAGATAATCCACGTGCATTATATTAATAATGTGTATTGTTTGCTCATTAAATGTAACTCGACTTTTATAGGACTCTACGCGCGAGATACGTTCCTAGTTCCTAAGTTCACGTTTTCTCGTATGTTACGAATCAAACGATAATTCACCGATTTCGCAAACGCGCGGTTTTGCATTTTTCGAGGCGTTATTTACAGGCGTAATAAAAAAAGGGAGTGGGGGGCAGAGGAGAAAGAAATGACCTTCACTATTTCAACGATTGTGGGATGGATACACGCCGGCGAATCTTAATCGTTTTAACTCGTTGGGAGTACAAGGAAAAAAGAGACGGGAAAAGAAATCAATATTTAAGTGTACCTTTTAAATCTTTATGCCTGTAAATGCCTAAGAATTGAGCCTAAGAGATATCGCGTGTAACATCGCTTTTAACTACTATAATACACGGCTTTTAAACGTAAGAAATATGAATTTTATGACCTCAGCCCATAACGATCTGCGTATTGTTGCTCCAAATATGAAACCGGTTAAAATTATTATTAAGTGTTCATTCTTTTACGTTTAAACTAGCCTTAGTCACGTTTGAACTCGTTTTCGTGATAACTGTTTCGTATTACCGAAACAGGGATGTAAAAATATATTCTATATTTGGAATAATTGTTCTCACATTGTGAAACGTGTTATTCTTTATGAGAATAATATTCGAACAGCGGTCTCGTGCAATGAAAGAAAGAATGAATGAAATGATGCAGAAACTTATCGCCTTTATAGGTAACGATAAAGTAAATTATCATAGATAAGTTTCATATATATAATATATGTATGTATATGTGTATACATATATACATATATGTGTATATATGTATATGTATATATATGTGAAAGCATGAGAGTGTACTGTCTATTTAGTATTAACGCGAATTAATTATTACTCATGAATTAGGATTGATAAAGTTTGTTATATATCGTTTTCTTTTCTTTTCGAGATATCAAAATTATGATGTAAGAGAGGGACGACAGGATATCGTGCTCTATTGATATTTTTTATTTTGTCCTGTAAGTAGGAGCAGATCAGCTGGGAGTACAGCTTTCAGATAAGTGAGGAAATTGAGATGTTTAATTATATGAAGGAACATTATAGAGGACGCATATCGGAGAGTAACTCGAAAAAAGTGCAATCATATCACTACCGGCAGAAATTCGTTATGAACATGACGAAAGACATGATGAACGAAATATTTCTCTTTTTTTTTTGTTTTTTTTTCTGTTTTCTTTTTCTTCAAGCAATTCCGCGGGACACAAGTCGGGCATTATATTGATCTACTGGACATTACACACGCGTATGCTTTTAGTTGCAGGTTTTCTTTCTAATGCAAAGTTTGACTTTTAGCTCGATCACCGATATCGAGGTTGCATTCCGAAAGTTACTAGCATTATTTCTTCTACATTTTCGACCGAGAGAATTTTCTTTTACTCGTTTTACTTTCCTACACATGCGCATACACACACATACACATATATACGATTTTTCCTTACATAACGTCCTAACAAAGCGAATTATATATCGACAAGGTTCATAATTTTTTTTTTCTTTTCATTTTTTGTTTTCTATTTTTTTATGTGTACACAAGACTACAAATTACATTTATGACGACATTATAGCTTTGCGTTTATATCTACACGTCATATTACTTTGACTGAACCACCGATGAATTTGCGTTGTTTCTGAATAAATGATTACTTTTTTTTGAGCTATCTTAATCCGATATGCAAGGAGAAACTATTCAAAACAGTCAGGTGCTCCGATCGCCTTAAAAGTAACAGACTGCAGTCTCAGCCTGTGCCATTGACCGGTTCAAATGGCTAAGTTATAGGAGTTCGCGAAGAGTAGTGCAAAAATGTACTTGTGCAAAAAGAAAGAAAAAAAGATTAAGCGGGAAGTAAAATGCAAAAAGGAGGCAGGGGAAAAGATAGGACCATTAACAGTATATATATAACGAGTGCGGGGAGGCAGCTACGTTAACCTGTGTGTCATTACATGCAGAATATAACATAACTACTTAACAATGTCATTCGATGGACAGTGAGAAACATTACGTGGATATTGGCTAACCCAGGACACTTGTTTCTCCGATTTGCGCATAATAAGAGCTGTTAATGAGAGGAGACCGTAACACAACTCTGAGAAACAATAAAATTTGTAAAAACGGAGGAGAAAAGAGACTACGTTATATGGCTAACTAATGGCGGTCCCTGTTTTCGTTTATAAGCGTTTATGAGAAAAATAAATATGTTTATTTTCTTTCATATCGTTCTGTGCACCAGTTTATTGGTAAATTGTAATCTATTTGCTAATATTGTAATGTAAAAATGTCATTTGAATCGGTTTATAATTTCCGTCACGAGTTCGTTTAGCGAAAGAATTCGACGAACACAAAAGCGATACGAACGCTACTCCACCAGCTTGTAATTTATTTTGAAAAGTTAACGATTGTTTTACGCGATCTATTATTATTATATGTTATTACGTATTATATATTATGTACAAGATTCAGTTTATCAGACAGTCGTTTCTATCCTATCTTCTATACATCAACGTTCTGCCTTACCTCTGTTTCGTTTGTGTGTTTCATCGTTGCTTAAGCGTCGACTGATCGAGTATCGTTTGCTCGTATGAATGTGTATAAAAAAAACGAAATTTCAGTTCAAAATGTTTCCATGTCCGTCGATATTCGTCTGGTACTAATGCAGCCGGTTATCGTAACTACCTGGAAGTAAACAGGAACGAGGAACGAAAGTTGACGACGATCGAAGGAAATGTTTCGACGATCTCGATGTTAGTCTCATAACGCTGTACAATTTGTTAAACTCGATACGTAACGGTTTTTTCCCGTATATTGTACATACAGTATATATTGTATGATATAACTACCATATTATTATTATCAACGCTACGACGAAATTATTCGACTAAAATTATATTATTATTAATATCACTATATTACATTAGTGAGAGAGACGGTAAACGAGATAAAGAGAACTGTCATGAGCGACTGTGTATATCGAAGCTACTCTGCGTGCGCTTGAAAGGCTGTGCTGTCCAGCTGCAAAAAAAAAGAAACATTATAATACGAATGTGTTTGTTGCCAAAGTTCCCTCTTACAAATGTGTGAGGTACGGTAAAAAGTAATATCCGATGTCTGTTTAGTCGAGCCGTGTTATTGACGCGACAAAATTGTCATGATGGTGAATCGAAATCACGCTGTAATGTATTTATCCTTTTTGATGAAAGGATGTATTATAAAGTCGAGATAATGGTATTTAAAAACCGAAATTTTTCGGGAAATTGTTTTATTTTATTTTTATCTAATTAGTTTCGTTAAGATAAGGCTTTAAAAAAAATTCTAAGTTTAGGGAGTTTATTTCTTACTTTTTACGGAGTGATTTGAAATTCTTGAATTTAAATTTAAAAGTGTTATTTCTAAAAGACTTTGTATATATATTGTCTAACTATAATTATTTCATTATCAATCGTGTAAAATGATACAACGTATGTCCTTTTTGAGAAAGGATATAAAATCAAAATTTCATATATACATATATATATATATATATAATGTATGTATGTATGTATATAAAGAGAACGTTTTGTTTTGTAAGGCATTTAAATTTAAGGCAAACCTATTTGTCGAGATTCAATTTTTTTTAGACATTTGAAAATATTAGTTTTTCATTAAAATATTATTATATTCACCATATTATTCACCATGGAATCGAAACCATCCTGTTTGTGCGTCAGCTCAGAAAAGACAGTAAACATCGCGAGATGTTGCTTTTATACTGTATCCTTTTATAATAACTACAACGTCGACGACTCGTTATGACATCGTCGATTATATATACTGTGTGAGAGGGCAAATTGTATGTCAAAAAAAAATGGAAAAAGAAATCAGAAAAAGTTAATGAGGGAAGCCGAGATATATCACGATTTATTCTCAGGTGATGTATTCACACACACACACACACACACACACACACACACACACACACACACACACACACACACACACACACACACACACACACACACACACACACACACACACACACACACGCGCGCGCGCGCGCGCGCGCGCGCGCAATCAATACATACATTCATACAACTACACACATACATATACATACACACAATGGCCATCGCTTATTATTTTGTTACTAACGATAATGTCAGAGATATACGTGCGAAGCTATCATGGACCATGGGTGTTATGAAAGGTCATTCGGAGTCATTGCCATGAAATGTAAAAAGGATATAACAAGGTGTATAAGTGAAAATAATAGAGAGAGAGAGAGAGAGAGAGAGAGAGAGAGAGAGAGAGAGAGAGAGAGAGAGAGAGAGAGGGAGGGAGGGAGGGAGGAAGAGTGAATGAGAGAGTGAAAAAGACAGGGAGGAGGAGGGCGTAGATAAACATTTCGCTACTTCTAACAAAATAGGAGAAAATTCAACCTCCCCTGTATTTCTGAAACGAAAGCGTGTAGTGTCGTCGCCGTTTGGCCTTTATGCTATCTTACTTGCGATTTCGTACATGCTTTGCGTGCAATACTGTGATAAAATGAGTCGCTCTATTTCATCCTTTTTCCTTAAAACGCATGCACGTATGTACATGTGCGTACGTTGAGAGACAGGCACACATTTTTTCCAGGTGAGTCGTCTGTTTTTGATCGGACCTTTAAAGCGAGTCACACCAGTTGACATAAGAAAAATCGCATTATTCGTTTCCGAAGACAGTTATCGAATTTTGCAAAACATTATTCAAGAAGATTCATCTCGCATGGCCTATCCATTTTTTTTCCTCTTCTCTTTCTGCTAAAGTATATGCGTGCGATCACTCGCATGATTCTTTTACGCATAATAGCACCGTCATAACAATATCCTTAGGCAAATATCGTAGTTTTATTCGTAAACACCTTACGTCAATCATTATTAATCGTACTTTGTGTCGCGCATAATCGAATAATTTGTATGCATGTCGCATTAGCTTCGTACTGCCATTGCATTGACAGATTCGTTCCTAATGTTTAAGACGCAAGTATGTATGCGTAATAAACATATATTATATGTAATATAAAGTATATATGTATACACATGTAATATAGTATATGTTTATTACTGTGTTTTTGTTACGTATATATTGTGAGTAAAATAGAGAAAGAGAGAGAGAGAGAGAGAGAGAGAGAGAGAGAGAGAGAGAGAGAGAGAGAGAGAGAGAGAGAGAGAGAGAATTGCCAGTTATTTATTAGTGTCTTTCTGAAATTGTTTGAAAATCTCGATTATTCTACAGATAAGAGACGGCAACCTTATCATTGCCTCTTTAATATTTTACGTAAACTTCCAGGACTACCATATTTCTAGTAATAATTAGTGATAATCTTAATGATTACGTCGACAAGACACAGAGTCGGTAGAATGTTGCGTTATCAGTGCGCATTTAAGGAAACGATTCGAAACAGGCGGTTCTCCTGAGGGAAGATCAATGTCCATATTATGCGCTTCGCGCGATTATTTTCCGAAGCTAAACGATAGATCGCTAGTTTGGCGTGTTATTTTGCATCCGCAGAGGCTATGACCTGTGAATAAATGGTTTTTGTTGAAACGATCAATTGTCAGAGTGTGTGAAATCCTGACGTTTGCGTCTCCATACACGAAATGTAAATAATAACGAAATATTACTGAAAAAGAGTAAAGCATCTATATCTCCATCTGTTGCATCATTGCTCAGAGAAAGTTACTTCATTTTAATTGTTAAGAATTATCATGATGTGGTCACACATACTACATATAGAAGTACAATTTATACGAAGAGACAATGAATATATTATTTTAAGATATCGCATTTCCTTTTTATAGATGGACATATTGCTCGAAGGTATAAGCATAAATCCAGAGATACACGGGTCTCAAATGCAAGTTTATTAAAAAATGGCAGAGATAGACAAGTGGCTCGAAAGTACAATATATATTTTATTATCTTAATTCCGCACGCAGTTGTACTAACAGGTACATACACGCTATGTTACATTATACATTTACAATCATTGTACCGATTTTTTGTAATGCTTCAGGTTTGTTGTAAATTTTCGATCGATCGCACCAACAACTGTTAGACAAATTTTCTCATACCGGTTGTGTCATAATGAAAATTCTAATAAATACATACACATACAAATATATATATATATATATATATACACGTGCATATATATATATATATATATATATATATACGTGCAAATATATATACATATATATACGCGCATGCATACACACATACATGCAGTCTTCGGAGGAAAAGAGAGCAAAGATACCAAGAAAATACAGCTAAAGAGAGAAAAATCTAAAATACAATGGTATTGCAATCCAATGATGAGATATTAAATGGAGAAAGAACGATCACCGTTTTATTTTTATTGTTCCACATTTTGCTCTTTTTGATGTAAAACGTATCTCCTTTGCAGCTCCTTCTCCATCGCCTCCAACTGCTCTCTGTTCTGCTCCTTCGTCATCTGTTCCATCAGCTCATGATTGTACGTGGAATGCAGCATAAGAGCCAACACACCAGCTCGTGTTGCCATGTTTGATCGAATCTGCCTCTCTTGCTCCACAAGCTCGTCGATCTTCAGCCACTGCCTCACCCTCTCCATATCGATCTCCGCGCGTCGCAACTTCTCCCACATATAGTGCCTCACGCAGCTTTTCTTGGGCGCGCGGCAGAACTCGCCTGTGGCGTCGAACACGTTCGTGACCAACGGGCAGCCGCACACCTCGCTGTCACCGATCTTCGGGTCCTTACAATGCTCCGGGCAGAGAACGCGCAGCCTCTTGCAGTAGGTCCTGTTCCCGGGATTGTAAAAGTCGCAGAACATCACCTGACCCTCGATGCGTGTCTTGAAGATTGAACCGAAAGATGCTTGCGACTCGTACTGAAAGACAATACAGATTGAATGTTACACAGATTTTTATGCGATATAATTCTTAGTTATAGACTTTAAACGAAATCGTATTAAAAAATAATATCTAGCGAAAGAAGTACTAATGTTAACCATGATATGTGTTAATTGTAACTTTAATCGAAAGTTGGAAGCTACAATGTGCAAGTGATCGCCGATAATCGCGCGTGATGTATAATTTTATGTAATACTTTATTGAAACATTTCTCCATGTGTTTGATGGCGGTCCTTGAGTGAATTTCGTGGCCACAGGTGATACAGTACATGCTCATCTCCGTATCATCATTATCGTCCACTTCGGCATGCGGATCAATGCTTGCAAGTTTCGCACGTTCGATGATACGGTCTAACTCGACGTGTCGCTTGTCCAATTCCTGGAGTATTCTACGAACATCATGCTGCTGCTTCCTCACGGATTCCAGAGCGCGTCGGTTGTTTTGCTCCGCGATGCACGCAGTTAGCGACCACTCTTGCAATCGTTGCGGTAGCACCTGGTATATCCTGCTAGTCGCCAACTTCAAGCCACAGTCGTCGGAGCAGTATTTGCTGCCGGGTCGGGATTGCTTCGTGCACATGGACCCGTAGCATTGACGTGGCGGCTCCAAGTAATCGTTCCTCTCGTTACTTGAGTCCCGCTTTCGCTTCTTAATGAATTTCGTACCTTTGTTGAGACTCTTTGACGGTTTAAGCGGATCGCCCATTACGCGACAAGTTCTTTGAATGCATCTAAGCTTCAATCGCACCGAGGGCCCAAATTTCTTCAGGTGCCTGAAACATAAGCATAAGATTTGAAATAGGTTTCGAGAAAGTTTATTATTTTCTTTGTATGTTTGTATGTTATACCTGCAAGCATCGCACTTCCCACAGTTCTCTGTACGTTGACATCCTGTACACTCGCCACAACGTTTTGAAGATTTCTTCTCTACATTTGGGGCCCAAGGTGCATCATATTCGTATCGATGTCCTCTTTCCTTCTCTTTGTATTTTTTGTGTTTCCTGTCCTCTTGATCTGTCCTGCGTGGTTTGTATCGTGTTATCAAAGTTGGATCTTCTTCCTTGCATCGCTGTGTACAATATATCATGATTAATTTATTATCATCTTTATCTAAAATTAAAAATTCACTAAAGAACATTTATTTACAATGCAGAAGAATTGTTTAATATGCTTGGCATCCTTTTCAGTTATGTTTATACAATCTCCATGGTACCATTCTTCACAAGCATCGCATCCTCTAAAATAGAGATACAAGAGTTGTAAATTTGTCTTCCAGGTATAAAAGGTAGGTACACACTCAATATATCAATATATAATATTAAAAGTGTTTTAAAATGTTAAAATATTTTAATTTACTTACATCATAAAGCGAGAACTATCAGAGCTTCTACAAATACAATATGCTTGGCCATCCTGTTTCAATAATGTTGCTATTTTGCTTTTCCTCTCTGGCAGCATAAATTGCTTTGCTATTTCTTCTTTCTGGATAACATTAAAATTAATATGAATTTAATATGAATTAAAATAATTTTTTTCTCTTCAACAAAGAGGTTAAGTGGCATTTCAGATCTTGTAATGCTTATAACGTTTATGTAAGATAAATTTGAATAAATATCATTCCATGTTACAATACTTATCACGATTCCAATTTATAAGTTAACATAAGCTATAAATATATAATTATTTGTACTCACTGACAAATTTTGCTGTCTCTTATCAGCCATGATGATGAATTAACAAATTTATATAACGATTTCGAACAAATAAAATTACATGTCTATTGATTTCACGATATTTACACTATTTACATGCATTTTACTCGTAAACGTAACAAGTTGAAGTCGTTCATAACGGTATCAAGAAACGAATAGATAAAAAACAGCCATGTTGTGTAACTATCGTTCGTTCGGTATACGGCTTTAGGTAGTAAGGTGTATGTACCCATAGAGAGAAGCCTGAGAGCGGGCATGGCTGCATTTACAGCGTTATGGAAAAGTTGGCTGATTCGAAGCGCCAACTGGGTCCATTTTTCATGGACATGAACTACTAAGCCAATGTCCACGATTTGTTGGTACTATTCCGTGCTATGTCCATAATTATTTGGTTCTGTTCTGTGCTATGTTCACGAGCGAGCTAGATTAGTTAGATAAAAACGAAGAATCAGTCTTTGTCTCACCACCAGCGGATAGACAATCGCGACGAAGCGAGCCAGCAGCGATGTTATCGTAAGGCAGACGTCGCCGTCCCTCCCTTTCATCCCCTTGTTTTCCTTTCCACATTGTTTTATATTCATAATTCGGAAAGAAAATAATTTCGAGAGTTCGGACGATTTCTAGCAATGACGCGACAGAGATAACGCGCGGCCACAGTAATTTGTCATGACTTTTATATTACTTAAGTAATTACTTTATATTATACTTAAGTAATATAAAAGTCATGAAAAATTATTGTGGCCGCGCGTTATCTCTGTCGCGTCATTGCTAGAAATCGTCCGAACTCTCGAAATTATTTTCTTTCCGAATTATGAATATAAAACAATGTGGAAAGGAAAACAAGGGGATGAGAGGGAGGGACGGCGACGTCTGCCTTACGATAACATCGCTGCTGGCTCGCTTCGTCGCGATTGTCTATTCGCTGGTGGTGAGACAAAGATCGATTATTCGTTTTTATCTAACTAAAGCCAGCGGCACACGGTGCTTGTTTTCGTGCTGAATTGCTTGCTGGATGAAAATACTGCGTTCTGATTGGTACATTTCCGAAGATGGATGAAAATGCACCAATCAGAACGCAGTATTTTCATCCAGCAAGCAATCCAGCACGAAAACAAGCACCGTGTGCCGCTGGCTTAAATCGTGGACATTGGCTTAGTAGTTCATGTCCATGAAAAATGGACCCAGTTGGCGCTTCGAATCAGCCAACTTTTCCATAACGCTGTAAATGCAGCCATGCCCGCTCTCAGGCTTCTCTCTGATCTAACTAATCTAGCTCGCTCGTGAACATAGCACAGAACAGAACCAAATAATTATGGACATAGCACGGAATAGTATCAACAGAGAGTAACCTGAGAGCGGCCAATATATTTTCTGCGACACCGACTTTCCGCACTGGGAAAGGACGCCATCTGCATCCATTTTCCCAGAGGGGAACTACGATAGTACATCCACTTTCAGGTCTCGGTGGTAAAATCTGCATATGGTGGAAGTCCATGCTACATCCACTTTCAGGCGGTTTATGTCCGTGCTGCAATGACAGTTGCCATCTCTATGCCAGACTATGCCCGGCGGTCTAAAAAGAGCGGGGGAGAGGGGGGAGGAGCAGAAAAAATAAAAGTACGTATTAAATGTTAAATCTTCGAATATATATTGCCGTATCAAAGTCTCTTCTATAATAAACAATTTGACATGTATGGAGACGCATGATGTATCGTTGTCCGCGTCCCGTTCACTTCGTCTTGTTTTTTAATTCAGCATCCCATCCGCTCCGGACATTCGCTCGTGGCACTGACAGTGGCCGTCGGTGAGCATCTGATCCGCTCGGAGAAGCACGTGTTATTCACGTAATTAACGTGACGAGACTCCGATTATAAATATCCCGCGAGTCGACGAAATATTTGAACTTTTAAAAAAAGCATCAAAGAAAATCACGTTAATGTTGTCATGGGTAAAATCTCACCCCGGTATATATTTTCTTATTTTTGAAATAAAAAAGCCAAACGAATGCAATTAAATGTTATTTATCATCATTGAATATTAAATGAAAAGTAGAAGAGTTATTGTCCGCAGCGGATAATCTCCCTGTATAAAATGTCGAACTGAAACATATTAAAAAGTATTGACATTTTGAATACGTCTGAATTCTGCTTTCTGATCCGAAGAAAGGGAAAATAAAAAGTATTAGTTCCCATTAAATTTCACCGCGCTAAATGCGAGATGGCAGTAGTGAATGCTTCGCATTAACAAGGATTCAATTCGTTTCAAATATGCCTTGTATTCAATCGCAATCGATAATTTTTAAATGCGAACTTTCGTATTGAAAAATATTCGCTTCTTTTCCTAATCGTTTTCGGATTCAGAGGCATACAAGATTTTCACGTTATATTCCCCGTCGCATTAAAAAGTATTCACCCGCGATCCAATCTGAGAGCAGAATTCACGACAAAATCTCGTGAATGCGAAACAATACTTTTAAATACAACATTTTATACAGAACTAATATTTAATAAGAGCGCGACTAAATTCGCATAGGATGAAATTCCATTCTTTAACGCTACCATGACCTTTAATTATTCTCTGAAAACGGCGTCACAACAACTTACACTCTGTACAATTAGTTGCTAACACATTTTCTAATCGTATACATTCCTCTTTAATTAACATAAAGCTAACAAATGTCCGATGCTTCGACAGAGTAATTTTCTTTATTTTTAGTAATCAATAAATAGAGTGCATCAATGTCGCGTACAGTTGAAAGGCCTCCTCGCATTCCCCTCGTCGTTCCGAAACCTTCGAGAAAACAAGAGACGCTCAAAGGCAAGTCTCTCTTGCTTCAACCGCCGCCGAGGCCCGCAATGTTTACATCGCGCCGATTGTGTTGATCGGCTCGCGAGCGACGACACTTTTTGCTCTTCGTATTATAATACTCGCGCACCTCATGTATTCGACCTCATTCCATCAGCAGCAGCCGTGCGCGACGCTCTCGTCACTTCCGTCTCGTGTAATTAAAAGAAATATATCTCGTCGGTCCTCGAGATACTCAATCGGCATCGCGTCGGCATCTCATTCATTAACTGCACGGTCGAATCGCGAGTATCAGCATTAGAAGCGTGAGCGAGTGAAATCCGGAGGACTTCAGCAGTCGAGAAGCAGAACGCCGGCAGCGATACGTCACGTTTCCAGGTATGTGGAATCATTTATTACGCGGGAGGTCTCCGATAACGAGAGCGTACGTTTGACGAATTTTCCGGGAATAAGAAGTCGGAATTTCGCGCTCGGCATTCACAATCCGTCATCATCCGACTAGTAATCATCACTTTATGAATTTGCAATTACTCTCGTCAATCTCTGTCTGTCTATCTATTTATTGCGTTGTTGTATACAAAAGATATTGATCCAGACAGAGACGGATAACGGTCCATGGACGTGGATCTCGAATTCATCATGTTCTTAATCAAACATTCTGAATCATTCCCAATTCCTGTGTGAGAATATTGGTCTTGTGTAGAATATTCAACGTCATATCGCTTCTTAGACCGCGACCTATTTTGTTTTCAGTCAGCGCTTCTTTCAAGTTTGTTTACTCTTGTTACGGGATCTGAATTTAAATGTCCATCCGTAAAAGAATATTTTCGAGAGCACACAACTGTTGTCTCCGCTTCTTATTGTCATTTTCTTTCGTCAGCTTTTTCAAGAGCTCCTATCTATACATTCAATGTCAATAAAGAAAAAAAATCGTAGCGAATATTCTCCACTCATCCCGGCCAACCATTTTTTCTCTACTGCAGCTTACCAACCAAGAACGCTAAATTTTTGTTCCAGACGTTGCGGGAAGCAAGTCCGGCGGACGCGGATGCCGCACCGGAGGATCCGGTTCGGGCAGAGCAGGGTCGGCCGGAAGGTAAAGTTTACAAGTTTCCTACACATCTGTGTTCAACTCTTTACGATCTTTGCCTTTGTAACTTGTTCCTCATCAGCTCTCTTGAAAGCTTCAAGTCCCATTTAAATTTTCAATGTTGGAACAAAAATATAAAGATAAAAATTCCGTATCAAAATATATCCGTATTTTCGATTGGTCCCGATCAAAGATATTCTCTCTCTACCGCAGGTTATCAACCGGGAAAATTATTTTTCTGTTTCAGTTGTTGCGGAAAGCAACAGCAATCCGATGGACGCGGATGCCGCACCGGAGAATCCGGTTCGGGAGAAGCAGAGTCGGCTTGAAGGTAAGTTTACAAGTTTACTATAGTCCTCTGTTTGACCCTTGGCGATCTAGAGCTGGGATATAATTTCCGACTCGACTTGAATTACGATCGCAGAGGGTAAACTACTCTTTTATTCGCCCGCACTCGTTGGTCAAATCTGATGAGCAAATGTGAATTTTTTGTTACAGAGTTGAAGCGGAACGTGGCCGGCTATGACTGCGAGTCGTTTCGGTGAGTCAAAATGAAAAGAGAAACAAAATTCTGCATGACGGATGTGGGACTAAAAAATATCGTTCGAGTCAATGCGAATTGCAAATAGATACTTGCATGTGTGTATTTATGACGTTGAATAAAATACATTGCTCGAAACAATCAGGGGATTACTTGATCGATAGCCTGCATTACATACAAGATATAAAATACTGAATGATTCTCTTTTGATGTTCAGTCATCTGAATAAGAGAATATTCATATGTACAAACGCGACACCGACATCAGCTGCTTTATTTTTATTTTTCAAGCGGGCCGCAGAATTACTCAACGATTTAATTATTTGACAATATTCAATTGTCCGTATAAAATATATTCATACCTAAATGCCGATATCGTTAGCTACTTTTCTTTTATTTGCAAAACAGGCTGTAGAATTATTTGGCAATATTGTCCATTCATCACAATCCCTATTGTCTCGAGTAGCGTATAATGCGCGTAGAAATTGCGCCAGCGCACGCCGAGCTTGAGGTATCCTCGCTCGCGTGCCTTTGAATATCACGACCGCGGTTGTCAATATACGCGTTTTTACTCGCGTTGCTAACAAAGAAAACTTAAATTCTCATTTCGCCAAAGTATCGCGAACGTAAGCTTCGTCGTGACAGAGCTATAATGCGTGAAAACTTTGCCCCGCTCCTCTCTCTTGCGCTCCCTAAGGGGGACCGATTTCTGATTGTCTAATCTTTCCTCGCGTACATT